TAGTAGTAGTAGTAGTAGTAGTAGTAGTAGTAGTAGTAGTAGTAGTAGTAGTAGTAGTAGTAGTAGTAGTAGTAGTAGTAGTAGTATGACTTGACGTCGGGTCTGGCCAATGAGATCTCAGGTGGTGTCAGGTGACCCTGCATTAAACCGGAATAATAATGAACATGAACATTCATGAATCTAGTCACAACTTCTAAGATCCTCTTTCATTCCCCGCGGCTCGCCCAGCATCATTGACGGCGCCATCCTCTTTCTCTCTCCGAAGTCGCTTCATTCTGGCACAGGCTTTAGTAAAGGTCAGCAACAGACTCTTCGCCGGGCAATACCGGCGGCTGTTCTCCCCGACCAGCCTCATACGTCTGAGCAGAGATTGCAAATCAAGTCTAGTCGTCTTCTGATAACGCAGATGCGCCTAGTCGACTAGCGACCACCTGTAGCCTTACCAGACGCCTCTCGCCTTCTCTCACCACTCGATCTACTACGATCACGATGGACGCAGACGGGTCATCGCCGTCGCAGCTCCTCCGCTCGGCTGAAACCCTGGCCGCCCTGGCCGGTCTCCATCGACGGGAGTCGCAGAATAGGAGCCAGTCGCCCGACAGCCTCGTGGAAGAGGAAGCATCAGGAAGCGACCAGCCAAAGCGCCCCAAACGCGCGCGTGCATGCGTGGCCTGCCGCAACATGAAAATTCGATGTCTCCCGGTCGAAGGCCAAGAGGCTTGCAGCAGCTGTGCCAAAGTCAACAGGCACTGTGTCATGCCCGGACCACCGCGGAAACGACAGAGAACGGTGCATAAAGTGGCCGAACTGGAGAAGAAAATCAACGCTCTGACAGAGGCCCTATTGAGCCGAGGCCAACAAGCCGATCTGCCTTCGATTCAGACGTCGCCTGAGAAGGACCCAGCCACCACGAGTGCCAGCTCGGATCTACCAAGGACAGAAGCTACCACTAACACTAGCTTGGACTACGACGCCCAGGTAATGGAGAAGGTACTACCGCAAAGCCCCGAATTCGAGAGACCATGCCCTGCCGACGACCTAGAGCCTCGTGTCGGGGAGCCCTATGTGGATGTGATCGACCAGGGCCTAGTGACCATGCAGTGTGCGACGGTAATTTTCAACTATTGGATGCAGAAGTATTCGAAAATCAGCCCAATTGTGGTCTTCCCTCCTGGCACAGAGGCACAGGTTGTCCGCACCCGACGTCCCATGACCTTCCTAGCGATCCTGTCCGTGGTCAGTCCATTGATCGAACCTTCTGTGCAGCCTGATTTGTCCGTCGAGCTCAATCGGCAACTCTCGGAAAGAGTCCTGTTTCACGGGGAGAGGTCGCTGGACCTCACCCAGGCACTGATGTTTCACTATCAGTATTACCTGCGACCTCGAGGTGCGAGAGATCTTGCTTTCAACCAATACATCCATTCCGCCATCGTCATGTGCCTAGATTTGGGCATCGGCAAGAGATCCAAAATCGACCAGACCCGGAGCCCGGCTGAAAGGACGGAACTGGCGCGAACATGGTTGGGTGCCTACACTTGCGCGATCGCGTAAGTTTACCTTGCTGTCTGTGGGTTGGCTTTGGAGTTTGCTGACGGTGAGATACATCAGTGTTTCGACCATTCTTCGTATTCCTCCATTCATCAAGTTTAACTCGCGCGTCGAAGAGTGCCTGGACATCCTGGCCAACAGCCCGTACGCCTTGCCGAGCGATAAATGGCTATGCGATCTCGTGCGTCTCTTTCATATTGCGGAAGAGGTGTCGGTCGTCTTCAACATGGACGATCCCGGAGCCGAGTTGAATTTCACGGAACCGAGGATACAGCATCAGCTCAAATATTTCCAACATCAGTTACGGCTGTGGGAAAACTCGGTGGGCACCGATGTGGATGTGGATCCGCGTGAGTCAATCCTTTCCTTCGATCCTCTCTGTCGCTCTCCCTTTGTCAAGGATCAGGCTGACGTACATTCAAGGACTGGTCCAGCATCATGCCGCTTGTATCAGCCTCTACACTCACGAGATAGCCCTTCATTACGATCACAACGTCGACGATTTCCGACCCGGAAGCCTATTTGCAGGCGATCGGCGAGGACCAGACAGCCTCACATCCAGCCACGTTCAAGCCCTGACCACTGTTTACGAAAGCTGTCATCAAGTGCTTGACGTCTGGCTGTCGCTGGAAATCCCTTATGCACGAGCCCTGCCCAACACGTACATTGTCTGGAACGCGTATGCCATGGTGGTCTTGATCAAGCTGCATTGGATCGTGCATGGATCGGAGTCGCAAATTGGAAACATCTTTCTCCCGGACCTCCGCACTGAATACTATCTAGATGCCATCATCCAGCAACTGGCCGAGATGTCGGCCCACGGCCACAGTCCTTTCGCAGAGGCGTTTGGATTCGTGTTCAAGAAGCTCAAGACCTGGTACCAGCATCGGGGAGGCCGGTTTGCGGATGAGCCGGCTGGAGGGGAGAATAGCCTTCGAAGCAATCGAGCGTCCAGTATCCTACAGAAGGATCCGTCGACCATCATCCGCACGGCCAGAGATGATTCCTACACCACGATGCCGGCCATCCTCCCGGGACAGTGGTCGGGCCCTGATAAGATGGGGTCCAATCTGAACGCGGCTTATGACGCGGCCAGTTACGGAAACACGAATTGGGACCAGTTCAACTTCAGCTCGGAAGAAATGGATCTGTTTGATGTGTACATGAATAACACTGGATGGATGGGGTATTTTCTTTAGGTTTAGGGTCATATTCTGGCACTCGGTCGGGCGTCTTATTGTGAGATATGTAAAATGGGTGGTCCTGGGACTGGTAACAATTCAGCGAACCTTTAACGCCTCAACATGCAACCAGATGAAACAAGACGATGCGCCGCGATGCCAGATTGAATTAGGGACGAAGCAGTACCAAACACGAAGAAGTACCAAACATGAAGAAGTACTAAACACGAAGAAGTACCGATGTGGTGACCGCTCAACTCAACTCCAGCCAATAATGCCTTCCCCCAGGACCTTTCTACGGCATCCATCAAAGACCGACACTGACACTGTCCTCCCGACGACGCCATCGCCTCCGACGCCAAGGTTCAGCCTCGTCTCAGCGTTGGACGAGGCAGCGACGGTGTCGACGAAGAACGAGTGCAAGACGGGATTGGATGAAGACCATGTCTCTTCCGACTCTGGCTCGGACTCTGAATCTGACGATGAATCAGAGCTGGCGGTAGATTTGGAGTCGGTGATCTTGTCACCGTCGAGTGATAACGGCTGTCCGAATTTGCTGCAGGCGGAATCCCATCAGCTCAGATGTTGCAGAAGTGAACTGAGGGCACTTACTGGATTCTGACGTGCAGAAGTCGATCGCCCACAGCACCACAATCACTCTTGTTCCTGTTCCCATTCCCATTGCCCTGCCATGGGCCATCACTCTCGCATTGCAGCGTTGAGGTCGTGCGTCCAGGTAGGCGGTTTGACAGCTTCAGTCTTCCGCGGAACATTGCATGCTGGTTCGGGTTCGGGTTCGGGTTTGGGTGGATGATGGCGATCAAGTCGCCTGACTCGCGGGCTGGAGGAAGATGAGAGTCACCGCACATGGTGAGGTTTGGCTGGCGCTACTCTTTCCGAAGGCGAAAGCAACCTCGAATCACCCACGTTATCGCCGAGAGCCAACAGAACGTATATCGGTTTTCAAGCTAAGCTGAGAGAGCTTGAACAGGCTACAGAAATTGCAGATAAGATGGATACATGCAGTGGTGTGTTGGATTGTATTTAGTTATGGGGTGGTGTTTGGTTGTGTGGTGTCAGTTAACGTTGGGTGATGGGTGGTGGTCAACAACGATGACTTTGGTTGACTTAAAGCCCTTTGGCTTTATATATGTCTTCCGCCCTTGATCTTATGTACAGTACCTTGTAATGTTAGCCCGAAATACTGTACAGGGGTATGGTATCAGATACCTAAGGTATGGGTACCTACATGTGAAGTACCTACCTATTGAAGGTGGATCACGATCGCCAGAGCAAGTATGTACCACGCACGTACTCGTACCCACGTATCCGTACTACCGGTTTGATACCTAATTAATAGTACCTAGGTAGGTTGGTAGCATCGAGCGAAGTGAGGACAACGAAGGACGAATACGGATACGGATACGGAATGGATCCTACAGTATGTGGAATTGAACACCTAGCGATGAGGGACTCGAGTGAGGACAAGCCTAGCGCTACGTAGGTAGGTATCAGTCACGGTGGTACCTATTATAGACGTCTCAGTTGCCTTTACGGAGTACTGTGCTCCGTACATATGTAGGTACCTAGGTATGGTCCTCAAACAACCATTACTATTGTAGTACTAACTAACTAACAACCCAAGGTAAGGTAAGGTAAGGTATCTACTGTACGAGTAAGATCTAAGATGAGATGATAACCTGCTCACTAATTTGCAATTTAGAACCCCGAACCCCATCAGCATTGAGCATTGAGCATGAGCAATACGCATACATTGAGCATGTTTAACACCCCCCGTGTCCGTATCCGTGCCCCCGTACCCATATCCGGAAATGGAAAAAAAGGAGGGGGAAGTGGGATTGGGGACGTCGTGGCGTGAGCAAGTTTTGAGCAAGTTTCAACAGTGAGACAGGAAACAAGACACACCAAACGAGACCAAGATCAAGATCAAAATTAGTTAGATAGATGGCATGGACATGCGGGATATCCGGGATATTACATATTACTGTCTGTGACCTATCCATCCGTACAGATACTAGGCACCTAGGTACCTGGGTGGGTGGGTAGGTAGGTGGGTAGGTAGGTAGGTAGGTACTTAGGTAGGTACTTGGGTCCTTAGTGGTGTTAGGTACTTACTGTAGGTAGGTAGGTACTTATGTAGGTACTTAGGTATACTGTACAGTGAGTGCACTCCGTACCATTCAATCCAAACCAACCTTGACCCAGGACCCAGGACCCAGGAATCAGAAAGCCCAGTTGTGAGTACAGTACCTAGGTAGGTGGGTAGTTGTACAGAGTAATGTATGTGTCGAATGGCCCTGCCCTTGACTATTGTGTACAAGTACTCCGTACATACTATATCCTAGATCTATGTCTACCTTAGTACCGCAGGACAGAATCGACAGAATCGTCAGATACTCTTTGACCAATTCATAATTGTTCTATAACCATTTGCACAGCGATCAGGGATGACAGATGACAGATGACATCTGTGCAGCTTAGGCCTATTTTGCCTGTACCCTTCCTGGTGTCTCTCAGCCAGGGCTAGGGCTTCTTTCGACTTTCTGGGAGGCAGCTGAATGAACAACATTCTCGACTTCTGGGAGGCAGCTGATGAGCAACATGGTAATGTCGTCTTTGAAACCCAACCATCTCACATATGCTAAGAGACCCGTAGGAGACATAGTATCGTATCGGTCTGTGACGTCGGATCAGTACTCTTCTTGGTCACTGTTGCCTGTACCGTGCTCCAGCTCCAGGCTCACTTGTCCAAAGACAAATATTGGCGCCAGGTCGAATCTTGTGATCGCTTCAAGTTCAAGCTGTGCATAGGAGACATTGCCTAATGCTATCCCAGGTTTTGAGGCTCAGGATCGTCTGGTCATATCCACATCATCCATACTCCACACGGATGCAAGTGTCCAAACAAGGCTCCCAGGCATGCCGCGTTCAAGGCTTTCCTTTCTGGACTCTGGTCGAACCAGGAACAGACACTATGAGACAACCACTCGCCGCATGCCATAATAGCACGGCCTGAGCCTTGGGCACCTCGCACACTTTGAACTCAACAAGCTCAACAAGTGCTTCATGGACGTGAGGTGAGATGGACAAAGACGGCCTCTAATCAGCTAACAACTGTCCCAATCAATTCGAATTCGGTGTGGTGTGTATGTCGGCCTCGGAAATAGGTAAAAACTGTCCCAACAATTCCGTGTGGTGTGTATGTCGGCCTGCCAGGCAGTATCCTCTCTCTTCACACTCCCTGTCCGTCTTCGCGACCCCACAGTTTCACAGTCCTGTCGTGACCGCTGCTGGCAATCCATTTCGCATCCTCGGTGATATCGACACTCAGGACGTTTCCGGAATGTCCACTCAGCTGTTTCGCCAGTGACCAATCATCCGCAGAATAAATGTTGACGTTCTTGTCAAATCCACCACTGACAAAGAAGGTGCCTGCTTTTCGTGGCTTGTGTGCTTGTCTCACACTGTCAGACTCGACCAGGGATGACACGTCGCCATCAACGCCTTTAAACCATCTCAGGTCTGAGACATTGCCGTTATGAGCACCAATCCCCCCGACACTCCGAACTTGTCGAATATCCCAGCATTTGACCCATCCATCCCCTGAACCGGAGAGGACTCGATACCCATCATTGCCCCAATCAAGAGAGAATATCTCGCGAATGTGACCGTCCAGGATCATGACGGTCCGGCCCGTCCTCAAATCCCAGATCCGCCCCATACTGTCAAATCCTCCACTCGCTAGAAGTGAGCCATCCGTGTTGAAGCTGACCGTAAATACTTGCCGCGAATGTCCTTCTTGTAAGAGCAATTCGGTGGTTGTCTCAACATCCCAGAGTCGCCATGTTGTGTCGAACGAGGCCGAAGCTAGGTACTTTCCAGCGGGATGAAACTCGACTCGACATATCCGGTCGGTGTGCCCCTGAAGAGTTGCAAGTGGTGTTTCCTTATTCAATGACCATAGATGGATCTCGGGGGCACCGCCTTGCCCTCCAGCCCCGCTGGCAAGGTTGACGGAATCTGGCGACACGGTCGAGGTTGGCGAAGTGGCTCCCGGATACCACGCCAGTCCTCCAACAATTCCGGTATGACCTCTGAGTGTGACTCTCTCGTCGAGATTGGGGACATCCAGCAGCTTGATCCCACCGCCCCAGTTACCAGCCGCAATGATCTCACCGTTGGGTGCGAAGCGAGTAATGCTGACCGGGCGTTCTCCGGCGATTTGGGTCCCGAATAGTTCGAAGCCTTGCAGCCTTTCTTTGATTTCCTTGCGGTGCTTGATGTGCGTTCGCAGTGGAATGCTGGAGTCTTCCTTTAGCCTCCTGATGCGAGCTCGGGCTTTTGGTAATGAGTATCTGGCAATGTCTCTTCTTGCCTCGAGGAGTTCGTGTACGCCTTCGGTATAGAACTCCTCCTCTTGATCTACCTCATCCTCTGCTTCTCGCATTTGCACGTCCGCAACAGCCCCATTCTGGCCTCCTGCTTCTTCCTTGTCCAACAGAAATTCGCGTAATCGGTCTCTTCTGTCGGCCGGCCCTTCTCCGAAAAGTGTGATGGGTTCTCCGAGCTCACGCAGACGTGCTCTCACTTTGGCATCGTCCGTCGGTACTGCGACTTGTGCGAGCTTTCGTTTCCGGTCGAATTGCGAGAGGATTGCAGAGGCTTTCTCGGGGGCGACACCGCCAGCGGAGGGCATTTCATAGTTCCGGTCGATAGCTGATGGATAGTTAGTGCAGAGTCAATCGAGAGCGCCGAGTTCTCTTACGGATGTTTGCCAAATCCACGCCCATCTCAACATCCTATTCCTCAGCCATTGCCGTCAGTGGTTTGTTTCTTCCCGACAGGCATAATCCATAGGAAGAGCCGGGCCTTGAAGCCAATTGTGAATACAGAGGCACATGAGGACGGGGCGGCAGAAGTAGCTTACCTGACGCTCCTCCTCTACATACGCCTGGCGGGCAGGGTGCATCATCGTGGCGGAGGCGGACGACCAACTTGGGGCCGCTTGATAGATCTATGGCACAGGATGCGACGCGGGTGTCGAATCGGTCTCAAGAGGCTAACTGGGCATTCCAGGGTATTGCTATGGCGTCGTCCGTCGTGTTATCGTAGATCTTTGGCCTGAGTACCAGTCACCTACCAGTATTGGTCCTGAGGCTTAAATAAATTTAATAGCAGTGCCAAGGCTGGAGACTCCGCGCCTCGTCATTTGTTGTAGGGGCTTGGGCTTCGACGATCCGAGAACTGCAAACTGCAACATTCAACCGCATCACAGCATTCCAACTGTCAATTGTACATTAACCTCATGCTGCTCCTCTCAACACGCCTGATATGTCTTAATTAGTCTACTCTTCTCTTTGAACGCGCCAATGCCGCCGACGGCCTCGATCTCTCCTCGACATCCTCCACCTTCCAGGTCGCTCTTGTCGTAGACTCGTGATCACTTCCAGTCGCTACACCTGCTCAGTGGCAGTCGTGTCTTCACCATGGCCGGGGTCAGTGCTTCGGCTGCGGGGATGATATCGCAGCTAGATGCGGCGCGTAAACTCGCGCTCGCCGATCCTCAAGTATACAATCAAGTTCTTCCTGGAATCTTACCCATCATCGGCCCAACCGCCCATGTCGACGTCCGAAGATGGGGCGCAGATTTCCTCGCCGAAGCGTTTGCAAGCCCATCTCTCTCGAATTCGCAAAAGGAACAACTGTCGCCGGAGGTAACACCCACCCTTCGAGCCATGCTGGAGGGGCCAGGTGAAGACCCTGAGGTGGTAAAGAGTGTGGTTCAAGCGGCAGCTAGTTTATACCCCTTCGTGTTCCGAAGAATGTACGTGATATCTGTACCTGGCCGCGCAGGCGAGGGTTTCAAGAATATCCTAGACCTCTAACATTGCCGTCTAGAATCTCGCATCCGAATGAGGCCGCGCTGTGGCAGGACATGACTAGCATCAAGCTGAACATTTTGCAGCGGATGGACTCTTTCCCTGTCGCAATCAGAATATGTTGCATCAAATTTGCCCAGAAAGTCGTCCAAGTAGAAACACCCGGCCTGATCGCAGACCCTCGGGTAAGTCGAGTTTGTTCCACCACTCGTCCACCTATACTGACTTGAGTCAGCGTCCGGAACAAAATGAAACCTCTATCGCCCTTGTTCCACGGAACCATCCTTTGTTGCAGTTGCCCAACCTCGAGGCTGAAGCATCTGGTCTGTTGGACAGACTCTTGAGCGTGTTTCAAGAGAGTTCAATGTACGTGGTGATTGACTGCTTGTTCGACCAAAGCTGACGAGACCAGCGATCCTATTCTAGTCGATGCCACAATCAACTGCCTGGCTGTCCTCATTCGAAGTCGACCTGCGATATCCACCAAGATCGTCTCGGCCGTCCTGAACTTCAACCCATTCAAACAAGCCAATTCCCCAATGACCCCGAGACTCAAGGTGATTGTAAGGTCAATGGAGAGGACTACTAGAGCTTTGTTACGATGGGTTCTTCGGTCTGTACCGAACCCCCCGCTCGACCAGAAGATCCAGGCATACCTCATGAGATTACAGCAATCGCGGGCGGCAATACTCTCTGACACGACTGCTCAGAAGCGCCCTGCAGAACCTACTGATGGGCTGGATGATGCAAAAAGGCAAAGGCTTTCAGGACCACGCAAGTTTCCTGCTATGCCACCGCCTCCGAATTCTATCGCACAGCTCTTCACGCTCACGGAAGATCCCGCTGTACAGCAATTTGACGTCAGTCTTCTTCCAGGCGACCTTGTCAGCACCGTCACAGCTGTCTTCTTGCAGCACCTTGACTCTGGTGTCTTGGACGAAGCCGTCAATGCCATCCGAGCGAGGTACAGCCATCTACAAAAGGTCAGTCGGCCGACACCGGTGCCTGATGTGCCTATGGCTGGGCCAACAGGAATTGACGACGACGATGACTACGATCCCGAGTTTCTCACTAGTGGAGAGCCTATTGTCCAGGCCACTACGGAAAAGGCGCTTGAAGAACTTGCCCAACCGGCTATCGAGTTGGGCCCATTTGAACTGCCTAAACCTCCCCCGCTGACGGGCTCGGAAGTTGCTGTGTTGTCCGACCAGACAGTTGGCCATGTTTTCCAATTGGTTGGGTCTCTTGAGGCCGCCGGGCAAACACACGCAAAGCAGAAACTGGGTCTAAACCGTCTTGCTGCAAGTACCAACGATCGCGACTCTTGGGTGACCATTCTCATGCGTTTGGCGACTCGAGCACCAGCGAGACTGGACGATGTCGCAACCGCATTGACTGGAGATGCGGATCCCAATCAACCGGTCAAGTCGGAAGACAGCGAGGAACGTAATGTTGCCAACCGGATAAGGCAGACCCTCTTCATGTATATTCTGGACGATTTCCGACCGCGCCTGAATATCGCTATTTCCTGGCTTACCGAGGAGTGGTATGCGGATAAGCTGATGGCGAAGACACATCCAGAGTTGGACCATCTACCCAACTACTCACGATGGGTGCACCGACTGATTGATCGTCTACTGCCCTATCTCGACGCCAGGGACAAGAACCTCCTAATTCGGTTCTTGTCGGAAATTCCATCTATAAATCGCGACATCCTGGACAGAGTCAAGACTTTGGCGAAAGATCCGGAGAGAATTAGCATGTGTATCCTGTCAATGCAGTATCTGTTGATGATGCGTCCGCCGGTGCGGGATACAGTGTTGGATGCGATCGAATCCATCTGGCACGATGGGGATGCGCAGGCAAAGAACGCAACGGCCAAGGTGCTCGCCAAGTGGAGGCCGGGCTTCTTGGAACAAGCCGGGCAGCCCAAAAGGGAGGCGGACGTGAAGGAAGAGACAACAATAAACGGACTGAAAAGTCCCTCCGCGTCGAGAGCAGACACAGGCGATCCTCGGAAGCGGAAGGCGAAGGTGGCGGTGGTTGCAGGCGATGGTTGACGAAATGGACACCATCCCAGGAGCCATGTACTGTATCATTACATTCAAGACCTGCGACATGATACCTATCCAGCAGTGTCTTGCCGCCGAGTTTAGTACTACAATCTAGGGGTTTCTCGACGAATCAGATTTTTTCAATCCCGAATTTTGACCGTCACTCTCTTGGACCACCTAAATTCAGTTCTTCTCCCATCGTTCTCAATCACGGCATGCGTGACACGACTGTACAACTTGCCGTCTCTCGTCATGTGCCATCTGCCTCAGCACCGACTGCTGACACGAATTGGACTTCCGTATCTGACTAACTCCTCGTTAGAGCCTCAGGCGGGACGAGCCGGTTCCCCATAGGCTGAATCATCCACCTGCATACAAATGTAAGGCTGATTAACAAAAGGGGCAATGGCACCAGCCAGCGATAAGCCGGTGGTCGTGTGAAAAGAGACGGTACATGTCTCAAGGTCTGGTTCTCTTCCCTCTTCCCTTGTCTCCTGGCTTCGTCTTGTTCTTTTTGCCCCCCTATCCAGGACATCTGAACACCGGCATCATGGCCGCCATCAAGCGTCTGCTGAAGAAACTGGAGGTGCCGTGCGAAGGGGGGACGATGCCGAATCGCTGGATCAACAATGACATCAAGCCGATTGAGGCGGGCCGGCGGACATGGGGGTTCTGGACGTTCCACAATCTGTGTAAGTGTGCGGCGGTGCCAGCTGCATTTGTTTGTCTGTCATATCCCTAGGGCCTGCTGCATTTGTCTGTCTGTCATATCCCCAGGGACCTGGACGTGCGCGAGACTGATTGCTTTGTGCTTGGGGGCGCAGGGGTGCTGACCAACACGAACATCTCGACCTACATGACGGGGAGCTCGCTGATCGCGCTGGGACTGAGATGGTGGCAGGCCATGATTGTGATTGTGGTGGGCGCCATCCTGTCGACGGGGTTTGTGGTGCTGAACTCGATGCCGGGCGCCTACTACCACCTGGGCTTCCCGATCGCGAACCGGTACGTGTGGGGCATGTACGGCAGCTCGTTCGTGGTGTACAACCGCATCCTGCTGTCGCTGGTGTGGTACGCGGTGCAGGCGTGGATCGGCGGGCAGTGCGTCTACGTGTGTCTGGAATCCATCTGGCCCGACCTCGAGGCGCGCATCCCCAACCACCTGCACGCGACCGGGCTGACGTCGGCGACGTTCCTGACCTACGTGCTCTTCTGCCTGATGTCGCTGCCGCTGATATGGGTGCGGCCGCACAAGCTGAAACGATTCCTGGTGGCCGGCGTGGCGTCCATCTTCGTCTTCGAGCTGGTGCTCCTGATCTGGGCGCTGGCCACGATGGACGGGTTCGGGGACACCATATCCTCCTCTTCTTCGTCTTCCTCCTCGTCTTCCTCCTCGTCTTCCTCCTCGTCTTCCTCGTCTTCCTCCTCTGGGCACGCCCGCTCCGTCGGCTGGAGCATGGTGTTCGGCATCATCAGCGTCATCGGCAGCATCGCCGCCGGCATCCTCAACCAGAGCGACTATACGCGATTTGCGCGGCGGCCGCGCCACGCCATCTACGGCCAGCTCGCCAGCGTGGCCACCTACTCGATCCTCAGCTCCGTCGTCGGCATCCTCGTCACCGCGGCCACGCAGCGGCGCTACGGCCGGCCGATCTGGAGTCTGCCGGAACTGCTGATGGCCATCATGCACGCCGGCCACGGCCATGGACGCTCTCGCGCCGCCGGCTTCTTCGCCGGCGCCGCCCTGGTCGTCTCCCAGTGGGGGATCAATATCCCCGGCAACGCCTTGTCCGGCGGCTTCGACTTGGCCACCACCTTTCCCGCCTACATCAACATCCGCCGCGGCGCCTACATGACCGCCCTGCTGTCCATGGTCGTCAACCCGTGGCAGTTGCTGGCCACGGCTTCCATCTTCCTCGCCGTCTTGTCGAGTTACTCCGTCTTCCTCGGCCCCATGATCGGCCTGATGATTGCTTCCTACTACCTGGTCCATCGATGCAAGATCAACGTCGACCATCTGTATCGCGGTGACCGCTCCAGTATCTATTGGTTCACTGGCGGTGTTAATTGGCGAGCGCCAGTCGCGGTACGCTCGATTCTATTTCTTTTCGGTTCTGTCTCCGTCTCCGTCTCGAAACTGTAACTGTCGTGGTTTGCTGTCTGATTCCGTGTTCGAACAATCATTTGTCTTGTCTTTGTCATCGTCACCGTCATCGGCATCGCGGCTCTTGTCCCTCCCTCCTCCCTCTCTCAACCCCAGCCTCGTGTTTCCCATCAGATCCATCAACCCCACGTGCTTAAAAAGAGTCTATAGTATTCTTGTTTTCCTCCCTTTCCCTTTCCCTTTCCCTTTCTCATTCCCTCCTTATCCCTTTTCTGATCCTCAACTAATTCACCCCAATCATCCAGTGGTCATGTGGCGTGTTTCCCTCCATGCCGGGCTTCGTCGCCGCCGTCTCGCCGTCCATCACCGTCTCTGTCAGCTGGACGCGCCTCTACGACCTCAGTTTCCTGGTCGGGCTTTCCATCGCCGCCGTCGTCTTGGTCGTCTTGCATCATTTCTTCCCTGCCCCGAGCGTCCGGGATTTCGTCCTCAACTCCGGCCCGGCCGCGCAGGTCATGATGGGCGCTCAGGCCGAATGGGATGGGCGTGTCGTGGAGACAGTGACAGGGATAGGGTCGGATCGGGTCTTGCCGAATAGAGACAAGGATGTCGAGGATCTGGCGCAGTGTCCTAAAGATATTTAAGGGTTAGTATATCTAAAGATATTTAAGGGTTAGTATGTCTAAAGATATTTAAGTGGTCTATATGTCTAGAGATATTCAAGTGGTCAGTATGTCTAAGATATTTAAGTGCTCAGTATATCTGTACCTGTCCCTGTCCCTAAGGATGGGATGGAATGGGTTGGTTGGCTTGTGGGAGTGGGATTGGCTGGCTTGTAAACTGTCATTGATTGTTGGAATGAACGAGAGATGGGTTCAAATCTAATGCGTGTATGAATGAATGGAACGAACGAAGATATGTCTAGGTCGTTATATAGGGGGGAGTTGCTGTATAACTAGTTGTACGCGTAGAATGAATGATGAAGAGAATCGACTTATTGAGACCAGCCTTAATAACATTCTACACCGTATCTAGCCTTCTAAGGAAGATCTTGGAGGGTCGAGTGGCTCAAGTAGACTGAACGTGATCTATATTCATGACACAGCTCTAATCACCACGTATCGTCTATTTCTAGTCTATATCCTCCGAGGTCGTCAATATCCTCTCTAGATCGTCTGTGTCTTCCACATGCCCTTACCAGACTTTCACAAACTCCCAGAATAGATTTGGTTGAGATCGAGCTATCCTACGCCATCCACGCAGCCTGACTATTCTGCCGCACCCTGTGGTGCTAGCCCACAAACCACATTCGCCAAAAAGACCAAAAACTTTTTCCTACAAACTCCCCTGGGGGAGGTTGTAGGGAAGTGAACCCAGAACTTTTTTTCTTGTTCAGGTCTTTCGGACATGTCGTAGTGATCCACCTTTTTTAAATGAGACTCTTTCTAAACGCTTGTGCGTACCACCCGGTGTTGTCTCTTAACCATTGCGTCAACGGAAGGAAGGAGGAGTTGTTGGATTGTGGGAGAAAAGACCGGCAATTGATAATATATCGAGTGATTTTCCAGACCGTGTGTTGGGATTCGAGATCACATGAGACGTCGTATACGGGTACCGGCAATATTTGCTGGTGAGTAGAAGGAGCAAGGAGAACCTTCGAGCTCTTGGTCCCAGACGTAGTGCAGTGATGGGTGCTTGTAAGCCCAATTCTATTCTTCTTTCAGACAATACACATAGCTCAAGGAGCCGTTTTCTTTTGCTTTTGCTTTTTCTAGTCAATAGGTGTATCGGAAATTCGGAACTCCTTCAATGACATGCTCTCCCCGTTTAGCCCTGCGATTCATGATCCAGAACCAGACCGTACAGGCGGCAACCAAGACTATCATCAGGATATGGCTTCCAATACTCACCCAGATCGCGGTCAAATACCGTGGAGCTTCTGGTTGACGGACAATATAGCTACCGGCTATGCCGCCCAAGCCATTACAAGCCGAGACGGCGGCTGCCACAGTGGCGCGCTTCCATTGTCCCACCACGTTGTTGGCCTGGTACGCGTTGAGAGCGGCCCAATTGGACACATAGGCTCCAGTGGCCAGAAAGGTTCCAATGTATCTTACAGTTACTTGGCTCGGAAAGCCCAGCATGCAGAACCCGGCGATCAGGCTAATGGCGTTGAAGATGATGATGGGTGCCCGGATGCGGTATCTGTCCCCAATGAACGAAGATAGTATAGCTGGAATGACGGCGTAATAGTACGGCGGAGACGACAGTATTATAGCTTGGTTGGAGTCGAATCCCATTCCGCCCTGTAGGATAATCGGCAGGAAGTATGACAGCGCGGTCGACACGAGGTTGAGCAGGAAGAACAGCACGCTAAACACGTACAGCTTCGGGTCGAGGAAATGAACCAAGACGGCGGACAGGCTGAACGGTTCAGGTTTTGCCGCATCACTTCGGTCGTCGTGGATGCGCGACAAGGCCAGGCTTTTCTCATCTTCCGAGAGGAACCAGAGGGAATTCTCGCAGCGATCGGGGAAGTCGACCATCCAAACGTAAGTGACGATGCCTACGCAGACAGTGATGGCGCCTTGAACGAGATACATGTACTGCCAGCCTCGCAGACCGTGACGGTGGTCGAGGTGGTTCAGACCGTAGTTGACGATTGAGCCCGTGGCAAGAATCACGACCTGGCCAGACTGCAGCAATGCAAACCTGAGCTGCTGCTCCTTCCGCGTGTACCATGCTGATATCAAGTAAGTCAGGCCAGGGTAGATGCCAGACATGGATATGCCCAGCAGCACTCTCAGGGCAATCATCTGTCTCCAGCTGCTGATGGCGGCCGTGCACATGGTGATCAGGCCAAAGGTGCAAGTGACGGTGGAAAAGAAGAGCCTAGGCCCGACGAGCCGCATGAGGACCGTGGCTGGGAGCTGAAAACACACCGATGCCACGGTGAAGATGAAGATGGAGACCGAGTAGCGGTCTCCCGTGAGATGCAAGTCCGACAGCATGCTGGTCACCGACGCCGAGGAGATGATCCCGCTGTCGAGCAGATTCAGGCTGCACAAAATGCCCGCGATGGTGCATAGGCGGAGATCGACTTTGCGACGGAGGCGCAACTCGGCGTCGGCTTGGACTTGCGTCTGCGTCTGCGTCTGCGTAGGGGCATGTTGGTTGGAATTGTGTGTGGCCTGGACGGACTCGGAGAGGGCTGAGGCAGTGTCCGACGCCGTGTGGGTGGCGCGGATGTCGCTCTTTGGGGACATGGCTGCCAGTCGGGCAGGTGGCCAGAGTCTTGCTAGCAGCAGGTCATGCCTCAGTGATCAGGGGTGTGGGTGTCTTTCTGCTGGTGAGACTCAGGCCACTTGCACGGGCAGGGCGGCAAACACCAGAGGAAGAGTCATGGCCAGCATCTAGAAAAGATTCTAAGTAATAGTAGTACGGATACTCCGTATTGTATGACGAATCGGGGGGTAAGGAGGGTGTGCGGGGAATCCTAAGCCGGCAGCCGCAGGCTGGAACCTCACAGACTCACTCAATCCACGCCTTTGGTTTTATTGACTGTGTGTCAATTAAATGCTGTCGAGTTCTGAATATCATTAAACCCAGCAAGATCTCTTTCAGGTAGTATGGGACGAATACGCATACTGGTACGGAGTACTGTGTACAGTGTAGGTACAGTGTACGGATAGTGTGTAAGATCAGACTGGCTGGCTCGCTGGTCCGACATGTGCCGTCGTTGAGATTGACTCGGGCGATATAGCTGGAATAGGCCAGGCCGGCTAAGCCGCTTTGGGCACCGGCGCTTGGCGGCGGCAATGGCCTCCGCATCCTCGGCATCTTTTCACTTCCACTGCAGTTCCATCCCAGCACCGCATCCAGCCTCAGCCCTCAGCCAACCTGTCACGGTCTGCGTCTGCGTCTGCACCTTGCGGTCATATGTCTGCCGGCCCTCTTCATCCTCCTTCTGCGCCTCGACGAGCCCCGAACTCCTCCTACCTACCGCGACCGGCGATATAGGCGTGGTCCTCTCGGCCCTCTGTACATCAATCACAACACACGGAAAAGATAATGACCAGATAACATGACGACTGTTTCGCCGCCTAAGCCCTGGGAACGCGCCGGTGCAGCAGGTAAATCACCAGCACTGTCTTCCGTTTCAGGGCCATCGCTCACTAACCACCTCCCAGCTGCCTCTGGAATCAGCACACCTGGACCCTTAACCGCCATGGCCGCGCCCACCTCGAGCAACGACACCTCCACCACCACCTCTACATCAGCGCCTGCCCTTCCCGACCGACCCACGACACTCAACAGCGTGGTCAATCAGACGGCTTCCAACTACACAAACCAAAACCGGTTCGGCGCCGGCATTGGTGCGACTCCATATTCGTCGCCATACTCGTCCTATTCGTCTCCATACAACAGGTTTGGCGGTGGCATGTATGGCGGGGGAATGTACGGAGGAGGCTATGGCGGCATGGGGGCCGGCCTCGGAGGGGGCATGTATGGAGGTGGCATGTACGGTGGAGGAGGTTACGGCAGTTACCCAGGCATGCCTGGCGACCCCAACAATCAAAGTCTGACACAGACGTGGAACCAGAGCACTGCGGCCACCTTCCAGATTATGGAAGGCATCGTTGGCGCGTTTGGAGGGTTTACACAGATGCTGGAGAGCGCCTATATGACGACGCATTCTTCTTTTTTCGGTAAGTCGCTCCGACCCAAATGGACGCACGATCGTCTGATTAACATGTCTCATAGCGATGGTATCAATGGCCGAACAATTGGGCAATCTCCGCCAGACTTTGGGTTCGATCCTGGGAATCTATACGTTGATGCGCTGGGTGCGCACTCTCCTGGCCAAGCTCACAGGTCGCCCACCACCAGCGGACGCCACTGCACTCACGCCAGCCAACTTCTCCTCGTTCCTCTCCGGCGGCCGAGCGCCCGCCACGCTTCCCGACGGGAGCCCTGCGCCTCCTCGACCGTCCAAGAAACCGTTTGTGATATTTGCACTGGCCGTGTTCGGCCTGCCATATCTCTTGGGCAAGGTGATCCGCGCGATGGCCAAGTCACAGGAGGAAGAACAGCGACGGCAACAAGAACAGATGACTCTGTCATACACAAACCCCAATGGCGAGCAAGTACCCATTGACCCGCGGAAGCTTGATTTCTGCCGTGTTGTATACGACTACACGCCTGCCCCCAATTCGGCGGGTATGGACCTACAAGTGAAGAAGGGCGATTTTGTCGCCGTGCTGTCCAAGACAGATCCCATGGGCAACCCGTCGGAATGGTGGCGCTGTCGAGCTCGTGATGGCAAACAAGGCTACCTGCCTAGTCCCTACCTGGAACCGATCCAGAGGCCTGTGCAATCGGCCACACAACAAATCACGGAGGGCACAGCAGTGTCGGCGCCGGGAAGTCGAAGCGCCACCATCAAGGGCACTGGTGCCGTTGGAGCCGCAAGAAAACTTCTCGAGGAAGGAGAGAGGACCAAGAGTCTGAGTTCCATCTACGCGGGGACGAGCGGCATGAACGCCAACGCCCCTGTGCCTGCGCCCGTGCCCGTAGGTGGGAAGGGCCCCGAAGTCAAGGGCGGGCCTGGCGATATTACGCCCGAGAGTTTCCAGAAGAGCGCGTTCTACTCTTGAGTAATTTGGTCAATGCAATGCCTGAATTGAAGCTTGTCCGTCCGAGTCTTTCGTGGCCATTACTATGTGCGGTAGGTAGTATATGTAGTATTAACTACGGATAGAAACTGGACGTGCTGGAATGCAACGTAGGGCTAGGACTTAGGGACGCTTTATTTAGTACTGTACTCCGTATTATACTTGACATTTCTGGAATGGCATGGCACAGCACAGGACAGGCAGACAGGACAGACAGCACCCGCGCAAGCCATGTATCCTCTTGTTTTTGTCAAACTCGGCACTTATCTACCTTAGCACGTCGGGTGCTGCTGCAGGGAGATATGTATATCCCTACGCGAGAGCACGGTACAAAGGAATACCTAAGGGAACGTGAGCTGGGTTTAGTCAGTACAGTAGTATCCGTGCGGTGCTGTGAGCGAGCGTGATGATGACTGGGCATTCTTAGCCTTGCCCTTGCCCTTTAACCAGAAGGTTATTCAGAATGCTTAGGGGCTGGTATGGGTGTGGAATGGGCGTGGTATACATAGGTATAGACACACCTATGTACATATATAGTTTGGGTCCCCCCTCCCCCCATACCCCTTTGATAGCGAACATGGAACATGGAACATTTCAATTTTCAACCTTTGACAGCGAACATGGAACAATTCAACCTTCAACCTTTGACAGATCGGAGTTCCCTTATTTTCCGTTTTGGAAGACGGCCCAGAAACGACTTATGATGAACATGTCCAGATGAACACTAGAAGAAAGCAAGCAAGCAAGAAAAGAAAAGAAAAGAAAATATGGGTCCTCGGGATAAGAAAGGGTAAGCAAGAAACGAAAACTATGGTCCCCCGGAATAAAAAAGGTAGGTAGGTAGGTAGGTAGGTAGGTAGGCAGGCAGGCAGGCAGGCAGGTAGGTAGGTAGGTAGGTAGGTGCTTCAAGTCGCAATTAGAAGATCAGTCCAGTCAAGTCAAATCAATTCAATCAGCACAACCGATCTGATCCTTGTTAAGTTTAATATTAATCAACTTAGCCATAATCATATCATCATCATCATCATCATCATCATCACTTCGAGACCGAAAATCTAACCATAACAATGACATGGTACTATTCAGAAATATCAAGTCGAGACCTAACTAACTAAGCCGAGCAATGATTGAATGACATGGCAGCAACAAGTTACAACAAGTCAAACATCAAGTCGAGACTCAACAATCATACCATGGCAGCAGCAACAACATCAATTCGACACCAATAACATAGATCAAACCCCGGAACCAAGCATTCATCAACTTCAAGTCGAATGACCATTTCATGCGATGACCAGTGCGACGCAAATCAAACCCCCCTCAAAAAGGGGGCGAAAAGAAACAAAACAAGACAAAACAAAACAAACAAACAAACCGGAATCAACCGTTTTTGCACGGGGAACAGAAACATCCAAAGATGAAATCAAAATCAAAACAATCAAATACCCTTAAATTGTCGATCCCCCGTCCATCTAGAACTCTTCATGTCATCAGTATCGAGGTTCCGGCCTGTGGCGGCTCTTTCGGCCTGTGGCTCGAGAGACTATGCGAGAACGCAACAATTGTCAGCCTCCGTTGCGGCAAAGTAATCTTGCAAAAGAGGCAGATTGCTTGGGGTTGGAACAAACTCACCAGGCGCATGGCCTTCATTCTCATCGTCGTCCTCCTCTGAACTCTTATCGTCGCGCTCGTCCATGTCTTCCTCACCACTATCATCACTCGCGGAGCTCTCGTCGCGACTGGGTCTCCGGCTGTACGTTGCGCCGTTGACGACGAGCGGGCCGGCAGAAGAGGTTGAACCGCTGCCAGTGCTGCCTCTGTTTCTGCTCGCCGGTTCAGCCGAGGGAACCAGTGGTGGTGCCGATGAAGACTGCGCCTTGCTACGGGTGTGATGGGGGGACCTGGTTGGTTTGTGTTTGCGTGGAGGCTGAGCCGGCATTGAGGCAGAGAGCTTCTTAACCTGAGTGGCTGCAACCGGTCGCTTTGACTCGTATCTTGTAGCCCCCGACGAGGCCAAGGCCACAGCATCATCCTTGACTTGCTTGACACAGATCTTGCGGTTGGCCAAGGTCGCCCCGTCCAGACCACGCACGGCATTGAGAGCTTCAGAGGATGTTTGGTAGCGTGCCCGTGCCGTGCCCTTGCACTTGCCTGGGTTGTGGCTGTCTGGATGTATTTCAAGGTAGAGGACTGCGCCGAATCGGCTCAAGAGGCCGCGAAGATGTGTCTCGGATTGAGAGGATGGCAACCCAGATACGGACACGGTGCTGCCGTCGTTGACCGGTCGGCAAAGCAGATCTGATGCAGCTGTCCTGGATTTCGGGTTGGTCCTTGTTCCAAACTGGCCTGGTTTGTTCGATGAGCTTGGAGATGGATAAGCAGGCATGGCCTGAGCAGGAGCAGATAGAGCTGGTGCGTGGTAAGGAAGGGGAGGTCGATGCGCCATGGCTGCCTGTCCCGTGCTCGGGTTTACCATCCTGTATTGCGGACTGCATGTGATCGAACAAGGTTGACCATTGGGACCGGTGTAATGAGACGTGCTTCAACCGTTAGCAAGGACAGTTTCACCAGGGTGGTGGGAAAAAGGGCCAATTGATCCCATACGTACTATGTTGGAACAGAATGTACCACACCTGGAGCTCCCACCAGAGATCCATTGGCAGGTCTTTCGGCGTCGAGACTGCCTTGACTTATCTTGGGACCTTGCAAAGTCCTCAAAACTCCGGGCTTCTCAAGGACGGCGAGCGAAACGCAAACGCATTGACCGTTCCATCCATGATTACAGAACTGCTCTGCTGTTCGTCAGTACTTGCGGACTGTTCGGCTTGTGCTTGATTCATATACCGTAGACTTGGTTGGCCGCACTTCTCCCTTTGATGGTGCAGTGACCCATCTGGCTTCCATCCAGAAGTTCAAAGACTTCGGCTTTCAAGCTATGCTCGCCACCATAGTTTCTGGTAATGTCCTTGAGTTCCTGCCATCGACAATGACGAGGAATCTATCCAGAAGTTAGAAATAGGCTCTCCTAAAGGGGCAGGTGCTGGACGTACGTCCTTGACAAGGATGATAAACTGATCATCATCCTGGGCCGAGTCATGAGCTCGATAACGATCGCGAGGCATTTTGAGCGGTTGGGATTGTCAACGTCAACGTCAGTTGTCTGTTGTCTTGATTCGGTCAACCACGTGTCCGGAAAGAGGCCAATGGATCTGACACTCCTGTTGACAGATTCCTTCGCCGCAATTATGTGGGAATAAAAGGTGGAGGTCGGCCTTTATAGCCTTGACCTGATGCATAGGGGGAGTCGTAGGCCAGCCCAACACCTTCTGGTCGCGGGGAAGCGGAAATCCCTTCAAGCCGCAGAGAGAGAAGTTGGCTGGAAAATCGTAGAGGCTGCTTCGCTATTGACAGGGATTCGGATCCAGGCCCAGGGGTCTCTCAAGCCACTTGATTGCGCCCAAGGATACTGCAGCTGCAAGATCAGGCCCAGATTGTGCATGCAAATCGCTAGCAGCGGCTTCCGCGGACCTGGGTGGTTTTCTTTAGAACAAACTCAAGGACTTGCGACCACTTTCTGGCTTTCAAATGGAAGCACATGTAGAGAGGTAGAGGACGATTATATAGCTTTGACCTACACGGTTCCCCTTGATCATGGTACACAAGATCTTTCAATCTCCTGTGCAGTACACATGCCATTTTCACGGGGTAGCGTCGCTTCATTGTCACAGGCGATGGTTTCGCCGATGAAGTGGAGAAATGGCAACGAAATGTTGAAATCAAGCCCAATGGAAAGCGCCCTCAGAAGATCAGCAGGATCAAGCCGCATAGGATCCATCAGGGAGAATCTGATATATCGCCTGCATAAGGACGGCCCTCTTGGTCGATGTGATCAGCAAGCATTGCAATGGCGAAGCTATACCGTTGAGGGAAGCTCCCAAAGACATGCCCACAGAAAGGATATGGCGTTGACCACTGCCAGTGAGCGTACCTAGTAGGATGGCCCTTGTTCAACGCTCCATCACCGAGGTGCAGGGTTCGTTGGGAGGCCCGATGTTGAGGTTAGGCGGGTGCCTATCACAAGCCGCAGGAATATGCACGATAGACGACCTTGGACCGATCTGTCCCTGAAGCCGGCCCATCTCACGGACGGCAAGGTTGACAGACTGTTTGAGCAACCCGCCCATTCTTAGGGCCTGGAAAAGCTCCGGTAGGGGCCGATCCAGTCGTTGAGGTCAGGCCAATACCGTCACTGTCACCAGCACCTGGCCATGGACTCATTTGGTTCATGTGTAGACAATGGCGGCAATAGGAGAATCAGACAGGCGGCGATCCGTCATGGACGAGTCGTGTTGCGGCTTCTCAGTACGAAAAAGGTGGGAGGGGGCTGGAGACTGTCCGGCATGGATGGCCATGATCGCAGCCATGGCCACAATCGTGGATTCGCTCTCAGCAATCCGAGATCTCGCCAGGGCGATGCCACGATAGACCCCGATTGACGGGATAAACATCAGTTCGGGCGGGCCCATGGAGCGGGTCCCAGCAGCTGGAGAGCCTCGTCCGATACGCATGCTGATGCGGGCACAAAATCGCTTTCGGAAGCTTCTGGATGGGATCACAAGGTTGAGCCACGGACACGTCGTGCTCCGGACCAGATGCGTTGGGGCAAGAAATTGATCAGTCGCGTGGGCATGGTGGTGGCTTGCTGACGGTGCCTACAAACATCAGAAAAAACCAGCTGAAGGAGCGCCTCCTCTTGTAGGCTAATGCCCCTGTCACAAGACAAGTTCGGTAGCAAACAACCCACAAGCGATATACCGTACGTGGACCAGTCTGGAGTCAGAACAATAGTGCTTAGTACTCCAGATCGGGCGGTCCTTGCAAGGAGGCCGCTGGCGGCAGGCGGAAGAGGTCGCGTGCTGCGAATCGTGGGAGTGCGAAGGGGGGAAGTCTCCATATTTGATGAAAGCGGCCCACCTATTTTGATACGTGGAGGGTCGTGGTTAGTACGAGTCCCCTGGACTCGACGAGCAGGCATCTTGAAGAGAGCCAGGATCGCCTGTTGGTGCCAATAGTCCATAGTCCTGCGATTGGGACACCCGGTGCCTTCCCCGGCGGCGACTGGCATGACACACGAATCCGAGATTGTGTAAGGGCCCGAAACTCGGTAAACGATGATGCTACCCAAGCGTGATCTGGTCTGCGATTTTGGCATGTCTGCTCAAGATGTGTGACCGGGAGGAATAGCATGGACAGAATGGGACGCGCGCAGGCTCTTTTGTCCTATAGGCGCGCCTGTCGACAGAGGTCCGTCCGAAGAATACCTAGGTCTTGTGCAACTGCTACACAGCAGCCTGACCCCCAAGCACATAGCACTAGTCACTGGATCTGTCTGCGCGGCGGTGTCGGAAAAGGAGGTTGGGTGTCATGGAGCGAGGCTCAACATCGTTGTCTCGTCTGTGTCCGAGTGAGGGGAGAACGGATCGAGGTCATTACTGAGATGCCACCTGGCTGGCAGGATGCAGCGGTGAAGAGGTAAATCGCGAATACTACTGGGCCGTGGTCGGGGACTTGCAACACGGAATGAATAGCATACCGCACTATGAATAGGCTAAGGAGTGCTTTGCATTCGAGGAAACTCGGAAATCTTGAAGCAGTGTCCTCTTTTCTTTGTAAAACGGACGACATGGAATGTATGACAGCCTCTTAATCCACTGTCCCAAAAGACAGGATACCTGATCCATTTCCACTCCGGCTGGAAGAAAAATGAAGACCGTATGCGAGTGACTGAGCCCTCCGTCCACGTCAAACTTGTCAAGCGGAGCAGATTGATCAGGTCCCCACGGCCTTCGGTAGCGTAGCAGGCTTTGAAAGTGGTCCGCATTGGAAGTTTGGTCCGGGCAGGCATATCCTTCTCGTAGCCATCGAGCTACGCTGGTGTACATGCGGCCTCACGGCTGTGTACCTCGCCTGCCATTAACAGATCCGCTTGTTCACTCTTTCTGAATCATGGCCAATAAAACCGTGTGCTGGCCTCTTGTAATATGCGTTGCGTGGTACCGACCAAAGTCCTTTGTACTGTGGCGACTCTTCCGAATTGCCCTTCTCTTGTTCCGGATCAGGTATTGGGTTCGCTGAGGGACTAAGTCGTGCTGGGCTGGATTTTGAACTGGACGATAGCCCCCTTCTACAAATTGCCAGTATACCAAGGACTCATTTGACGAAGCCGACGACATTGGCACATCTTGTGCAGTAGTAAGAGTTCATGCCGAACCTGACAGCACCACTTTGGTGCAGTGGGAGGGAAGTGTCTATAGTCAGGGACCGTTGACACCGGGAGCAGCGAACGATATCCAGAGATGATTTGGGGGAGGCCGAGGCGCTCGAGGAAAAAGTGCTGATGCTCTCCTGACTTTTGTTGGGTTTGGAGAGTTGCGGAATTCCGATAGGGCCTGCGCCGGTCGCAGCCAGAGTCTGGAGTTGAAGGATCGAGGGTGTGGAGGACATTGAAGCTGCGTATAGAGAATCGAGTTGGTTCTGTAGTGTGGTATTCAGGGTATGTGGGAGAAGGAGGAAGGAGAGAAGACTCCTGAAGCGGTTCCCTGGAAGAGGGGGTTGTATGTAAATAAAACTGGTCTCAGGAGGGCGTCACAATGCTCGAATCCGGAAGAAACAGGAATATAGGCGCGGTGGAAGGAACCAGTATAATCAGGTGTTGGTGTTCCCGTAACTGGGAAAGCGAGAAGGATCTATACTCTGTAGTAGTAGAAGCAGGTGAGATGGTAGGGGGCGAGCAGGAGTAATGACAGACATGGCATTCTTCTAACGGGCAGTGTCAGGATGGCGAAAGTCGATGACCAGCTGCATCTCCGATCTCCAATACATTCCAGAGTCGCAACTATTACGCGCAGCCCACTCACTACATTTCCCCCCAAGTCCCCACCGCTCTTCGTCTCCGGCTTCGTGAATGCCCAATGCGTCCTCGCCAGCTGTCCTCCTTTTGCAACTAGAGTCATCGGGAGGATAGCAGCGGGCTTGGGCCTCACTTCCTCTGAATTCCTATTGGAGTGCTCCGCAGGTCACCAGCGCTGGTGGCGTTGGTGCCTGTATGATGCCCAAATTCCACCGCCCCTCTCAACGGCGATCTCGATTGTACCATGGTATAGCCCAATTATCCGAGGTTGCGGCCACACGAGCAGGAAAGAACCTTCGCCTCCCTTCTTCCAACAACAGGACAGGCACTGGGTCACGCTCCATTTGCATCGACCTCCAACGCGTGTCTCCTGTTTGTTGTGACAGCAGATTCACCCAGCTCCTACTCTGACACGGTCCACCTGAGGGATGACCCTAGGCACCTGTCCGGTGCAGTTGGTCCATGCGGTCCATCTGCTGTTGGCTTGTTGCTTCTCAAACCGCCTCCTTCCGATCGCAGATCTTTTGTTCTAGACACGAGACGGTGGGACAGGTAGCCGAAGAAAAGGACCTGGTGGGCTTAGGGCTCTGTTGCTGGGAAGACGGCATTGGACATAGGATGGATTTGTGTGCATCGGGTGGTGTTATCTCCCCTCAAGTTCAATAATACAGAGTATTGTGTTCTTATACAGAGCCGCAACTTCCGCCGTCCTGATCTTTTCGGTCTTCGCTCCATGGGCGAATACATTTGATCAAAGGAACGGATCAAGTCCAAGGAAATGAACCTGGGAGATTGTAGGAGTGCGGAACTGTCATATGCTGTCACTCAGTCAGTCCACGGCCAGGCATTCTTATTCGGGACCCGTGGCACCCTCGACCACATAAGAAGCCTGAAACCCCAGGTTGAGAGGCACACGAAAAGCATACGTACAACACAAAGTACACGGTACTCCGTACATAGAACCAGTGGGCTGCTGGCGGGCTGCTCGCAAGGACAGCGGATCGGACCGGGTGAGAAGGGGGCCAGGACTGACTGAGTCGTGCAAGATCTTGAGGCCTGGTCCTTTTGGGTGCTTCGACCTGATTGTATCCTCATCGAATCAAGCCAACTTCCTCCATCTCTCGTCATTGTTATTGAATATTGCAATGATGATATACGGGCGAGGATGCGAGCCACTTAGGTGTCACCAGCAGCAGCAGCAGCACCACCGCCACTTAGGTGCGACTCCTCCGTACTTCGTCATCGCCTCGCGCACAGTCAGCCATAGTGCACCACGGTCACGTGGGGCCGTCATATCCGGCGCACGTTTCATGTTTCCATGATCGCCGGCTTCAAGTTTCTTCATCAGGACGATTCTGGAAACCCATCCACACCAAGACTATTAAAGTAAATTCTTCGAGGTTGCTTTTCCATCCTCACCCGCAACGCTCAACGCTCTCACTCCTTTTCTGTCCACGCTCCTTCAGCCTCACTTCAGAACAACTTCAACCACCATACACGGCTCGGCTCCTTATCGTAGCCTGCGCATCCACACGCCAACCCTGGAATCTCAGCTCGTACCTGAGGCACGTCATCAATCTCCGGGCCGACGATAGGGTACGAGTACAGGGTCCGCAGTTTCATTTTGTCCAGATACGACTTATTCCCGTGCCACAGCGCGCATTTCCAACCCTCTCTCCTACCCCACCATTCGTCTGCGGCGCACCACGACTTTGAAACCCCTCCGTCCTACAGCCTCAGCAAGCGACCGACGAACGGTTAAATCATTGTTCGAGATCAGCAATAGAGCTTCGAAGAGAAAACCCACAGCCTGCCCCCCAAATCCCCCGTCTCCCCCCGCCAAGCCGCAAAATGGGCAAGCAACCCAATCTCTACAGTTACCCCACCGTCGACAACCTCGCAGCTCAGCTACGCACCTACATTCTCGCCTGCCAGAAGGCCGCCTTGCTACGTCACGATGCCTTCAAAATCGCTGTGTCGGGAGGCAGCCTGCCTGCGACACTAACAAAGGCACTGCTTGTGCCTGCCGAGAACGAGGACCCAGCCACCGGCCCCCAATTCTCCAAATGGCACATTTTCTTCGCCGACGAGCGCGCTGTACCTTCCGACCATGAAGATAGTAATTACGGCCTGCTGAAGAAGGATCTCTTGGACAAAATCCCAGCAGAACTGGGCAAGCCCAATGTCTACCCAATCAACGAGAAATACTTGGACGACACACAAGAGCTAGCGGATCAGTATCAAGAAGTCCTCATGTCTAGTTTTGCCCAGAAGGACTCGGTCAGGCTTCCCGTCTTCGATTTGATCCTTCTCGGCTGTGGACCGGACGGGCATACTTGCAGTTTGTTCCCTGGACACGAACTTTTGCGTGAAGCCGACGCTTGGGTTGCGCCCATCGAGGACAGCCCCAAACCCCCGCCACGACGAATCACGCTGACTCTGCCTGTGGTGACGCATGCGCATAAGATCGCATTCGTGGCCACCGGTGGAGGCAAGAAGGATATTCTGAAGAAGATCCTCGAGGCGGACGATGAAGGTCGGAGTTTACCTTGTGGGCTGGTCAATGAGGCGGCGGGTGAGAAGGTCAGCTGGTTCACAGACCGCGCAGCTGTAGAGGGAGTTGCTTTCCCTAGGAGGGGAAGTCTGTGACGAGACATCTCGTCCAAAGGGAACCCCGGTCGAGAGAGATGCATGCCACGTTGGATGTGGCCAACCAAGTCCGCCGAAACGGAACGAGAGATGGATGGACTGCTTTCTTTCTCCTGGGCCGGGCTAGAAAGAAGGCCTGGAACCATATATATCTGCACGGCGCCGGGTGTCACGACTTTTGAGTAGTCAGGATCCCGATATGGTATCACGACGTATGTGTTCGGAGGTGGCGCGCTCCCCAGCACCAGCATCCCCAGAATCCCCATATTGTGGCCTCATACCCGTACCAGGGCTGTCTACCATTTTGCGGCACGGTACAGGGAGAGGGAGAGAGGGAGGGGGAGGATACCTACCGAATAGATTTTTCAACGATACCCCTTTTCCCAGCTGAAACTGCTGGTTTCCATCACAGTCTATTTGCCTATATTGCATTGTGTACTGTGTTCTGTGTACTGTGCACTGCCTCGTAGCTTGTATTTTGCCAAATTCGCCTTGTTATGATTCCCTGTCCCTGTCCCTGTCCCTGTCCCTTTGCTTTCTCGTCCGGGTATTCCCCCTTGTTCTGTTTGCACATGTTCTGGTCTTGCCTTACAGTATGTAACGATCGCGAGCCAGAGAGAGAGAGAGATTACCAGAGATATATATCTTATTATGGATCCAAGTATCTTTTTTATGTCTTCGAATAAGCCAGCACCCCGCCACCCATGGTGTCCTGTATCCTGTATCCTGTATTGGTGAGTCCCAGCCCAAACACCTTGCTTTAGAAAATATGAGAAACCCCATGGTTATACATTAGTATCATCCACCTAGTAGCATACAGCACCGACAACCGACTTTGGCATCAAGGTCGAGCGGGACAACTTCGTTGGACGTCCCTTATCCGGCAATGTCCTTTCTTTCCTTTCTTTCCAGGACTGAGAAAGTGGAATAGTCACAGCCGTCTGCACGTTTCGGATCCAGATATAAGCGTCCAAACCAGACGCTCCAGGCCCGAGCACCGGTGCATCATGCGGTTTAGGTGTCAACAAAGCACCATCGACCACAGCGCCGCGAGGCCGGCGAGAGCCACGGTGAATCTGGAGGAAGACGAGTTGTGACGGTGCTGGATATTCGACGCACCATTGGAATGACTTGTCGACCCGGTCTTGACATTGGTCGTCGAGACAAACTGTGTGCCACAGCCCGCGTCGATCTGATCGGCGGAAGGGAGATAGGTGTCGGAGAGAGGCTGGACACTGTTCTCCACGTAGCCGGCAAAGATGGTCATCGTGTGCTTGAGACACGGCGTGCAGCTGGGCTGTGCCGAGGATGGCATGTTCAGCCCGAGTGCGGTGTAGTAGATATACGAGTCCGCTGAGTTGGACGAGTTGGAGATGGCTTCGCTGAAGCAGTAGTTGCCCGTGTTGGCGTCGCGCAGGCACGTGGCGCGGTAGATGGGCTCGTAGGCGATTAGACCCGCATACGCCTGTGACACGAGCGGGTTCTGCCGTTTGTAGTCCTGCCCGCAGTTGGCCGCGTCGATCAGCTGCGCCGCGATGTTGGTCAGGAGAGGAGAACAGATTGCCAAAGGGGCATTGCACGCCGAATCCAGGGTTTGGCCGAGTAGGGTGGGAGACCGTTCCGCGCGGAAGAAGGAATTGGAGTTTTGCAGGAGAAGCGAAACGGGGACGCAGGACTGAAAGGTCGCGTTGTTGAGGAAGTCGGAGAAGAACTGCGGACATGCCGAGTCGGTGAAGTTGCTGCCTATAGATGTGTCGAAAGGCGATGGAAGCGGTGTCGTGACGACGGTTATCGAGGGCGAGATGGCGGTCGAGCTCGATGCGGCGGATGGCGATAGAGGTGTCGCGGTTTCCGTGCTGCTGTTCTCAGAAGTCATCGGTGGGTCGGCTGCGGAAGACGGTGATGATGTCGAGGTCGATTCCACCGCTGTCGTAGTAGGCACAACACTATCCCCCCCTACTTGCCGCTTCTGCCAGTACATGTCTCGCCGGACTGGTGGTTCTCGAGGATCGATGTGAATCTCGCCTCTTTCTGCCAGCTCGCGGAAAAGGGATGACTCCAACGCTGGAGCTTCCAAGTCCTGATCGTGAGCACTTGCCATGGACATCATCGAGACCGTTAGGATCATCAGTGAAGCCATAGTGGTGACTGGGTTCTTATGAGAACCATTTCTCTTCCACCGCCTTCCGGGTCGTGGTTTCTGTGGGATGGAGAGATACATGGCCGACAGGCAGAAGTGCCTGAAGGAGAATGGAATGATGGAGTTGAATAGGCGCCTGTGAGGTTGGCTCACAGCAGTGCGCCGAGGCTGATGTTACTGACTTCGATCAGTCGTAATTCACATGGCCAATGACCTTCTCGAGATCACTGTGTTTGCTGCGATGCCTGTGTTGTATCCGTATCCGTATCCGTATCCGTACTCTGCAGCCCGCACAGCATGCAGTGCCACAAGGGTCTTCTCACGGATTTTCTGTTGATCGTACTCGATCTAGACCGCAAGGGAAGATCCTGCACGTGTCGACAGGTCAACGTTGGTGTCGGTGATCTTGTTGATCTTGTTGATCCTGTCGATCTGCCGAGGGGGCCCAGGCGGATTTAGCCTTTGGCGATGAAGGTTTCAGAGTCCACCTGACATAAATGACACCATTCAGTCTGCTGGGAAGAATCAGTCCAAGTTTGTCGCACGCTGCTCAATAAATGAAGAACGAATGTTGTCGGAGAGAAGCTGAACGTCAAGAATGTCGAGGTGAAGAAACTCGGTAGTATTTGCCAGAATTGACAACCCCATGAGTTGATGGTTAGCTTAGCAACTACAATGCAATAGTGCTTGTTCTTTACCCCTGTCGCACACACCCAAAACGTCCGACTACTGAAGGCATCCCAGCGGCACCTTTGCCAGTCAGCGTTAGCAGGAGCCGACAAAGGAATGTGGGCGGTGCTTAGTTTTGGGCACATGCTCCACCAGACATGACTGGAATAAGAACCAAATTCCTGAGTCCGACCAACAACCTCGTGGATGCTTGGTCGCCTCCTGGTGGCGTTGCACTGGAAGCTGATGCTTTGCGAAGAACCTCGTGTTTGGGTCAAGCACTATCAACCAATCAATGGAGAGGAGTTTGATACGACGAACAGTGGCCGAGCGTTCGAATCAACATGTCATGACGTTAAGCTGTCAGAGACACATGTGCCAAATGAGCCGGGTGCAACGTGGCAATCCAGGGGCGGCGAGGTGCAAGGTACTCCGGACTCTGTCCCGGCGTCCTCCTGTATTCTCTCGCAAGAAGAATGCTCAACGGCATTGGGATGTCCGATGGGAATGCAAGGCCCACCAAAGACGTTGGCGCTAGGCTGGTGACTACCTGTAGTGGTGAGACTGCAGCAAATTGCCAGGCACTGACAATCTAGATCACGGTCTAGGCAGGCAGGCAGGGAGGCCAGAGTACGGAGGACTCGGTAGGGCTAGTGGTGAGGCAGCGAGCTGCTCTCGCCTAAGGGGGCAGAAGCATCGAATCAGACGGCGTGTCTTCTGGGAGAAATGGCCGATGGGAGGACTCAGGACTGACGGTGGTGGTGGAGGGTGCAGGAGGCGCAGGCAAGTCATCAAAGTCATCGAAGTCATCAAACTGGCGAGGCGCCTAACATTGCGATTTAACCGCATTAGGGTCGCCAAGGGTCAATAGTGCCGACTCTAAATCAAAGTCCGAGTCAGGGGGAGATACGACCGAGTACAGAGTAGATATGTACGGAGTACTCTGGACTCTGGACTCTGGACTCTGGACTCTGGACTCTGGACTCTAGCTCTAGCCTCGACACACCTTCGACTTCTATTTTCAGCTCCTCCTCATGTGGGCCATTGCACTGCCCTTCGACAGAGGCTCGAGTTGAAGGAGATTGGCGGAACGATTCCTTACATGTACAATCCGCTGGAGGTTGATAGGCAGACTGAAGTGATGCTCGCCTCTGCGGGTTTGAGAATCAATCTTCGTCATCTAAAGCACTCTTATCAGACAGAATCTCCTCCACATCGTACAGAGCATACGCTAAGCGAAAGAATGAAGGTGGTACTGTAGTGATTCTCATATATCGGAGCTTAGTATCTCTTGCTTTGAAAGGCCCATGATCGCATGTTCCAGTGCGACAGCTAGAAATGATGGACTATGGTAGAAGAAGGCTTCCACATGCTTGACCATCTTGCAAATTCTTCTCCAGCTGGCAAGAAGCCGCACCGAAACCCCTTACAGCAGAGTGTGGATCGACATCAACTGCTCATCAACTGCGCCTGACGTCTCCATCAATTGTCAATGGGCCCAGCAGATCGTCCACTTCTTGTTGTTGTTCACGGCGTCTCGCTTCCTTGTCTTGCAAGCATTTGTTGAATCCCATATGGGCCCAACCCCCCAGCCGACTGAAAAACACGCGCCCAGCGGGATGCTTTCGGATGCGGTCGAGAAGACTGGCAACTGCTTCGCGCACCCGGTGATCTTCATGCCAAAGCCCGAGTGCGACATAGAAGAGACCTGCCTCTGACATCGGGGCCAGCTCTAACAGTTCAAGGATGCTGCCGTAGTCAGTGCAGTATGCGTCAAGAGCAAGATAGATTGCACCTGCTTCAGTCGGCGTCAGGCGCAGAGTCCGGAGCTTGGACAGGGAATGGTACAGGTCCACGTAGGGTTTCGCCGGTGCTTGCGCAAGCATATTGCTCATGCTGACCGGCGAGATGGGCGACATCGCTTCCTGTGAATGGGCTGCCAGGTCGGAGATGAAGGCATAGTATGATCGAGTGTTTCTCCAGCCCTCAATCCTGGCCGCCGAAGCCGCAAGCTCACGTGTCTTCGCTTCCTCACTGGGCCAGACATAGCCATGTCCTTTCAAATTCTGGCTCGACGTCTTCATCGACATCGGCCGCGGGGGAGCCGTGATAGTCGAAGGCGTCTCAACCTTGTCCACCTCGGTCGGAGGAATCACCGTGAGATTGCTAGCCCCATACACTGTCTCTTCAAAGGCAGCAGCAATGCGGGTGAACTTTGTAATATAAGCTCGAAATCTCGCCCGGATTATGGACTCGCCATGGCGCGATGCGATGCTGCGAGTGATGTCCTGCATGAAGTGAATATCTCCCGTCGCATCAGCACTCCCAGAATCCTTTTGATTCAGTAGATGGCCATGCTGTTGAAAGTACGTGGTGCCCTCCGTCACTGGAGCAGCCTCGATGCAGGAAGAGATCTTCATTCTGCCCGACGGTAAATCACACAGTAAGTCCCACCATTCGGGATGGTAGGAGAAGGCAGGGTTGGTGACGCCTGCGATAAACCCGGGCACTTTGAGGAGTTCGTCGATCTTGGTCAAATCGGTATAAGGGAACGCATGTCGGGTGAATCCACGAAGCACGCCTCCAGAAGCCAAAGCGCATGCGGCCAGAACGGCTTCTGCAACTTCCCCCGATGGTCGGTTGTGACCAAGGAAGATGACCCTTTTTTGGGTAAGCATGGCGTTGATGAGCACAATGATTGGATGTGTGTACGCTCCGGAAGTTGTCAGATGAGGATGTAAAGCAAACGGTTGAGGCTGTGACATGTGCGGGTTGCCGAAGATCTGGACCAGTTTGACCAGAGAGAAATCGCCCACGGTCTCCGGGGAGAGAGCAGTAGGGATTTTGACCGGGATGGCGATCCCATTGTAAACGATCTTCGACTCGAACTCGTGTGTGTCACGGGGCACGGTGTATTTCGGCTCTGCCCTTGTGGGAGAGTCTGGTGCGGGCGGCAATTTGACCAAGGCCTCGTCGGCCAGTCGCTGAGCAATCATCTGCTCAAATTTCTCCACAAACAGATCTTTGGCATCGCTGGCCTGCAGTATATGCCGCTCCGGGAGTGAAAGGCGTGGCATCAACGACAGGTCCATGGCATTGAGGGCAATGTACAGGTTTTCTAACGTGTCCGGTGTTGGCGACTTAAAATAGTCTTCCAGCGCCAGAAGGAGTAGGGGCTTGTAGATATGCAGAAATGAATGCCTCGTACAGATTGCCATGGCCTTCACCACGGCTCCTCTTTTGACAGTGCTGTCTTGTTTGGTGTTGACCAGGTTCAACACATACATCAAAGGAGGGCTGTCCATGCCGCCTTCGTCGCTCTCGTCGCTGCTGGTGTCGTCTTCGAATTCCTGACTTTCCGCATTAGTTGCTCCGACTACTTCTCTGGCACGTCTCCTAGCCGCTCGGTGCTGGCTTCTAGCCTCTCTTTCTACCGCCTCCTCTTCACTTGTGCCGGCATCTTTATGGAGGAAAAACATGGTCCAGTCCTGTTGCCGAACATGAGTTTGATCGGGAAGCATCAACTCCGCCAACATGTTCTCGTCTGGACTGATAGCGCCAGGATACTGATGTTCCATGATCGGGCCTCGATCGATGTCAAACGAGGCGACGAGGATATACTCGACATGAGGCTCAGTCGAGTGTGTGGGGTATTGCGACTTGAGCCGCCTTGTAGGACGGTACACCACATCTTGTCGGACAGTAGAGACCCGCCGCGAGGAGCGGGAAGAGCCTCTGGGAGAGGGAGGCACTCCAGAGCTCTGCGAAGAGACTTTGTAGTGCGATGGCGCATGCGAAAAAGAGGACTGGTGGGACCCGGATGCGGAGGATATCGATCGCGGTCGGTCGAAGTGGCCATACCCTGTATGAGGGTGATGGGTGATCGTCTCTGCCATTGGCCTCCCGCGCACGAGATAGTCTCACTCGTGAGGAACGGGGCTTTGCCAAAGAGAAGCCGCTATCACCGAACACGGTCGGGTCTAGGGTTGCAGGAGATGGCAAGTTGTTTATATCAGGCCATGCTGCGCTGCACGACTCTTTAGGATGACGAAAAAAGGTCGAGGTCGTCGAAGGGTAGGACGTCGCGAATTGTTCCGAGACTCGCGACGTTGCGGTCTCTGACTGACATGGCCGACTGATGGCCCATCAATATGGAAACATCCCAGTGACTGCCTGCGTCCTGGACGGGTCTTTTTTTTGGACACGAACTTGAGTCGGAGGCTTCAACCCTTGCAAGCGAAGCCCCTGAGACATGGCAGGAAGACGACCCCGCAGATAAATCTACATGCGCCGTAGTATTGGAGGTGGCGCCTATTCTGGACTAGCAACACGCTAGGCCTTTTGCATCGCCAGACCTTCCATCTGTGGCCACAGGTCGTTACTAATAATTACTGGTGATATTGCTACGGAGTACAGAGGACGTACGTGCAAGACGGTGCCCTGCCAACCACGGGTTTGTTTACCTGCAGTGTGATCCCTGTTGAAGGCTCGTGGCAGGCCCAACCATGGCTGGTTCATTCACATCTTCCAGCAGCAGCCTAGGAACATGACTGCAGTCCGTCGCCACTAATAGTAGAGTAGGTGAACAAGCCCAACTTCATCGCCCGAATGTTCTGCTCTGTACTCCGTACACGAAGTCGACCTGCATTGAAGAACAACTCTCCATCAGCACCACCGACAGCTACCTAGTACTCACACCACTACCTGAAATTACGGGTGCAGATCCACCTTCGGTGATCAAGTAGAGACAACAATGGTGAGTTTGGACAGTTGACGTCCACGACAGCTGGGTCTGTGTGTACCAATATATCCCTCGCTCATCTCTCATCCCAGGCTTCATACAAATCAACGTTCAACAACTCCCCACGCTCATCTCCTTTCCGTCGTCCTGCCTCACCAGGGTCCCCTACCGTTACCAGCGCCAGACCTGCAACCCCTCCAACGAACAGAAGCGGTGCGTCTCCGATGAATTCGCCCTCAAAGCTCAAGCATGCCTATACGGTCTCCGAGGAAGAGGAGGAAGACCTCGTGCTGGTATCGACGCCATCCAAGAGCACTTCCGAGCCGTCCTTTAAGAGGGCACAAACAGAACCACCTCCCTCGCCGACGTCTCGTCGCCTGCCTTCTCCTTCCAAATATGACAGCAGCTCTTTCTCAAGATCCGGCATGACAAGAGAGCCAAGAAGGCTCGTATCCAACGATGGCTTGTCCCAAAGTGACAACCTATCCAAACTGCCGCCTCCACTCCTCCATAACATGCGTGAAGCCTTCTCGGTACTCGACGCCAACTCCACGGGTGCAATCGATGCCGAGTCAGTGGCAGAGACACTCCAATCCCTGGGTCTCCACGAGAGCAACCTGTCTCAGTTCTTTCCCCCAGGCCAGCCCCCGCAACTCTCTCTCCCACAATACCTCAGCCAGCTGGCCAATTTACTGGTCGGTCTATCACCGCAGCAAGAGCTACTGAACGCCTTTTCCGCTTTCGATGATGACGACAGCGGCCAGATAGATGTGGTAGAGTTACGTACCGCACTGCTCGGCACAGCTCCGGACCCGGGCGAGCGGCCCTTGACGCAGAAGGACATTGACAGGGCTATGGAAGGGTTCACCGGTAGAAGGATCCTGGGCAAGAATGTAATCGGCATAGCAGGCGTGCGAGGTCTAAACAGCCCGGCTCCTAAGAGGGGTGGCGATATCTTTCGATATCATGAGTTCGTGGCCAACTTGACAGGCGGGCCTGCAACAGAGTCCGCACAGACCCAAGGCGTTCCTGCACGATGATGGTTTGCTAATGGTGATGAATGATTGGGAATTTTCTGTGCCATTCAATTGATATTCGTCGTGATGCAGTCTTCTTCATATAAGGCATCTTGGCCTATGAAATCTTTGAGCTACGGTCAGCAGTAGCTCCTGCGAACACTCAGCGAAAGGGCTGAAATATGTACAATGCCGGTTCATTTGCATGCAGGATGATTCTGGAAAGGAGGCCGTCCTCCAGTTGTCCCGTCTACTGCCGACGTGGAACCGACCGCTGCCCAAGCTGTCTCAGTTAGCGTCCTAGGAGATATTTCTTGTGTTTCACGGCTCTGCTCTTAAAGATCAAATCCTAGCGAGTCCCTTCTATCGTCCGTCAGGCGGGCCCACTCGAGTAACAGGCGGAAGAAATACAACTCCATGTCCTCTTTGCGGAGGACTTTGCCCGCCCAGTCTCTTCCGGCTTCGGCAATGATTTCAGCTTCTTTGATATGCGGTCTCCACCAGATATCCTGGCCAAACATGGTCCCGTTGATGCCGGCAAAATAAGCAAGTGTGCTCCACACGCCGTGCAGCCTGGTATCTTGGGGCACGAAATGCAGCCACGCTGTGAGGCGGGAGTCGTACCATTCCCGGAAAAGGGCGGTTTTGAACGGGAGAGAGCGGGACTGGAGGAACGGCAGGAAACGGCCCGAGAAACCTGCCCCGTCAAGGTCGAAAAGAAACCTGTAACGCCAGTGAGCTTGGAAATCAGACGGCCGTACCAGGTCGAACTCGGCTTCTTGATCATGACAGTCGTGCAGTCCAACACCCCCACAGCGGGCGATGCGATCGACAATTGCAATGTCAGTCTTTAGGCCTAGCTCCTTGACGGCCGGCCCCGGCAGGACTTGGTACTTGTACTTTGCGTGGTCGGATGGATTGGGCAGGAGGATGGCAAAACGGTCGTGAGGTGAGGTGGTGAGGTTGTTCGCCATATGGACAAGACGTTGACGAGTCATGCCACGCCAGACACGGTTCCCTGAAGAAACACCTTCTGAAGTGGCTCCTCGCCAAAACAGGACGTTTTCTTTCTGCTCGAAGGGAGGGTCTGGAAAGCCAGGACGGTAATCAGCTTGCCCAGGAGTTCCACTCTCTTCAGTGGGGGCATAGGCCACTTTGTCCATGTAGTTCCAGGCGGAGGGATAGAGGATGTCGTTGTAGCCATGGGGCTTAGACTGCGAAAAGACTGGCATTAACTGATAGGACGTTTTGAATGCCGCAGGAGACATGTAGAATCCATGAAGAGAGGCCATGTCAGGCTGGTGGCATATGTCTGCTGCCTCAGACCAGTTGGCCACAAATTGACCAAGGGAGTGGGGCGACACACAGGAGCCACAGATGTGCGCCTGAGATGAAATATGCGGATAACGTCTGGCCGGGGAGGAGGGATTGCATCCCACTGAGCCGTACTTGCGAAAGGTATTGCGGAAAGACATGTCGCGAAAGACCGTTTCAGTAAATTCATGCTCCGGAATTGGGAGCCAGCCTGCAGCGCGATCATTCGACCAACTTGAGCCACCGCTTTTAGCTTCCGATCCACCCTTCTCTCGCAAGAATTTGATGTCGGTATACGGTACAGCAACTCTTGACTCATCGTTCAAATTGAAGGCTAGATCCATGTCGGGAAGATGTCGCGCAAAGCTGTTGATCAGGACCGCAACGCCCTCGAGCATCCATCGATGTGTAGGAATGACATTTTCCTGAACCGACGCTTTTCCGTTCCGAATGGTGATGCCTGATATCTCGTTCCAAGGGTTCGAGACCATTTCCCAAGTCTGCCTTCTCAAATCAGCGGGTGGTATTGCTCGAAATGGCAACAGATCTTCATAGATCTGGTCAAACTCGTCCACAATAAGCGCAGACCTATTCTTTGCATAGTCAAACCACACATCAAACCCCGGGGGAGGGTTACAGTTATATTTCTCTTTGTACCGGGCAACTGTGTCGGCAAGTGAGGTGGTATTGCCCAAAGTCATCAGATATTTGTCGTGGTGGATTTTTGCGTCGTAAATCAGCATGTCGATTGGGTGGAAGTGAACGTAGCCTTTCTTCGACCAAGCCGGGAATAGGAGAATACACAGGAAGATGAATAAGAGTGCCTGGTGTGAGGATCTCATTATATACGTTGCGCCCAGTGCTTGTTGAATACGATGGTAACTCCAGCGCCCGAAAAAGACGAGGAAAACGGACAACGTTGTTGTAGATGCTGGTGCCGGCGGAAACGGGGTTTTATGTGCCCAAATGAACTCGAGGGCCGGGATCATAGTGATTAGTGCTGTCAGGTGAATCGACATGTCCAGTGCGCCGTAAACCATGATCTGATCGAGTCAGTACTTCGTCAGCAACGATACAACGGCCAAACTTACACAATGTAGACTTGAAATGCACAACAAGCAGAACAGTAAAACATGCCCCACAATAGCCATGAAGGACCCCAGTTCCAAGGGTGGCTCGAGGAGGGAGAGCCAAGCTCGGTAGTCTGGCTTGCAAATATAGACGACCAGAGCCACGACAGACCATGCAACGGCTGTGGCAATCATAACAGAGCTCCAGAGCACCACGCATCTCCGGCCCGATAGACCTCTACCAGCTGTCTTCGGTGAGGTCTCGTAGACTATAATGGCAAGGCACAAGTCCAAGAGGAGAGCTAGGAATTGCAACGCCGGAATAGTCCTATGTTCACCGGTCGTAAGAGGGCAGATGTACGTGGAAGCCAAAGGAGCCCAGAGGCTTTGAATCTGATAACAGCCGTAGGAAACCAGAAATATCGACAGCAGATACCTGCTGCGTGGCCGAAGAATAAAGGTACGCAAGTTTCCGCGCAAAAAATCGTAGATACTGCTGTCGGGGGTTTCTTCTTCCCTAAGAGCCTGTGGTCGCTGCGATCGGAGAGCATCATACGCTGTCAGCAGAAACGGCAGGAATACCTCCACACTGTCAATGGTGCATTCTGTTGCCTTTGTTATGCGTCGGTAGATCTCAATGCGTAGGGACAGCGCAGCAACTGCTACTACCAGCACAGAGACGCGGACCTTTGCACTGTGTCGAGGGCGCGTTGTAGAGGTGTGTGCAGGATCTGCTTTTCCATTCGCAAGTCCAAGATCGTCCAAAGGCAGAGCGGTATAGTCTGTAGACGTGGATTCTGGAGGATGAAGCAGTCTCGGTATAACCCTGCTTATGCTCGGTAAAGCAAAGGAGCATGCAGTCAACGCCAGGACGATGGTATGGACAGGCCGATCTACTTCCATCAGCATCTTCAGAGACATGTAGGTACTCGTAGGTACTCTACTCACCGTAAGCGGTCGAGATTGGAAACAAGTGCGCAAGACATCCTGCAGCCAGCAAGGATAGACTAAGAACGTCAGTGCTGCATACTGATCGTGAGCTCCGAGACAGACTCACAAGTAACACAGAGTTTCCAGCCCGGCCATGATGCCAGCCTTTCCCTACTTGTGCGACCGAGGGTCCTGTCTAGTCTTCTCTGGCTCAGGAGCGGTGACCGCAGACAGGCATTGAAGGTGGTGTGAGTAGTTTCCTTCGATCTGGAGGCATCACGAAGCACCGAAGCGGGCGCACTGGTGAGGTACGCAGCTAGGTGAGGGCGTAGAGGCGATTACCGTGGCCGGGTACACGAATGTCGACGCCGTGAAAGCACGGGGAACTCTACACCAGAGGTGACGCAGACCATGCGGGAGGCTGAGGCTGTGGCTGCACTCCAGTCTCTAGTGCCTCCACCCAATTCTTTCCATCCAGCAGAGGAAACTGCGCCGAACATTTTTTTTGGAGAGACTCACTTTTTCTTGCAACTCTGCCCGTCGCTCTTCCACACCCGAGTCTTTCATTGCTGCTGATCCAGAAAGCGGAGGGTGGCCGGGGTGTTCAGATATGCCTCGAAAAGCGATTGACTCGCGCATTCCCGCGCTGATACGCAATGGCATCCAAGAGAAGAAGCGCAGTTTCTTCGTCGTGGTCGGCGACAGAGCCAAAGATGTCATTGTACATCTTCACTACATCATGTCCTCCGTCGACATCAAGCAGAACAAGTCCGTGCTGTGGGCTTACAAAAAAGACCTTCTAGGCTTCACCAGCCACCGAAAGAAGCGCGAAACCAAGATTAAAAAGGAGATCAAACGTGGCATTCGAGATGCAAACACCGAAGATCCCTTTGAACTCTTCATTACCCTACACAACATCCGCTATGTCTATTACAAGGAGACGGAAAAGATCCTTGGTAACACATACGGCATGTGTATCCTGCAAGACTTCGAGGCAATAACCCCCAATCTTCTTGCTAGGACGATTGAGACGGTCGAAGGCGGGGGTCTGGTTATCCTACTTCTCAAAGGCATGAAAAGCTTGAAGCAGCTGTACACCATGTCTATGGATGTACATTCGCGGTACCGGACAGAGGCCCATGATGATGTCGTGGCTAGGTTCAACGAACGGTTCATCCTGTCGCTCGGAAGTTGTGAGTCGTGTCTGGTGGTGGATGATGAACTGAATGTTCTACCTATCTCCGGAGGGAAGAATGTTCAGGCTTTACCACCACCGTCCACGGAAGCCGAAAGCACGTTGCCCACTAAGAAAGAGCTGAAAGAGATCAAGGACAGCCTAGCAGACAGCCAACCCGTTGGCTCTCTTATAACTCTGGCAAAGACAGTGGACCAAGCCAAGGCACTGCTCACCTTCGTCGATGCCATCTCTGAAAAGACGCTGCGGAGTACAGTCACGCTAACGGCTGCCCGTGGACGAGGAAAGTCAGCTGCACTGGGTGTTGCTGTGGCCGCGGCGATAGCGCACGGCTATAGCAATATCTTCGTTACATCGCCTAGCCCTGAAAATCTGAAGACTTTCTTCGAGTTTGTCATCAAAGGCTTTGATGCCCTCGAATACATGGATCACGTCGATTATACAATTCTACAATCGACCAACCCGGACTATAACAAGGCCGTTGTACGCATTAATATCCACAGACAACATCGGCAGACCATACAGTACATCCAACCTCAAGATGCACATGTCCTGGGTCAGGCGGAACTAGTCGTGATAGATGAGGCAGCAGCAATTCCTTTACCGCTGGTTCGAAAATTGCTGGGTCCTTATCTGGTCTTCATGGCTTCAACTATCAACGGTTATGAAGGAACCGGGCGTTCCCTATCCCTGAAACTCATTCAACAACTACGCGAACGGTCAAGAGGTGGGGCGAACACCAATAGAGACGGACTCGAGGTTGCCGACAAAGCCACTGGCAACCCAGCCAAAGATGATCCAAAAGTCTACACTGGAGGCCGATCATTAAGAGAGATCACTCTTTCCGAGCCTATTCGATATGCGCCTGGAGACGCAGTGGAGAAGTGGCTCAATCGACTGTTGTGCCTAGATGCAACGTTGCCAAAATCCAAGATGAACACCCAGGGCACGCCTCATCCCTCGACATGTGAACTAGTCCACGTCAACCGCGACACCCTCTTTTCATTCCACCCCGTCTCGGAAAAGTTCCTACAGCAAATGATGGCACTCTACGTGGCGTCCCACTACAAAAACTCACCCAATGATCTTCAACTGATGTCAGATGCTCCTGCCCATCAGCTTTTCGTGCTTATTCCTCCCATTCCGGAAGATGCGAACAGACTGCCTGAACCATTGTGCGTCATTCAGGTCGCGCTGGAAGGAAGGATCAGCAAGAAGTCCGTTTTGAACAGTCTTTCCCGCGGTCAAAGAGCAGGGGGTGACCTCATTCCATGGCTAGTCAGTCAACAATTTCAAGATTCCGAGTTTGCTGGATTATCTGGAAGCCGTGTCGTGAGAATTGCCACCAACCCCGAATATCTAAATATGGGTTATGGGTCCAGAGCACTCCAGCTCCTAGCCGACTTCTATGAGGGCAAGATTACTTCGTTATCAGAGACTGAGGAAGCTACCATTGAAGACGTCGAACATATGCCTCGGATTACGGACGCTGAGCTGGAGGAATCAACTCTCCTGGATGACAACATCAAAGTGCGGGATATCCAGCAGATGCCACCTCTATTCAGTAAACTTTCTGAACGTCGACCAGATCGCCTAGACTACCTAGGAGTATCTTTTGGTCTGACGCAGCCACTCCACAAATTCTGGAAGAGAGCTTCTTTCGCGCCAGTTTATCTTCGTCAAACAGCAAACGAATTGACAGGCGAACACTCTTGCGTTATGCTCCGACCTCTATCATCCAGCACAACCACTGATAGCTCCTGGCTCGGCGCTTATGCGCAAGACTTCCACAAACGATTCCTTACTCTTCTGTCCTACCAATTTCGTACATTCGCCTCTGTCCAGGCCCTCTCCATATCTGAATCCGCCTCACGAGCCACTTCCTCTTATGCCGAGGCCACATCCGGCGTGCTCCCACTCACGAAATCTGATCTGGACTCTCTATTCTCCCCCTTTGACCTTGCCCGACTGGAATCCTATGCAAACAACATGCTCGATTACCATGTGATCCTGGACCTGATGCCTTCGATCGCGTATCTCTTCTTCACGGGCCGTCTAAAGCTGCCGCCTTGCAACGTCAGCCTCTCCGGTGTGCAGCAAAGTATTCTTCTCGCCATTGGTCTGCAACGCAAAGACTTGTCTGACGTGGAAAGAGAGTTGAACCTACCTAGCAATCAGCTGCTGGCCATGTTTGTCAAGGTGGTGAGGAAGGTCAGTACGGCTTTCCGCGCTGTCATTTCTGGTGCCGTGGAGGCAAATCTGCTGGATAAGAAAGACGCCGAACCCAACGGTGCCGCCGAGCCAAGAGTCGGCAGCCGCGTTGTTCAAGTTCCACCGACCGACGTGGATCTGAGCGCCAACGAGGATGAAAATGGCGAGGAGGTTGACCCGGTGCTAAAAGAGAAGCAGAGAGCGCTCATTGATGCGCTGCCTCTTGACAAGTAAGCCATCTTTGTTCGCTCGACCATATTTTCCCTCCACTTTACCTTCCGTAAACAACGCTTTTATACTCCCCAATTGTCCCACTGAGATTTCGGGCCATCTTGTGAATCGGCTGAACTAATAAAAGTCTGTCTTTAGGTACGAAATAACGTCCACCACCGTGGATGACGAAGCATGGGAAGCAGCGGAGCGTCAAGTCCAGGAGGCCGTGTTGAAATCTGGAAAGAGTACAACCGTCAGCGTGAAGAGCCAGAAGAAGCGGAAAGCCGAGGAGGTCAATGGATACGAGGCCGACAATCGCAATGAGGTGGACGGAGAAACGCATAGGAAGAAGGGGAAGAAAGACAAGGAAAAGGACAAGGGCGAGCATAAAAAGAAGCACAAGGACAAGGACAGACAGAAAAGTCGGCATGCATAGAGAGGTGGAGGTGGACAAGGCAAAAAGCACCTCGAATCAATCCTGAATCCATGACTGTTGAAAAACAATCCCGATCCGGATCCTGTTAGACTGCCTCCCTTTACAGAATGCACTATTCGTACGGACTCGGGCTTTCGATGTCTTTGGGCTGGCTGTTGAGCCAAACAAACTGACACGAAGCAAGGACACCAAGTGCTGATGAGACAGGAATACAATAATTGGAAAATCTCATTCGTCAAGCTGAATATGGAAATGGAAAGCATCGGTATCTAGATACGCCCCAAGGCTCTGTAGCCTTGTCCGTTGTTCCTGTGAGACCAGGACTGAAACCGAGACTGCGTGTGTGCTGGCGCCAGAAACGAGGTCCAGATCCAGGTCCAGATCCAGTGGGCTCGACCGGCATTCGATACTCTGTACAGAACGCGGTGAAGATCAAGCACAGACTTTTCGCCTTTCCCTCCTTCCTGTTGGTCGCATCACAGCCTCATTGACTTCCTCTGTGGCGTTTCACCCTCCGTTCCGTTAAGATGTTGTTCTCATCTCCACTTGAGATGTGGTGTCATATTGGATTCCTTGTTTCACATTCACGATGCATTCTCCCTCTCCCTTGGATCCCGTACCCGCCGGTACTGGCATGTACTTGATTGGGCCTAGTACTGGCTGGCCCCTAAGTACGGGACACATTTGATCTTCTGCTGTGGTCGTAATATATTGACTTTTCGAGCCCCAGGATATTCGAGGATAATGGTTATAACCAACCGTGAGTGTTCATGACACAACCCTAGTCTGAAGGCTGATACTCCGTATCATAATCCTCATCCTTGGCATGGTTTCTCTTTGTCTTATGTCGCTTTGCTCTTTCTGCGGAGCTTGCGCCAGATCGTGTGGTGGTCATGGACTGTGACAATGGCGACGGCCCAACCATGCTGGTGACTCTGTGCTTTGCTTTGCTTTTCGACCTTCCCTTCTTTTCGACGCTGCTCTTATCCACTGTCCAATGTGTACTATTGCGTTTGAGGCGGAGGACGTTCTTGAGATGTTTGTTGACAAGCGAATTTGACTGAGAAGTCGCGGTGGACTGCGCATTTACGTCTGAAAGTGGCGTAGTTTGGTCATCATTACCGCTGTCACCGTCATTGTCCTCGGTTGTTAGTTGTTCATGCTGCCCCATATGCTCCATCTCACCGTCGCCATGGTAGAACCACTCCTGTCCTTGTACTTGACTGCCATCTCTCTGATCCCAGAAACCGTGTATGATACTGGTCCGCTCCGGGTCTTCAGGATGTGTGAGCACTTCGTACGTACCAAAGCGAGGTTCTGGCCGCCAGTCTGCCATCAATTCAGGTTGAGGTCTGCTTCGCTCACGAACGTATGTGTCAAGAACCTCGTCCATGGATTTTCGCTGCGCGAAAGTTGACTGACGCGTGTATCGATATTTGAAACCCTTGTGTGAAAAGACTGTGTCGCTGGACAGTTCAGCTGGATTGAAAGTTAATGGCAGAGGAAGCTTGACGATGAGCGAGCGACGGTCGGGTTCCATTGTGGGAATCGTCCTTGATGAGAGCATTATATCGTCCGCCTGAAGCGGCTGTTGAACTGCCTGTGGGCAATCACCATTAGTAGTCAGGGCGCCAGATGGTGCGGATGTCGAAGCATCTTGCTCTGGAATTTGCCATCCTTGTTCGAAACCCCCATTTATCTCTCTAGTCAAGGCATTTCGATCTTCGATGGGTACTCCGGCGTCGCCGAGGGCCTCTCGCAGCTGTCGCCAGCTAGTGGTTGTGGCTGGCGCCATCCCAGCCCTAGTGAGCATGTCGTTAACTTTTGGAAGGATCTGGAATCGAATATACTGGGCTTTCTTGCTGTCAGGTTGTTCAACGGAGTTTTGGACTCTCCTTGCCCGAGCTTCCAGCTTGTTTTCCCCTGTAGTGGCGCCAGTATTCTTACCTGCAACATCACATTCACCGCTAACGGCTGTTAAAGATGGGCTGTCCACCTGCTGGTCTTGGTGTGTTTTCTGCTTTTTCATGGGTGACAGCTCACCCTCAACAGCAGTCAAATCTTCAGCAGACAGTGCATGTTTGAGGGCATTGTTTCCGGTGGACAATGAGCCTGTGACAATGTGTGCTTGGGTCTCCGATGATAGGGGAGAATTCTCTCCTGTGACATGCGCATCATCCCATGCGACATGAGCGTGCGTCTCCCTTTTCTGTGCTCGATAAAGCTCAGCTTCCAACAGAGGCAGCAGAAGTTGAAGTATTTTCTTTTTCTGAAAGATCTTGCTTTCAAGGACTTGGGCTTTCTCACAATCTTTTCTGTCTGCATTAAAATCAGCAGCTTGTCCATTGCTTTCCGACAGAGAACACGTTTCTCTTGCATGGAGCAACAAGGCACCCATATTGTGTTTGGTTCGATCAAGAATGCTCCTTGGACCATCTGGAAGTACATCCGCAATGTTGCTAATATCCGTGAGCCCACCGGCCTCCAAGCAAGTAATCAAGTTTGCAGGGTCTGTCTCGTTGAGGACGGCGTCGGCTAATTTGATGATCGATGCTAATGAGCCCACATCTGTTGGAGGATCCAGGTTCATGACGGGAGGTGTTTCGACCGGGCAATGGGAACTCTCTCCAGTGTCGGCCTGGGCATCGGGGGGAGTTGATGACCGCGATGAGGAGGCTTTGTCATTCACCTCCAGAGCGAGCGCCATGAACAAGTTATACCGCTCTTTTTCTTCATCGATTCGTCTTTGAGTATTCTCCCTTTGTCGGGCCTGTGAAAAGCCTGCGTAGAGCTGTTCAAGGTGTGAAATGCTTTGCCGCGACATTTGCACCTCGTAAAGGGAATAGAGCAGCAGGTTCCGGCCCCATGGGTTCAGCTTTGTCGTCTTGATGGTCTTCCACCAATCACTCCGGGAGATGGTTCCTCCTAGGCGTTGAAGAACATCTTCCAGAAGCTGTTGACCCTCCTTTAGGTCGCCCGACGTGGCTCTTTGACGAATGCGCTCTTCAGAGACACAGGCCTCCTGTAATTCGCCTGCAGTGATTGCCCAATAAGATCCATCCCTGTGACTTCGCGATATGAAGATGGGTGCTCTGGACGGACTCTTTTGACGCGATTTCCCTACAGGCCCTGGAGGACGTCCAGGGCCATGTTCCTTCTTCGTCTTACTGCTGACAACAGTTGTTCTGGTCTGCTGTGCTGACTTTGGCCCCTTCCCAGTCGGCTCGCTAGGACCAGGATCATATCCGACGCGTAATGCTTCATACCAAACGTTCGTCAATGTCTCAAAAGCACGGTCGAGCACTTCCTTTCGTCGTTGACTGTCCTCAATTCTTGAGCCCAGGTCGGCCCAGTCCTTCACGTGTTCCATAATCTGGGCGTTGAAGGGTAGCTTCCGATCGGGAAGAAGACATGCACGATCAAATCGTGCTCGATGCCGGGAGCGGTAATTTGGGGGCAAGGCAGGTGGAAAGCCATACGACACAGGAGTTGCAGCCTTCCCTGTACCGTTTTGCTTCCCCCACTCGGGTATTTCATATTTTCCAGACTCGAGACCCTCTCTAAACGCGGTGCAGATGGCACTTTGGGTTGTTCCCGACCTCTTCTCAGCGGCCAGACCCTGGGTGTTTGAGTGCTTGTGCTTGGAGTTGTAAGCTCCGTCTTCTTGCCTATTAGCAACTGGGACTGATTGCTGGATGGTTGGGTCGGTGGCAGTGCCACTTGGATCAGCATGGGCTGATTTGGGCGATGATTGGACAGGGTATTCTTGTTTTTTCGTCGTCTGTTGTCCTTTGAGTTGGTCTTTGTCCCGGGATTCCATTTGTATCCCTGTGGTCGACTGGACATCGGAGCCTTGTTCACTGTGGCCTTCTGTTTGGGTCACGCCCATGGAGCCGATCTCTGAGGGCGATAATGGGACAGCCGATCTATCCAGATTTCCACCATCCTGCAACCGATCACAGTCCATGACGGTTCATATCAGAAGGAAAGCTATTCTCACGTCATGTCAGACCCAGTGCATAGAAAGCACACAAGTTTCTTCTCCCTGCAAAATCCGTCAGATCGAGAATCAAGAAAGTTGGAGCTGCAGATCCAGGTTTGGCAGCACCTTACTGAAAACGGACCAACGCGTCTGCAGATATAGGTCAGTAGTATTCGCCTGAGTAGCTCAGAAGTTTCTTTATAAATACTGCAGGCAGTCAACGTAGACCGCAGATCGATAGCCAGATAGTAAAAGAAAAGAAGACAAGGGACGTAGAAATGACGGGTGGGTGAGGTGAAGCGTATAGTATCAAGAAGTGTTTTGTACTGGCGGAGTTTTATATCCGTCCTACATGTGTCACCGACAAGATCGGCTGATCAGATGTCGTGACCATTTCTCGCGTGAAGCAGTGAAGGCCAACCCCTTTCATTTGAAGCAAGAAGCTTCAGTGTTCATCATAGCTCATCATGGTCTACCTCGGGAGTTTCCACGGGCTCTGGTTCGGCAGCGTGGTCAACAGCTTCGGCCGACGAGGTTTCATCGTGTTCTACCTGCGGAGTCTCCACGGGTTCTGGTTCGGCAACGCTGTCAACTCCTTCAGCGGGGTCTGGCTCTGGAGCGTCTCGTGTCCCTGCTCCGAAACCTGGCGGGATTTTTGACTTAGACCCTTCTCCGAGTTTGATGGCATCGATGAAGTCTTCTAGATCCCGCACATCGTAGGCTTCATGTGAATACTGTCTCCACCAGCCTCTCTTCATGTTTATTGCAATGATCTCCAGCCTTTCCTGTGGATCAAGGCCGAGATCTTGTCTAATCCCACTCGAGTTCTGCACCTCGCCCGGAACAGCATAGATGGGTATGATGCTGGCTTTGCGTTTCTGATACTTGTCCGCAATTTCGGCCAAGGATGCCAGTGCAGTTGTTGCGGACTGGGGTAAGACTGATTCCGGGCCCGACAAGGAAGGGAGTAAAACCAACAAGCAGATATGGCTTTTTGGTGTCAAGCAGGCAGCTTCTAGCTCCGCCAACGTCGCGACGATTGGGACAGGAGGGGCTGCGTCCGGGATGACAGCAGGTTTTTCTTCTTGCTTGACAATAGGAAGGGGTGACTCAGTGGGCGTGTCGTCTTCAACTACAGTTCCTGAATGGGCCAGGTAATCGTCGAAATCAGAGGATCTGTGGGCTTCAGAACTTCTGGAGAATTCGGCCGAAATAGAGGAGGATGCTTGACTCTCTTTCTGGGAGGATGACTTGTGTGATTTTGACGACTTTGCACCCTTAGGCGCTGGATCTGGATTAGGTGTTGCGATTTGGCTGAAGAAAGCCAACAGTGAGTCTCGATTGATCTCGCCCTTATATGGAATCGGCGTTTGCCCGGGAGCCGACACCAAGAGAATCGATGGGAGCTCGGTGACACCATTCTTCTCGGCAGTAGCTTTGTCCCTGACTTGAGCGAATGCGATCTTTCCCAGGAAATCAATGGCCAAGCTCTTGACTAGCGGGCTTGTGGTTCCTTTGTCGGAGAAAACAATGGCTTTTGCCGGAGGGGACTGGTTGCTTAACCATGTATCAAGAGCATTCCCTTGCAACCTCTTTACGTGGTTTGGAATCTTGTCTTTGACGGCATCGACGATAGCTTTGGAGGTTCGTGGCCCGTTGTAATCTTCCACAATCGGCCGGCCGGGCTTCTTTCCTGGTTTTACGATTTTCAGCGTCGGGAAGCCCTGAACACCCATTTGTCCACAGAACTGCTTGTTTGCATCGTCGTCGCAATTGACGGCAGCGACTTTAGCAAGTGCAGCAAGATTCTTTGCAGCTTTCTCGTACGCGGGCTTCAGGTTTTGACAGTGACCGCACCAGGGAGCGTAGAACTCGACGATCTGGATTTGTCAGTCGGAGCACGAGAGGCCCAGGGGTCGACCAGTCCTACCGACGTGTGATTGGACTGGGCAATCAAAGAGTCGTAAGTCTTTGCAGTCACCTGAAGAACTGGAGAGTTTTTCGTATACATAGCATCTGCGTGCACCAAGCCAGTCAAGGCCAGAGCAAGCACGGCGAAGTGCATGGAGGGAGACATCCTGTCAAGTAGTGAAGGGGAGATGAGCGAGTGTGGAAGGATGTCAAGGCACAAGATGGTGATGCAAGAATGGATTTGCCATAGACCAGAGCATCAACTGCTGCTGGTATCGGTCGTGGGACAGCAGTGAATGATCCAGTTGGGAACACTGTGGCATGATTGCAGGTGAGATGAGGCAGTTGTGATGTGGAATCTGGGGAAGCTGCATGTAGAATGACGAGTGTCTGACATGATCCTTTCCCCTCAGTCTCAGGCCCGGGCTGCCTCTGGCTGAGTGGGATGAGGGACACATTTCATGGTCAGACAAGCTCTTTCTGCCTGCGCCTTTCCTTAAGAAACGTCGAGAAGTTGGTAGGGTTACCTACCTAGTACCTAGTTAATATTGTATCTCCTTATTCTCTGTCCTCCTTACGACGAGGCAATCCCGATGCCGAGACGATCCTGATCCGACATCTGAGACCAGTCGAAGCCATAAGATGCTCGCAAGTCCCTAGCCAGCCACAAGTCTGGTCTTCGGCCTACGGATTACATCAACTCGGGTACATTACTATCCCCACACGATGTACAGAGTACCTATATCAGTGTCCAACAGTCCATTGTCGGCTTGTGGGATAAGCTGCGTCAGCAAGCTGCAAAAATGAATCATCAGGCTAAGGCTTAGGGGCTTAAGGCCACCAGTCAGCCCCTTAGCCCTAGGCTTAGCTACCTACCTCTATTGATTGTTAGTGGTCATCTGGTTACGGACCCCGATTCCACGATGCCCTTGGTCGGTGGCTGTGGCTACCACTTCCCGTTTACACATGGACCATTAAACTCTCAACCAAACGAGGAGTGAGACAGCCAGTATATTACTATATACAGAGGACTAGTCCAATATCCTGCTATTCTAGACTATCCGTGTACTTGCGTACTAGTATGATCAATGTCCTGACTCCAGATTTTCCCTTTCACTGCTTCCTGGGAGAACACTCACCCCTTCCTCCATGTACCCTCACATGCAGTGTTCCGGCTCTTTCTCCCGTTTGCTGTCTAGCATGACACTATGGAACAAGGTCGCGTGAAAAGAGCTCACCACAAAGTCAGAACGGGTTGCAGGACCTGCAGGTAGTTCACCCTGTCCACAGTACGGATACTCCGTATTTACTTGACCTAATGCCCCGTTGTAGGAAGCGTCGGATCAAATGTGATGAAGCAAAGCCCGTCTGTCGGCAATGCACTAGCTCTCTACGCAAATGTGAGGGATATCAACCTCAGGCGTGGCTGTTCGAGCCTCGTGGTGACAGCAATGCGCCCGACCAGCACAACACCCTCGTCCAAGTTATATCTCCTCTGGGGCCCTTCGGAGATGGCATCGACAAACGTGGGTTCCAGTTCTGGCACGAACAAGCTGCGCCCATATTCTCCAGTTACTTTGGTGCGTCTCCCCTGTTCGCCTTCTCCTTTCTCTCAGTGTCAATAGGGCCAGGGCATCGACTGACCGCGCCGCCAGGTCATTCCTTCTGGTCGCGACTTCTGCCCCAAATTGGAGTTGTTCAACCAGCAGTCAAGCACTTGCTCATTGCTACGTCGTCCCTAGTTGAGACTGCTGTTCAGAAGGGCGTCTCTCGAGACCAGAACGCTGTTTACCAGACTCACTACACTAGGGCCATCCAGGCTACATGTTCTTCTCGGCAGATTGAGAGTGTCCTGATGGCCTGCCTACTGTTCGCCTGTTGTGAGTTCATGCAAGGCAATGTTGTTCCCGGCCTTCATCACATCAACTCAGGCTTGAATATCATGGAGGAGTGGTACAAGACGGGCAGCAGCATGTCGTCCGGGCCAAATGCTCAAACTGCACGTCTGATTATCGATGTCATCGGTCCCCTCTTTATCTCCTACATTGACAAGGCCCCAACTTACGGGAGGGGAGATATCACCATCACTCAGAGTGCATGTTCTGGCACCATCAGTCCTAGCCATGAACTACCCTACTTTGACCATTTCACAGATCTGCATCGAGCACACCATGCCTTGGACGGTATTGCTCATCACGTGGCAAGGATGATGGACTTCAGGAGGACCCCGTTGGCCCCCTCCCCTCCGCACAAGCTGCAAAAGTTACTCGACACTTGGTGGGTGTCCTTCGAGGTCTTGAAAACAAACATGCCGTGGGCCCGAAAAGAGCGGCTCAAACTATCACTGCAGTTAATGCACGTCCAATACACTGTCCTGTCAATGATGCTGCGCTATTTAGTAAGCAAAAATGAAGGTGTCTATGACCATTTCGAGCAAGAGTTCCATTGGATCGTGGATCAGTACGACGACTTCTCGAAAGCCTGGGCAAAAGATGAGCCTTTGAAATTCTCGGCCAGGATCGAACCCGTCGATGGCCACATGGGATATATTTCCCCTTTGTTCTTCACCGCCACCAAGTGCCGGCACCAATATATCAGAACCGCAGCCCTGAACCACCTCGCTGCTTTGAGGGTGGTGGAAAACAACTGGACCAGCTGTACCGCGTATCAAATTGCTCGAAAGATCATCGCCATTGAGAACACACGGTCCATCATCAATGATCGCGTCGGTCTGAGGGACGAGAGAGATCTAATCCGGCCAGTGGAAGCCTCTATCACCGACAACCGGCTGACTCAAGCCACCCTCGAGTATATCGGGCATCCTTATGACGATGCTTCCCTTTTGATGCAAGAGACGATTGACTTGCAGGGCTGCTCTGCGTCGTCAGTCCAGTGGGTATGTTTTCCTTTGTTGCGTACCTAAGGCTCTGCTACAGACGTGCACTGACCACGACCAGCCGCTGGGCAGGATCATCCGAATTGGAGGCTTTCAAGGAGGTGCGGTCAGGCCTAGGCCCACTAATTGCCGCTGCCGCTTCTTCCAGGCAAAGGAAGATATAGTCCTTCGAACGAAATGGTGACTGCGACTGACTGTCTTCACAATGGATGGGGAACAACACCATCTAATCAGTCCTCCTATGCAAAAGACAGTGTCGATCCCAAGCTACCAACTGACGTTGTGGTGCAGAAGTATATGCTGCATCCGCGAGTCCTATTCAGGTAGGAGACCAAGTTGGATCATTGTGCCGTGCCGGGCAAGTTGGGCTTGCTTAAAGCCCCTGGCGCCGCGCGTCCAGAGAGGCAAAGGACATCGAGAGGGCCAGAGACAAACCACACGACTACTCTGTAAGAATAAAAGGACCAACCACGAGCTTCGAGGCACTTTTTGATTCTCGTTCACGCAAGAACCAACCCTCGAGACCTGGAGAGATCTCAGATCTTCTGGTTCCTTTGGCCGGGTTCTGGGAGCTGTCTTATTTGCTCCAGACCTTCGCACATTCGATTTGTGTAATAGTCGAGAGCATTTTTTATTGGCGCCAGCGAGGGTAGCGATGGAACCCTGGAGGTGTCGGCGTGGATGTCCACGGAGCTGAATGCGATCACCGTCTCTAATCGACTCCGATGACTGGCCGCGGCTGGATACAGGCAAGTAAAAGGGCGATGCATAGTGTCCTCTGTCAGGGTGTCGGTTCTAGACCGCTGTCTGTTCCTGACGTCCTTCACCTCAGGATCCGCCTTGATCCTGTAAGATTGAGCGCGAGCTCCTTTGGCACTTCATTTCTAGCCATGAGTGGCAGACGGGGCGATGGTCCTTGCCATATCTTGCCCTAGATGCAAGAGGCAAACATAACCTCTAATGATATTGGAGATTTATGGCGCCGAACATGGTCCTTTCATCACCAGGCAGCGTTATCAGGCCGTCTAGAGTCCAAAGCTCGTCCGATCGAAACTGGTCCCGACTATCAGGGCCTCCCAAGCACGTCCCGGACTGCTAGGAGTATGGTCTGACAATGCGAAGCCAAGACTTCAGACACGCATCAGCATACCAGTCACAAATACCTTGCACTGCTGAAACGGGAAGAAAAGTCCGTGGCCTTCTTGAGCATTTCTCTGCGGCGGGTGGGGTTGATGGTCGCGCCACCAGCGATATCCTTTTCTCGGTCGAAGGCGCGCGCGCTGGGGTCGTCCTCTTCTTCTCCCGTGGAAGCCGCACTGTGCGCAGAGTAGAGCGAAGGGCCCCGTTTTTCCTGCTTGTCGTTAGCATCAACCCAGAGTGCTTCACATGGGTGTTGGCAGATTGGCGCGGGATCCAACAGGGCATGGGTTAGAGTGGAGGGACTTGCATTGTACTCTTTCAATCTCCTAGCGGTAGCCTCGCCTTGAGAACCGTGTTCTGATGTGGTCCCTGTCTTCCCTGCCGTAGCAGGATCCTTGATCCCCATAACTTCCCTCTTCAACCTGGCCTGTTTCTCTTCCGGCGTTTCATGCCACGACTCGCCTCCTGCGGCAGGCTGAGGCGCGGCCTTTGCGCCCCTCCCTGTGTTGAATTTGCGGTTCTTCAATTTCGTAGGATCGACTCGCGCCGACCAGTCGCCGCCGGTGGGTGCGAGGGTCATCCATTCGTCGCGCTTGGCCGGTACTACGGGCGGAGGAGGGCCAGGAATTTGCGCGCCTGTATGAGACTTGGTAGTGGCAGCGCTGGCGGAGGGCAGACTCGGGCCAAAGCCATCATCGTCATCACTGCTGCTACTGCTCTCGTGATCGTCTTGACCGCCTCGTGCCTGTGAAGGAGAAAGAGTTGAAGAAGGGCGTTCGTCTAGAGGCGCAGGTGGAAGCGTCGGGCCTATCACGCGGGTTCGTTTTGTGGACGGCGGTGACTGTTCTCTTCCCTTTCCTTGCTGGTTTGGAGGGAGAGGTCCAGTGGACGAGTCTGAGTCGTCATCGCTATTGCTGTGGTCCTCGCCACCGTCGCGTTTCCGCTTTTGCAGTCCGGGTGGAAGTTGAGGGCCGACAGAGCTCATCTTCGTCTGGGCATAGAATTTCAATTAGACGGCCCGCTGAGACAACCGTATCTGCTGGTGCTACTAGAAAGAGTGTTAGGTGAGTGTTGTAGTTCTGTAGCCGGTTCAGTGGTTGTTGGACAGTTCAAGCAATTTCTCCGTTCGAAATTGTCCCTGACTGATGACGGTCATGCTCCGCTCCCACAATTTTTGTTTACGAGGCGGGGAATCACTGGGCAGTGGTTACAGCCTTATTATTAGGGCCTTAAAGACCGTGCCGAACAGGCTTAGGAGGCCCTTAGGCTGAGGAAACACGTGCATGCCCCAGAGCGTACGAAAGTACGGAGTACTGCGTACACCTGGTAGACAGGTCTTCGGCGCCACATCTCAACTGAATCACAAGTGGCAACGCTATGCATGGTCACGGTGACAAGCATCCAATATCCGATAAGTGGTTAAGTCGCAGCATGTTGCAGCCTTGTGCAAGCAAGACTATCATCGCTAGAGGGACGTTGATAGTCCAGAAATCTTCTTCAGCTACAATACAACCCATTGACCCCCCAATTTGGCGGCGGTAGTCCTATTGCTACCTGGCTCTAGCATCCTTTCCCGAACCGTGGACAAGGTCAAAGTCCCAGGCACACAACTAAAACAGAAAGCCAAACATGCAGAGTCCAAGCTGAACGCCGGTGTGCTTTCTTGTCGCTTGCTGTGTGGATGCGCTCGCCGATGATAGGCCTGTAAGTCCATTGGGATAACGGCGCACGCTGCCTCTCAATGCTTGGACCTCAGCCTGGTGCGCCATAGCGCCTGACCTCCTCGTAGGTTGAGGTGATATGACAACACCCGTGCCCAGGCTCAGCCTCAGGCGCATCTGGGCAATCAAGACACTTGGGTCTTAAGATCAACAATCAACGTGCACTTCTCAAAATCGAATTGCAACTGAGGAGGCGCATACTCCTTTTTCTCTCCATCTCTTAGATCGGCCAGAACTTCAACCGACAGGGTGTTCTCTCCCGGGAATAACTTGATATCATATGCACCGGGGACCGTTGAGTTGGGTTCTCGATACACGTGCATGTTATGCAAGACAATAATTCGGTGCCGACGTCGATATTTCAGTTCTGGCGTAGTCACGGGAATGATGCGGATATCACGGTAGTTGGACGGCAGGCTTATCAACCCAGAAGTCTGTGTTCTGATGGGTGAAGCCCGGCGTATGAGTTTCCATCTCGGATCGTTGGGGAGACTCGGGTTGGTCATGAAAATGACTGAACCCAGAAGCGCTGATTCGAGTCCTTGTTACGATGATTAGTTGAGTGACCTCAAAAAGAAACAAGAAGCTTACCTTTGCCAGGATCGCGGTACCGACGTTCGAACGGGATCGCAGACTGGTTGAAGGCTGGCTGATGACCAGGATGCGGCGAGGGTTGATCGTGGCCGCGAACTCCATTCGCTAAAGGTACGCCCGGGCCTGGCGTGTCGATCTCTCTAACAGGCGTAGGTAACTGTGCCGGGGGCGGGGGCTGAGAGGCTTTGGGAGCCTCTTCAGGTTGCGGAGTAGCCGTGCCATTAGCATTGGATTCGGTCCCGACAACATCAGGCTGTTCCGTAACTTGGGACACACTCCGTCGAACACTGGCTGCAGCACTTGAAGGGACCGGTGTTGAGCCGTTGAGTTGAGCGGTTCTGGAGCTCGCTCTCTGTGCTCGACTCAGGGCTTGACCTGTTTCTTCCTTTTGTCGTCGAAGAGATTCGCTGTCGATGGTACCGCCCACGAGAGTGGGTGTCGGGGTGGAGGAGCCTATCGTGAGTCTCAAAGCTTTCGGCTTCGGTTGCGAGAGAGACAACTTGAGATTCCTCCGGGGGAGAGCACCAAGCGACTGCATCCTCTGTTCCGACCATGACTGTGTTCATACATTAGCAAGGTGGAGAACAATAATGAGCAAGATATTCACCTCGAGCTTCTCCGCCATAATGTAGATGTCGGACCCTTCTTGGTTGTATTCCTTTGCATTGTCCCAGATCAATCGGACCTCCTTCGCCAATGCATCCCAGTCTTGAACGCCGTCTTTCTCTACCAAGGCTCGAACATCTGAAATCGCAGTGGGCCTCTTAATCAACCTATAATAGTCAGGATAATCCTTTTTAGAGACTTTCTCCTCAAAGTTGCTACTCTCATGGTCAGTACAGTCTAAACCAGTCAGTTTGTATACGACGGAGACTCACATTGCATCTTCTTGCGCCGATAACTCCTTCAGAAAGTCCAACTGATCTTGTCTCACGTCATCCTTGACGCTTGGAGTAGCCGGCGTGGCTTCGCTCTGGCGCCTTCGGGAGAAGATCAGTTTGACCTTCTCAGTAGGTACGTTGGCCTCTGACGCGGTAGAAGGATCCCTCGGTCGATCCAAGAGTTCCTGTGGGATAGGTGTAGGATAAGCGCGATAATCAGCACGTAGATATGCCGGGTTGTGCTTTGGCATAAAATTCGATAATGCCTTCCGAATACGCTCTGCGTCCTCAAAAATGGGCGATTTGCTATGGTTGTAATCCTTTGCATTCTGGACCATTCTCTTCAAGTCGGACTCGAGCTGCTCCATGGTTTCATATTCGTGACTCTCCAGCCTCTGCTCGATCATGTTCAAGGATAACGGCATCGGGATCTGCTGATAGTAATCGGGATACTCAACCCTGCTGGGAAGATCGATAAAATGAACGGCGACATTGCGGCCATTCTTGTCTTGTGATTTTTTCAGCTGCCTGACCAGTTTTAATCCAAGTTCTGATGTTGTTTCTCGAGTTTCGCGGTCTGGAAAGTGGGTATCCTGAAGACAGAGACGCCAAAGTTAGCAGAGCTGGTCAGATTATGATGGCGCTGCGAGCGCAGTGCACTCTAGACAAGTGCAGCCCGCAATGGCGGGCCAGCGTGCGGGCATTGATGATGCGGACGGTGATGGTAGCACACTGCGCGGGGGGCTCTGTCGTTGAGCGCAGAAAGCGTTGGCTGGAAGTTGGGCGAGGGAAAGAATATAGCGAAGGATAAATGGGTGCGATGCACTTACGTCGTTACGCTTGCGTCGCTTGGGATCTGGCGTGGCCGCAAAGTCGTCGGGCAAGCCTGCAGGGCCGCTTCTGCGCTTCGAGCTGCTCATCGCGGCGTCTCAACTTTTTGAGACGGGGGAGGAATTCGGGGTCTGCACCGCACACCGCAGGGAGAGCCACCAACAAGTGCAATAGTATGGGGTAATACAATGCCTCGGAAGCAATGGAGGTTTCGCAATCACCTGCAGAGACCCTGGACAGCGAGGCTGCTATATGCGCATTATTATTGCATCCTCTGTCTCTACATACAAATCGATCCTGCAGACGCGACGGGAGGCTCGAAAACATGCACGTGACTGCCACATCGGAGTCAGGCGTGACTGAAGGTGACTGGCACCTAACTGGCTGGAGTCGATTACATAATGCGCCTGCAGCGCAATGCTCGTCCGATCTTCGCGGGGCTTGGCAGCAAGCGCTTTCCGCGTCTCGAGTCCCTTGTTTACTGGGAGTTCGGTTTGTGGTTTTGTGCCCCAGACTCAGTCTGTTTTTCCACCGCCCAAGCACTGGAATTCGCAGTCGACCCTCTGCGCTCTCTCTACCTTTACAGCCAGTCACCCCAGTGTTGAACGCGTCCCCTCAACCCAACACCCTCGTCGTCCGATCGGTTTGCCGGTTCCTTGTCTCCCACTCCAGTGCCTCCGTTCCGCGCGACCCTGAGCACGAGACCAGTTCCTTCGGTCACTGGTCCTGGTGCAACCCTCTGCGTTGGCTGGATAATACGCCAATCACCTTCGGGATTTCCGATCCGAGTCACTTGCCGCCATACAGTCTGGAGCTTCCGCGCAAGTGAGGCATATCTGCTCCGCGAGCACTATGACCGACGTCGATATGTCGAGACGCAACAAAAAGCCTCGGTTATTGCATGAGAATGAAAGGGCAAGGCTAGAAGAGTTCATTGATTCTATTGGATACTCGGCAAGGTATACGGTGAAGACTGGCCGCGAGGTTCTCAGGTTAACATTCTTCAGATACTCTGATTCGGAATACGAATACCGACACGTACAGCTTCCTAAAGCGATGCTGAAGGCCATTCCGAGAGATTATTTTGATGAAGCCAAGGGCACACTGAAGCTCCTGTGGGAAGAAGAGTGGAGAGGTTTGGGGATCACTCAGGTAGGACCGCAGCTGGCCCGGCTCACACACATTGCTGATGGGAGGTCTAGAGTCTTGGATGGGAGCATTATGAGGTGCATGAACCTGAGCCACACATTCTACTATTCAAGTAAGATTTCCAGCAGGCATGGCATGAGTCGCAGGATACTAACGCACTGCAGACGTCCTATCGGTTATCAGCCTCCAGCTCAATGATCCAAGACTATTTCGCCAGACACTGAACCAGCGCAGCATTGGGATGGCGTTCTACTGTTCAACAGGGAAGTGTATTTAACTGTGCATTAAGCGAGCGTGCTTATTACAAGCTCTGTATGTCTGGACGAATCGACTCGACGCAAACCGACGATTATTTTGGGCGCGAGATGTTAAATGTTCGTTCAGTTTAGCATAGCTATAACCGCCGTTCGACACCTCTGTTTTCAGACGCAGGATTTTCCCTCGTGTTCTTCTTCCCATAGGTCCTCCTTGACTACCACGCAGCTACTAGGCCTCGAATGTTTCCAGATCTCCTTTCTCCGCACTTCCGCCACGTTCCCTCCAGTGACGACCTGGGACCGGTATTCCACGCGAATCAGCCAGCCGTCGACTCGTCTGCCGCCTATGTTGCATTCTTCTGCAACCACTCTTCCCATTGTTCTACTGTCCACCCAGAACTGATGCTGCGCTCCTCAACTCCATTAAACAGGACTGTCGGGGTGACATGGACGCCTGTCACTCTGTTCGCCTTGACCTGAAACTTAATATCATTGGTCACTTTGTTACCAATGTTCAAACTGCCATCCTCTCCGGGCTGATCTGGGACCTGAAGTAAGTCCAAAATCTTCTTCTCGTCGATGCCCTCCACTGAACCTGCCAGCTTGGCGAGTCGTTTGTAGGTGTTGTTTCGAGTCTCATTGACGACATTAACATCGAAAAAATCCTTTTGCTGTTCGAAGAGCTTCTCGGAGAAAGCCCAGAAGGATTTCGGGGCTGTTTGCAGGACGGCTGCGCCCGTTTCGTGGACAAGCGTCGAACTCGGGTGCCATGGCTGGATCTGTTGGCGGAATATAACCCGGATACCGGGAGAAGTGTATTTCTTCTCGATCAACGGAACCACTTTCGTATAGAAGGTCTTGAACAACTTCGCAGAGAATGGACAGACATAATCTAGATACAATTCGATGGTGTGTTTTGCTTCATTGGTCGAAGTTGATGCGAGCAACTGCCCGGAGAATTTCGGTGGCAACGCCATGGGAAGAGCTTTCTTGCGGCTCTTCGATGAGGGTTGTCGTGAGTTTCTTGGTCTCGATTCGAGGGAGGGAGACAGGGAAGCACGTAAGGTGAAAAGTAGGAGAAGAGAAGGTCAGAACCGACGGCTGAAGGTCATTACTACTGTATAACTAGGTAGCATTAATAATTACCTAGGTAGGTAGTGATTATACGGTGGTGACGGATCTCTGGATACTTGACGAAGGATTTCGTCATCGGCATAACCAAAGACGACACGGAGCAGTGGACAGTGAATCACGTGTATGGCTGTATAGCGATCGCGATAACGATAACGATCAGATGGCATCTTCCTCTTTCATCTACGTTCACGTTCACGATGGTCCCTTTCCGACAACCATCTTACACCAGACCCAAATTGTTTGTGGTGTATTCGCGCCTTCTCAGCTGCAGTGATGTCGCTCTCCCATCATGATTTTGCTCCCAAAGCAGCAGCTACCGTCAAGCGACGTGCTGGTGGCAGAGGCAACCACGCCCACAAGCCATGGAATCCTAACCGCGCTCCGTGAACCTCTCACCTTGACCAGGTATTCCTGTTGCGGCTCATTCAAAGTTAGCATTTTGTCATTCGGTATCTCACTTACTGCACAGGGTTTGTGCTTCGTATTCTAGATGTTTATTCGCGATCTCATTGCCAGTCTTTGCCTTCTCTTTATCAATATGGTGCGCTTGAAAACTCTCTACGGCCTCTTCACCCTCGCCTGCACGATCATTCGGAAAGTTGTCCGGCATACACATCAACATGGGGAACGAGACATTGTTGCAGCAGGGCAATACACGTACCTGGCACTCCTCATATTCTTGACCTGGGCACTCTCCAGGGGAACCGGCCATCGTATCGAAATCCGCCGTTTATTTCCACAGCAGCTTCCCGTGTGTCAGTTACCACGCATTTCTGTTGGTGGGGGAGATGTTTAGCTAATCTCACCCTTAGTGGCCCAGGTTTCACGAATCTGGTCGCGTTGGAAGAATAGAGTGGTATCGACCTATTCAGCCTGGAGCAGACGACTCTATCAAGTACTAGCAACCGCCTGGAAGTTGTTTTCGTTCTGGAAGAAAACAGAGACTGTTACTGTACCTCCGACAGGCACGGTTCAACAATTTCTAGCCGACTGTGATCAGGACGCCTCTCCCGATGAAGAAGAAACCACCATTTGCCTGCTCTGCCACGAATCGCTTTATCTCAAAAGTCCTGCATTGTACATGTGTTGCAACAACGTCCACCGTCTTCATCTGCGGTGTGCTAGTAAAGTCATGACTGATGAACAGCCCTGTTCTTTGTGTCACGACGAGTTGTTTGTCGTCGAACAATCCGAAGCAGAGATTGCCCAATCGGCCACGAAAAACAGGCAAAAGAACAAGAAGCAGAGGAGAAGGCGCTAGGATGGGAAACGGAGACTACGGTCATAGGTCGCTAACATTCGAATTCTATGGAACATCTCCAGAGCCTGGCTGGCTTGTAGACGGGGAGAGAATGTATGATGCTAGGGCATAAGACATAGCCACCATAGCCAAAATCAAAAGCAACCCTGAGAACGATCGTTCTTTCCTTGCTCGGTCGAACCATCTGAGCACGAGTATCTACCTATTGAGTACATGTAGGAAGTGCCTGTTACCCAGCGTAGCACTGAGATACATTCCAACTTGCTTCGTTCGCTTTTGACATTCATCCGCATTGTTCGTTCGCCAGATCTTCAACAAGCCCTCGTTATTTCACTCTTTTACTAGCATTTTACTTTGAGACTATAGCCGTCGTCTATTCACTCCATTCACTCTTTTCTCCAACCTTGACACTCAGGGGCACCTACGACCCAACAGCGACAGAATGGAACTCCTACCTCTCAAGTGTACCGGCCTTCGGTTGCGACAGTTGTATATGGCACCGGGCATCACAGCACACATTGACAAAGTGGAGGAGTATATCGTTGCCTTCAGCTTTCTGGCTTTGTACCGAAAATTCGAGGCCATTTGTGACAAGCTGGCAATGCCTTCTCTATGCGATCCAATACTTGGGCTTGAAGCACAACTTTCCCTCAAATTCATCAACGTTGCGCCAGTGTTGAGTGCTCTTGCGCTCCTACAAATGGGACGACTGAACTGCCACACCGCAGTCAATGTTATCAAAGTCGCCAGAACCAGCCCTCATCACTTCACGCCCGGTGAAACTGTGAATTCCGAGATCCTGCCGACGGCCCTCTTGGTGACGTGGGCCATCTAGCTACATGTCCTACGCATTCTGTCCACGACAGACAAGAATGGAGCCTCCGCGATGTACCTCCTCCTCCTTTTCATCTTGGAGCAATACCGCTTTCTGGAGGTGCAGGAAGCGTACATTTTCAGGGAGGAAGAGGCTTTTCTGACATCTTGTCCAATCAAGCAGTTCGTGCCGGCTCAGCACGACGACGGGGAAGTTGAGGCTGGGCACGACTGTGCCATTTGCCAGGTTGAGCCGATCGGGGCTACAGAGTGGGTGTACAACCTGCCATGCAACCATCAGTTTCACAGGTAGTGTCTGATCAGGTGGCTAGTTGAGCTGGAGCAGCCCGGGTGTCCGCTCTGTCGAGACGCCATTAACCTCGAGACGCTTTATAGGCAATGTTGATCATGGGAGGCAATATGTAGCTTCGCCTGCGCAGGAACAAACTTGAGGAGAAGGACTGCGCTTGTTTTCCATCGCAGCAGCATGGTCTGAGGGAGAGAGAAAATTGTCCACTTTGGTGCCATCTCTTGGCTCTAAAAGGAGTTCATTCATTGCAGGGCAAAGGGGGATCGCGTGCCCATTGGAATTATGTCGGTTGTTCAATATCGAAATTGCATAGAATCTTTGTACAAAGGATCTTTCCATGTTGACTGGGATAACCTGCTAGCAGAAACCCCCCTTCTTCACACACTGTCCCAGATTTCACCTCGAAGAATATACCAAGTCTTAAGCCCCCTTTTGCGAGCGGCCGCCCTGTGTAGGAACCAACTTCTGCAATGTCTGCATGAACTGCTCCGCCTGCAAGTCATTGTATGTCTCGTTGTTGTTCAGATTTCTCACCACCTGGTCCAAGAATGGCATCGACTGCTTCTCGACTTCCGGGTACTTGCCCCTGACATATGTCTCGGCCAAAGCCTTACGCTCCTCGGATCTGGACGCAACATCCTCGAAAGACATGTCTTTCAGTTCGGCTTCGACGCTCTTCCTCTCTGTGACTTCGTCGGCGCGCTTGCGGGCCATCTCCGCAGCCAGGGCTAGGACCTCCTCCTTCTCCTCCTCCGACTCGAATCGCGTGAAGTATCCCTTGTAATACCGCTCCGCGAGTTGCATGGGCGTCTGATAGCCGTGGGGGATGCGGTGCGCCAGCCACTCGATGCGCTGCTGGACGGACTCCGTCAGACCGGTTCCCGACAGGGGTGTGTTGGGCCAGTCTGCGCGGAGCGTCTCGATCGACATTTCTTGGCCCGGTACGTGGGCGATCTCTTCGGTCGGGTTGACGGGAGCGTCGATGCTGGACTTGATATACTCTTCGACTTTAGCGTCGATGTCCAAATCATCATCATCCTCCTCGGCCGCCTCGGTCACTTCGCGCTTCTCTGCTCGTCGGATGCGACGATCGGTGCGGTTGCGGAGATTGCCCTGTGCTCCTCCTTGTCGAGGTTGCTGCTGCTGTGTGTTTCGCGTGCCAGCTCTTCCTGCACCAAAGCCGGCACCCTGTGGTGGACCTTTCCTTCCGCCTTGCGATTGCGATTGATAGCCCGATGTGTTCGAGCGAGGTGGTCCTGTACGGCGGAGAACTTGTCCTGGCGGTGGCTGAGATTGTGGGCCACCACCAGTACTGGCACTACCTGCCGTGTTCTGTGTGCGTGGAGCTCCTGTTCGGCGTAGGATCGGACCAGGCGCGGGTCGTCGAGCAGCAGCGGCTCCAGCAGGGGCAGGTCGGCCTGTCGACTTTCGAATAATAACGTTTGAGCCGGAGTTAGGAGAATTACCAGGTGTAGTTTTTTTAGGAGGACCTCCCGAGGGCTTCTGGTCACCTAGAATGATCGAGTCAGCGCCACACTAGGCCATGGACAGCCAGATGTAGAGATCGCCTACCATCAGCAGCAAAGAGAATCCTAGAGGTGGAAAATCCTCTGGTGTTGCCGAGCAGGGAGATTGTTGTGCTCCTAGGGCGTGACTGGAGACTGAGTCTCGCACACCTTGTACAAATTTGCTCCATGGCGAGAGAGCTGCTCCGTGCAGCTGCCGAGAGTATCTGCTGCTCCTGGATTGATGAAGTTGGATTGCGAGTTCAAGTTGAGCTTCGCTGGGCGCCGCGATTGGAGCCAAAAGTGTTCCTTGGCATCACGTGGTCATTCTAGTGATATCTCGCCGCTTTAATAAACCATGGAATGGCACCTTCACTCATTAAAGCAGAGAGAGAGTCGTTTTGGACTGCTGCTTGAAGTGATTGCAACCTTCAGCATTGCCAGCTGTCAAACTTTGACCTATAATTGAATGAATTATGGGATAAGATGATACATCAGCACCAATGCGGTGCAGGAACCCCCAAAGCTTATCTAATTGACACTTCCTAATCCCTCAATCGATTGATGCTCAACAGTGCTCGCTGAATATTCTCCTTCTACTCATGAAGACTTAATTGTACTGTTGTGTTGGGCCTCCATTTCTTGCTTTCTGATTCTCGGTGACAGTTGACAATAGCCGCAGCATCCATCCTGACTCCTGAGTCAACTTGGCCTACTTCCCTTCCTGAGCAAGTCGGTATTGGTCGGCAGCACTTTGCAGGCGGCTTGTTTCATGCATCATGGCTTCGGCGTGTGCGTTCAAACTCTCCTGGATGGCTTCTTTATCGACAGGGCCATCACTCATCCGCACTTGCGCGATTGTGTTGTTGCTGCCTCTCTGGAGATTAGGGGCTCCTTCATGTTGGGCGATTGCGGCAGCGAGCTTGCCCATGGCGCCTACACCGAATTAGTTTGTTATTCTGGAAGTATCAAAGTTGATTGCGTTACCTTGAGTGTGTTCTTTGGTGGCTTCAGAAGCGTCGCTGCGGGCTACATCATGGGTATCCTTTTTGAGGGCCGAGAGGAGTTGGCGGTCGTCGCTGATGGGGCCGGCGTCAGACATCTTGGATCGAGTGACAAGGGGATTCCGAGGCACAATGCTTGCGGAGTAATGAAGGGTCACGTTGAGACTTGGACTGGGTCAAATGTAGTAGTTTGGAATCGATCAGAAGTTGAGCTGCAGGCGTGGCATTAAATACCGGAGGTAGATGCTTAGTGTGCCTTCCTCGGTGCATCAGAGCACGTAAAGCTAAACCGTCACGCTGGAGGCAGCAGAGGGCATGAAGCAGACTCAGACGCGCCTGCCGGGTGCGCAGGTTGGTTCACCTCGACGCATCTGATTCTGACTCGATGCACGACGAGGATTCTGCGACTCCCGGCTTCCGGCTTCCAGTCATATTCCGATACAATAGCGACCTGATCACAACTTGAATCGAGGCACAGAGTAGAATTTCATCATACGCACATGCAGCACTCCACCTAGATGATAGAAGCTCCTCGTACCTACTCAACAATATTCACTGAATGGCGCTCTTCAGTCCGAGTCCCTCCTCATAATTCCACCGATCTTCGCCGGCTTTGATATTGAAACCAGCCTGCGAGGCTGCCGGCCCTATGGGCTTATTAGACTTAGGCGTCCAACGTGCAAGGAGCCCACCGTAGCCGTAGAACACGGCAATGTCCTCATCCCAGAGGTGTAGCCGCACTGGTCTCGGAACACCTCGCCAGAGTAGAGCAGAGCCGCGGCGAGACTCAAGCTATTTTTCTTAGGACGAATCTTATGCATGAGGCATCTCCGAGCGCAAACATCCGCCCGCCAGGCATTCAGCTTATCTGGAGCGCGCCATAGAAATGTGCTTTTTCAATTGCGCGTTGATGATGTGGAGGACGCCATACGTACTACTGTCACGATACACGACTGCATGAATCTCCGTGCCAAGTATTTTTACGCTAATCCCAGTGCGGTCGTCGACTTCACCTCGCCGTCATTTACTTGCACGCGCACTCCAATAAAAATCACAGCAAGCGCAAGAACCACCACCCCGGCCTCTGCCACCATGGTGCAAACTCGTCGACAAGGGGCCCGACCCGAGGGCGTGTCGTATTCGGATACCCCAAAACGTGAGCGAAAACCCAGGCCTGCTCCCCGCCGGCGTGCAAACCCTACGTATCGTGATGCGTCCGTTTCTGTGCCCGTTGTTGCCCCTAGATACAAGGACGCATCGACCCAAACCGACATTTATGTCGACGCTGTTACCCAGATGGATGTAGAGCTAACCAGCTACCCAGAGCCTGCGAGCGCAAAGCGCCGCCGAGACGAAGACGAGACTACACCGGTAACCTCGTCGAAGCGCCAGCGAAAGGCCGAGACTCCCAAATTCCTCTTCTCTACCACCCGAAACCGAAGCCTCCTAACCTCGGCCCCCGCAAAGACGACCACTCTACACGAATCTCCGTTCTTCGAACGATCCCTGGAGCCTATAGTCAGGCAATCGACCCCGACCCGTCCGTCAAGACCGAGCGAAAGAGTCATTGAGCCAGAGACACCGACACCTGCACCAACATCACAAGGCGGTATCTTTGGCAGTGTGAAAAAGATTTTCGGGTTTTTCAGGGGTACAATGGAGCCCTCGCCGCCTGCCGAGCAAGACAAAGGCAGTCGAAGTGAACAGGCGGACAATAAGACCGAGCAGGAGGCAGTGGAATTCCACATCCCTACTACTCCCCCATCCCAACGCGACGAAGCTCGTAGTCCGACGCCAGACCCGGAAGCCCTCGACAGCCACATCTACAACCGCGATTACTTCAAGCGACGCCGATTCGCAAAAACCATTGCAGGTCGGGAGCAAATGGAAGCAGGGCGTAACGATTCGGACTCGGGTGAGCCTGACTTCAACCCGGTCGAGACATTAGGAACAAACAAACGCAAGTTAACATCGTTCGACGGTGAGATCCCTGGACCTGTGACAGGCGGGTATGGAATTGATGACAGGTACCTCGAAGTCGACACCGACGTCGACGGGATCGAAGAACCACAGTCTCCAGAAGCGCAGCCATCTACCCCTATTAACAAAGTCGTGTCTCAGACACCCCTTAGATCAGCAATGCGCCAGAACGGTGGCCTCTTTGGCACGCTTGGACGATCGGCCAAATCAGTTCGCATCAATCCAAACACTTCAGTCAAACATGTCTACGGGCAGTACGGTTACTCCGGAGAATACCATGGCAGCATGTTTTCAGATCCCTCAGACGCCACAGAGTCGACCATTTCCGAAGTCAGAAACATGCACTCGCCTATAACTCTACGCAACACCAAGGACAACGAAAGTCCCAAATTCCGACTCAATCAGGACATTGTCGATCCAAATGATGAGTTTTGGCGACCGTCACTTGCAAACCCTGCTCCAGGCCATTTTCGAGTCCCTGATCTCGATGAGGACGACGATGAAGGAGACGATGAGACCACTATGCGAGAGCAAGAACGAGAGCAAGATCAAGTGCCACCCCAGCCCAGCACACCTCGAATGTCGCACGCAGAGCTCCCCAGTCAGATCTCCTCCTTCACGGGCCACACCGACAGTATCTTGATGAACGACTCGGCGGAGATCAGACTGAACAAAGCGAGATCTGATGCTCAGAAGTACAAACCGGCTCGATCCTCTCGACTTTCACTCAGCGAACATGCACGCTCACGTTCTTCTTCTCCACCAGAGTCCGAAGGCGACTTTACTAATTCAAAGTTTGGATTGTCAGCACCGTCCTCCGGTCGTCTCCAGAGCGACAATCAGTCAGGAACACCTACCCAGAAGACTCCAACACAGTCAGCCGGAGCTCTTGGACGTGAAGAACTCGATAACACTGTTGTCGGGGAAGATGGCATGACAGATTATCAGAGAGCGCATCAATACGATGCATGGGCGGAGAATCTCGCTTGGCCTGAACCGCAAACCTACGAAGAAGCAGGAATTGCATCAGATTATATTGCCGATCTCGTCCGAAAGAACTGGACCGAGCGAGACACCCGAGAGTCAATCGAATACTGGGATCGAGAATTTGAAGAAGGACTAAAGGCAGCAAGAGAAGCTGCGGCCCAAGGAAGAGAAGTAGTCTGGGTCACTGATCCGTAGAGAATATTCGAATGAGAAAGGAAGGGTTCAGCGGCCATAGTTCATACATCTTGATCCACAGCTTTCTGGTACTACCTACACTTTGGGCTTAAGAGTTGGGCTTGGGGTATGGATATTGTTCAAGACGATGACACGAAGCACCCGTGTAAGCTGATACTTTTGTTTGTGCTACTACTCGAGCGACAACTGCAACAATCGAGCCAAGAAGAAGTCGAATCCACGCAAGGAAAGAGACTCCCAGATTCGCACAAGGAGAGATGAGAGCGAAGATTAAATCTGCAGAACCAAAAGAAGGTTCGCCACTCTTGCCAAAGGGCGACAAATTCGGAAACGAAATTCAAAAGCCCTTGAATCTTCTGGTCATGTTGTATCTTGCTGAACAATTTCTTATTGTATGTGTCTAGACGGGCATGACTGCCTCAAGTGTGTCTGTTTCAGGTTTCCCAACTCACCTGTTTCCGAAGTCTTCATCGACGAAGCCTACCTCGATCAAACTCATGGTGCTTCCTACGGGCGTCTTGATGTTCTTGATCCCCAACCTCTTCCCCTGTCCGTGACCTTCCTCATGCTGAAAGACGCCCTCGATCAAGCCATCCCCGGCTTTGCGCAGCAACTCCTCCCACTCGGTCGCGTCGCGTTCCTTGGCGTTTGTCAACATCATCATCTGCAGATCAGTGGTGCGCATCATGCGCTCGACAGGGTCCGGCACGAGCCCGACAGTGGGAGGCATGACTTGGTCCATGATGACGATACGCGAGTCCGGGGCCATACTCGGGACGACGGCGCGGAGGATCTTCAGGGCGTAGGAGTCGCTGTAGTCGTGCAGGATCATGCGGAGGAAATACACGGCGGCGCCGGCGACGGGTTGGAGCGTGTAGAAGTCGTGCGACATGAAGGTGAAGCGCGGCAGCAAATCCTGCGGCACGACGCTGGTGGCCGGGTCGACGGCCCTGGCAACGATTTTGGGTAGGTCTTGCACAACGACCCTGATGTCCGGGTTGGCCTGGGCGATGGGGACGGCACTGTGGCCCACGTTGCCAGCGACGTCGACCACCACGCCGCCTTTCGGGAGGCTGGCCCAGTCGAATCCGCGCGCCACGTGCGCGTTGGCCATGATCGGCGTGCTGGCCATATATGTCATCAGCCGACTGAATCGCTCGCGACGCAACGATGAGATTGTGTCTGCGGCCCCAGCCCCGGTTTCATAGTACTCGTACATAGGTAGGTCGGTGTCGTAAAATAAATTCACCGCGCCGCGGTTCGGTTCGGGCCGGCCGTGGCCCCATTGCTCAAGGGCTTCGATCTGCCGAGCGACCGCGGGGAAGGTATCCTCTGCGATGAAAGTATTGAACGCCCCGACACCCCAGTGTGTCAGGAGCCGCGACGATGCCGTGTGCGAGACCATCCCCGGCGACGGTTCCCGGAAGACGTGGATCGCCATCAGCTGGCGCAGCATCTGTCGAAGTTGGCTGGGATCCAGACCGAGGGTGCGAGCAAGATCGGTGTAGCTGATGCTAGATCCCCCAGCGGTTGGGACTGCCGAGGGGATGTTGTACCGCTGGACGTAGCGGAAGGCGTTCAGGTCGTGAGCCTGTCCGGTTCAGTTTAGCTCAGTAAGATCGGGTCGGGTTGGTTCATCAAATATTCTTCTGGTGTCGAACGACGCAGACATGCACATAAACATACACACACAAACAACATTACGCAATAGAGAGAGAGCAGGCCAAGGGAGGGAGAGGCAGGCTTTCAAACATGCACGTGCAGAGAGTACTGTACTTCCAAAGTGAAAAGGGGATCATACGCAATGATAGGCATGCCACGTCAAGATCTCATCGGGCCCCGAGGCCAGGTCGTACAACCTCATGGCGGCGGCGCGGAGGTCGAGGCGAGCGTGCTGGATCTCAGGCGTGGCGGGTGGAAAGAAGGCAGGCCCGTCGGCATCGAAGGTCATGGGCGCGTGGTTGTTGGCCGCGAGGTATTCTTTGATCTGCTGGGCCGTGGAGAGGCATGTCTCTGCCAATTTGACCAGGTCTTCTTCTTTCGGGTCGAGCATGCTTTCACTCCTTCTTTCCCTTTTCTTTCCCTCGGCGGTTTTCCTATTCCTAAAGGTTCTCAACTTGGGGGTACAAGAGAGGAGGACTGGCAATGCGGTTTGACAGAAGATGAACGGATTATTTCATTCACAGCGAGAGATCTGAGTATAAGCGACGGAGACAGGAAGTTGGAAGGAGAAAGAGTCCCGAATATTAGATCTGCCACACGCCATATGCGCCCTCACCTGCATCTTTTATCTCGTAGCGCAAAGTCCAGCTTTTCAGGGTAATTTGACAGCTCGGTGGTGCATTAGAGCAAGTTGTTTAGGTGGTTATCAGTTAGTCTTGTGGGCGGCTGACCAAGTCTCGAGCGAGCGGGACAGACAGAAGGCCGAGAAGGGCTGCTCCACCGTGATCGAGACTTGGAGACAACAGACTCGTAAACGAGGACCGCAGTCTGGGTTGACCTGCCAGGTCGAGGAACAACAGTTGATTGCTACGCAGACGAAGATGGGAGTCGTGCGTCGTGCTAGAATCAATATTCTCGACCGTATTCTCGACCGCCACCCCGTGACCTGGCGCAGGCAAAATACTGAGTGCAGTGTCCTGTTACTACCTGCTTGTCCTACCTACTATCTACAAAGCTGCCGGAACACCCTCTTTCCAAACAACCACGATACCCTCGTCTTCCCATAGAGCTTGCAATCTTGCCGTGACATCGCCCTTGACAAGCACCAGATCGGCTCTCTTACCCTCGGCCACGACTCCGCGATCGTTGAACCCGAACCTCTTTGCCGGCAAGGCCGTCGCTGCATTCAATGCCTCTGGCACGCTCATACCACACTTCTCGACATACAATTCCAGTTCCATCCAGAGACTGGGACCTATGGCTGTGCCCTTCAGGCCCGCTACTGCGTCTGTTCCAGCCACAACATCAATGCCTTCCTGCTTGAGCTTGGCTACCGTCTGGAAGGCGTAGTCTAGCTGGGCAGCTGGGTCTTTCATGCCAATGACTTCGACCATGTTTTGCTTGGTGAAGTCATTCACAATCTCCTTCCGACCTGCGATCTCGGCAAACTTCTCTCTCACATCCTGCAGCTCGGCGGTCAAACTACTCAATACTGTCAGTGTGGGAATCACAAACGCGCCCGTCTGTCGGTAGAGATCGATGATGCTTTGCGGCGGAGGTTGGTCGATAAAGGTATGTGTCAAACCATCAGCACCGGCCTTGAGAACGACCTCCGTCATGTCGACGCTCAAAGCGTGGCCCACAACAGGCAGGCCAGCCGCGTGCGCCGCCTTGACGACAGCTGTTTGAAGCTCCAGGGTGGCCACCGGAATAGCCCCGGTGGGCAAAGCGAGTGAGCAGCAGTTCTCTTGCATCAGCTTGATATAGTCTGCTCCGTTGGCCTGGTGATTTTTGACAAACTCTGGCGCGCTTTCCACCGTGACATTGGGCCAGGTCGAAACAAAAGATTTGAGCTGAACCGGGTCAGAAATGGTGCCAATGACCAATACCGTGGCATCAATACAGAACGCTCACCTCATCTGACGGGTGAGGTCCAAGGACGATCGGTTTAGGCCATCCGCCTTCAATGGTAGCCCCGTAGAGTGAGCTCTTAAGGTCGGAGAGCGTGACAGTCCCCTTGGAACTTCGGGCCTTTGCCAGTTCGTCTGCAATCTCCTCCCGCCACTTGTGCACGGAGTCCGGATCGGAGTGCATGTCGCAAACGGTGGTGACGCCGCTTCTCAACGGCGATCGGAGAATATCAGACTGGTCCGAGCCTGGCGGTAGGTGCAACCCGTGAACGTGAGCGTGAGACTCGATGAGTCCTGGGAGCAGGCTATGCCCCTTGCCGTCGATGATGGTCGCTCCCGAGGGGAACGGAGCGGTGCTGGAACCTGTGGAGACGGCCGTGATCCTACCGCCATCCGAGTCAAAGACGACAGTTGCATTTTCATGAACCGAGTGGCCATCGAAAAGGAGGGCGGAATGGACGACCGTGAGCCTCATGTTGATTGATAGATGCGTGTCGAGACCCTGTCCAACGTATCCCACGATTCAATAGCACTGAGGACTCCAATGGACAGTCGGGTGCACACAGTTGTATCAAACTTCTAGGTCAGCCGGACCATGCACGTACCTTGGAATGAGGCTGGCAACCCTGGATTCGAACACCAAAGCAGGGCGAGGAATGGCGACACTGTCAAAGAGATCCAAAGCCAGGCGTTGCTGATGCAGAGACCAAACTACAGCAGCAAAAAAGGCGGGAATCCCACGTCTACAACCAAAATCTACATATAGATCAGGAGAGGGGTCCGGAGAACGATGTTCCCCGTATGGGGTATCCGTAACACGATGTCTGCATCAGGGCGGGGGTTACTGGGGTGAGATGTCGCGACTGGTATTACATTGCGAGTCCGGATTGGTGGTATTTCCAGCTCGACGCTCCTAGCTCTCGGCATTGGAAGCGCTATCATTTCTTCTTTTCGATCCTTTTCATTCTCACCCCATGGATTCAAGGCGGTGTGAGGACGGTCAAAAGTGGCAGCAGCATGCATGTCTCTGACTTACGGGTCGATCACTTTTTAACTTTGCTGATATTCAAAGATGCCGGGAGGTTTCAGACCATCTCTGAATTGGCGGTCTGGCATGCAGTCAGACATGCAGAAGACACTGAAAGAGTAGTTTTGACATCCGTGTAACATTGATGATCCCCTAGCCCCCTCTTGTGTCCCCTGGTGATGGTCCCGCCGGGAGCCAACTGGCACAGCCGAATCAAGCTGAGAGGCTTGAACCATCGGGAATCACTTCTTCATCCATCGGACGTCCGGTGAAGATACGGTACAGTAGTGCGGAATACGGATATTGTCACGGTACGAGTAGTCGCTTATAATGGTTGATAATACGGCCCGCCAAGCCGCTTTTATCACATCTCGGCTGACCTTCCCTGGCATAAGTATCAAAGTACGTAGTACGAAAGTTGGAGGAGTTGGGCTTGTTCAACTGCGTTTGGACCCCAGGTTCGCATCCTCAAACTCTATGCGATATTTCTTACCGTCTAGCTGATAGACTCGCGCCCCGGAAGAGACGGCGGGAGACCTAGCAGGTATCGTCTGTCTAGCCGTAGACAATGGCTTATTCTCCCTCGCCTACATCGCCCACCCGGCTTGACAATGCTGCGGATCTCAATCCTCGCTCCCCGACTCCTCCTGCGCAGCCCTTGTCGAAAAGAGACAAACGAAGGAATCAACATGTGGCCCATCAGCAGGAACTGTACAATGAGCTGGCCTCAAACCGGGAACAGCACTACCGAGAGCAACTTATCGCCCTGCAGACTGACATGAGCCTCATCTCCCAGGCATATCTCTACGATGCGGAGCCCCTGGAAGATTCACCAGAGGAGGTGGCTAGAATTGCAGAACTCGCAGCTTCGGGTACTCCGTATCAGTCACAAATGTCGTCTCTTGCTGGTAAATGGTATGCCGAGTTTGTGCAGGAAGTAAACGATGCGAAAGAAGCCAAAGAGATAGCTCTGATCCAACTTATGGTAGGTTGAATCCAGCCAATGTCAAGCCTTCCAAACCTAACCCAAGCATACAGAACAACCACAATACACGCCTAGAAAGAGTGAAGTACGAATGTGACTATCGGCTCCATCTCGCTGCGGAGGAGTGTGAACACATGACATCGACCTTGCGGGAGCGGCTTTTCCAAGCGCTTTCCAACAAGCGACAACGTCTGATGAAGGAGAAGGAACAACTTGACATTGCCGATACCAACGCTCTTCTTCTGCATCCGAGTCAGTTCAGTATCACCAACCCCGCAAGTCCTGGAGGGAACCACACCAGTCGCAAAACACGCTTCACAAGACATCGGGAGCAAGAAGACTTGAATGGAGAAGGCACGAACAAGCGAAAGCGTAGACACGCAGATGACGACGTTGGTTCACCCTCACGAAACGGGGTTTCGACTCCCGCAGACCGCGGCCGTGGAGCGGCGGCCAACCAGACAGCCCCCCTCTATTCGATCCACTCGCTCTTCACAGATAAGGAACTCAACTTCCAATCCCACCAGGCCCAGGTTGCAGCTCGACACTTCTTCGCAACGTCTCGAAAGGAGGGCGAGACAGGCAGCACACGAAAGCGAGGCCGAGATGACGATGATAAACGCGCTGGGTCCGAGGACTCTGGTTCCGAGGATGATGAAGAGCTGGAAGCACCTGAGATGGACAGATCTGCAAGTCAAAATGTGCACGTCACCAGGTCGACTCGGACGTTTGGCGGCATCAATGGATTGAACTCGCTCAGCGACTTGGCAGAGAAATCAGCCACTCGTCCTGCCCTCCCCTATGCCACATTACACACGCATCAAGGAAGACAGGGGACGTTCCTACCCCAGCCAAGCCGATTAATGGCGGAGGAACTCGAGGAAGATCTATTGAAGATTGCTCAGATTGAAACACAGCCCAAAGGCCAGGTCGACAAGAGGGCGATTGAAGAAGCACTCAAACCCTTGTCCGAGTCACGGAGTAACTTGGCCCCGGATTGGCCAGTGTATCTCGATGTCCATCTTGTGGAGGTGGATCCAAGGAAGACAAGAGCACGGGGAGCCTGACCGCAACGTGGAGCGGGTTCGCGGCTTTGCGGCTTTGGGAGGGGACAGGCTGTCGCAACGTAGGGATGAACCATCTGAGGTCTGAGGCAGAGAGCGACTGAAAGATGACTCAAGAAGGTAATATGCCGGTGTCGCCCATACGACAGGAGCGGTAGACTTAGTTACAGGCAGATGGTGTCATCAATACTGATCATGTGCTGTCCGCCGTCCCCGGATTCCTCCTCCACCTCTCCACCCATATTCCCTGTCGAGTGTCCAGTGACTGCTCATCACTCTCCTCCCCCGCACTTTTCGCATCTTGCAGAGCTTCATGACCTGGTCGAATGGTCGGCCATGTCTCTGGTCATCCTGCTTAGCTCACTCCGATCTTACAATTGTCCTGCCCACCGGCGATGGGCGATGGGCGATGGGCGATGGAGCTGCGGTGTGAGTAATGTAACCTACGCACCGCTTCCTGGTAAGTCCAATTATAAATTCCTGTCCCATTCCAGGTTTGCTGGCCAGTCTCTGTGTACTGTGGCTGCTTCCATATTATACTAGGTGTCGTCACAGTATGCGGTGTTCGATCGTACACATCCTCCTGGGCTACACGGTCGTTGCGCCTGTCCTGTGCCAGACAAGCACGAACTCCTCCAATTCGACCGGGACTGTGAGCCCTTTCGCTGTCTATACTTTGTCGGCGGAGAACATCACGGCAAAATTTATACCCTATGGCGCTCGTCTTACATCTCTCCTAGTACAGGACCGCCAGGGCCAGTTGCAAGATGTGGTAGCAGGATACGACAATCCGACTCAATATGTGACCGATACCGAAACGAATCATACCTACTTCGGGTCGATTGTCGGCCGGTACGCAAATCGCATCAAGAATAGCACCTTTACGTTGAACGGCCATACCTACCATATTCCGGCCAACGAGAACGCCGGCGCGGACACTCTGCATGGAGGTACCGTCGGGTATGATCAGCGCAACTGGACCGTGGTGGCCACATCGAGTTCGAGCATCACTTTCAGTCTGCTTGACACCGGCTTCGAGGGATTCCCTGGCACTGTTCTAATAACAGCCACGTTCACGGTTGGGAGTTTTGCCAGTGGGCCGCATGGCGAAGTGCACCCGCGACTAACGAGCAGTATTGTATCTCAGGCCCTCGATCAAGAGACGCCGATAATGCTGGCAAACCACATTTACTGGAACCTGAATGCATTCAAACAGGCGACAATACTGAATGACACCACTTTGTGGATGCCTTATTCCGATCGGTATATCGTCGTCGACCCTATCTTGATCCCGACCGGTGCACTGGGGTCAGTCTCCAACTTGTCCGCATTGAACTTCACCTCGCCTAAGCTGCTTGGAGACGCTATCGCCCACGCCGCTGGCGTTTGCGGAGCAGGGTGTACCGGGATAGATAACGCTTTCATCCTTGACAGACCGGCCGATGCTGGCCCAACATCGTCCAACTACCCCGTGCTCTCATTGTGGTCCGAGACTACGGGAATACGGGTGGACGTGTCGACCAACCAGCAAGGGCTCCAGTTATACAGCTGCAACGGCCAGAATGGCACTATTCCGGTCAAGCAAAGCCAGCAACAGAGAAACAACGGCACACAGGGCGCGGCCAAGTATGTCAACAAGCATGGCTGTCTGGTCATTGAGACGCAAGCCTGGATTGACGGGGTTAATCATCCGGAATGGGGGGTTAACAATTACGAGCTCTTCTCGCCCACAACTGGGCCTGCAGTGAACTTTGCCACCTATGATTTCTCGACTTTTTGAGAGACCCGCTGCGATGACGAAGAGAAGGAAAGGGTTAGAGAGTAGAGTGAGTTGAGTACCTATTCTACCTATTCTAGTGAAGAATGAAAAGTGGCATCGATTCTATAATCTATGAGGCGTGTGGGAGCAGCCAATCAGGATCCCTAGATTCACGTCATTGTAAACAAACAAAGTGCCATGAACGTACGAGTACCAGTATCACCAACACAGGCACGGCACAGCACAGCACAGCGTTGCAGGGCAAGCACAACCACAACCGCGACAGTCATATTCGACCTGGCTGGCAACAGAACCACAGCAGCCTACGATACTCTTGATGGCCTCCATGCTCGCCCGTGAACTTGCACTTTTCTTTGCCTGAATGGGATGCTGGAGCAGCCCGAGCCCGAGCATTTCAGCCATTTAATTTCCAGCATGTCGCAAGCCCCCACCAAGACTTCGTCCTTCCACTACGACGACGCCAGCTCCTCGCCCGATCCTCTCGCCACTTCTATCGACGATGGCATGGTTATGGGGAGTGTCGCAGCTACAGCTGGAACTAGACTATCACCTTTCAAGAGGACGGGAACACGTGTAATCCAGGCACCGAGGAGAGCTTCCAAAACGACACACCACGAGTTTGGATCGATACCCTCCTCTCCCTTTCGCGCCGTGTCCGAGCAGAATACCAGCCCCTGGAAAATTAGAGTCACAGTGGAAACAGAACACGAGGAGTCGGAGATGGATAACACGGCGACCCGGAGAGTGACTAGGACGGTGATGATTCCCCTGCGCCAGGACTCTTCGCCCGCAGACAAGGAAGACGGCTCCGTTAGAGGAAGAAGATCTCAAACAAGTCCCAGCAAAGGCAAGAGAAGCGGGACCCCAGTACGTGGCGGGAGGAATGGGGATCGCGCCCGGAGACAGAGTGTGACAGACCTGAATGTACGACCACTAGGCGACGATGCAGACGAGGATGACTGGTTGAGGCAGAAAAGATCGCCGCGCAAGAGAAAGGTATCTCGAAGTCGAAAGAGTGTTCATGGTGGCGAAGCCATGACGCAGTCGGCAGGACAATCCAATGTTTCTGATTTCGAGATCCGACGGGATACGGATGCTGAAAGCGACGATGGTCTTCCGCACCAAGAACATGCCACATCTGATGTTGAATCAGCCGGACTGCGCAACCTCGACTTGAACAGAGTGACAGTCCGACCCCGAGCGCTGTCCACCAAATGTGAACCCAAGGGGTTTCTGGACAATGAAGGGCCAGCAGCACTCCCAGCGAGAAAGCCGTCGGAGGTGCGAAAAGTGTCCGTTAACAGCGCGAAGAGCTATCCGACTCCCTCTCCCAGTTCCTCCCCCCATAGAGACTCTGATGACATTGGCAATCCTGCGGATCACATCTCCCCTGGTCATGAAGGCTTTGACACCATACTTGAAAGCGAAGGGTTTACCATGATCGATCTGGAGACCCTCCCCTCAGCCAAGCAGTACTTCAGTAGCCCGGCAGAAGCGGAGGTAGAGAAGCTGTCTGGGTCTTCAAAAGAAGTGTCCTGGCAAAAGCAAGAAGCAACAGCAATACTGAAAAGTGATGGCGACAGTTCAAGGAGAAAAGAGCCTTCGGTTGAGACGGATATGGTTACCTATCCAGCTCTGGATATTGACGATAGTGACATATCCAGCACCGTTCCCTCGTCACCGCCAGTCCTAGAGCAGAAGAAGAGCCTCTTGCAGGTCCCGAGCTCGACGGCAAGCACTGCTCGAAAGGTGACACCACAACCGTATTCATCCCCCCAACTCCCCTCTCCCCCAAAACAAGATGTTCGAAGAACTCCGCACCACCAACATCGTGGATCTGTCTCCGCTCTAGTCGCCGGCATTGCATTACAGGGCGTAGTCTCGCCGAAGCACTCCAGCGACAGGGTCTCGGCGAGAGAGAAACGCACATCGTCACCATCTCGAGACCCGGAGAACGCCGGTGGGTTGTTTCAAGGATTTGACTCGGGGACTCAACGCGAGCTTAGAGCTGGGCTTAGATTCGGTGAAGAACTTGCCCGACGTCAATCTCCAGCTCAACCGACGGCAGTGTCTCCCACAGATCCTTCCACGACCGAAGAGCACAAGCCGTCGGATTTGGGCACAGGCACCGCCCTGAAAGCTCAAGCCAAGGTCGATAATCAAGCCGGAACGCAAGTTTGGCGAGGTGAAAATTTGGTCCAGCGTACTCCAGTCCAAGTCTTGGCCAGCAACGCTATCAAGGTGACGGAAGCGGACAAATCTCACCCCCGGACACCTCAGATTGCACCCTCGACGAAGGGAGACAGAACACTCTTGGATACCCAGGCTCGACGAGAACGAGAGTGGCAATTGGAGAGAGAAGCTATTTCGAGGCAGATTCAAAATGCCAACGAGAGCCAGGTCATTGTGATTGATAGTGACAGTGATGACGAGGATGAAGCCTTGCAAGAAAGCCGAGACGCCAATGCATGGTGTGACTCCTGTGCTCAGGACAACGACGAGGAAGAGGATATCTGGCTCGCGGAAGCAAAGAACTCCTCGAGTCCAGGACCGGAGGCAGATGTGCCGGCTCGATCTGACGAGAACGATTTCTTCATTCGGACTGACCAAATCAAGCAGCGCGAGCGATCAGGAGATGTCCTGAGTCGGCCGCGGAGGAGTCTGATACCGAGTCCATGGAAACGAGGCGATGATATTGATCCTCCGCTCGAGCAGAGCACCTTTGTATCGACCACCGCGGACGACATTAGCGGCCTATTGTTCTACAAAGACGGAGAAAGTAAGATTCAGTTCGGTGCTGGAGAGATCAAGAGACAGCAGCTGCGGCAGAGAACTAGTAGTGGGACATTCGACATTAACCTCATGGTAGGGACGCCGACCAAGGAGCGTGTCGAGGACGAGACCGCCGAAGAGAGTGTTCTGGAGGAAGAGGACAGTATCGACAGAACAGACACACAGGCCCATGTCGATGAAAGTGGACTTTCAACGCAAACGCAGGAAGATGGGAAACCTGGCCAGGATCTGAGCAACGACAGCATGAACCCTCCGGAACCAGCTACTTCTACTTCGCAACCCATCAGAATCCCCGTAAATTTCAACAACTCATCAAACCCCATTCCAGCGCAGCCAGGCGTCTGTCTTCAACCTACCCAACTCCGATCGCCCTCACCTGGTCAGGCTGTGCTATTATCTCCCCAGCGACCACCGACACCTCGCTCTGCATTGAAAGGCTCCCGGCAGAGCTTTCCAGAAGACCTGGGAAAGGAGAAGCCAGACACGCCCAACGTGATTAGAAAAGTGGTTTTTAGTGAAAGATCAAGAGGTGTGGATATTCATGGCCTGGAAAGCAGCTTCAGTATGAGGTCGGGAAGTGATGACTCTACGGCTGGTGAGCTTGAATGGCAGTTATACCGTGAGTGGCAGGCCCATGACGCATCACAGAGTGCGAAGGCATGCGAGGGCGAAGTACAGACAGAAGACGAGACTGAAGAGCATGGACAACATTCACCAAACGAGGCGAAGACTTGGGTCCCCGAAGACGTGTCTACGACAGTCCGCTCTGTGCCCGACCCTGCGCCGGCGAAGAAAGGCTGGACCAGCTGGCTCTGGGGATCCAAGGCAACACCACAACCGGACTTGGAATCCAGCTCATCTCCTGGCCAGGGCCAGGATCAGGGCCAGGACATGGACCAGTATCTACCCACGATCAAGGGGATCTCAAGCACTGCACGCATGGATGGAGCAGAAGACGAGGAAGACCACGACGATGAATCTCATCAACAAAGTCAAAGTCAAAGTCGAGGCTGGGAGAAGACGAGATCATCCATCGCGTCGTCGCACTCGACCTGGGACAGCAACAAGCGAACAGCCTCGACACAAGTTCGTCCTCAAGCAAGCAAGCCAGCCAACAGCGACAAACCCACCAGATCCGTGACCAAACCACCATCTTACCTCCTCCCGCCATCCTATCCGTCCGACCCACGCCGAGCACCCACCAGTGCGCTCGCTCTAAGCGGGAAATTCACCAACACGCACTTCCGCACGCTGCACATCATCTACCGCAAATCCCTGCGCCCGAAATTCCACGCCCCGGCACGTCGGACGATCCGGCCAGAAGTCATGGCCCTGCTGGGCATGGAGATGGAAATTGACGAGACGGCACATGGAGTCGACGGGGTTTTCACCTGGAAAGTCGGCCACGCCGAGTGTGAAGTGCTGGAACGTTTCATGCAGGAGTGTGAGTTTAGTCACGGGGTTTGGATGGGCAGGAAGGTTTGTATCAGCTCCGGCCTTGACACCCACAACAACGGCGACCTCGACAGCAAGGTCAAGATCGTCCTCGGCGAGCAAGTGGCTGTGGAATGGGGCTGGAGCGTCGAGCAGCTGGCAGAATGGCTGTGTCGGATCGTTGTGGGGGAGGTGGTTCGGGAAGAGGAGCAGACGGGCAACGACAAGGGCAACGGCAAGGACAAGGGGATGAAAGTCAGATAGGATGACAATGACACTGCCCATAGCTGTATAAACGGGGATGCGTACTCTGTTGTGTGTGTGCTGCTGCTCTGTTCTACTTGTTGCTCTCGCCACGGATGCCGCTCTTGGGGTTGGGTTTTGGCTGGCGCCTTGATATTGATAATGATATTGATATTGATAATGATATTGATAATGATATTGATAATGATATTGATAATGATATTGATAATGATATTGATATTGCCATTCGTATTTCTATTCCTATTAGCCTACTCATATTACGACGTCTTTTTCTCTCTCTGTGTCTGTGTGTGTGTGTGTTCTATAATATTAATGCTCCGTTCTCCTCATCTTTCTCTACCGTAAAAGATGTGCTATGCTATGTGCTACATGCGCGTTCGGTCATCCTGGAAGTTGTTATTTGAAACTCCAAGTCGACATCTCGGGGTATCGGGGTATCATATTGAACTACAGTGGCAGTAAGAGGAGTAATGGCAGAAGGAGGAGTAATAGCAGTTATAGCAGTTATAGCAGTTATAGCAGTTATAGCAGTTATATCAGTAAGAGCAGTTATAGGAGTCATAGCAGTAAGAGCAGTAAGAGCAGTTATAGGAGTAATGGCAGTAATGGCAGTCTGCATTCTGATCCTGATATTTGATATGGCTCGAGCTGGTGTCGATATCAACCACAGTATCCCATTGCCTCATTGCCGTAGCTCGCTGGATATTGTTGATATCTGATAACCCGTTCCTGCGCGATGCATATTTGACCACCCCCTTGAAGACCAGTACAATACATTTATTTTACCAAGGTAGTGAACATGCCACCCCGGCATTCATTGACCGGCATTGTCCTCTCCCAGTATCATCTCTATCCATATACTCCGTCCAGTATGGGGTTTGGTACACAGGTTGCGGAGGGACCATGGCCTAGAGTTTCGTATCAAAGACCAGGATAGACTATCGTCGCCACAACCGATCAAAGGACCATGACAGAGCTAGGCGCGGGAGCAACTTGAGAGGCCAGAGCAAGGAGGAATATCTCATCCGATGATAGGTGCCACGATACCCTGCCTCCTGCTGAGATGCCAGGACTGAAATTGTCGGTGATGCTTGACGAGCGATGACAGCTAAGAGTTTCTGCCGTCAAAACATGTTGAGGGGAGAGTTCGCCTGCTCGAAGCAGGAAAATCGACTCGTCAATCATGATGGCTCATTCCGCGTCAATCGTTGCTTCAAATTGGAGAAAGGTTCAGCCAAAAGTCGGCTCTTCCGTCAGAGTCCACAAGCCGCCGTCAGAATATTCTGAGGTGGTCCAACTGTCTGGTAACCATCTCCAGCCGCACCTTCAATCACTTGGGTGTAGCTAGCACTGCCGGTGAAATTACAGGGACCGTACCCTGCAACCACACCAATCTGGTCAATCGTAATGTCGCTGCAGTCCCCGATAGCGTAGGCCGGTATACCGAGACATTCAATGTTTTCCAGGTCGTATGTTGTACCATCGGCTGGAACCCACAAGCCATAGGTTTGAGATCCTCCGACCATGACGACGTTGGTTGGCCAATCGCCCGACGAGGAGAAGTCGGAGTCGCTAACAGGTGACCGGACCTTGATCTTCCTGGGATTGAGTGATTTACGAACAACTGGGGTCGCTGAGGCAAAGCCGAGGAATGCCAACCAGAAACAGAGTAAAGCTGGATAGTACATTTCGGATTGTGTCGATACGGTTGAGTGAAACGAAGGATCAATGTTCGATTGTGTTGGAGGATAAGATACAGTGAGAGTAATCGCTTCTGCAAGCCCTTTTTAAACCGTACCTAGGTATCGGTGGCTTGACCTTCCTTCTCGCCCAAACAAGTCCTGCGTCGGACGGGAAGCAATAGGAAGGACCCTGAACTCCTGTGAAATATCGGTGCTGGAGTGCTGGACAGATAAGAGAACGGGTTCCGATGCAGATAAGAGGCCAGTATGTGCAGAAGCTGTGGAGGAGGCTGCCCTGTGAGACAGTTTCTCTTGTTCCAGTCGGGTTTAAGAACAGTGGGAGTTCTATGTTAACGAGTGACAGGGTGGAGGAAGATTGAAGGACGATTGGACTGGCGGATTCAAGTCTCGACTGTTCGGGACACTGTGCGCTGATGCGCCGGGATCTTGGGTAACGAACGTGAGAGAGAAAGAGTTTACAAGAAGGAAGACTGAAGGAAAATAATAGTCGTATTTGCAGGCCAGTCAGTGTTGCAAGGCGTTCTGACCCAGGGGCCACAAGAGGGCACTAGAATTGTCGACGATTGAAGCTTGAATGGTCACTATGACCAAGAGGATGCCAGTAGCCGGTAACGGTGGCGGGCGTTACAGCAGCCAACAACAAGCGTGCGGTTCGAGGCGCACGCACGATCGAAACCGGCTCGTCCGGCGGACAGGCATACCAGAGGATATATGCCAATATGGCTATCTCACGGAGGATTTGAGATTTTGGAGTGGGATTGCTACGAAACAGACTGTCAGTGGTGCCCGCCGACCGGGTTGAGGCGAGCAATCGAGGTTGACGACCAGTTCGAAAGGGTGACGTTGGGATGCGACGACCCGGTGGTGGTGTGGCTCTTCTCTGGTCTCTGGTCTCTGGTCTCTTGATCCACGGATGGAGGAGAGAACGCACGGTTGCTCTCGGGTGGGTTTCAGGTGGACTGGTGAGTCTTCCCTGATTGACTGCCCTTCTCGGCGCCCATGGCCCTTCCGCCGCTCCTTAACTCTGGAGTCTCGGAACATGATGGTTGAAGGGATGGTTCTGGAGCTCATGATGGGGGGCGGGCAGACGATGTGGGTGACGCGTCGGGATGCAGCCGATTTGCTTCTGGGCCTGGTATCCCTGCAGATATTAGGATTGGCCTTAGGACCCTTGTCAAAGGCAGTTGATGGGCTCTCAGGGCCTGGCGCTTGAGAACGTGGTGCCGAGGTGCGGCAGCATTCTGTAAGGCCAGCGCCAAAGGATTTGGGCTGTTATGGAGGTGGATCACCCGGTCTAGGCTGGTAGAAGGCCGGATTGCAGGATTTGGGGGCGAAGCGTGGCTTAGGATAGAAGGGAGTCCGCAGCTCGGTCCGGAAGGTAAGAAAGCCCGTTGCGTTGAGAAGCCGAGGGGATTGTCATGAGAGATAAGAGGTAAGTCAGGTAAGTCAGGTAAGAGGGGTAGAGGGAGAGAGTATGGAGGAAAACCTGAAGCATTGCTACAATGCTGTACTTTGTACGGAGCACGTGTACATAGGTACTCGGTAGGTGGCAAGGAAGCTCAAGGACCTGCAAACTGCGCTTCTGGCGGGGTCATTGATGTATCTTGCTGGAGCCACCAGAGCTAGAACAGGCAGCACCTACAGGTACGGAGTACTGTTGTACTATTAAGATGCACGACTAAGGCACGCACGCTTCATCCGTCGGTTACTACCCTCAGGGAGGTACGGAATAGTCAGTACTTGGCCCCCAGCCTTCTACATTTACAACTTCAGTTGGGCATGCAACGAGAAAGAATACGAATCCTCGTATCTCGTCTCTGTCTATCCGTCTTATGCCTTTCCGTACCACTGTCCCAGCACCAGTGACCCCGAGCTACAGCGGCCCTACATACTACGGATACCCCATACACCTACCTACCTAGATACCGAGGACGGAGTACTGCGGTGGTAGCTCCCCAACATCCCACGTCTCACCTCACCTGTCGGCGAAGTCGCCTCTTTGTCGCCGATCCCAGGCTGCCAGATACCACTACCCAACGAACTAGCAGCTAGACGCTGGCATTAACAATTAGGTAGATCCAATATCTCGTCCATACCGGGACCACGCGGGAGAGATGGTGTCCCGCACCTTATGGCCGACCCTTCGGGCATGAACTGACTGATTTCTGGCATACTATTGTATGAGCCTCAGGTCGGGGTTGATACTTGATGGAGAGCATGTCTTAAGCCCTGCTCACAGCAAAGCAACAGAGTAACAACACATCCATACTGATAGTGCTACTTCAAGAGTCAAACCTAGTTTCACATCAGACCAGAGTACCCTAACTATCCCTACTACTAGCCATGTCGTCCCAGTTGAACCCGCCTGCATTAGCAGAAGCACTACGGAGTATTTCAGAACAAGTGCCACACCACGACGATGCTTGTTGGGCCAAGATCGTCATGATCACTCTGTACTGTTCGACCTTTAGCTCGTATGTAAGATATGTCCATCAGGTTGCAAACCCGACGGCCAGTCTGAGTATTCCTCGCCCTCCGTACGGCGTCTGGCTGAAGTGGTACGTCGGCACAGCCAGCACATCTCCATAACCTCGACCTCCTTGGAAGTCAAACACCTCAAGACTGTAGATATCTATGGTAGAACCGTGCCGCTCTGCCTTCCACTAGGAGAGCACGTGTACTTCGTAGAAAGTATTGTGCTGAGTGCACCACATCAACATGCTGCACGATGGAACCCAGGTTCGAGCCCCTGCGCCCCCTGATGAACCCCCCGAACTGCTCTCTGAAGTGTAGGGCAGTGTCTTGAATGGTGCTATCTCGATATATCTCTCACTCCCAGCTCTTCCCTGTGCTAGCTCTCCATGGGTTTCGCGATACTGCCGAGAATGAGGCGGGATTTGCCAGGCATTGTTGCTGTTTTGGGTGACAAAGTGTCGCGTCAACAAGCTTTGGTAGGTACTGTAGGGAATTTCGCTGTTTGCCGCCTCTTCGTCCACAATCATGCCACTGTCCTCATCTTCTTCCAAAGGTGGTGTATTGGTGCTCATGGAGAGGCCAAAAGGCATTCCTGATGGAACATTCCACTGTTCTTGGAACGGGTCGTGGCTTGACAAGACGGAGGGATTGTGGAGAGCTCGGGTGGTCACCTCGACGATATGCGAGACTTCACACTTGGAGAAGGTATATTCAGCATTGTCCGCACATTCGAGAAAGGTTCGCAGCTGGAGATTCATCAAGTGACGACCTGGGTTGACGAAACTGCGAGGCAGGTGGTCAGGGTTACTCTCAGCCACCGAGCAGCAGAAGAGCTTAGGTCGGCGTGCTAATGGCGGAGCTGCGAAACTCTCCCAAGAGTTTCCATTGCGCTGACTCTTGTGTACATCTCTGCCTGAAGCAAGCCGAGTTCCGCCTCTAGGAGCCATCATGATCTGCGACAGAATAGAAGAGCACGATGCGGAAATCCGAAGCGCAGCAAAGTTGAACGAGGAGCAGCAATGCGGTGGTCCTTGAGGTGAGGTTGATGCGCGCCTTCCTTGCGTGGTCGCCGATGAGGTCAAGGTGTTTCTAGCTCGCAAAGTTAGCTAGAATGAGAGGGAGAGGCAAGCAGCGAGGTGCGTACGTTTTGGAGATCGGGAGATGTATAAAAGACCTACACAGAAGCTGGTGAATCCGCAGGCAGATGGAGGGTGTGTGCTCAATTTGAACTGCAATTGCCTCAATTCTGATCTGAATGAGACACACAAAGACCGCGTGCAGCTGCGCAGCTCAAGGCTGGAATACTGCCACACCCTCTGAGCAATCACCCCCTTTGAATTCCCCTTTGTTTCTTAGGTACGTAGTAGAGTAAGTCATCGTCTTGCCAGAGTCATTGAATCCAGGCCTGGCCACACACTCTACGGTCGCTGGACCTTTGTCACCAACCAGCACACACAGGGCCCATCACTAATTTGCGACCACTTGAATGTTGTTCTTTCGCTGCGAGAATTGTGAGATGGCCCAAAACAGATACAAGGATACTGCCTTACCTTCCATTTGTCCATCTCGTCTTGCTTGGTCTTATATTGTTTCACCAACTCTTCCAACACTTGCTTCAATCCATCTGAGTTTGTCTTGAGCGCCGGTAAGACGTCCTTGACAGTCCTCTCAACAAGCACGCCGTTGATCAATCGGAAACACCTGCGGTCGGCCGGAAGTGGCTGCAGAGTTTCGGTGACGAGCCTGTATTTCCAAAGTCAGCCGCCGATTGCCGCGAGCAAAGACAGTTTCAGTGCAATCCTAGGAGAGATGCGCACTTATGTTCTTCTATCTCTTGTTCGATCTCTCCGACCTTCTGTGCCAGCGATTGTAAGGTATTCTTATAGTTGGTGTACTGTAATTGCAATTCTATTAACCTTTAGCAAGGCCGTGCAAAACGTATGAAAGAACAATACCTTGCTGCTTCTTGTGAGCTACGTCCTGGCCAGATGCCATGTTGTCGTCGTATGTGGAGATGGGAAGTACGGTGGGATGTTGAAGTCTATGTATCAGGTGCGGAGGTGGCAGACAAAAGTGCGCGAGGCTTTCGCATAAACTCCGGTTCAACTTTTTCGACTACTTTATTGTTTGGTGAAACTTCAGCACCAACGCCGCCTCATACTTCAACATCTCTGTCGGTGCAACCGTTTGGCTATCTGGAAGGCGCTCATAGCGCTCACATTACCACACATGATGGAGCGCACCCATAGTCCCAAAAGGCGCAAACTCGCCGGAGACTTCCATCACTCTCAGACCGAGTCGAATGAAGATCTGGCGCCGGCTCTGAAGCCTCAACATCCCTCTAAGTCTCGTTTTGCGAGAGCGTCCGACCGAAGCCATAGTCGAGATCCGAGGCCTACGCCCCGGCAGGAAGAGTTCGATGGGCCGGAACCATTTTTCAACGATGAAGACACTACCGCATTGGACCGGGATTGGTATGAAGGCGACGAATTCGGCCATGCATTTGGCGACGAAACTCACAATCCCTTCGGCGGAGCAGATTTGGCATGGGCGGACAGACAACGTGAACAAGCGCTGGTCGACAAGAAACTGGGGAAGCGCATCACTGCCAAAGCAGCGCAAAAACAAAGAGAAGTGGACGCATGGGAGGCGAATCGCATGGTGACGTCGGGAGTTGCGCAAAGACGCGACCAAGGTCAGGACTTTGATGATGAAGAGTCGGTCCGTGTTCACTTGTTGGTTCACGAGTTGAAGCCCCCCTTTCTGGATGGGAAGACGATCTTCACAAAGCAAATCGATCCAGTGCCAGCGGTGCGGGATTCGCAAAGCGACATGGCGGTCTTCGCCCGCAAAGGCAGCAAAGTCGTCCGGGAGCGGAGACAGCAAAAAGAGCGGCAGAAACAAGCACAGGATGCCACAAATGTTGCCGGGACTGCCTTGGGCAACATCTTGGGCGTCAAGGAGGACGAAGGTGATAGTGCGGCCGCATTGCCTGGGGAGGATCCCGGGACTGGGAAAAGCAAATTTGCTTCCCATCTCAAAAAGAACGCTGGGACCTCGGCATTCAGCAGAAGCAAGACTCTGAAGGAACAGAGAGAATACCTACCTGCCTTCGCCGTGAGAGAAGAGCTCATGCGTGTGATTCGGGACAACCAAGTTATTATTGTGGTTGGGCAGACTGGCTCCGGCAAGACTACCCAGCTGACTCAATTTCTCTACGAGGAGGGCTATGGTGAGCAGGGCTTGATCGGCTGCACTCAGCCTCGAAGGGTTGCCGCAATGAGTGTTGCAAAGCGTGTCAGTGAGGAGATGGAAGTTGACCTGGGCGGTCTGGTCGGCTATGCCATTCGCTTTGAGGACTGTACCAGCGATGAGACGGTAATCAAATGTAAGTCCAATCTTGCGTCGTGCGTGCATGAAGGGGACTAACTCGTCGGACAGATATGACAGATGGTGTATTGCTTAGAGAATCTCTCACGCAAAGAGATCTAGACAAATACTCCTGCCTCATCATGGATGAAGCGCATGAACGGGCTCTCAACACTGACGTTCTCATGGGCCTGATCAAAAAGGTGCTCGCTCGCCGCAGAGATCTCAAGTTGATCGTCACGTCTGCCACCATGAATTCGGAACGGTTTTCTCGATTTTATGGCGGAGCGCCCGAGTTCATCATCCCTGGCCGCACATTCCCCGTTGACATTCAATTTTCTCGCTCTCCATGTGAGGACTACGTTGACAGTGCGGTCAAGCAAACCTTGGCTATCCACGTCTCGCAGGGACCAGGTGACATCCTTGTTTTCATGACCGGCCAAGAGGACATTGAAGTCACCTGCGAACTGATCGAGGAAAGGCTCCGGCTGCTGGTGGACCCTCCAAAACTGCTGGTGCTACCCATCTATTCTCAGATGCCCGCAGACCTGCAGGCCAAAATCTTCGATCCTGCACCCCCCGGCGTCCGCAAAGTCGTCGTGGCTACCAACATTGCCGAGACCTCTTTGACCGTCGACGGGATAATGTATGTTGTGGATGCCGGCTACTCAAAATTAAAGGTGTATAATCCTAGGATGGGTATGGATACACTACAAATCACCCCCGTCTCCCAGGCCAATGCCTCTCAGAGAGCCGGCCGAGCAGGTCGTACTGGGCCGGGCAAGGCTTTTCACCTCTACACGGAGCCAGCGTTCAAGAACGAGCTTTACATCCAGACCATTCCTGAGATTCAACGTACCAATCTGGCAAATACGGTCCTCTTGCTCAAGTCACTCGGCGTCAAGGATTTGCTGGAGTTCGACTTTATGGATCCTCCGCCTCAGGACACAATCACCACATCGCTTTTCGACCTCTGGGCCCTGGGCGCACTGGACCATGTCGGCGATCTGACGGCTATTGGCCGAACCATGACCGCGTTTCCTATGGACCCTTCCCTTGCCAAAATGCTGATCACCTCTTCGATGGAGTATGGTTGTAGCGAGGAAATGCTAACAATTGTGAGCATGCTTTCGGTGCCGTCTGTATTTTACAGGCCGAAAGAGCGGCAAGATGAGGCAGACGCCGCGAGAGAAAAGTTCTTCGTACACGAATCGGACCACCTCACATTGCTCCACGTCTACATTCAATGGAAAAGCAATGGTTTCAGCGATGCCTGGTGTATACGACACTTTCTACACCCCAAATCACTGCGACGGGCGAAGGAAATTAGAGAGCAACTGCACGATATCATGGTCGGCCAGCAAAAGATGGAACTGGTCTCGTGTGCTACGGATTGGGACGTGATCCGAAAGTGCATCTGCTCGGGTTACTACCATCAAGCTGCCCGTCGGAGGGGTGTAGGAGAGTACATCAATCTTCGGACCAGTGTGACCGTCCAGCTCCATCCTACATCCGCTCTTTATGGGCTTGGGGACCCGCCCGACTATGTGGTCTACCACGAATTGATTTTGACAAGCAGGGAATACATGAGTTGCGTGACGGCCGTCGACCCTCACTGGCTCGCCGATCTCGGTGGCGTTTTTTATAGCTTGAAGTCCAAGGAGTACAGCGGAAGAGAAAAGCGGATCATCGAGAGCGAATTCAATCGAAAGATGGAGATCGAGAAACAGATGGCAGAGGATCGAGCGAGAGAAGAAAAGCGGCGTCAGGAAGAAGAGGAGAAGGAACGGCTACTTGCGGGAAGGACCAAGAGCAGTGGCGTGGTGGTCAAGAAGATGGGAAGCCATGGAGTGGTGAAGAAGCCGGTGATTCCCAGGCGACGCATGGGGTTCTGAATGGTGGCCAACCAACATCCATAACCTAGCACAGATGGTAGAAGTGCATAAAAAAGAATGAATGCAAGGTCCAGGTCCAGGTCCAGGCTTCTTCTCGTGGGGTGACTGGGGGACCCTGAAAACCTTCCATGGCTATAATGGCCACACTCGTGCAGGAGACCATTGTCGCAGTCGCAGTCGGAGTAGCAGTCGCGAGTCTGAGTCGAATAACGTGAAGTGAATACAAGGCTGAGCGAGGCGTCCACGCTAGTCCTACTGAGGCATGGCGCAGCCGTGCATGCCAAGCATCTCCCATCTTCGTCTTTGCTGCTGCATCTTTCCACTTCTGGTGGTGCATACCTCGCATCCTCCAGTCCCCTTGCGCCATCTATACCGTTCGCTCGACCACCCCTACCTTTGCATACCTGGTGAAAATGGTGGTAGGGATCCTGTCTAGACCTAAGGCAAAGGCAAGAGCGGCTAGGAAGGACCTCTACCTCGGGGGAACCCTTTCCAACTATCGGAGAACGTCCCGTTAAGATAGCAGCCATGGCCAAGTAGCCTCACAAGCATACTGGCTCTTTATTACATTGGAGAGGTTGGTAGTAGAGGTGCGGTATATGGGTGTAGGGGCTTGGTGTATGCTGATTTCGCCCTCGAAGAAACTCGCACATCCCGTAAGGTAAGTCATGTCTTCCCAACTTATGCATTATCACATGGTGCAATCCTGCACTACGAGACCTTTACCAACTCTACACCCTCTGTCTATCATGTCACTATACACCATATTCTTCGCACGACAAGTCACTAAAATGTCGGCAGGTGACAAAGAATCGAAGTCCTTCAAGGACAAGGCTGTTAAGCCCCTTGGTGAGTCTCTTCCAGCGCCATTGACCTGTTGGTAGACGACGTCGTCGTCGTCCGGCTTGTCGATCTGTTGTCGATCTGTTCCCGATCTGACGCCGGGCCAACGGACATCAGGTAAACGTAACTAACCTAAGACAGAGACCTTTTATGGTCTACCGCCTTCACCTGGTCAGCGTCGTGAACCACAGACCCCGACTTCTTCCCGTTCATCGTTCAGATCGACCAGTGGGACCTCTCCACGCTCTCTCCGATCTGGGACCTCCCCGTTCTTTGCAGGCGCACGGAGCTACTATCAGCCAAGGAAAACCTCTTCTAGTCGGCCAGACAGTGCCTCAGCTACTCCAGGAACTGCCACATCCACCACAACACCTGAGGCCACCGCAACACCTTCAGTTGATTCTCCTTGTTTCGTTGTTGCAAGTCGGCTTCCCAGCGAGAAACGCCTCTTCTCTCCACTTCATCCGTCAACCCCTTCTCCTCCTCCCTCTCGTGCAAGTCCACTAGGAAAGAACACCAAAGACTCAGTTTTCCGACCACCTAAACGTGTCATCCGGGCGGATAACTGGTGGCAGAAGCGGCAAAGTCAGCCAAGTGAAGCACTTAGCACCAGTGAAACCGCGGCACCTCCTCCTGTCCCTAAACAATCACCCCTGCGACTTCTTCCCCCTCCCGTCCCCGAGCGATCACCTCTTCGGCTTCTGCGTCGTCCTTCACAGCCACTTGCACTTCGAACTGCCAAGGCGCCCGTTGCCAGCGCTCGACGACTTGAACCTTACGTTGAGTCTTACGAAGACAGAGCTCTTTACGAAGAACTAAGCCCGCCTCCACTTATCCTCCGAAAGGCTCGAACACCAGCCACTGCACCTGATACTTCGACACCTGCTCGTCCGCCAAGGGAACTCTCTTCTGCACAAGTCACACCTACTCTCCAATCTTCGAAACAAAACCCTTCACAACTCACCGTCGAGCGTGACATCAGACATATCCTCTGTCAGAGACCACTTACTAAGGCGAACAAGCCAGCATCTTCAACAAAGCCCAAGGAGAAATTCAGTCCAGAGGTCATCGCACATCGACAGGAAGCCCTCGAGATCCTTTGTTCATCACCTCAGTTTGACGACAGGAATTATTGGGCGCTCAAGTTCGACGACTTCCTTCAAAGACGCCGAGCAGCCTTCAGCATGGATCAGCTTCGTCCTGATTCCGCTGCAGCCATGAATGCTCACCGCCGTGAGGCCGTGCGCCTTGCAGAGGCCCAACAACAGGCAGTGGTGGAGAATTGCAAGAGGGCGAAGCTCCCCGAGCCTGACTACCATTTTGAAGAGCTGATTGGCAGAGGTAGTTTTGGAAGAGTTTACAAAGGTCGCCAACGTTCCACAAACAAGGTCGTTGCCATCAAGGTGATCGATGTCGACAAGGCCGATTTCAAAGCACACGGCGACATGAGAGATGAGCAAATTCGCGACTTCAATCGCGAAATCCGTATCTTGAGACAAGCACAAGAGAGCGGCGCCGAGAATCTCAACCATATCATCGAAGCCTTGCCTGTGCATAGCCAGTTGTGGATGGTCTGTGAATTCTGCCCTGGTGGCAGTGTAAAGACTCTGATGAGAGCCACGAATGATCGTCTTTCCGAGCGATACATTGTGGTCGTGGCAAGAGAGCTGGCCAAGGCTTTGAAAGGGCTTCATGCTGCCGGGATCTTGCACCGAGATGTCAAAGCTGCCAACGTCCTCATCCACCAAGAAGGCCATCTTGAACTGTGCGACTTCGGGGTCTCGACCGTGCTCGACACGCAGACGGACAAGCGGAAGACATTCATTGGAACACTGCATTGGATGCCCCCTGAGCTGTGGACTGAAAACCCCGAATACTCGGATGAGGTGGATGTGTGGGAATACGGCTGTACTCTTTACGAATGCGCCGTGGGACAACCTCCAAATGCCGATCTCCGTGAACGTCAGCAACTCAAGATGAGAATGAGGCGCCTCAAACAAGCCATTACTCTCCCCGAAACCCAAACATTCAGCGATGGACTCCGTTCGCTGGTCTCCTCCACCCTCAGCCCGGATGTGGCCTCTCGCCCGTCAATGAGGACCGTACTGGAACACGACTATCTCAAAGACACTGAGGACACCCATCCAACCAGCATCCTCACCGAACTGGTTCAAACATATTACGCATGGGCTTTGAGCGGTGGTCAACGAGCCTCATTGTTCATGCCCGGAGGGGCGGCCCCTGCTTCGACCCTCGAACCCAACGAAGACGTGGAGGAATGGAACTTCAGCATGACCCCAGACTTCCAACGCCGTGTATCCGCCATTCTCGAGACACCTGACTCTGCTGCCAACGAGAGTATGGAAGGAGAGGAAACACCTAAAGGCTCATCGAGACCCAGCGGCCTCTCACCCAAAGAGATGACGGCAGCGCAAAAGGCGAACTTCGAAGCTCGAGTCCAGCGTGGTGCCGACCTATCCAACCTTTTCGATCAAAGCAAACCCGCCTACGACTACAAAATCAAGACAGACTTCATTCCAATCCCCGAACAACGCCGCATATCAGATCTCCCTTTCAGAGCGATGGCCGAAGACAGGCCAAGCTCGATTGCATCCAACGTGATTGATCTGGGCGAGTTTGATGAATCAGACTACGCCGTGGTAGCGACACCGAGGATCGACGACAAGATCCAAACCACTTATGCTGCCACACCCATGAGAGAAGAAACGATCCGGCTTGCTGACGCATCCACCTTGCGAGAAAAGCGCGCCAATTCCAAAGGTCCTAGGGAGCCGAGCCAGCAATCTCTGACCGCTCGAAGAACTTCATCCGCCGAAGGCGTCCCGCCCACCACGGCAGCACACGACTTTGCCATGTCACAGGAAGACTGGACAGTCAAGAACCGGACCAAGGCCCCCGAACTGCAAGAGCCTGCCGAAATCACGTCCTCCCGTCCCGGCCATGCTACGATGGACTGGTCATTTGCAGCAGCCATGTCTGAGGCGGAGATTCCACGCATCAACGAGCCGGAGGGGCCGGAGGGCGACCTGCCAGGCCCGGCCACCGACGAGAGCGCCGCGTTCCAGCAAAAGGCCAAGAAGCACGCCACGATGGACTGGTCTTTCACCCAGGCGATGGCCGAGGCAAGCACCAGCGACGCAGCCATAGGCTCCTCTCCTCCGACGCACCAGCAAACCCTGTCGTCGCGACCGACGCCAACCCGTCCGGCACCGCTTCTGCGGCAAATGACCATGCCGGTGACCATGGACGATTTCGCCCAAGCCGAGGAGCAAGAGATCCCACGGCCGTCAACTGCGCTCTCGGAAGCGTACAGCGACATCAGCACGGCCTCGACAGACGTCGACCCGTTCGGGTTGGAGCGTGACGACGACGGAGACGACGAATTCCCGGGGGCTTCAACTCTGGAGGAAGACGTCGGTCCTGCTGGAATGGGCGGGTTTTACTCCGGCCGGGGTCGGACCATGTTTGGCGACCGCAGCCAGTTCCCGTCAACAACGTCAACTCCGTTGACGGCGTCAGGCCCTGGCCCTGGGCCATACAGCCTCGGCCGGCCATCGAGGGTCGGTGAGGACGACTTCCCAGGCCTGTCTGCATCGGCTGGGCACCAAAGCGGCGCAAGACACGGCCGCAACTCATCGGCGATGCCGACAGCCGTCCCGGGTGCGGGTGCTGGTGGTGGTGTTGGTGGTGGTGGCGGTGTGGGTTCTGCTGGTCGCCGACCGTCCGTCGACGTCCCCTCCGCGTCCCCACCCAGCAGGTTGGCGATGAGTGCGGCCGCCTCCTCCAACGAGGTTGAGGCCGAGCTCACGCGCCTGCTGGAGGGGATGCAGGGGACGTTGAATGCGGCGAGGGAGGTTGTTGGTGGGCTTGTGGTGGGGAGGAGGAGGGAGAGGGAGAGCGAGTGGGAGGATGAGGAGTAGGGGAGGGAGAAGGGAAAGGGGGGAAGTGGTGTGGTGGTGGTTGCGCGTTGGCTGGAGGGAGGGTGCTTTACTCAGACAAGAGAATGGAAATTGTTTGGTTTAGGCCGGAGGTGCTCTTTGCACCCATCATCATCACACATGTTTTCTGTTTGTTCGCGTCTAACCACCTTGTATATTGGATGGTCGCTGGTATCAAGTGGCCTAAGGCTTGCTTCTGCCGACCCTAACCCCAACCCTGACCCTGAGGTTGATGGCGACCTTGACCTTGACCTACCTCGTCATTGACCTTTGACATTGACCAGGACCATCAGTGATATCCGGCGAGCGAGGACGGCACCCTGGATCCGACGTTTTCATCAATCATTCATCATTCATGCATTCATCATTCGTTCATTTCTTCATTCATCATTCATGCATTCATCCAGATAGCCCTCCCGGCCTAGCGTCCCCCGGTGTGCTCTCACCCAGAGTTCGCTCTCGTTCTCACTCTTGGCTAGCCCCGTGACGACAGCGAAACATGTCCGAGATGAGATGGAGATAGATATAGAGATAGATTACTCGGAGTCTCACTAGTGAACCCTGGCTAAATAGCGCGGCATGGATGCGTGAAGGAAGCGCGAAGCAAGGAGGCGACAAGAGAACCAAAAAGAAAACCAAATCCCAAATCCCAAAAACCAAAAACAGAAACAGAAGCACAAGTAGAAGCAGAAAAAGGTCATTAGGAATGACTGCTTCATCGTGACTTGGTATCATTCTTGACTGGAGCCGATTCTCACAAAGGACTAACTAGGGATTAACAGTCTACTGCCATGTCATCTATGTCGTTGATCAAACTGCTTTCCACAGTGGTTTGTCGCTTTCTGCGTTCTGCTTTCGCTTTCGCTTTCACTTTCGCTTTCACTTTCGCTTTCACTTTTCACCTTTCTCTGCCGTCGCTTGCGTTTCTGTCCACTCTTGGAACAATCTCCTAAGCAGACCAAATCATCCAAGTTCAAACCCAACGCCGCCCCACAAAGTTTACCATGCTTCATCATTGTCAAAAGTCAATTTCATTCATCATATCCCATTACCATTAGCTCCGTTCAATCCCTCGTGAGGAGGGATCTTCTCGTTCTCGGCCCCCCGCAGCATAGGGGATTGGGTCGAACGCTGAAAGTAGGAGCTGACGTCGGCGTGGAAGTCGTCGTCAAACGCATCGTCGTGCGCCTGTTCCTTCTCTTCCACCTTCTGCGCCATCCGCTCCTCCCATTCACGCCGCATCTCCTCGATGCGCTGGGCGTAGTCCAGCTCCGCGTCGTAGTGCTTGCCGACACCACGCAGCCGCTCCCACAAGCTGAGATGCTTGGGGTGGATGGCGATTCCGTGGTAATCATTCTCCCGGCCGGCGCGGATAAAGGCCCACCGACGCTCTTGCTCCTTAAGATCGAGGCCCGTGGTGTCTGGCATGAAGACGACATTGAGAACCACACCGGCCAGACCGAACCAAGGGACAACGTAGAATTTTGTCTGGGTATCGATGTAGTTGTAAAGGACGGAAGCGGTCAAGGCCCCAAGTTTGCCGACCGCGGCTGAAAACCCGTGGGCGCTGGCTCGAACAGCCACGGGATACACTTCGGCGGCGGCAATGAAGGTGACCGAGTTCGGACCAAACTGGTTGAAGAAGGATGACAGGAAGTACATGGCCTGGAATTCTTTGATGTGTTCAACCGAAGTATAATATTCGAAATTGAAGGCGGGCACGATGAACAAAATAAAGTCCATCAGAAATCCAATGCTCTGCATGTGCTTGCGACCATAGAGTTTGTTGTCGATCAGAAAACTGGCAAGATAGTAGCCACAAAGGGAGACGCCGACGTTGATCAGGTTGTACAGCCAGCCCGGCATGATGGAGTTGCTGTGCGGCATAATGACCTTGATGAATTCGCTCTGGAACAGCTTGTTGCCGTAGAAGAAGACGTCATTCGCGTACCAGGTACCCGCGGTGGCAAGCAGGCGACCACCAAAGTAGTGAATGGTCAAAGACAGGGACTCGGTGTCGTACCCGGTCACGGCATTCTTCTTCTTGGCATATTGCAACTGTTTGTTGGCACTGGCCTTGACCTTGTAAGTACGCCAGTAGACCAGCCACAGGGTGCCGACGGCCGGAATGGCGAACGAAACACGGTAGGTGTATTGAACGGCGACCTTGGAATAAGGGGCGTTGCCGCTCCCGTGGTGGAAGATCAACAACAGCACGATGAGCAGCACTTGGTTGAAGAATTGGCCCCAGCCCTGCATCAAAAAGGCACTGGTGACCTTGCGGCCTCGATGGAGACGGTCATCGCGGGTCGAGACGGTTCCCGAACCAACGGCGTTCTCCATACCCGAAGTGGCAGTCATGGGATATTCGCCACCCACCCCGATACCGTAGAAAAACAGCGACCAGGCGTAGCAAATGACCCAGCCGTTTTGGGTGACGCCCCATGAAGCGGTCAGCATGATGAGACCGATGAACATGATGGTTGCATCCTGGATCAACCCCCAGCGACGGCCGATCCAGTCACCGATGACACCAACCAATATCTGACCGACAATGATACCGCAGATTTCGAGATAGTCGACAGCATTGATCCAGGTCGGGTTGCAAATGGCCTCTTTGTTCCAGCACTCTGCGAATCCCTTCTGAAAGAGAGGCTTCAGATTGCCAATGGAGAAGAGCACGTAACCTTCGAGACCGAGGCCGGCGCCGGGAAGAACCATGTTGCGGAAGTAGAAGCCGACGGGAGCCAGCGGGTCATTCTTGAACATGTCCCAAAACGCCCTGAACTCTCGTCTAGTCTCCTCGTTGTTGACTTTGGTGACAAACTTGGCTCGCTTGAAAAAGGGAAGATCAGCCCAGTAGACACCGTTTTCATCGTAGCTGTCGTCGGGTTTCAGGATTTGTTTGAACACTTCCTTCTCGCTATGGGTCATGTCAATATCAGTGAGCTCAAAGGGAGGATGGTGGCCTGTGACATCGGGTCCGTGGGGAGGGTTCGGGCCGTAGTCGATAACCGGTCCGTCATATGCCATGGCGCTGAATTATGTTCAATCGCAGAGCTGCGACGGTGGACACGCTGGATCGTTTCGGTTGAGGGACTCGTTTCAGTTGAGGGACAGAAGGTTTATATGGTATCCAGGACCTAGCAAGCCGGTTGAGTTTGTAACGGGCGGGATATGTCGTCAGGATAGAGAACAAGGAGTTTTGATTTTGCGGACGAGCCAAGTCGCGGGGTCGACTTCCTATGGTTGAGGAGAACAGCGATGAATTAAGCAACAGCCAGCTGAGTTTAAAAGAGCTTGTTGATCGGAAGTGACGGAATGGTGAGCAAGGGTTGTAGTAGGCTAGACGTCCGGTCAACGACGCCACGCGAGTAGGTAGGATGGTTGAAGAGAAGCCAAGCGAGGCCAGAGAAAGCTTGGGTGTAACCACGAGATGGAGAAACCCAAGCTGATTCGTGGGCAAGCGACCGCAGAGATGCCGGTAGGCCGCTCGCGTGCCTGTGTTATTGGTAGTGGAAGGTCAAGGGTATCGATGTCAGCGAAGCGAAGCGAGATGGGGTAACGCGGCGCGACGATGACCTCGTGGGGTTCGGGTTGTACGAGGCCAGCGAGGAAGGAGGATAACAGGTGGAGAGAGACCCGTCGGCTGGTTGAGCGAGCAGTTTGGATATTTGAAGGTAGGCGACCACACGAGAAGAGGGAAATGAAGGAGAAAAGGAATGGCAGGATACGCCTTGGCGTAACTGAGGAGTGGTGAGTGAGAAATATCAGGGAGGTCGTGTGGCGAGAGTGAACGAGAGTTCAAGATCTTCTCGAGTAGGATATGGAGGGTTTCTCTGCTTTTGACGACCGGGACGCGGGCGGAGTAGATCATAAACTCAGGGGGGAGAGGTAGAAAAATGTGCGTGCGAACAAGGTCTGAACCAACCTGGAGCCTCCGAACAGGTTCTCCCAGGGACGGTGATGGATCGGGTCCATGACGGGCACGGGAGGAGAAACTTCAGGTACGTATGGGGTCGGACGATCCGGAGGGGCGAGAAGCGTGAATACTGTTTGTGAATATTAATGGGTCGGCGAGCAGCTCATCGAGACAGAACATCGACTCGACGGGCCCGGCGGAAGAATGGAGCTTCAGTGGCATCAGCGGAGATGATCGTGGTCCGTATAGAGGAGGAGCATGCGCAGGCACAGGCGCAGGCGCAGCTGGACTGCGTGCTGGCCTGCGCAAGACTGCGCGAGACTGCGGCAGAAATCTTCTGAATGGTTCCTGCCGTGCAAAGGCGTGTTGAAGAGGTTGAATTTGCCTGGCACGGCTCCACCCACGTGCACTGATTGATTGGCTCTGAATCAACGACATTCTGCGGCTCCGCCAATGGCCGGTGTCCACCGTCCACTGTCCATTGCCAGCTGCCAACTGCAAACTGCCAAGGGCTGCCCTGAGCGCACGCACGTGTTCTGGCCGCGTCCGCCCGCCATCGCAACGCAAACGCAATGCAGGGCAGAATTTGCAATGGGAGGCAAATCATGCTCTGTACGGATACAGAGTAGCATTAATTACTAGGTAATTACTATGATATGTCACCCCGTACACATACAGAGCACAGCCGGAGAGAACTCCCTCGCTGCAGTCATTGCAAGTGCTGATGCTGGGGCTTGTGCTGGTGCCATGTTGAGTGTGCACTTGCACTTACAGATACTATAGAGTATCCGTACGTATAATTACTCTGTAGGCAGATCATCAAGTCTCACCACCAGCCACCAGTTCAGGGTGAACCTGCCCGGACTGTCTAGACTGGTTCTAATAATACTAGCCATACTGTACACGGTACTCCGTAGACCCTCCATAGACTCCCTACTAGGTAACCCATCGCGTGCCATGCTCCTGCTCGACATTATGTAAGTGTACACATACAGAGTACGGATGGTTTCGCTGCCATCTCCACAACTCAGCCTTCCCTCTACATGATGAACAGGGTCATCACGTGAAAGGCTGTGCGTCGAATTTTTTCGATATCCTCATCTACCATTATCCACAAATTTCGCCTCAAAATCGTCCCCCAGATGGGCGTGATCACTGCCGGGGGTAAGAGGACCTGTTCATGGTGTTCTACGGCTTGTAGTTCTAACTCTCATTACAGTAGCTCAATCGGTAGAGCGTGTGGCTCTTATATTCCAAAAAGTGACCTCAAGGTCGCGGGTTCGAGCCCCGCCTTGTAAGTGATCCTACCAGTCCGTGTCTTGGAATTTGCATTAACAACGGTTTAGCGGCTCAATTCCGATGCAATAGCGATATATTGCTTTGACTTCTTTTTTTGCCTATGGGACATTGACATTTTGCTGTCTTGTCTGGCCTTCCTTGGGAAGATAGCATCAAAGTTTGGAACAGGGAGGAAAATTTCTGCAATTGCCTCTAATCAGAGCTGCTCTATATTTTGGTTGTTGTCCGAGTCCATTTTCCATTTGCTGCCACTTTGTCATTCATTATTCACATGTCTCGAGCATCTTCTTGATGAAACTCTGCAAGGTTGGGTTCCATAGTGCCGCCGCTACTCTCTCCTTGTCCGCGAGTTGTTTATTGACCTCATCTGCTGTCGAATGAGTTCCCTCTTTGATTCTCACATCCACCCGGAATCTCGGCGGGAGCGACTCTTCTAACCTCACGCGCACCCCCAAGCCTATCACAGTGGCCAGGCTGCAATGTTGTATCGTTGGCGTGATTAATACGGTGACTGTTTGGAGGTTGGAGGCCGGCCGGCTTGGAATGGTCGGTGTAATGGCTATGTCAGGCAAGGACACCACGGCCAAAGAACCCAGCGTGATGGGATGCTCGGGATCCGACATGGTAGCGATCAAGTCGTAGATCTCCTGTGTATCAATCGGCTCGTCCTCAGCATCACTGTCACTCTCTTCAATAGATGACGGACTCGAGGATCGGGCGAACGGGTCATTGCTGAAGGACGGCGCGGGATAGGCCAGGCTCACATCCAAGGCAGAATGGTCCTGTCGTGCAGAGGCCCGCCGTCTTCGAGTGGGCAGATCTGACGGATTGAGGATGAGCGGGTTGGCGTTTTTTCCGTCCTCCATGGCGCCACCGTCGAGGCTGCGGTCAACAGAGAGGCGACACCAGAAAGGAAGTGGAGGGGACCGAGTTCGGTGGGAACGACAGGTGCTGCCCTGCTCGCGCAAGAGGCCGTGTAAGATAGTCTTAGAAGGTCAGAGGTGAGAAGGTAAGTGGTGAAGGGTGAAAGCTGCAAGATGCAAGGTTGTCGCTGTGATCTCGAGTGGCAAGCACATGGGTTGGAATCGCTGCCGTCGAACTGCGATTTGCGATTTGCGATTTGTGATTTGCGATTTGCGATTTGCGCAATGCACCGAATCATATTCCGCACTAATTACGGAGTACAGTACGACGCATGACTAATCAATATGTGCCGCCGTGCCACCATATTTGTGTGCTCCCTAGTATCCGTACTCCGTGGAGTCACGTGATGTTGCTGCTACCACACTTCAATTTTGCAATGCCCCTCCTCGCTCCCCTCGCCCTCCTCGCCCTCCTCGCCCTCCTCACCCCCCTCGCCCCTCCTCGAGCCATACCTTCAGGCTTCTAGCTAGAGGGCACCCATACCTACCTAGGTAGGTAGGTAATCCCTACTCGGCACACCTAGCAGATACCCTTCCGCACCGTCGCAAGCCTCATCGCAAAAAAGCTAGAACTAGGGCCTTTCCCGCCTCAAGATCTACTTGTCGGTGCCGTACAGTGTACACTGCTCTTCTGTCAACTGTCTAAATCCACACAAACTCGAACAGAGCCATCGTCCAAATCCAGTCAGATCATCTGGAGGTGAATCAGGGTCGCTGGGCCGAGTCCCGCAGCGACACTTGTATCGCTTTAGTGGGCGATCCCTCGCCGGGTCTCTTCCCGGCGCCTGAAATTTGCACAGGCCCCGTTCGCGGGGAGGCGCAGCTACCACCCATCAACCTTGTTCGAGACTCTGTTCGACCTTCGGCTCAGAGGCCCCTAGCCACCGGAAGGTTGGAAGGCTGAACCCCCGCGACAGCCGTCTATTGTTGAAGGCCCCTTCCGGACATTGAGCTGACTGACTCGACCCCGGATGACTGTAGATACAGTCTGTAAACCCTGTTGCCAATCGGCGATTTACAGCCAAGCGAGAGACTGGGTTCCGACCCGGCTGGCCTTCGGATCGCATCAAGGCCCAGCAGCTGCGATTTAGAGGGTACGCACACTGTACGGAGTACAAGCAGGTCACTCAGTGTCAGTCACTGGCATGCTACCATACCTGTGTGTTTCTCAGCTGGCGCCTTGAAAGGGATTTCCGATTTATTTCATTATTAGGGGATTCTGTCGAGAGAGACGTCCACACATTGCAAGTCAGCGATTACATATAAACCTGTATTTATCCATCCGAGCCGATGGACATGGAGTGACCCTGGCTTGCCACCAAGTCTCTACTACTCTCTGGGAATGGTTCAAGTCGTCACCCAAGAAGCGCGACAGCGGGACCCCAGGAAGTCTCACTCATCAGGCCCGTAAATGCCTTGATTCGCCGTGACTCGCATGTCAAGGGAAGCTACGAGCGACAATCCATGCTGGGCGCATTCAACCTGGTCTCCTTAGCCCTGCCTCCTTCGGAACTCCTGTCGACGTTGAAGAGCAAGAAAAAGGGGATGTTGTCAATTAATTAGCTGCTACAACTACAACTGAGACAAACCGAACAGATTCCAAAAACTTGGGCCTTAAATAGTTCGGTTATCGAAGGGTGTTACTGTATCCTTTGAGGTTGCATTGCGTGCTGATGGATGGCTGGTGGCCGATGGCCCATTCAACCAGCCATTACGGAGTGAGTACGGATACATATTTGCTTCCCCCATCCCACTAACCAACCATACACGACCGGCGCCATCCCCATCGGACCCTGGAAAAATTGTCGTCAAAGCCCGGGACAAACTTGGCAGAATCAAAGCGCTTGGGAGACGCTCGACGTGCCAACCAATCGACCTCATCAACCCGCACGACAACAACAAAAACAACAAGCTCGATATCGGTAGATTTGCGTCTGCTGCTTCCGGGGGGTCAGATTTCCATCGCCGCCCCCGAGTTACACCATTTGGTTTCTGTTACATCTTGTCTTGGAGGAACGCACGGCCGCAAAAGCGGTTCAGCCTATTAGCTGGAGCGGTCTACGCAAAGCCTGAGGCCTTCTGTGGTCCTTCGCTCGCATAAGCCTCAGCGATCTCTGCCCAAGTGGACGTCCGAGTCCCGCCCACTTTTTTCTGCACCATCTTCTCACTACTGCTGGACATCTACCGTCGCTTGATGCTGCTTTGTACCTCGAATCTCTCTGCGCGACATGACCAGCGTTTGATGAGCCAGTAACTCTAACTCACCTGGTCTACGACCTCCCGGGCGCTGGCTGCTTGATTGCAGACATCCGAATCTTGCTGCACCGTGCCGAGGTCCACGGTCTTAGGAGCCCTCAATTTGCGCCACGCAGCACGAGTCACCATCGACGACTTCGATCGGGCTGGGGAAAGCCATCTTCTAGTTTCCGCACGGTTGCTCCTGGCATCAGCGCATGTGATTCGAGCTGCATGACTGTTGGTCTTTTTCATCTCTACAGCTCCGTTGATCGATCAATTATCTCAGTCCTGTCAAACTCATCAGATTGGCTGTAGACCCTCGGAGCGCTCCCCTAGACTGTGCTCTCGCCGCCTCTGCACTTACCCGATGTGGTGCCATTCCCACTCCAGATGAGATGCCACCATGCAGAGCTATTCAATGACATCGGGGCCTCCGCCAGGCCCGAAGAATTATGTCTTCGTCGACGAGCACAACAGACACAAGCGCCTCAAGGTGATGCGCGCTTGTGAAGGATGTCGGCGCCGTAAGATCAAGTGTGATTCCGCCACCACCAACACGTGGCCTTGCGCTGCCTGTGTGCGATTGAAACTCCCCTGCGTGCCTCCCGCAGGAGGAGCCGAAGGCGAGCAAGGCGATTTTTCTCAAAGCAGCGCTGTCGAGGAATCGAATGAGTCGCTGTCGTACCTGCCGACACCAGCCGCGTCGACATACCGACCCCAAAACTATGGCTCTGCCGCTCCCAACTTCCAGCTCAACCAGAGCGACGCTTTTCCCTACGATGCGTACGCCACCAATTATCAGAAGCCATCCTTCGACATCGGTAATAAACAATATGGAAGCTATTTCCCGGATCCGCAACACTTCTCCGAGACGCTGAACGACGCGTACCAGTCCAATTCTCAGGTCTACGCACAGGCTCAACCTGACTCGCAATGCCCTCTGAGACAAGACCGTGCTGGCTCCTCGCCTATCGATCAACTTACAGCCGAAGAGCTCATGGAACATCTTGGCTCATTGAAGATCGGAGAGAATGGGGTCGCGCCGTATCTGAGGTCGGAAAAGAAGGACAGCAAGGAGGCCGATGCGCCGGTTCAGGATCCCGAACCTGAGATCAAGATCCCGGTTGTCTTCAACACTGGTGCCGGCTCCCAGATCAGGATTCCTCCGGCTCTGATGCCCTCTCAGGAAGATGCCATGCATGCTTTCAAGACTTTCTTCCATGATGTCCATCCCTATGTACCGGTATTGAACAGACGGCAGTTCTATGATCAGTGGCGTAATGGCACCGGGTCCATCTCGCCTCTGGTTTTGGAGGCTGTTTTCGCCAATGCTGGCCGCCTGTCTGACGATCCTGCCCAAGGTGCACAGTGGCTTGCTCTGGCAAATAGTACGTGTATCTGGTTCCTCCCTGCAAGACGATGACACTGACGGGCGGTAGAGCATGAGGCGTGCTTCTTGGACAGCCCTCGGCTAAGCACCCTACAAGCCTTGCTCCTTCTACTCAAGGCTCGAGAAAGCGCGCCCAAACGAGGCTACTACTATCGATCCTGGATGACTTGCAAGACAGCCGTCAGCATGGCCAAGGATCTAGAACTGCACGAACACCACGAGGTCCATGCCGCGGGCGAACCGTGCGGGTCAGATCCCGTGGAATGTCTGACTAAGACCCGCGTCTGGCAAGCTCTCCTGATATGCGAGACCATGGTCGGAGGGCCACAAGGTTTGTCTCTTGCCTGTGCTTGCGGACGAAAGATGTGGATGTGCTGATTTTGCTCAGGCCGCACCGATCTGGGGGTCGACCCTAACTCTGTCGACATCAGCACTTGCCCACCGTGCTCGGACATGGACGACTTCGAGAAAGCCATCTCCAGGCAGTTTGCCTATTTTGTTCGCAATATTCGAAACATCCGCCTCATCACCGACGTGTCGCACAAGCTCAAGAAAAAGAAGGACTGGGGCTTGGACCAGAGATTTGTGACATACAATGCGGCCTTCAAGAAATGGCCCGACGAACTCCCACCGGATCTTCAAGTCGTATTGCCGTCCAACGGTGGCATGCCATCGTTGCCTTCTCATTTCGTGGGAAACATGCACTCTCATTATCAACTCGGGATTGTCATGCTCCACCGACCGCAACTCAAGGCGTCGGAATCATTCGCGGCGGACAGTCAATGGAGACACCACATGAGCGTGTGCTACAACTCGGCCAAGGTGCTTTGTCGCCTGCAGGAAGCGATTTTGGCCCGATTCGACCTGGCCGGTCTGCTCTGTATGCAGCGCGGCATCAACTTCACCATCTACGCCATCTTGACCTGCGTCATGCTCCATTTGATCGCCGTCGCGTCTCCGGACCCCGAATACAACTCCGAAGCGCGGGCCTACTTTGTCCGTCACATGCGCATCTTGGAACGCTGTGTCGCCGCCTGGCCGATGCCTGAGACCGAAGCACAGATCAATGCCCTGCGGGCTGCCTTCTCGGCGGACCTCAACAAGCCGTTCGAGCTTAAGGAGTCATTCCCGCTCGGCTCTCCATCCGATCATTCGCGATCGTCGCCTCTATCCCAGCTCTCGAACGAGAAGCAACCTCAACACCACCCCCACCACCACCCACCACCCCAACCACCCCCGGCCCCGACCCAAACACACCACCTCGTTGATCTCCAGCAACCTCAACCGGGGTCTTACTTACCCCCGCACCTGACGCAGATGCGTGGGCAGACGCCGTATCTAGCGACACCACCAGTGTCGGCATACTCGAACGACTCGAAGCCGCAGACGCCCATCTTCCCGCACACCACTTACGACCTGGATCAGCAGTTCCCCTCCAACCTGTCAGTGTCGGGTGGCGGCTTCTACCCGCAGACCGCGGCAGCCCCGGCGCCCAACATCGACATTCAATGGAACCCAACGCCGATCATCGACCAGTTCGACACGGCGTTCGCAATCCCGCCTTCCGCTCTGGCCCCGCCGCCGTCCATGTACGGCGGTACGGGCACATCGCCGCCGCCACCTGGTACGATGCAAAGTTTCGCACCTGCAGGGTCTCCCACATATGGTACTGCTGGAGGGTACACGCAACAGCAGCAGCAACCACCGCCACCACCACCATATTTTGCTCAGCGACAGCACTCGCAGCCATACCAAGAGACCACTTCCTCGCCGATTGCTGGAGCCTACTCTGCCACGCCCGGGGCACCCATGTTTGTCACGCCTCGGCAGTGGCAGCAAAGTGTGGCTCATGTCATTGATTCGGCTGGCTTGAAGCGACGATGGGACTTTGGGCAGGATTGACATTTTGGCATGGAGGGGCAGCTGAAAGACACACAACTTGAGCTGATATTCGAGGAACACTTCGGGCTTTGACCGCCCCGGAATGATCGGATCTGTCGGACGCTGTGTTCGGCCCCAGGCGGATAGGAGCGGCGGCCTTGTTGGCTAAACACCAAAAAGCGGAGTTTGGCATCTACAGTGATTTGACTGCGTATTGAATCATTTTTTGCTGTGCATGGGAGTGGAACTCGTCAAAACCAAAACGGACACGCCATGAGACTGAACGAAGGGAATGGGGTAGGAATGGGAACGGGAACGGGAATGGGAATTGGAATGGGAATTGGAACGGCAATGGGATCATATCACGAATGCATTGAATTGAACGATTGTTTTTATTGACCTTGATGTCGATATTGATGCTATCGAGGATGAGGATGAGGATGCTCCAGGAGGGACGCGGGAATCACTGACGGGAATGATTGAATGCGAGAAAGGGAAAGCCAGGAAAATGAATCAGGAACCTTATGGATGGGGGTTAAACAGTATGGTATCCGTACAGTATGGTATCCGTACAGTATGGTACATACAGTATGCGATTGACTGGACTGGAACGACCTGGACACTTAGACTATTCAAGCTCTGCCTTGCCGTGTCCCTGCTCAACTCGACCACAGCTCCTGTGCAGTGTTCTGCTTCTGCTCTACAGTCTGTCCAGTGTCTACTGCTTCTACTCTACTGACAGACAGTGTCTTCTGCTTCTACTCTTATGTCTGTCCAGTGTCTACTACTTCTGCTCTACTATCTGTGCAGTGTTTACTACTTCTGCTCTACTATCTGTGCAGTGTTTACTACTTCTGCTCTACTATCTGTGCAGTGTTTACTACTTCTACTCCACTGACAGACAGTGTCTACCAGTGGCTACTCTACTGTCTGTCCAGTGTCTATGGTCTCGTAGTCATTAGGGAGGGGAGGGCCGAAGAATCCGGTATTATGTAGGACCTGGACGGACGCAGTACAGACACGTACTGTATGTACCTGGTAGGTAGCTGCTGGCTTTTGGGGGGAGAGGGGGGTTCTTTTCCGCGTGGTGTGGTACAGCCGTAGTGTACCATAGCATAGCTTGTAAGAAAGACTTGAAGTGCGAGACATGATTACTAGTGTTGGAACAGGACCAGGACCCGGGATCCATTATCAAGAGCCCCAAACCGTAATACCATCCATCTATCTTCTATAGCTACCCGCAAGCCCAAGGCCCCCTCTCCTTTCCCTCTTCAAGTTGTGAACTGCACATGCGTGTTTCGGTCATTCCTCGCCAGTCCCATCGATGGCTATACATACAAGCTGTTCATGGTGTGTTTTGCTCGTGCTCATAGTCTTTGGACGAAACAGGAAGGAGGCTTTGGAGGCGCTGATTATCGTCCCCTAGCCTCTGAGGTTGGACTCGAGTACAAGATACCACCTGAGAGGTCGGCATACCGCTCGGAGGATCAAGACTCCGCGGCACGGTCGTGATGGTGGTGCGGGCCTTGTTTCGGGAGCATGTCGAGCTGATGACGGGCAGGGGACGCACATGTCTGGAGTCTGCGTCGGGTGTCGTTGAATGTAATACGGCGGCCTGCCTCTTATGTTTGTAGTCTCCCGAAAGCGATTTTCTCCCCATGAACACTTGTTTCCGGCGACTATCTCCCACACATCAGGGACGGCTCTTGCTGTATGCAACCAAGCAAAGCTGTGTCTCTTGCATCAGTGATTCTTGACCAAGTCTCGACGATATGCCCTGCCAACAGTGCGGAGGTAGCCTGGATCGCCGGCAAGAGCTTTGTTCCACGTCCTCTGACACTTGTGCGTCTTTGTTTTGAGCTCACATCGGCCCAAATCATCTTCCGGTTCGTTCACCGCCGAGTCAACCATTGGTTCATGCTGCGTTCCCAGGCATCGATACGGATGGGCATTTCCATCTGCCAAAAGGGATTCTTGCACACAAAGTCGGCGTATCGTTCGTAGACGCCCTTCATCAGCACGTCCGTGTTAGGCATGCTCGGGTCCGTGAACAAGAGGAACTTCGTGCCGCTTAGGGTCTGGAACACGGTCAGACGGAAAAAGGAGGATTCCATCGATTCGATCCCCGACGCCGGAACTGTAGGGTCGGGATAGGTCCAACTGCGTCCTGAGGAACCTGCGGACGGCGCGACGGGGATCTTGGGCGTTAGTGATCGCGTGATGGCGTGCACACCGTGGAATGTCCCTGCTAGGACAAGGTAGTCGTTCGTTGTCAGCGTGCTCGTCCCGGGAAGACCCAGAGTCCCCACGGTCTGGCCCGGAGGCCCTGCTGCCGCACCCGGAGTCGATGTTGGGAATGTTCGGTGGAAGATGAGCGAGCCGGCTTTCGAGATGATCAAGAGGGCGAAGACGGGCCTGCATATGATGTCTTGGAGTTAGATCCTGTAAATCTAGGTCATGTCTTGAAGGGAGGGACAGGGTGCCCTCGGACGGTACACATTCCCGCACTCACATCGTTAAAGGACAGTAGCCGCACTGCGGCTGGAAAATTACCTATCAGGGCAGAGTCATATCTATCTAGTTCCAGGATGTGTGAGAAGGGACCCCAAAACTGAAAGACCTCTCAGACCCGAAAGATTGTCAAATGGTAAAGATCGAAAGCATTTGGTCAACATTCACGCAGTGAATCCCTGTATCAGTGGACCTGGGCAGTTGTACTCCACCGTACCCCTAAGTTGCCCGCCCCGGTTTGGCACGATGGCGATGCCGCCTTATGCTTAAGCTTGAACTACGACTTTGTGGTGTCGCCTATACTATACTAAGACTATAGGTTTCAAACCAGTCTTACTATTCGAGCGGAAAGATCAAGATGAAGACGGAGGCTGAGGACTGCGGCTCTTCGAGGATCGGTCACCTTGGAACGAAAGTGCTTTTGTAGTCCTCTGCATTTCTAAGAGAAATAGAAATATCAGCATCTGAAACCTTGCGTTCCTCTGAAGAACCTGACAGCGAGCAAGACCGTTTACCGGGTTAACTCTTGGTCGTCACGCTGTAATCGAAAAGAGTCACGACAGGTGACGAGGCTGACTGGGCGATGTCCACCTGTAAAAGCGGCGTGAAGCGATTCCACCAGCCAAGGCTGCATCATTGACGCGTTTGGGCCTGAAGCCTCCATGTCTGGACCGCTGGGACGCTTTGCAGTACCTCCAACTTGCCAACTACATTACTCTATACGGAGTACAACGAAACTATCAGCTTCCGTGACCACAACTATTTGCTTACCCTCGACCTTCCCCCACCCTCAACACGATTATTCTGCAACCCTTCCTGAACCTCACAGGCTTTCGAACACCGCCATCATGGTGCTCGAGGCTACGATGATCGTGGTGGACAACAGCGAGGCGAGTAGGAATGGCGATTACCTGTAAGCAATCGACGGCAAGGTCTTCGCAAGGTGCTAATCTCTCTCCAGACCTAACCGATTCTCCGCCCAGTCGGAAGCTGTCTCTCTCGTCTTCAACGCAAAGACATCCTCGAATCCTGAATCAGCTGTCGGACTCATGTCCATGGCAGGAACAGGCCCTACAGTGCTCACTACACCTACCACCAATTTTGGTACCCTGCTGTCAGGATTACACGATACGAAGATCAAGGGACATGTTAGATTAGGAACCGCTATCAGTGTGGCCATGTTAGCCCTTAAGCACAGAGCCAACAAGAGCCAACGGCAACGAATCGTGGTTTTGATATGCAGCGAACTGGACCAAAAGTTCGGGGACAAGAACGACACTGACAAAGAGCTGATCAAGCTGGCGAAGAAGTGCAAAAAGAACAATGTCTCCGTGGACTTTGTGGCATTCGGAGATGCGCTTGAGTCCAATACAAAGTCAATACTGGAGAGGTTCATCGAAGCCGTGGGTGGGTCATCTGGAGAGGGGAACCACCTAGCAGTTATCCCTCCCGGACCAGGCTTGCTCAGCGACAGCCTCATCACTACCCCAATAGTCAGCGTGAGTGGTGACGTGGGACAAGGAAGCAGCGGCATGGAGGGTGTCGAGACGGGCGGCGCCGGTGGCGCTGGAGGTTTTGAATTCGGTGTCGATCCATCAGCTGACCCGGAGCTGGCCATGGCTCTGCGCATGAGCATGGAGGAAGAACAGAACCGGTTGGAGAGAGAGCGCAGGGCACGTGAAGAGCAAGAGAGACAGAACGCGGACCGAATGGAGACGATAACCGAAGAGGGTCAAGGACAGCAGTCAGCAAATGGGGAAGGTCAAGACGGCGACGCTTCAAAGCAGCCACGCGTGGAGGAGGATAAACAAGATTAATTGACTGTGCAGGAACTGGCGTGCTTTGTATCAATATTGAAATTCGAGCATGGCTCAACCTTTGGACTGTAGGGGTCCAGGTTGGGAAATTCATATGAATTTTCATCTGCTCTTCGAGTGGTTACTTTCTGCTCGCAAATATGACATTTGATTCCCTCGACTGTGGCTGCACATCCCGGAGACTGACTTGATCCCTACGAGTGATTGGAGCCCATGTGTTCCTCCTGATGTCCTTACATGCCAGGATTCTGAATTCTTTCTGGTACTCATCAAATCCAATGACATCCAACATCATCCATTCATCGATACCATCGTTACCGTCATTTGCCGTTTCATTCGCCCACATTCATTCCGCACGAAACTCGAATAGCATGCTCGAGTCATACCGCCTTTGGCTGTAGATAGGGAAACACGATGATGCCAATCGAACCGCACACGGAAGGGGACAAGAAAGGTACGTGATGCGGCGCTCATTTTGCGTCGTCCTCGGTTCATGTCGTCTCAAATCGGATCGTGTCTCGAGACTCGGTCGACTGCTGTTCAGTCGGATTGTACTGCTCGCCGGCGGGTCTGGGGCTGATACAATCTGACGTGGTAAAGCGGCCATCATCCATCGACCACGCTAGTTGTGGTATGAGGCCACGCAGTGTCGTCCAGTGATTCATACTCAGATGTGAGTTGCGCAGCTGCGGCCATCACCTCGAACTTGCCGACCCCACAATCCTCTCTTCTCGGCTACGCACAATCCGAGCCTTACCCCCCGGCAAAGGCTTCAACTCGTCGTTCGGATCGATGGCTCCGCCACCTGCTCCTTCACCCATCATCTGCGCGTCGTCACCTGCATCTCCCTCAGGTTGCCGTCCATTACGGAATAGCCCGTCCGGATCTTCGCCCGTTTTGAGGTATTTTGCGTATGCAAGTCGACGGAGATAGGCTTCCTCGAAGGCCGCGACGTCTTCGGATGTGATGGTGATTGCGGTGGGTTTGCGGCGCAGCATGAGGGCTCCTTCTCCGAGAATATGAATGGTGGAATATCGGCGGCAAAGCGTCAAGGCAGAAGCAAGAGAGATAAACTAGAGTAAGTATGTTGAATATGCTTCGACACGCTCTATGCGAGTGGTGAGGAGCTGCTTCGTCGTGGCGTTATTGGGATTGCGGACAGCGACAACAATTCCCGTTGGTGATTTGGAGGCGCGGCGATAAGGCGGAGCGGAAGCGCCAAGAAGGGTCCTGACTCCCCCGCACCTGTGATCGGCCGGACATGGAATATTACATGTACACTACCACTGATAACTGATAGTACCACACCGCATGAAGACAGGCACAACTCATAACTCCCTCGCTGGATCTCCTTCCCACGCTGGTACAGGAACATCTGCTGTTGCTTGACATCAATTCAACAACATTAATCTCGGCTACACGTTGAGATTCGCCCGCTATCGCCAGGACTTTTTGAACGTGCCAAGACTCAGACAGCTGTCAGGCCATGTCGCGCCCCTTATATAGGCGAGAGTGACTATCAGACCAGTTGCCCGTTTGTGGCTACTCAGAAGTCCTCCCAGAATCACTACTGACTAGAAAGTGTCATATTGATCGATCAGCCAACGAGACCTCACTTCCCGTTGGGTTGATGGAGAACCACGCTGGTGACAGCCCTCGCGCCACAACGGTCGGTGTGGTGGCCCAAACACCTCCCCTGAATGTCACTTCCTTGGCGACAAGTCCAACCCGGAGCTTTCCAATGGCCTTAGGAACTACGGCCTTTTGAATGATTGATTCGTAGACATGACACGAAATTGCCAATCGTTTCGGTTAGACACCGATTGCCCAAGGGCATGGCAAGGGGTGCAACTTGCCTCCCGCACTGGGCATATATGAGGCATATATGAGGCATATGCCCAGGAACACAAGTGACCTCCAGCTTGTATATGCATGCTTAAGCCCCGGCCGTCGCCCTTCTGTGAGTGAGACTGATTCTAAGTCCTAACAAGCACATTTCGCATCAGCCCTCCGTTCTTTCGATCCATGGCCGAATACGTGCGCATCAGAGAAGCTGGAAGTTCCCGTCTGGGGGACGACAATGGCCACGACTTCGCTCGCCACCGGGACTCCTTTGAGCACGAAGACCTCCCTCTCCATGAGAAAGAGCTGGATGAGAAACCCGCGGCCACGACCCACGAGACTGACGATGCATCAGACTCGGATGACTCGGATCTAGAGGACATCATAGACGTGGAAAAGCAGTCTTCTGCCGACATGCCAAAATGGACGCGGTACAACACCTACGGCTCGCTTGTCAAGTCTTGGTGTGTCACCGCACTACCAAGGTTCTGCCAATCGGGTGGGCTACGACTGAAAGGCGAGCCGCATCCCACAGCTTGGTTGGATGCTCTTCGCGGGTACGCGGCGTGGATCGTCTTCCAATACCACGCCTTCAACACCTACGATCCGTCCTGGCGGCGACAGCCGTTTGTGTCGATTCTGTTCGCAGGTCCGGGCATGGTTGCTCTGTTCTTCGTCATCTCCGGCTACGTCCTGAGCTACAGCCTGCTGAAGCAGATCCGGAACCGGCAGTCCGCCGGTATGCTCGAGAGTCTCGCGTCTTCCACGTTCCGACGGTACCTTCGACTGTATGTCTCCAGCATTGTGGCGACGGTGTTCGCTTTCATCTTGATCCGGCTGGGCTGGTACAACCCCTTCGGGATATATGTTCCATCCTTCCTTGGCCAAGTAGGCCACTGGCTTTTCGACACCATCATCTTCATCAACCCGTTCGGCGACATCCGCGGGTGGTACCATCGTGGCACCCAAGACAGCAATTACCTGTCGACTCTGTGGACGATCCCTGTCGAGTTCCGCGGTAGTATGATCCTATTCGGCTTCTGCGCCGCTGTGTGCAAGCTGACCACCCCGTGGCGCATGGCTCTGACCTGGCTGGTTATCTTGCTGTGCTATGTGTGGAACTCGGTTTTCGTGGCCGAATTCCTGTACGGCCTGTTCGTCGCCGACCTATCTCTACTCAGAAACCCGGACCGCCTCCGCCGTCCTGCTGCAACCGAAGCCCTATCCTCACCTCTACCGTCACGGGTGTTTGTGATGGAGACTGCTGCTCACGCGCCGCGGTTCTGGAAGTGGAACTGGAGCCTGAATCGGACCCCACGGTCGCGCATCGCCGCCAACGTTGGTTATTCTCTCCTTTTCCTCCTAGGCATCTTTCTCCTCGGCGAGCCCGACGGCATAGACCTGGGTGTCTGGGGCCAGTTCCCATGGCGGTTCCTCAAATCATTCATCCCGTTTTACTACACCAATGGCGCCGAGGCGTACTGGTACCTTTCGGTCGGCGGTTTCTTCCTCGTGCTGGCTATTGACTCATTCCCAGCCCTGCAGCGCCCGCTGATGTACGGCTTCAGCCAGTACGTCGGCGACCTGAGCTTTGGCATCTATGTGCTGCACCCGCCCGTGACCATTGCCTTTTACCACGGCTTGATGGAGCCCTGGCGGGTCAAGCACCTCGGATCCTCGCCGTTGGCTTTCATTCCGGGGTTTATAGCTCTGACATTGATGGTGTTTATCTTGGCCGATTATTTCAGCAGACTGGACAAAAAGGTCGTGAGGCTCGGAAGGTGGTTGCAGGCCAAGCTGTTCAGGAAGTGGGATTGCTGAAGGAGAAAAGAGACGATGATGGGAGTGATTCAAGATCTTGCCGAGTCCTCGGAAAGCGTCACCGCGAGGCAGAAACAGGTTGCCTCCTTTGCAGCGTCATTTTCATCGGAGCAGGACGACTATCGCAGATGCAAATACAAATCCTGGGACAATGGATGCAATCATATATATTTCCCCTTCTCCTTACGAGGTTTATCTGCATCGGCAGTTGCTCGACTCGCTGTAACGGGTGGAGGACGATAGGGCATCATCATCCCTGGGCCTGGGCTCGTGGGCCTGATCTTTACCTGACTCGTGAAGAAAGGGCGAGGCTGCCGGAGCCGGAGCCGGAGCCGGCAAGCTGAGGGGGATTAGGAGATGCGAAGCCGGGCACCTGGAATGCTTCTCCGTATGCAGCTCCTGCAGATCAAGTGTGACGTTGATGCAGTTTCCACATCCATCCCACCCTCCCATCAGTAGACATTCGTCTCTTGATCGTACCAAGCCACCCCCCGAGAGTGCCAGACTGCATTTACTCCCGGTCGGGGGGCAAAGAACCGATTCTCTGGCGACGATCTTCCAAGAGAATGCAGAGCCAACCATCCCCCTCCCAGCCAGTCGTCATCGTCGGCGCCGGTCTCGCCGGCCTGGTGGCAGCGTATGAACTGACACGCAGCCATGTGCCCGTAACGCTGGTCGACCAGGAAAACGAACACAACCTGGGCGGCCAAGCCTTCTGGTCGTTAGGGGGCATCTTCTGCGTCGACTCCGCCACGCAGCGCAGGTACGGCATCCGAGACAGCCACGCACTGGCGCTGGCGGACTGGATGAACACGGCGCGGTTCGACCGGGTTCCAGGTCAAGACCAAGACCAAGGCCAGCCCGCGGGGCCGGGGGATGATCAAGACCTCTGGGCGCGGCGATGGGCCGAAGCGTTCGTCGACTTTGCCACGCACAAGATGGAGCACTATCTCAAGGACCGAGGAGTCAAGGTTTTGACCGTGGGTTGGGCGGAGCGCGGCGCCGGCCGGGCCGATGGCCATGGAAATTCAGTGCCGCGGTTCCATCTGACCTGGGGGACGGGCCCGGAGATTGTGGGAGCGTTCGCAGAGCCTGTGATGCGCGCGGCGGAGACGGAGACGGAGACAGAGACGTCGGAGCCCTCACACAAGGGAAAGCAGCAACAGCAGCAGCAACAGCAACAAGCACAGTCTCAACCGTTGGTCAACTTCAAGTTCCGGCACCGCGTCGATGAGCTGATTCTGGACGAGCACACGGGTGCGACGGTTGGAGTGCGTGGCGCGATCCTCGAGCCCACGGACTCTGCCCGGGGCGTGGCGTCATCCCGGTCGTCTGTAGGCTCGTTCGAGCTACGCGGCCGAGCGGTGGTGATCGCGACCGGCGGGATCGGAGGCAACATCGAAGCGGTCAAGCGCAACTGGCCGGTGGAGCGACTAGGGCCTCAGATCCCGCGGTCGTTTGTGGTCGGGGTGCCTGCGCACGTCGACGGGCGCATGCTGGGCATCGCCGAGGCCGCCGGGGCGCGGCTGACCAACATGGACCGCATGTGGCACTACACCGAGGGCCTGGCGAACTGGAACGCCATCTGGCCGGCGCACGGGATCCGCGTGATCCCCGGCCCGTCGTCGCTGTGGCTGGACGCCACGGGCAAGCGACTGCCGCCGTTCCTCTATCCCGGCAGCGACACGCTCGCGACGCTGCAGCACATCTGCGCCACGGGCCACGACTATTCGTGGTTCGTGCTGAACCGCACCATCGTCAGCCGCGAGTTCGCCCTGTCCGGGTCGGAGCAGAACCCGGACATCACGGGCAAGAGCTACGTCCAGGCGTTCCTGCAGCGCGTCTGGTCGCGGCACGGCACGCACGCGGTGCAGGACTTCCTGGAGCACGGCGAGGATTTCGTCGTCGAGCCCGACCTGCCTGCGCTGGTCCGCGGCATGAACCGCCTGGCGCGCCAGAGGGGCGGGCCGGTGCTCGACCACGACGCCCTCCTCGCCGAGATCCAGGCCCGCGACATGCAGATGGACAACCCGTACGCAAAGGATGCTCAGGCCATGCTGATCGCCAACGCGCGCAAGTACTGGCCGGAGCACATTCGCGTCGCGAAGCCACACTGCATCCTCGACCCGCGCGCAGGGCCCTTGATCGCCGTCCGCATGAATCTGCTCACCCGCAAAAGCTTGGGCGGCCTGCAGACCGACCTGGACGGCAATGTTCTGCGTCTCGACCGTCAGCCCTTTCCCGGTCTCTATGCCGCCGGAGAGGCCGCCGGCTTTGGCGGAGGCGGCATGCATGGTTACGCTTCGCTCGAGGGCACTTTTCTGGGTGGCTGTGTTTTCTCAGGCCGTGTGGTTGGGAGGGCGATCGCGAGATCCGTCGCTGGCGTTGCTGCAGAGTCTCGGCTTTAATCCTGGTTCTGGCCGGCACGAGCTAGTGATCCCGATACCGCTTTGCTCTTGAATCATTGGCGCTGTCAATCTACAATTGAACAACTGGTTGTACATGATTCCAGGGCAAGGTTTGTCGGTCTACAATCGAACCACTGGTTGGTTCTACATGATTCCAGGACCAGGTTACGGACTGTACTTCTTTTCCCATTCCCAGGGTCCGGGACTTCTTGACAGCAAACCACGGCGTTGATGCCTACCTGGACTGACATCGACTGTACCACGATTTCAAGGCAGTGAGTGCTAGCTAGAGCCATCCCGCGTTGCGCCTTACTCTGATCACTTCGCTCGGTGCAGCGCATCAGGGGGCTCAGATGTCAATCCCCGGTGTGTGTGTGTGTATATACCCAATCCCGTTCAAAGGCCACACATCTGAATCAAACCAAAGCACTTAAGGCCACCCTTCTGAATCAATCCAAGGCGCTTCTTCATTGTCCAAGTGTCTTGATTCAAGACTACCTTGCTAAGACTAACATCCATGGGGTAGGTACCTACTTAGGTGCATGCAGCCTTGGATGGATTTCTCGCAATAGCACCGGCCGGCACCATACATCATCGGCCCAAGGCGGCAGGACGGACATGGTATCATCTTCATTCTCAGACAAGACAGTCGTGGGTCGTGGGGGAACAATCAAGATCAAGATCAAGATCAGGCAAGTTGGGTTGCCAATGCCAACGCCTTAGGTCCCCGAACTTGGCTTGCTGGATGGGAGGAAGTACAGTATAGTACACACACATCCGGGATGAGATACTATGTATTAATAGTGGTATCAACCCGGAAGGTATAGGTAAGGTGTAAGGTAGTGTTGTTGTGTCGTTGTCGTGGCACAATACCTCAGACCTCAGATCTCTATCAGTATCCGTATCTGTGTCCGTACACATTATCAGTCCAGATATATCCCAGGGGTCAGGTATACATCATCAGTCCAGAGATATCTCTCCCAGGTATCCGGTCCTCCTACCGCAGTCTTCCTCCAGTCCGCGAGTACGTGAACAAGTCCCGTCCCGTCCCGTCCTGTCCTGCCGCCATCAGCTCTGCTTGATGTGTCCCCGTCACCCGTCACCCTCAGCCTGATACGCCGTTCGACACTATTGAGGCCTTAAGCCTAGGCCCATACTACTATGGTGATCTATATCTAAAGGGCAGCCGCAAACGGTCCACTGTTCCATTTCTATTGTCATACAGAGCTATTGGGGTTGGTGTTTGGCTGTCCTTGTTTTTCATACTCGTTGTAGTCCCTACTAGTCCTGCAAATAACTAAACCAGCCACACAGGCACAGTCACCTAATTCCCTATACCCGTAATTAGGTGGTATTTCGAGCCTAAGGCCCAAGGAGCCAGAGCGACGCGTCGGTGCCATTCCAACACGGGTGCCATAGCGATCAGACGACGTCTCAAAGCCGACTCAGTCTGTAAAGCGACAACAACTATGGCTCGGTGAACTGGGATCATATCTCATTGAATCTGGATGGACATAGACAAATGCCAAATAATCTCACCAAACTTGGGGCAATGTGCCTCCGTCCTTGCGGCCTCCGGCTGAACGCATCGACTCTTCCTCCCACCTACAGCCCATGAAGAGGCCGACGCCATATTCCCAAAGTGCCGGCTGCTCCGTAGTTGAAGACCAGATGCGACATCACAAGTGTTTGGTTCTTTTTGGCATCGGAGGGATGGGCTAGCCATCACTGGAATCTGATCAAAATCCCACTTCCCATTCGAGCATCAGGCAAGCGCAACCAATCCTCGCTCCTCGTCCAAATCATGAGATAGCAAAAGACCATGTACCTAGGTAATAATTCAACCCTTGACGTGGCTCCCATGGCTCAGGAAAATTTCCACCGATTGCCGCAATTCAGACATTCGCAGAACGTAGTCATCGGTTCATCGGCACTCCTCGTCTGTGCTTGGGAGTAGCTGACTTTCTTTTGGTGGCATTTGCCGCACTCGAGACTACTGCTGACGCTCTTCTCCTCTTGGGCGACCATCGCGTTGTTCATGTTCTCCTTTGCGATCTTCATATCCTCTTCACGCTGCTGCTTGGACTTCATCTCTTCATGGGTCATGCTCACAAACCGAACTGCCGTCACCTCTCCATTCAGGATCCTCTTGCGGAGACCTGGGTTGGATTTATTCTTCAGGTTCTGATATAGCGATCGCACTTTGTCCTTGTACACTGGTGATGCGGACGAGCCTTTTGCGTCCGGTAGGTTCAAAGCGGCCGATTCGATTTGTTTGGCCAGTTCTAGAATCTGTTTCATAGGCAAATCCGATCCTAGACACAGGCCGTCGTACATCAGGCCGATACAGTTGTTCCGTGCCGTATCCGTGGTGAGATCGTCGCGGGGGACTTTGTCCACTTTCCAATTCCTCTTGTCTGGTGGGACGCCGGGGCTGGTGACTTTGGGGGTGGGAGTGGCTGCCTTGGGTGCCGGTGAACTTGTCCCATTAGACCTCGCCCCGACCGGCGTTGATGCTCCGCTGGCCAGCTTCTGCTCATTTACCACATGTCTCCATCGGCTGATGATCTCGGACGCCAGCTGTGCGACCTGCGGATCAACATTTGGGACGCCTTTGACTTTGTTCACGATTTTGCCAATCCCGGTTGCTCGCAGCAGGTCTTCGCTCGGCCGCACGTTTGCTTTCAGATCGCGAAGGATGGTGATGATGTTTTCAGAAGGTTCTTTTGCCGCGACGGCTTTTTGTAAGGCAGAGCCTTTCGAGAGGATTTCTCGTCGATCCATGGTGGAGAGGAACGTGAGGGTTCGATGACTGGCGCAAATGGCAGTTACGCCGAGGAAAGGACGGGCGGCTGAGAAGGCTTAGAGAGTCGTTTTCGTCCCGTTCACTGTGCCATGACTGTTAGCAATTCCTTCTGCACAGTCGCCGCTATGCGTCCACCGTCGCGGGGTGAAGATCACAACCCAGGGCAATGGCGCTGGTTCCCAACGGCCAGTCACCGCTTGCGTTCAATATGGTGCGTTGACAAGTAAGCCTCTCGTGTTCAGCGTATAAACGTTGGTGACCGTTCGAGCTCGAAGCGCGGTGGTTGTGGTCGCACGGGCAATGAAGTAGTGGGAGGGCAGAGGGCTGAGGGCAGATGGGAGCGCAGGTCCTCCTTACCTCTACAGAAAGTCGAGGTTTCCTCCCCAACAAGGAACAGGCTCTGAAGGCAGATGTACAGATGTAGCGACGACGGAGGTGGTCTATGCAGCAGTATAAAGTAATGGAGAGAGAGAAGGCAGCCGCACGCAATGTTGAAGTGAGGCGGGCAGTAAATCGGCTGGGAGTGAGGTTGTGGCGCGCCGTTTTTGGTCAAAGAGGCGTCATTTCATCCAGGTCACATGTAATAGTGTGAAGTGCATGGGTACGGATACATATAGTTCAGCAATACAACCAAACGTGCTACATCGACATCGCAATTCAACTTGAACAGATCGTTTCCGTATTAAACTGATTCCACACCATGCAAGCTGTTCATGATACAGTGTGCGACTCCACGCTTCTTTGGGCCCCAAACTACCAAACACGACGCTGACGCTGGGCACGCGACCTAGCCTTGTCACTAGTATTCTAGTCGCACCTTCTGGCCCTTGACCCGGCCGATCACGATGTCGGCGGCATATTTGGGAATGACTTCATCGTCATGAAGCATCTCGAATTCTGCAGACGCGTCAGTTTACATCCTCGGTGTCTCATGTCAATACGATCACCAAACTTACCTTCGCTTGCGTCCTTGCCCATATGACTGAACAGGGCCTGCGGGCCACCTGGGTGCTCATCGAGCCAGTTGGTGACATCCATGACCACACCCTTGACTGCAATCCACAGATCGTCCTTCTTGTTGTGTTTCGCGACCTCTTCCAGCGAGAATTCTTTCTCCGGAACCTTGAACGAGCTCAGATCATTGTGATCCTTCTTCTTGCCAGCATCTTGGCTCTTGTTGCCATCCATCACCGGAGCAGCGCTCTTTTGAGCCTGCTTCGAGGTGATGTCAGTACCTGCCGATGCTCCTGACCCGCCACTGCCCCATTCCACCGAGACCTTGCCCGGGGTGTTCGGATCGATGTGGAGAGAGATCTGGCCCAGACGTTGGGCGGCCCCTACGCCACCTCCCGCGGTGAGCTTGTTGAACAGATATTGAGATGCCGATGCACCAGCAACTCGACCATAGACCACGCAGCCGAGAAGGGACGAACCGCCCAATCGGTTCGCGCCGTGAACGCCACCAGCAAGTTCACCACAAGCAAAGAGGGCCTCGAATGGCTTTTGTTCTTTGTTGAGTACTTGAGCCTTGTCGTTGATCTCCATCCCACCCATGGTGAAGTGCAGGACCGGTTCCATGACGGCTACATGGAAAGTGTCATTGATATCCAGGGGCAGGTTGTGGAAATACTTCTTGCCCCAGGCGTCCTTCTTCTTACCCTCAGCAATGGCGTTGTATTCCTTGAACTGTTTGTCCAGGGCCTCTTCACCGCAGCCGATCTCTTTCGCCAACTCTTGGCCCGTCATTTTCTTCATCAAACCACGGCCCGAATAGTGTCGGGTGTGGAAGTCCAGGACGTTGGACGCCTTTGAGTTCAGGACGAGTCGAATGGGCCACTTCCCTTTCTTCTTTTCTTCCCACATCTTCCCTGATACGTAGTCACGGTGGCCTAGATCGTCGCAGAACCGTTGACCATCGCTGTTTAGAAGGATGCCACCTTCGCCACGGAGGGCCTCGGCAGCCAGGAACTTCCATTTGGAATGGGGATCCTTGGGATCAACCAGACCAGTGGGATGGACTTGGACCTTGTCCATATCGATGTCATTGGCACCAATTGCCATCAACATCTTGTGGCCATCACCTGTGGCATGAGTGCCGTTGGTCGATGAAAGGTCGAAGGTATCTGGCCTGTGTTTCTTGAGGAGCGAGTCCGGTCCAAAGTCCGCAGCATAACCACCGGTCGCGAGAACCACCACGCCGTCAACCGAGTGCTTCTCGCCGTCATATTCGTACGTGACACCAGTGACGAGATTGCCGTCGTGATTCAAGGATGTGACCTTTGCCTTCTTGATAACCTCGACTCTGTCGGGGTCGGATTCGCAGAGTTCCTCCAATCTCTGCATTAGCGCGTATGTGATGGCCATGCCCGGGAATTTAGCATCGTGTCCTCTGTGGGTCCGGGGGAAAGAGTGTCCACTGTGCAGTTGGTTAGCTAGTCTCACCGAAACTGCCTGCGGATGTGCACATACCCAAGACGCGAGACCAGGGTCAGGTCAAGGTTGAAGACATCCTGTAGCCATTCGACGGCGGCCGCAGATTGGTATGTGAGGACTCGGATGAGATCGGGTCTCGCCTTGTCACGGGCGGACTTGAGAGTGTCCTCGTAGAATGCCTTGACACTATCACCAATGCCGAGGTCGACTTGGGTTCGGGTCAAGGCACCGTTGATGCCAGATGTGGCCTTGGTCGAGTTGCCACCGAAGAAGTCTGCGCACAAAGTGAGAATAGAGCTGGGCGAGGTAGGGATGATGGACACTGACTGTTCTTGTCTAGGACGAGGACACTGCCTCCGTTCAGGTAGACGGTATGGGCGGCACTGAGACCCGACACTGCGCTGCATGGTCAGTCTATGGAGGACAGGTCCGCACCAAGTTCGGGAATTGAACTTACAGCCACCACCAACAACAATAACACGAGGACCAGGCATCCTGAAGATCAAGCCAGAGACCGAGACAAAGGATGCGGCGAAGGTGACAGAGATGCTGAAGAGGAAGAGGAAGGCGAAGAATCAAGGGCTTTTGAAGGAAGACAGAAGACAGGAGAGATCACCTGCACGGGAACGGTCCGTGAGATGTCCTTGACGACAGGCCCAGCGGCAGCGGCGCAAGGGCACAGAGTGGTTGCGGAACTGTAATGCAAATGCAAATGCTAATGCTCTGGGGAGTTGAACCTCGGTACTGGTGCCTGGCTGGACGTAGCAGCGCAGGAAGTAAGACTGTAATGTGCTGCACCTGACTGGATGCTGACTGGATGCCCACACAGCGGTCTTCCACACCACAGCAAAGGTCGCTACGAACCACAATACTAGTATCCGTACTGTCGACGGGAACCTCGACCTCCGGGGAATGCGAAAATTATATGATGTGAATTTCTGCTCGTGTTGACCTCCATCTCTCGCTCTCTCGGGGCAAATTCCCATATTCAGACGCACGGGCAAACCACAGGCTGTTAGAGTAAGCTGACAGCCACCCCAAGCTCGCTGTTCTCTGCACCGAGGCCAAGGGGGGTGCTCTTCCGGCCCAGGCCTCCCCAGGCCTCCTTACAGGCAGTGAGCAGTCTCGTTGGGGGTCGCTGGCAGGCCTTAGGGAGTCTGAGAGCCTGAGGAGCCTGAGGAGCCCCAGTCTCACCCACAATCCCCATCCAACCCTGACTCTTTAGGCTCCCAAAGCCCGAGTTCATCCCCACGCAACCATCCAGCAGTCGTTTTTATTCACCCGAGAGCATTTTCACTTCGGCGCAGCACATGTCTCGGAGACTTCACCCTACCTGTCTCCCCTCCTCTCCCGGAGTGCAGTCCGCACTTTGTTTCATTCTCTTCCCCAGGGTCGTCGGTCAGTCAGTACGAGTACGAGTACCCAGGACACAACCTGGGGGTCTCACTGTCACAGGAAGCATGTGAAAATGATATCACTTCAAGACAAGATCTGTGCATCACGAGACCATTTTCTCGTCGAGTGTGAGGAGAACCAATGTAATTGGATTCAACCTTGCGGAGTATACTCCGTATACCTAGTAATGATTAATCACAGCATCCAATCCAAAGACCGTCAAAGGGTATCACTAAATATACAGTGCACCAGCCACGCCACCCAGCGCCCTTCCAACATCATTCCCGTATGTGCACGTAACATACTCCGTTTCTCTCGTTCCCATCCTTTTGTGGTATCTCCCATCTCTTCATCTCTTCATCTCTCATACAGCGTCAATAACATATTCAAGTTTGTCCGTCTGCTGTAAGTCTGCCAATACTCGGTTCAAAGCCCACCATGTGGGATGTCAGATGAACCAGTTTGGATCGACCAACTTCTCGGGTGTCTGCGAAAACATGTCCAGAAACTATCCTGGCAGCATCATCAGGAACAATCCCAGTCCTGCCATCCTCACCAGGTGATTCATGGAGGCATGTGTCCAGCCATGGGTACAAGCCCACCGTCTACCCTGGTAGCAGTAGCGGTAGGCCCTCATCCTTCCCTCGTGGCCCAGCGTCGTGAGTCGGTCTCTCGAATTGACAAGGTTGTTTCCTCTTGTGGAGTAATGCGATTTTGTGAAGCTTCTCTGATAAGTTCATGCTGTCTTCTCTGTGTCCATCAACTTCTTCTTTGGGCCCCCTCCGTTCTTATCTGTGAATGTGATAGAGAACCCGAGGCCTCTCGTGACAGCAGGGAGACGCTGGAGGTGGGAGAACGAAGACTCAATGCCGGTGACGATGCGCCCTGGCATTGCGCATTATGCATTTGCCTACTCTCGTTCTTGGGTTCTTTGTAGAACATGGTAAATCGAAGGGTTTGGTATCTCATGATCGTGGATTGTTATCAAAGGCGCGGAGCTGATGTGGAACAAGCGCACGGTGCAGACGAACGAAGAACTTCAAGTTGAATGAATGACTGAATTTGGTCTAATGGGAAGCAATACGATAAAACCGAAGAGGGCTATCTACAAAACACCTTGAATGCTCAGCGGGGTACAAGTGAATATTTGTACCTCATCATCGCTCTGACACATGGGGCCCGAGAGATACGCAAGTGTTTCGCACGGTCTGGGATCGATGATGCACTGCGATTTGTGGAGGACGAGGCAGGAAGCAGGGCTAGGGAGAAATCGGGCTTGCCTTCGGAACTTGGCTTGGGCTGGATCGGGCGACAACCCACGTGAGATCACATGACTATCTCGATGTTGTATTCGGATACAGTACGGAGTACAACCGCTTCCCTTCGGGCGTTCTTCACCCTTGCTTCACCAAGGCCATCTCCATGTCGCCGCATCATCAACAGGAAATCCTGATGAACTGAACGTCTTCCGTCCCCGTGCCCTTCGCCCTCCGGGACCATTTCCCTTGATTACAACGGTCCATGGCGTTGACGTGCCTCTTGCTATTTCTGTTAGACTTTCCATGTGTATATTTGTCGGTTTGCACAGACTAGAAAGCCGCTGCTATCCCACCTGATCCTGTACTCACGAGTATCGATGGGTCTAGCTTGCCCACGCCTCTGCCCAAGTTCTTTCGACCCCACTACCCCCTCAGACCATACTCGTAGTTGCTGTAGTACAGCGAGTTTGGGGACCAGGAAATGCGCTGCACCGAGTGCATGTCACCAGGGAGCACTAGAAAGTCGGGTCCATGTCCTGCGACCCTGCCATAACATGTTACCCGACCATGCTCGTAGAAGATCTAACCTAAGAGGTTCGTCCAATACGCTGGAAAGATGATGTCCCATCAAGCTCGTCAATCTCTCTGTGCACAAAGATAAGGACGGCGCAGGAGGCACGCCAGATCGGATCTGCGACTGGCCCGCCGTCATCGAAATTCCTTGGGTATTCACAATTCACCACACTGGGCAATCCTGATATCGAGAACCGGTCTCTCGCCCTGTCCACGCCCACCAGGCCCCGCTGTTCTGGTGTTTTCAATCATCCGAACAACATTCAGGCTGTCTTGATCAGCGACCTGCCCGAAGACGACGTGCTTGTTGTCCAGATGGGGCGTGGGCGCGCAGGTGATGAAGAATTGGCATCCATTGCTATTGGGGCCGGAGTTCGCCATCGACAATAGTCCAGCTGATGTGTGTTTGTGCTGGAACGATTCATCGGGAAACGCGGCGTTGTGGTAGATACTCGTGCTGCCGGTGCCATCTGAGTGGAGGAAGTCGCCGCCCTGGATCATGAAGTTTTTGATCTGTCAATGCCCACACGGACTGAAGATTAGTCTAGGCTCAGCAGTGCAAACAGATCGGATCAGATCAGGTTCCGATCCTGCAGATCAAGTAGTTTCTCGGTTCCTTGCTGTCCCTCTGTTTCGCTCGCCTCATTCATTGAGGCGGTAAATGTTTTGGATACATACCACACGATGGAACTTGCTGCCCTTGTACCCCTGCGGCTGGCCATTGACCTTGTGCTCGCCCGTGCAGAACTGTCTGAAGTTCTCGGCCGTTTTAGGCACCGTGTTGACGAAGAGGTGCATTTTGATCCGGCCGAGTGGTTCGCCTGTGTTAATGATCAGCGGGAAGTTGGTTGGCTGTTGATGTCAAGGGGGAAAAGATTGGTCGGGAGTTTGCCCTTGACCGATGAGCGCCGAGAACAGGGAGACTGAGGCTCTCTGGACGCTCTTTGTAGGCCATGGGCATGTCAAAAATTGTGGGAAAGAAGTACAAGTAAAGCAGCGCGTATGTCAAATTTGGTGGTAGCAACAATATGGATGATGAAAAACTTGCTGCCAGACTTGCTGCCACAACATCACAACATAGTGTTTCCATCTTGTGGTCCTAAAGATCCATGTTCCTGTGTGTAGCCATAGATGGGGACGGGACTGCGGAACTCACCACCTAACGTAATGTCGAAGAAGACAATGGGCTCGCCCTCCCCCGGCTTAGGGACAGCGATCGTTCCTGATGCCATTTCTAGTTTTTTTGGGGCGGCAGCGGAGGCAGGAAGGCCTAATCAAGCGAGCAGAAGATGTTTGGACCTGGTTGTTTATGGGCCTGAAGGTCTGGTATAAGGAAAATGGAGAATGAATGATCTTTGAAGAAGTAGAAAATGCTTGGAAGAATGTACGGTATCTCACGTAACTTATATTCGCACCGGTATCAACGTCATTTGAAATAAAATCTCCTAAAGGCGTCCATGACCCTGTCATTATTGCCCTGTTGTTTCCCAATAACAATGAGTAAATTACCAGCTACCACTATAATACTTTCAAAGATCCCAACACCAAGTCCGAACAGGAAACTATAGCGCGCCCTTTCTGTCTCGTTTCCAAAATTTAAGACCTTTCTTTTTCTTCGGCTCGCTCCTCTCTACGAGAGGCGGTATGGTGTAAGCCGGGCTCCTCGACCTTAGATCTTGAACAGCATCAACCCTCTCAGTCCATGGACCTTCCGGAATTTCGCCGATCTTGGTACTCGCAGTCATGATTGTCATGGTCGATGTTGGGCGTGCACCGTGGTGACCAGGCCTTGGCCTAGACCGTGAGTCAAGAGGAATCTTTGGAGGTCGAGGCGGAGGCATAAGGCCTTGAGACTGTCTGGCCGGTACATGAGTGTCGAAGAAATCAGCCGGGACAATCAGCATGCTAGGCTGCCTCTGAGGCCGTGAGTCTCCCTCTGATATCTGTGTCTGAAATGTTGAGTGTTTATCTGAGCCATGGCCCCGTGGTGTTATTGTTTCGGGAAATTGACGGTCCTCGGTTTTGTGAGTGCAATTTGACACCACACTGTGTTCTCCATCAGACTGCTTGCGGATATGCAAGTCATCCTGAGAAGCCGGAGATTTCATAGCTGCTGAATTCGACTGGCTCCTGCTGTGCTTCTCAGTCCTTGTTCCCTTGTGTTCTCTCGCTTTCCTGGCAGCAGTGACAGAGACGATTGAAGATCCGCTCTTTGATCTAATCCACCCCCCACGAACTAGGAGTGGTGTCGGAGATGGTCGGTTATGTGTCTTTGATGGTGACTTCGAGTTGCTCTTTCGACTCTGGCGATGACTGTTCCTGTCATCGGGCAGTTGATTCTCCTTCGGCTCGAGTGGTAGCCTGGGCTGTGAGGCAAGGCTAAGCCGTGTTTTCAGTTGACCCAGTGCTGTCATGGTATCCAGAGCAGCAGTTTCGGAGAGGTTGAACAATGCCTTCTGGGACATGACTTGTGACTTTGGATCTGCTGATAGCGCATAATTGATCAGATTGATCAGACCGGTATTGAGAGCCAAGAGCGTGTGTGCCAAACTTGAATGCGCTGCGCTGTCTCCGACCTCGAACCTACGGCCGAACTTGACCACACTCTGCTCGTATTCATGTTTAATCTGCAACGGTCGAGTTTTCAGCGATTCCTTGACCCATTCCTGTTCCTCCCATGGCCGGGGAAGTCTCGCACTTGACTTTCGTTTCTTTCCTCCTAGGCGATAGAAAACTTCCATTCCACTGCCGAAGGCTGAGATGATGGACACAACCACAGAAGCCACGTCGATTCCGCCCATGGTGCTGAACTCGAACTCTGTGGTGTCGGGTACCAATCACGTAGTCAACATACCATCCTCTGCATCACAGAAACTACACTCGAGACAGTCAGTCCCTCAAGTCACTAAATCAGTAACTGGCGAAAAAAGCAGCTTGATGGGGCACCCAAACAACGAGGAGTTGTAGTGGCTGGCCGGGCAAAGTATTGAAAGGTAGAGAGCAAGGCATCCTCCGAGCTGGGCGTCTGGTGCTGGGGAGATATAAAGGTGGCTGAGACTACTAGCGGGATCCCTGCATATGCAGTGCAAAGCTTTAAGAAGTGACAGCAGGATTGTCTGCTACAGGTTCAGGAACATGTGCAGAGAGACGGGTGCTATGAAGCCTGAATCGAGGGGAAGGTGGTTGACTAAGTGACAAGGGCCTGTTACGTGACTGGTAGAAGATACCAGACCCCATGCAGCCAGGCGCCCCGGGCGCAATTCCAGGCGCTTATCGCCCGGCAGGTTCACTGAGTAGTCTGAGGACGGGAAGAGAGGAAGCATGCATGTAGCCGATGGTTGTTCTGGTGTGTCTTGACAAGTCGATGGCCAGTAGAGGGACCAACTGGCAAAATAAGGCACTGAATGGTGGACAGAGAACAAATCATCGTTGCAGATGCGAGTGAAAGACCAAAGACCAGCATAGCGATCACGAAGACTGGTCAGGCATACTCCTCGCTCCCCACCAGAGTTCTCTCTTCCGGCATCAATCAATCATGTAGTCATTCCTCACGTACAGCAGCTTCTTTGACAGACTTGTGTACACTGGAACGTTTCAGCCGAACACGTCCCGAATTGACCAGACCCGACCCAAGCCCCTTTCCTGTTGGCTTTTTGGTAAAGTTGAACGGTCTCACTTGCCCGCTTTAGGCCCTGCGACACCTGCACCGATAACACTGGGCAATTCCTGGCTGCCCATATTGAATAACATACCAATGGCCCCAGCAATCAAGGCCGTCATTACGACACCGAAACCAGCAAATAAAATGAAAGGTGTGCTGATGTCTTTCTTCTGGCACGCCGCTCCACCCCACTGGACCGTCTTCTTTGTGCCGTCTTCATTCACACGCACTAGTGTGGTACCACACCGGCATTTGAAGCAGTTCGCATGTGCTTGATAGCAGGAACCGTGGCCGGAGCAGAGATTAGTGGTGTTCTCGCATGCAGATTGTGAGGTGAAGCACGCCGGTAGGGCTGAAGGGAGCGTGAAGTTCTTGCTAGCGTTGGAAGATGCTGTATTGTCAAGGGACAAGGTATCTTTAGGAGTTGCTGAGGGAAGATCGAGGGGTTCCTCTTCGGACGTCTCTGGTGTACGCGCATGGTGTTGATGTGCATGCTTGTCAGAGGTCTTGGAGAGCTTCGATGGGAGCAAGAGGACCGTTGACTCCACGTTCTCACTGGCTGACAGGTGTTTGAGAATTCGGATCAGGGAGGGCAATTTGGTCTTGACCTCAGATGGGTTTGTTGGCAGGTAGCCATAGAGGGACAGGATGATAGGGATATTGGGGATCTCCACGGACGCAAGGCATAGCCGCTCCTGTGATGGTCAAGTCAGCGGGTTGCACGTCTCAAGCGGGTCGACCGGAGCGTACATTCCCCAAAGGATATGAGAAGATGACTTCTACTCCTTTGCTGTTTGGTGCATTGAGGCTCGGAGGGACAATGTATTCGCAGGTGAAATCCTTCTGTCTGCGATTAGGAATTGCCTTGAAGTCCGTGAGCAGGTCCTTCGCTGGTTCTTGTATCCAGAGGTCAGGCATGGCAGTATCGAAGTCGTTGATCTGCATGTCGACTCCCGATATTCTTATGAACAGCTTGCCCGGTGCCTCCCCCGTCTGGTCCTCCCGGAAAAGTGGTGCTTGATAGCCTCCATAGGCGTTGATTTCTTCGAGTAGCCTATCCTCCACGATTCCCAGTTGTCGGTCGGCCGTGAGGCTTCTTCTTCTTGCGATGATTGCGCTGGCTGTCTCAGAATCAATCATTGACGTCGACGGAGAGGCGACTTTGGGATCGACCGCGAATAGATATCCACCTTGAGCAGCGACATGGTGCAGAAGCGCCACGCAGGGCAGGAGGGCGGCGAATGTCTTCATCGTTCCAGTTGCCGGCTCCTCGACGAGGGTTGATCGCGTTGGCAGCAGCTGGAAAGGAGAAGACTGAAAGGGGGATATTGGGATGTTAGGACATTGGTTTGGCCTGTCAAAAGCACACGGCGCAGGCGCAGCTGTCAGTATTATTACACGTACGGATACTAGTACGGAGTGCAGTACTCGCTTCACGTGCCATCGCCTTCCGCAGCCCATCATCCCCCACAAACCAAGATCTTTCTCCGTCACGACTCACAATAGTCAAAGACTACGGCCCGGCAGCATCGTCTGCATTCTCCTCGTGGTCTCCTCTCAGATAACGGCGTATGAAACAAGTCTCCTGCCGTCCATAAGCAACGACCCTCCCGCAGATCTACCGCCGCAACCAAATGCGGGCGAGTCGACCATCCAACTTCCTCCGCTACAATAATGTCCGCAATTGATGCAACTCGATGCTTCAGTCCCTGTTCCGTCGGTCGCGGACAGCGCGTGTGCCGCTCCAGAACGGGCAGATTGGCCTCCAAAGAGTGTCGGTGACAAGACAATCCAAGTATGTGTGTGGCCTGTGTGGTTGGAGTGACTGATCTGGATAACAAGGGCCTAACATTATCTTCCAGACCGTTTACTTCTCGCCTCTTGAGCAGTTTTCTCATCAGTTATTGTGTGATATCCACTGCCAGCTACATATTCCCGAAAGAGACGAGTGCAAAGGCCGCCGACGCCGACCTCGAAATTGTTCGATCCCGGGTTGAAGGGCTGACGCAAGGACCTGGGTCGCAGCAGCGCACGCCCTCAAACTCATTCCCAGGCCCCGAGCTGGGGCAGAACGAAATCAGCTTTCCGCTTCTTGTATATATCCGTCAGCGAAATGGACGACCTTATAGACCCAGCGATCCTGAATGGAAGACGTTTCAACGACTACAGCAGGACAAGAAACTCCTGCACGATTTAAAAGTGGAGGTTGCTCGACAGGCGGAGAAGGAAGCGAAGAAACGAGGACAACTGGCCGCATTTCTCGGGATCATCAAGCCGGGCCAAATGCGAGTGAATTTGGAACTCGTCGTCCCCCTCAACCGGCCCCCTGTGTATGAGGTACCATATTTTGTGAGTAAGTCTGGCCAGGCCTCGGTCGATTGGCGTCCTCTACCAGAGAGTTTGGGGAGCAAACTGGATCGTGCTTTCCATCCCATCATTCTTTCGAGAGCTTTCTATCATGGGCTTAGAGAATTCTGGGTCGTGTCATATCGAATCACAAAGGCCCGAGTGCAGGATCGATTGAATTCTACGAGGCCTTCGTCTGGCGGTGTCCAGACTAGCAGCAGTAGCAGCAAGATAAACCCGTTGTATCTGGTGCGTCCGCCGACGAGGCCTCCCACTGAAGAGGAAAAGACAGCTCAGCAACTACCGATCCGTGGAGTTTCGGAGAACGATATGAAAAAAATGTTACCATTTCTGCGCGGCGAGTATGGAGAACATGCCTCGAGACAGGCCTACCGTGATGCTGTCAGGTCAATGACATACCAACATGCCATCGAGTCAGCCTGTACGGTGTTCCGTTTGCATTGGTCTCTGGGACAAGCGAAAGCGGAGCGCACCGACGCTCGGGACCCATGCCATATCATTGGGTATGTCGAATTTGTCGGGGAACGTGGCAAGCTGCGTCTGGATGTGTTTGCCGTCTACTCTCCCCAATCCAAGAGCCTTGTCGGCCGGCCCATGATCACCAAAGCATATGGGATCCCAGACGCTACGACATGGCACAAACCATTGAGCTCCCGCAACCGACCTAGCTTCTTGCAACCAGAGGGGATGAAGAGCCCCGATTCTAAACATCAAACCCATCCGCCCGAGGATTCCGCCACCGACTCTTCTGCCGCGGAGAAAGAAAGGAGAGAAGTAGGTTCACGGGAAGAGGAAAGAGGGGGAGAAAAGTGAGCCTTTGCCTTTGATGTACCTGAATCAAGCCTGCTATGGATCTTTGCACGGGTGCTTTTGTGTGCAAGTTGTTCATAAAACTGTTTGGGTACCGTCACTATATGGACTGTAAGGGTGTGCGTCCCAGCGCTCATGGGGCTCAGCCGAAAACGAGGAAATCCTACTAAACGATGTCTTTGCTCGGTTGTAGAGGAGCGGAGGGGTGGTTGATGGAGGGCTGCGAGCTGTGCGCTTCTTCCGATCAGTTGGTGCAGGGGTAGATATTCAAAGGTATCCTTTGCGATCCTCCATGTACGGAGTACAGACACACCGCAAGGTCTGGAAAACAATCTGGATTCTCTCTCCAATCCTCTCAATCGCGCTTCTTTTCCTCGGTAGAGAAGAGAAGCTGTCAAAACTTTTGATTGTCCCTTTTTTTGGCCCGTGGTAGTGGTAGTGGTACAGCAGTGCCTCGATATATTACACCCCTTTTGCCACACAGGCCTCGGTCAGGCGCTTGAGTATTTCATGGCCTGCCTCAACGACCCCGTTTATATCCTGCGTCGTTAGATCTTCATGATCCGGCCGCTCTTTGACCTCCTTCGTTCGACGCTGGTGGTAGACTTTCTCAAGTTCCATTCCCCTTCCCATCTCGCCTCATACTAGTCCTCAGGGTCGGCCTCTTCGTTGCCTATTCCTTGTCACGCTCTTTCCGTCTTGCTTGCTCTTTCGTTTGGTGAACATTTATGTCTACATGTGTACTAACTATCCTTCCATGGCCTTGACCGCGCCATCGTAGTGCTTCTTGCACTCATCCTGGGCCTTCCGCACAATCTCCTCCATCTGCTTGTGCGCCTTATGGAGCTCGTCGACGATGACGAGTTTCTGGTTCTCCATTTTGCGGAATCGCTTCTGGGCATCGCCACGGGCGTTGCGTACGTCGAGGCTGGCGCGGTCGAATACCTTTTTGGCTTCAGCGCGGGCTTGGGCGCGCGTCTCGGCAGTCATGGGCGGCACTGGCACTAGAACCAAAAGCGGGTTGTGCTGGTCAACTTGGGGCACTAGGCTGTGCGGGCTGCCGATGATCGAGGAGCAGATTGGCTTGACTTGCTAAGGAAGACCGAAATGGGGCGTTAGTCAGGAACGAGAGAGGACGCCGGAAGCCATGGCGGGATAGACATGGACGCAGAGGAACGGCGTCGGTCAACCTAAAAAACCAAGAGGGCAGAATAACCTCAAGAAGACACCAGATGCAAGCGCAAGAAAAAGGAACAGGGGCTTAAGTAGTAGAACAGCGAGGCGTGGAACAACGATGCGAGGGAAAGACATACCGCCTGCTCCGCACAAAATACCTGCACCATTCTGCCCCCTCGAGGCGTGACACTGGCCAAATCCCCAATCTTCGTCCTCTCCTTATGCGGCGACGCGCCATGAGCATCGTGGCCCTTGACGTTGATCTCGACGGGGAGCGACTCAACCATGGCGGGTGTCACTCGCCCTGCGTCGCGTGTCTTGACCAGCCCATCCTTCAGCCTGGAGATGGCTTTTGCAATCTTGTCGTTTAAGTCTGTAAAGTCGTAGGGGTCGAGCTCGGAATCGCGTCCGCGGGTCGCCATGTTGTCGGGCACATGGCCTTCCTTCTTGGGGGGTGTCACTTCGGGCGATTTGCGCGATGATTTGTTGGACGAGGAAGATTTCTTCAGCCACCCGGTCGAAGTGCTAAATTGCTGGGCTGCCGCTGCCGCTTGGGACGGTCTCTGGAGACTCGCACTCACGAGGGTCGGCCGTCGTAGCAAGAGACTGCGGCATTGGAGACAGATGGATGGTTGGGACGAGGATTGCGGCTGCGCGGCGAGCAAACCCCGCTGGACAAGACGGAGAGAGGAGTCTCTGCGCATTGTGGTTGAGAAGCTGTCCAGCCGTCTGGAAGTGAGGTCAGAAATGGGAACCTTCCAAGGACTGTTTGAGACGTCGATGGTTTTGGTGGATGATGTTGGAGAAGCTTCGGATGCTGCGTATTGAGCCACAAAAGCGGCGTTGCAATTCGTTTCCCATCAGTTGAACTACTATTATGTTACTACTCTGTACTCTTGGATCTACAATCGAGGAAATTGCCTGGCATAAAGCTGGGATTTTCGACCCACCAGGAAAAAGGTATTCAGCTCTTGAATATGTTTTGCTGGAGGGGCTTTGATCCCATATTGTACGCCCTGCAGGGTGTCAGATTGAAATGCGGAACGCGGTTGCTGATGCTAAACATACACACACCATGTTACGCGCCTGTGCGTTTGCACGACCTGTGATTCAGAGCTTTGCAAGTGTCCTTTCCTCCTGCTGTTCCATTGTTTCACAATATCTTCTGGATGATTTCAAGAGTTCAGGTTGAGTTGAATATATTATGCATTGGGATATAGGCAGTGCGCAATGCCTCTCCGAAGCTGCAGCTACCGGCCTTGCTCACGACCTGCGGAACGGACGTTCGGAAGCTGTATGATTTGCTCTGCGCATTACTGCACAAGACATTCGGCATCTCCCTTCCATAGCTGTCCTTCAGAGGTGGAACGCTTGCTCTCCTTTAGTGACTGGGCTGGGAACTAATATCAACAGAATACGGACCCAGATACCTATTATGCGGCTTTGGATGCCGCCAAAAAGCAGCATTTATTAAGCCTCATTGCCAAAATCAACCTCGTGGCCCTGACTTCGGCTGCTAGCACGGCTCGCAATGGCTTGTGCTGTAGAGTGCCAGCTCTCGAATTCCATTCCAAGGGTCGGCCCAATCTAGAACTTATCCAGAGCCAGTTGGGCGGCCAAAATTGTCATCTTGACATTGAGTTCGAGGACGGTACCGTCTGGCTGGCCCGTATCCGCCTCGACGATCCTCTACTTCCGCCGAAACCTACCCAAGAATACATCTTCATGAGCGAGATGGCAACGCTGAAATTTCTAGAGAAGACAGGCGTCCCCGCTCCAAAGGTCTACGCATATGCTGCTGATTCCATCATCAATCCTGTTCGTGCATCATACGCGCTTATGGAAAAGTTGCCTGGTGTGCCATTGGAATGGGATGAAGCTACATCCGGCCAAAGGACCAGAGTCATGGACCAGCTTGTGGATATCTTCCTTGAATTAGAGAAGCACCCTTTTCACACCAGTGGATCCCTGAGCCTTAGCCAGGACGTTCTCAAAGTTGGCGGCTTCGCGCAACTACCTTTGTTCTCGTCCCCAGAACAGACACTGGGCCCTTTCGAAACCCTACAGTCTTCGCTACATGCCATGATCTCTCAGCAGCAAGACCAAATCGTCAACGGCGAGCTTTCCTCTCTGGCCGTGGATAATTATCTCTCCCACTGCTGGCGTCTTGACATGATCACGCATGTCACTGCCCACTGCCACGAAAGCGGACCAAGCTTCTTCCTCAAACATTTTGACGATAAGGGTGATCATATACTCGTCGACGCTGATTTCAACATCACTGGTATCATCGACTGGGAATTTGCCTCCGCCGAGCCCAATACTCTCGCCTTTAGCACGCCGTGCATGCTCTGGCCTGTGGGAGACTTTTATGAAGGGAAGAATGGGCTTTCTGCGGAAGAGATCGAGTTTGCAGGGATTTTCCAGGCCCGTGGCCGTGGTGACATCGGCAAGATTATGCTGGAGAGTAGAAAGATGCAACGATTCATTTTTTTCAATGGTGGGGGTGTCTCTAGCGACCAAGAGGAATTTCAGGCTCTATTTACTGGGCTGAGAACTGCATGGGCCACACAAGATGAGCATCCGACCTCTTACGAAGATTGGAAACGGGACGCGGAAAAGAGATACAAAGGCGATCCTGGCCTGCAGATTGTCCTCCGGGGCCAAAGTGGCAGTGTTTCAAAAACCGGAGGACGGCAGTGCAGTTGCTGCCGGATTCAAGGGGTAAATGAAGGTTAGATTTAGAGTGCGTCAGAAATTGGGATAGCACTGAAGTCAACAGACATAGAGCCAGGCAGTGGCACTACTTCCTAATAGTTCAACTTGGAACGAGAAAACAAGATGTCATTCTGCAAGCCTGTGGAAAAGTGCCGCTCTATCTGATCATCAACAGCCACGACTTTTTCTCCCAGCTTTTAGGTCACAAAGTCACCCAGTGAGCAATTCGGACTCTTTGAGAAATCATCCGAAACGACGCCAGCCAAACCTGAAACGGCATGCATACTCGTGAACGTGAAAGACCTTCTTCCCCTGTCTCGGCTGCAAAAAGGCCATTCGTTGCTCGGCAACTTTGAGGGAAACCGAGAGCAGATCTGATTAAGAGTGCCCGGGCACAGGTATAATTTACCTCGTGGCCATGGCCTTGGTCACAGCTCTCTTCAATGCCAACTCCTTCTTCTTCAAGTCGTCGGGGCTCGACTCCTCCAGCTCAAGCTGCTGCATGGCGTCGCTGAGGGCCTCCTCAATCTTGGCCTTGTTGCCACGCTTCATCTTCAGCGACAAGCCCGGGTCAGAGATGATTTCCTCGACACGGCCAATGTAGGACTCGAGCTGCTGCTTCGCCTCGAATTTCTTGGTGAAAGCCTCGTCAGTGGTCTTGAATTTGGCAGCGTCCTCAACCATCTGTTCGATCTCAGCGCTGGACAGCTTGCCAGTCGCGTTCGAGATGGTGATGTTGGCGCTTCGGCCCGACGATTTCTCGGTAGCAGTGACCTTGAGAATACCGTTCACGTCGACTTCGAAGACAACCTCAAGTTGAGCATCACCGGCCTTCATGGGCGGGATAGGAGCCAGGGTAAATTCACCCAGGGAGGTGTTGTCCTCGCAGTTGGTTCGCTCACCCTGGTACACGGGGAATTGAACGGTCTGCTGCGCATCTTGGACGGTAGTGAAGGTTCTGTCTCATATGTTAGTACAGAAGAAACACCAACATGAGGGTAATCTTACCTCTTTTTCAAAACGGGAACAGTGCTGCCGCGAGGGACGACAGGGGCAAAGATGTTGCCTTCCATGGCAACACCCAGGGAGAGCGGCACGACATCAAGCAGAAGAAGGTCGGCGGTCTCGGCAGAAGTGGCCTTTCCAGAGAGGATTCCAGCCTGGACGGCGGCGCCGTATGCGACAGCCTCATCGGGGTTGATGCTCTAAAGCCAAGTTAGCAAAGCATAAAGTCTCATCATGTCGAATTACGTACCTTCTCCAACTTCTTGCCATCAAAGAAGTCGCTGAGCAGTTTCTGAATGCGGGGAATACGGGTAGAACCGCCCACCAACACGATCACATCGACACCAGACTTGGCAACGCCGGCATCCTTCAGAACCTGTTGAACAGGGTCGATAGTGCCGTTGAAAGCCTTGGCGTTGAGGTCTTCGAAACGAGCCCGGGTGATTTGGGTGTTGAAGTCCTCACCGTCGAAGAGCGAGTCAATTTCGACGGTGGTCTGGGTAGCGCTGGACAGGGTTCTCTTCGCACGCTCGCAGGCAGTGCGGAGTCTGCGGAGGGCACGGGCGTCACCAGAGAGATCCTTCTTGGTTTTTCTTTGGAACTCCTTCTTGAAGTGGTCGAGGAGGTTGGTGTCGAAATCTTGACCGCCCAAGTGGGTGTCACCAGCGGTGGCCTTGACCGTGAAGACGCCGCCGTGGATGTTGAGAAGGGAGACATCGAAAGTACCACCACCAAGATCGTAAATGAGGACATTTCGCTCCTTGTCAGTCTTACCAGAACCCAGACCATATGCGATGGCCGCAGCAGTGGGCTCGTTGATGATACGGAGAACATTGAGGCCAGCGATGGCACCGGCATCCTTGGTGGCTTGTCGCTGGTTGTCGTTGAAGTAGGCAGGGACTGTGACAACGGCCTTCTCGACTTTCTTGCCCAATTTGGTTTCGGCAACCTCCTTCATCTGTGCGCGGGATTAGTACTGCAGACGTAGAGACTGCTGGTGCAACCGTACCTTCGTGAGGACCATCGACGAGATTTCTTGTGGCGAAAAAGTCTTTGTCTCTCCCAGATATCTGACTTGCACCATAGGGTTGCCACCTTGGTCAACAACCTTGAATGGCCATGATTCAACATCCTTCTTGACAATAGGGTCGTCAAATCGTCGTCCAATCAAACGCCTGCGCTCTTGTCAGCACTTGTCATCCTAGTCCCAGCGGGCGCAAACTGACTTGACATCGAAGACTGTGTTTTCAGGGTTCATTGCAGCCTGGTTCTTCGCGGCCTCGCCAATGAGGCGTTCTTCATCGGTAAAGGAGACGAACGAAGGGGTGGTGAAGCTACCCTGCTCGTTGGCGACTGCGATAAGTGTCAGTAACCGCCATTCTACTAAACTGCCAATAAACAAGCAACGAGACGATACATACTGATTTCGACATTGTTGCCGTCGTAGTTTGCAACACAGGAATATGTGGTACCTGGTATATTTGTTAGACGAGGTGGCAGGCAGGCTTCGTAAGCGGAATCCTACCCAGATCGATGCCAATGGCACCGTCATATAGTTCGTCGGACATGATTGCGATGTGCAAGGACTCCTGAGTCGACTCTGCGAGAATGGGGTAGATAGAGGAGGGGAGGAAAAGACAACAGAGGTGGAAAAGTTGTCGAACGACAGACAATATAGCGCAGCCAACTCGAACTTTTGGGGCGGGCCACATAAATTTTCCAAAAAATTTGGCCAAGAAACTCGCCGCTGTTACTACCACAGCACTATCTCCGGCCTGACTTACGCTAATCCCTTTGCAGAAGACCTTTATATACTCCGTACACTGGCAGAGTATAGAACGTACCGAGGATATCATCTGAGATGGCCAGCCTGAATCCGTGTCACATCTTCTTTTCACGACTCATTGATGGAGGCTTCTCCAAATCATAGTACTTTGATCTCAGACATGCTTTCAAAGGTGTCCCAATTCCCAAAACACCATGCTGCTCGTTCCCGGACATGAAGACGCTTCGGCATGACCAGCTCCATGTCTTCTCACCACCCTCACCGATCTCCTGCTGAGCTATCGGAGATCGCTGCAACCCAATCTCGCATCCGTTCATTGCTGAGAAGCCTCTTTCGACTGTTGAAGCCGTCTTTGTGTCATTGTCCACGACCAAGATACATTCTTGGTCTTTCATAACAAGTATCCATCTTCGCATCGCAGCGATGACAAGCTTTCTCGAGCCTTGAAGCCGTCGAGATTGTGTCTGCTAGGGCTGCACATTCAGTCAAATGGCGAAAAACTGACCCTTCTCAAGCTCAAGCTGCAGTAGTCGAGTCCGTGTCATACTGCTTTGAAAGGTCGCATCTGTGGTGAAATGGTGCTAAAATAGCCCTAGCCCAGCATATTGTGTCTTTGCCGTTGGCTCTCTTACTCTACTGCCATGAGGAACCGGAGATGCCCTGGAACTCTATCCAATTAATCCAGAATACCGCTTTCTCGTAAACCGGCCAGTAGTTCTGGCTCCAAGAAACGTTTCACGTCGACATCCTCACTCAATCCCTTTCTCCGCCTGGTCTTGAGCACAAAGTCTCTGGCGGCTTGCTGAGGCCCAGCCATTTCGAGAGGCCGAATCCGGATGCTCTTGTCAAGTGGATCACCTGGGACAACGTCCCAGCGGTCAAAAACCAAAGAGACACTCGCAGCACCCTGACTGTGAATGCGGAGGTCAGTCTCGAAACCGAAACTATCGATGACTGGCAGCAGAGCCTTGGCAGCATATAGAGGCGTGCCTGCCACAGGCCCGTCAGAAACAACATGCCCCCGCCTCTTCATCAGAACGGTGTAAAGACCCGAAATCGAGTCTGCAGGTCCGGTCATGTGAACACTGTAAACCGGTTCCATGAGCCTTGGTCCAGCCATCAAGAAAGAACTATACACCGCACGTCGAGCCGTGGGGATGATTTGCCCGCCACCACGGAAGATAGGTTCCGCGGCGAGTTCGGCACCTGTAAGCCGGAACTTGGTGTTGCGGATGGGCTCTTCGCACAACGGTCCTTCACGCGTGCCCCAAGAGAAGCCTTGTTTGATGCTTTCCTGCACTGTTCTGAGAAGCTTTTTGTCAGTGGTCGAAGGGAGCGTGTCGTCGCAAAGTATGTTGGGCCCCATCTCCTCCGGGCCAAAAGCCCAAATGGACCGCGCGGCCAACTTGTCCCATTCATATTTCTCTTCAAAGAACTTAGCGACTTTTCGAATAGGGTCCCGGATTTTCACAACTCCAGCTTCAATGTCTTCAGCAATACCATCATCGAGGGGTTCGGCGATCATGGTCAACTTGTTTTTCTTGTTGGGAGTCAATGCGTAACACATGATCGCACTTGTTTCGGTGACAGTCTCGCAGAACCGAGTGACAGGATCGGAGACTTTGATGTCCATTTCTGCGTACAATGTTCTCAAATCATGCAGCACGCAGTCCATGTATAGTTCGCCTGTCCCAAGAACAACATGCTCGCCAGATTCCTCGACCTTTGTCGTGATCAGCGGGTACGACTTGTTGACCTTGCGCAGACCCTCGAGCATTTTGGGTAGTTCCGAAGGATTTATTGGTTCCACTGCAACCTTGAAAACAGATTCGGTAAAGTGTCGAATAGGCTGGAAGATATAAGCACCCTCATTGTTGGGAAACTCTTCAGCGACAACAGTTGCAGTCTTAACGATGGAGTTGTCAATACCAGCAAGGAGGACAAGATTACCCGCAGGGACCCCTGAGACAGGAATATTGTAACGCGAGCAGTCAAGAAAAGTTGATGTGATCGTCGCAGTCGTCGAGTCTTCCTCATCTTCAAGGCTGTACGCTTCACCAAGCACTCGGACAGTGTGATCAGGCGAGGCCGTGCCAGATAAGATTCGACCGAAGGCGTTGAAAGTTTTGGCATCCGCGGTGTTGAACAGCTTGGTTATGTGGACAACTAGAGGCCCTTCCGAATCACACTTCGACATGGACTCCGCAACGGGAGAGTCCGCTGGGCCTGTGTAGTAGTGTTCCAGTAGCCGTTTCGTCCCATCAACAGGAGACGGCAGATGTTGCACAATCATGTCAACAAATCCACCCGCCGGACCGAAAAACTGTGCGCAAACCAGCTTAAGTAGCACTTTCGCATCTGACTTCAGCTCCGACGGCTTCAGAGATATTCCCAAGGTCTTGAGTGTCGCTTCGAGATCTTCAGGACTTTCGCTGATGGTATGCGAGTACAGTTTGTAGATGGGTTCCAGCACAAAGTTGACAAAAGCTCTCTTCGACCCCTCCTCCATTCCTTTTCTGGTGAACTTGCGGCTCCGGGGGTTGAAGAAAATGTCACCCCAAAGCCTCTTAGAGAACTCTGCCGCGTCGACTTTTTGATAGGTCTCGGCATACATTTTTGCAAATGAGGGCAGTGTGAAAATCCACCCCATGGATGTGCAGGCGAAGGCAACGTTGCCTTTCTCAGGTGACAGCCTCCTCTTCTCTCCTCGGCCCGGGATAGTGTTTTCAATGATGGTGTTGACTTCTTCGACCACGTGCTTCAACTTAAAATATGCATCAGTCGGTGGGATCTTCAACTCGAGAATCAAGCGATCCATCTTGTTGATGACCAAGACCATAGGTAAATCTTCGAGCACCGCATGTTTGATGATTTGCTCGGTATTGATCTGGACGCCCTCAACCACGTCGACGACGAGAACAACCCCATCGACCAGTCTTAGACTTGAAGCAACCTCATCGACGAAGTTGACATGTCCAGGCGTGTCAATTATGTTCAGAATTTGTGATTTTCCGCGTGTTCCTTGCATGACAAGGCTGATGGGAGCAGCTTTGATCGAGACGCCTCTCTCTCGCTCGAGGAAATGCGTATCCGTGTATCTCAGCTGTTCGTCTCTTCTCTTACCTACCCTCTTGTCCAGTCTATCTTGCAGATCATGGGTCTGCATCACCAACATATCGACAAATGCAGTCTTCCCATGGTGCAAATGCCCCGCCACTGCAATATTTCTGATTCCTTCTGGAAAACTCAAAAGATCGGTCATGAAATCCCTCGAATAGAAAACAGGAGGGAGATCTGCCTCTTGGACCTGGAATTTCTTCTGCGTGACCGGCGCGATAATCGGCTGTGTCAGTGGTTGGGCATCTTCTTCTTGGACCATGGTCTCGACATCTTCCCCATAGACTTGTTGCGCCGTGGGGTAATATTGCTTGTCTTCGTGTAGTATCACTGCATTCGATGGCCCCTCGTCATCCACTTCCATCAACTGATCAGCCTGCGGTTGCTGCTCGGTATCCGAGTCCTCGTCGTAGACGTAATTCTGGCCGGCGTCGCCATCTTGGGTTCCTTCTTCATCAGATGCTGCTTCACCGATAAAGTTGCCGAACCTATCGCCACAGTTAGGGACATCTCAGAACATGGGTGCAGATCAGCCTTACTCGTCATAAAGGTCGTCCATGCTGACAGGGTGTGTTTTGTGCTCGACGCGGCGCGGCGCAAAAGTTAAGATTTCTCTCCCACTCCGAGTTCGAGTCTACAAAATCCTGCCCAGCATTATTGACGGCCAGTGCGCAACAGCGGCATACGGAGTACATACTCCACCGTCGGGTCCAGATAAGATAAGATGGTCCAGCCTTGCCCCTGATTCACTTCAACAGGACATGGCATTTGGGCTACCATGACACGAGACAATTCCTCACCCTAACCCCACGTCGAAACATAGGTAATGACCTTCGGAGAGCATGTGGGGGCGTGATATTGTTCGGACTCTCTGCAAATCTCCATTGAGGGGACCTAGTACGCAACCCGTGCCCTATATACCAACGAAGACAGGGCTTAAGAAACTATAGGGGGATGCAACTCATCTAGGATGCTGTATATTGTCGCCTCTATTGTTGTTCTCGGTTCCCTGGCTGCTGGCACGCCTCTCAGACAGAGCTCCCACCGTCTCCCATGAAACCACAGGTTAGCAGGTAAGCTTGACTCCCAATGATGATCTGGAATGGTACGATGGCATCGGTCCGGCAGTATTGTGCGTCCGGTAGGATAGAACAACGTCATACAAGTATGCAAACCAGCTCAGTCAAATGCGCCCAAGGTTTCTGGGGATCCTCTAAACCCGATTACCCTCTTGCCTAGCGTAACATGGCTAGGAGCTGTTCGGAGCAGGATGCTAAACATGAACAGTATCGGCCATCCACGTACTGAGTCTAGTGTTCTCCATACATGTGAGCTCGCTCCAAATCGCAGCAAGTGCAGATATGTGTTATTCTGAACGACCAAGAGCCGATGCCAGTTCTCCCGTTCCTGCCTTTTGCGCACCGTGAGCCAAGTTCACTTTTAATGCAGTCGATTTCATATCAAAGACTCAATGACCAGCGCGCTAGCTCCGCCGCCGCCATTGCAGATACCAACACATCCGAACTTGCCCTTCTTCGCTTTCAGGACGCCCAGCAGGGTCGTAACAATTCTTGCGCCTGAGGCACCCAGAGGATGTCCGATGGCGACGGCGCCACCGTGAAGGTTGACCTTGTCAGAGGTCAACCCCAGCAGCTTCATGTTGGCGAGCGCCACAACGCTGAAGGCCTCGTTGATCTCGAATGCGTCGACATCCTCTTGGCTCATGCCAGCGTGCTTCAAGGCCTTGGGAATGGCAAGCGCCGGGGCAGTGGTGAATTTGTTGGGCTGCTGAGCAGCATCGCCCCAGCCTAGAATCTTTGCCAACGGCTTGATATTAAGCTCCTTCAGTTTCGCTTCCGAAACAAGTACAACGGCAGCGCCACCATCACTCAAGGGTGAAGCATTAGGGGCAGTCACTGTCCCCTTGTCAGGGATAAATGCCGGCCTAATGGCGCGCAGTTTATCGATATTCAGGTTCTTTGGCTCGTCGTCTTTGTCGACTGTAACACCTGGCTTCCCTCGTGCACCTGGCAGCTGGACGGGGGCAATCTCGAAATCAAAGGCTCCGTCCTTTTGAGCGGCTTGTGCCTTCTGATATGACTGGATGGCATAATCATCCTGCTGTTCGCGGGTGAAGTCGTGGTCCCGGGCGCATTCTTCTCCTTGGAGACCCATGTGGTCTTGCTTTCCATATGCATCACTCAGGCCATCTCTTAAAACGCCGTCTACCAAGGTCTGGTTCCCGAATTTGGCACCGCTCCGCAGAGTGGGAAGATAGTGAGGGCAATTGGACATGGATTCTGCACCACCTGCAACGACGATGTCTGCATTCCCAGTCATGATGGTTTGAGCTCCAAGAATGATAGCCTTGACTCCTGAGGCGCAGACTTTATTGACGGTCGTGCATACTGTGGAAGGTTCGAGGCCACCGCCGAGGGCGCATTGGCGAGCAGGGTTCTGGCCAAGACTGTAGGGAGTTAACCAGGGAACATAAGCAGTAGTTAGAGCAATAGTTTACTTTGCGGACAGAACATTTCCGAAAAAGACTTCCTGGACGTCTTGAGGCTTGATTTCTGGTACTCTTTCGAGGGCAGCTGAGCGCAGGTCAGCTTTAGTCCTTTAAGCGGCGAGGGGTCTGCGACATTTGATGGCGTGGGAGCCGAGTTGGGTAGCAGTCAATGAAGATAGTGATCTGCGAACAGTAAGACATTGGAGAGAACACTGAAGGCTTTGTATCGGACGCACCCGAGGAATGATCCCACCGGAGTTCGTGCTGCCGCAACAATGTAGACGGCAGGCAGTGCAGGTTTCTGGTGGGGAAGCCCATTGGCACTGTTCGTCGAGGCCATGATGGTCGTTCTGAGGAAGCTAAGGTGCAGAGGTTGAAGCAATATATGTGGTCAGGGAGACAGTCGATGTTCGATCTTGGAAATACTACACTAGGTTGGCTGCATATAAAAGATTGGTATTAATATTGAGAGGCTGTAGAGTAGATGTTGACGCGTTCCTCAAATTTTTGGCGGGCGCCGGGTGCGGAGAGCCTGGCCGATCAGTTCAGTAATAAAATAAAGTGCCTGAACATGGTGCCACTCCGGAACGTGTCTTAGCGGGGATGCTGTAATTACTGTATCTGTGTCCGTATCCGTACACCTACCTCACCTATAAGGCTGGGTAATTAATTACCTTACGTACTATCAGATTGGCGCAGCCTTGTCCCTCCCTGACTACCTGTCTCTCATCCTCAACAGCTTCTTGCCACCGCCACCTCTTGACCATGTTAGAATGCTTCATGTGTCTGTTGAAACGGCGATCCCATTCAGCGACGCAATAATTTCATGCCAGGCTACACATCCACATCCGAGATGCTCCTAGTCCCTGTGCTTCCGAAAGTAGCTGCCTCAGGAATTGTTGAACTTGGATGGACGCCAGTCCCAAGGAAAGGTCTGCATCGAGAAACAGGGCGGGCCTCAGTCACAACCGGTGGTGAGGTGATGTTGGCTCTGCCCATAAGCAGCACGGTGAATATGAGCAAATGTGTTGCTTCCATGTGTTGTTTCAAAAATAATCGTCTACTTTGTTCTTTCTGTGCTATCTGAATTCTGCCTCAGTTAAAGCTTTTCCTTCACCACCCAGTCTACTTGAACTTTCGCATCTTTATCGAGACGCTTGTTTGCCCACGCGATCTGGTTTGTTGTCGTCCACCTGTAGGTCACCCAGTGCCCATGCTATCTGAATTCAGAGTCTTGGAGTCTCTAACACGCTATTAGAATTCTGCTTCGGCCATGGATGACCAAACCTTTGATGTCGAGAACTCCAATGTCGTCACCTACCTGGAACTCTGCGACATCGCAGTATCTCTACGAGGGCAAATTACAACTGCAGAAGCGTCTCTCTTGAGAGATCGAGCCGCTGCACTTCGCGTACAACTTGAAGAACTCGACAATCTTGTCCTATGTCAGACGGACCGGAGGATTCAACAAAGCACATATCAAGCCATGCTTTCAGACTTTCCGGAAGTGGACTGCCTCCTTGACCAAGAGACCTCATGTGCAAGCAGGGATGGGCGAAGTGATGGGGGATTGGTCTCTGGCAATATGGCTCTGAGGACATCTGGCAAGGATGGCTTCTACGATGACCATCGGGTCGACCCCCACGGCAACACCCAGCTCAATGAATACGTCGAGAAAATGATAATTGACGAAACACAGCCCGCGAGGGAGTGTTATGTCTGTATCGAGAACTTGCCGCACTCTGCAACCATGAAAGTCGGCAACTGCCCCCATGTCTGGTGTCGCCAGTGTTTAGTGCGCAGATTCGAGATGGCGCTGAAAAATGAAGACCACTATCCCGTGCGCTGCTGTGGCGAACTAACCAGCATCTCAGTCGAAGAACCCCAAGTTGCTGCTGTCCTCGGGGAGAAAATGAAGACCGATCTAGCTGCAAAAATTGTCGAGTACGGATCCCGCGACCGGACTTATTGTTACGTGCCAACATGCTCTACCTTCATCGATCCAAGCACCATCATGGGCACTGAAGCCACCTGTCCGTCCTGTCAAGAATCAACTTGTACAACTTGCAAGGCACAGAACCATGGATCAACCGAATGCACCCCTTCCCATGATGAGGCTTTTGACCAATGGCGAGAGGAGAGTGAAGCAGCAACTTGCCCTGCGTGCCACAGAGTCATCATTATCTCCCACGGCTGTAACCATATGAGGTAAGGCATTCTTTCCTTCTACAATGCCTATCAAGACGCTAACATAATCTTTACAGATGCCACTGTGGAACTGAGTTCTGCTACGAATGCAACGACCCGTGGAAGACCTGTGAGTGTGAAATCTGGGATGAGCGCCGGCTTTTGGCAAGAGCCGCTGGTATCGTTGAGCACGAAGGGCGCCCTGCGGATATCGAGCAAGTTGCAGAAGGGGTACGCGAGGAGCGTGAATGTCGACATGACCACTGGACACGCGTCGACGTTCGTTCTGAGGTATTGGAGGAAAATCGTCGTTGTGGTGGGTGCGCTTGGGCGGCTCAGATCTTTCTCTGGCGGTGTGATGGCTGCGGGGTGCGCCTGTGCTCTCAATGTTACAACGACAGCGTCGGCGAGGAGGACTAGATTACAGTGCTCTTAAGAGCAACAATGTTCTGGCAGGGCGAGGTATGTGTATCTTGGGGTTGCTGTCAGAAGTACCACTCTACCACTCTGCTACTCAGTACTCTTCTAACCGACCTGTAACACGCGATGGTGGAAGTTATAACTTCGACCTTCAGTGAGATCTCCCCTTTTCCTACCGCCTCTCTGCCAGACGAATCCACCTTTGCACAGTTTACACACCTGATCTGGCCAGCATTACCAGGATACGTCTTTATCTAGAGATCAGCCGGAATCGCGTCCGCTGCACGTTGGATCTGGCCTTAGCCCCCGACTGGCTCAGCCTCCTAAGCCCTCACTGCCTAGGCCCTGCTTAGCCGTCCACCTTACGGTAAGCTCGAATCCTGGTTGAAGCTTGAGCATCCTTTGCTTGTACAGGGTCCGGTGCAGACGCCATCATTGTGCTCTCGCTTTAGTGTAAGTATAGATTTCCTCGCCCCTTGCCCTTTCCTCTGAGCGCCACTACGTTCCTTCAAGGCACAGATTGAACGCTGTAGGTGGCCACTCGGTGGGATGCCAGGGACGAAAGATGGAACTAAGGAGGAAGTGTTCGCGAGTTTCCAGTCAATAGAGCCGATCGAAGACCACCGAACGGGTGGTGAGTGTCAGTAGGGAAGTTATCATGTTTGTGGTCCCTCATGTAGGACTGTGACATTGGCATCCTTCCCCTCCTAGAGTATAATTCGGGTAGAACTAGATACAACAACGCATTTCACTCATGCTTGACGTCCACCTTTGTCGCGGCCGCGTCGGTGAATCCCTTCTTCGGGGCGCGGATCTTCAACAAGCCAGCCTCGAGAGTGACGCTGACATTTTCCACCTCGGTCGGGAAATTGACGTATCGCCTGAAGGGGCCAATCCTCCTCTCGCCGACTAGCAAGTGGACCCCGTTCGAGTGAGGCTGGTCTTTCTCCTCCTCCACCTCCGTATTCGCTGCAGTGCCATAGTCGGGCCTCGACGAGTTCCCGGTCACCAGCAGCGACCGAGACCCGGTCCAGGACACGGTGAGATCACTCGGCTTCTTGGTCCCCGGCACCTCGATTTCCACCAGATATTCTTTGAGGGCGTCGCGGAAATCCACGTCCGGCTGGTTCGGGTGCTCTTCTGGTCGCGGGTGTCGGTGGGCTAGGTATTGCAGGACATTTTCGTGCTGGTGTCTTCGTTCGTGGAGGTGGTCCACCAATGGCGGGGGCAGGTCGTAGTAGTACGCATATGCCATGGCGGGGAGAAGGCGGTCTTTTTGGACTTTGCTGAAACGGTAGAGATTATTTGATGCGATGCGACGCGCAGCTAGGCTCTTTCGACGGAGCTGGATGGCGGGTCAACGGTAGGCTGGTCGGCGGGGGAAGCAGCGCGAGATATGGTAGTATGGAGTAGTGAGAGAGGGCTTCAGGTCCGGGCGTAGTTGGATTGGACTTGGAGTTGACAGCGGCAGCTGGCCAAAGGTTCAGCAGGTGTACTTATATGTAGTAGTGTTTGGTAAACTTTGTTGGAGGAAGCTTGGGAGAACGACTGAGAAAAGAGAGGGCTGGTGGGCGGGTTCCCACAAGGATATATACCTATCATCTTTGGCCGCATCGAGCCCATGCTCAGTACGTCGTTCGAGCTACCGAGCATCGTTAGCTTGGCTCAATCGATCTGGGCTTCCCCGGCTTGCGTTCAAGGTCGGGTCGCCCGCTCTCGGTCCTGTCTGTCCCGGCGAGGACAAGTGATCATGCGGCATGGTCGGGATCGCGTAGGCGACGGGAACGGCGCGGTTCTAGAAGCAGAGTCATTCACTCCATAGGAAGCTCAGTAAACTACGCACGGAAACCTCCGACACTGACACTGCACACACCTCAGTCAAGGACCGCAATGTTGGGAACGGGAGAGGACCTCGGCCTTCTGGGCTTTCGAGGGACTATGCAAATGCTGCCCGCGATCGGAGGAGTCCCCAGGAGTCCCATTGGAATGGGGGCGCATGACTGTGAAAGGGCCCGGGATCACCTCATCAGGAGAGCCCAGACGTTGCCAGCACGAGGTCGGTTCGGTGGAGGTTGCACGGTTTGGCTGTAGAAAAAGTGGTGAGATGCGGTAAGTTTGAGTGCCCGCCGTGACGCGATAGTTACGTACGTGACAGAATGCGCGGGGACAGGTGTGGTTGCCAGCTCAAGCCACAGAGACGTGACATTTGACATTACAATCGCATGTATTCTCCAATACCGATCTAGCGGGGGGCCCGGATGCGGCTTTTCTGCTTGGCTCCACGCGGTGCCCATCTTCCATCCCAGCTTGAAGCTGTGTTCTTATCAATTTATTTTTCCATCTTGTTCGTTTGATGATGTTGACTGTCTATCGCTGCGTCATCTGATCTCATGGTGGTGCTATCGCCATGGCCAGACTCGGCGGTGCGCTTGGCCTTCCTTCAGTCTACCATTCACTTGAGCAACCTCTTGCCCGTTAGCTCTTCTACCTTACGTCTCTATGGATATTCAACATCTACCTAGAGCAACAGGGGGGGCAGCCATGTGACGACAGCAACGCAAGTTTATGCCTGATCTAGGAGGTGAATTCTCCGATCCACGTGCATGCCACCACCTCTTCCACTACGTACACGAACGCCTGTTGGCGGAGTCCTAGCGCGAACCATGTCCTGCAGCCATATGTATATGTGTAGCACCACTGCAGTCACCAGCTTCGTGCCGAGCCTCCGGTCCTGTCCCCCCGTACGGTTTGACGAAAGTCATCATGGAGACAAATCGACTCTCTTGTTACTGTCTCTCGTTGGGCTGTAGTCCAGATCCCCGCAAAGAACAAGGTTTGTTCCACCTTCACATCTACTGCCGACAAGATCCTGCATCTGATCGGTTGAACTATCTTGGTTTCCTGGAACACCGACGCTCAGAGACATGTTCAGGTTTGACCTCACTTATCCAGCTAACCCTTAGCGCTCCTCAATGACCACTCTGGTGTCACTCGATTGCTTCCACCGTCCTCGCTATGTCTTTCTGATAGACAGCGAAGTTTCCATTTCAGACCAAAGTCTCAACCATACAGACGATCTATGACAAGAGCGACGAGGTGCCCCCGTATAGTAGAAGGCCGTCTCCCAACCTTACGTCTATGAGATGACTTCCACCGCCACCAAAATATCTCCTCCATCCTTGGAGGAGCCGCAAGCACCACAAGATGCCTACTCCTCGACCGCGTTTGAGGAGATTTTGGGCAAAACGGGCCAGTGATGGACTGGCTGGAAGTTCGATGCTCTCGACAGCACAACAGTGCTCCAATCCCCGTCACTTTGTCCGGGATCACTGACAACCCAGCAAATAGGAGGGGAGAAGGGGTTGGTGGCATAGTAGGGGAAAGCCTTGCACAACCCGGGCTTGGTGGTGTCAAGCCTGACACACTCCGCAAGGACTTGGGCCAACGCATGGAATGTAAGCTTACAAGGTCACTAATGACACGTCCTACTCTGTGACATTTTACCAAGCTGCATCAACGATCGGTCCTTGTTGCTGCCCTTGGTGTCGGCCTTCACAGTCGTGCCCTGCCCTGCCGTGACAACAGAGTTCGTCCTTCTCTAGCGCTCCATGCATCTTGCATCTCTAAGAACCAACCAGCACAGGCCCAGACACAGCTCTGGCGTTGCAAAGCCCCCGACCTGCAGCCAGGCCTTGCGGGTCAAGGCAAGCAGCCAACGGCGGAGGAGGCTCCTTAGCCCCTGAAGCCTGAGGAGAATTAGATGATCGGCGGCGCTAACAAAGGGCGCTAGACCTAAACAGGCAGAGGTCAACCTTCACTGCTAAATATGGCTGCTGGCTACGGCCCTGCAGGCTACTAACATAACATAACTACTGCTAGTACTGTATGTGTAGTAGTAGGCTGCTACACCCACCACTATTGGCATTGGCAGCAGAGCCACAGCAAAAGCACAGCACAGCACAGAACAGCACAGCACCGCACCCTGCAGCACACTGCAATCACTCATCGTATCTGGCAAGCCCACTGCACACGCCCTTCTCCTCCTCAGTCTCCATCAGATTCTGTTGATTCCCTTTCGGCCGGGCCGTTCTGCTCGTCCTCGCCCTTATCCAGACGCGTCTCCTGGTCGATTTCCCTCCCTGTTCAGCAGACACTCTCACCTCCCTTTGCCCCGATAGGCCACCTCCAACCCTTGTCGCGCTGCCGTGCATGGAAACTTCACAGACATCCTGTACCCGGTCTCCAAGATTGTTGCGCTGTTGAGCCTCGGCAGATATCGATCCAGAAACCGGTCTTGACGCCGGCCAACCTGAAATCTCACCGTCTGAGCCTTCTCCCGCAGGACCGGTCCTTTGTTCCTGGCCCTGCGCCGAATGGACGGTGTCTGTCTCACGAGAAGAGAGACGTTCAAACATACTTTCCACAAGAACATTTGATAAATCAACAAAGGGTGGACTGCAATTGCAATTGGAGCATCGTTGGGTGAAAACAAAGTGGTGACGAATGTTTACTCGACTGATTCCGCGCACTTACATGCAAGACCCGCCCTAAAAGATACACCATGGCGGCACCGGTTGATGAGCCGCATCAGCGTGATTCTGGCACAATCAGATACACGATAGGTGCGCCTCAAGACCAGAATCAGCCTGTCCAGCAAACATCATCAAATGCCCAGTACAGTCCGTACAGTCAACCGACCCAGACAAACGGCCATCCCAATGATGTGCAATATGACAGTGATGCCAGATACTCCACGGAGAGCCGGACTGGTCGAAAGAGATCACTTGGCGGCGCCGGCGGTAGTGAGAGGAGCAGATCAAGAACAAATGGCAGTGCTGGGAAGTCGCCAAACACTGCGGTACGGATATGTAAAAAGTGTGGTGAGCCATTGACAGGTCAGTTTGTGCGCGCGCTCGGCGGTACTTTCCACCTGGATTGCTTCAAATGCGCCGATTGTGGACAGATTGTTGCGTCGAAGTTCTTCCCTGTCGACGCCGAGGATGGTTCTGGTCAATTCCCGCTCTGCGAGACCGACTACTTCAGGCGCCTGGATCTGTTATGCTTCAAGTGTGGAGGTGCGCTTCGTGGCTCGTACATCACGGCGCTCGATCGCAAGTACCACATTGAGCACTTTACCTGTTCTGTTTGTCCGACCGTGTTTGGCGCACAGGACAGTTATTACGAGCATGATGGAAAGGTCTACTGTCACTACCATTACTCCACACATTTTGCGCAACGCTGTAATGGCTGTCAGACTGCGATCCTCAAGCAGTTTGTTGAAATCTTCCGAAATGGACAGAATCAACACTGGCACCCCGAGTGTTACATGATCCACAAGTTCTGGAATGTCCGCCTGGCACAAAATGGGCCAGCCTCCGTCAAGAAAGACATTACTGCACCTGTCACGGAGGATGAGCGGGAAGTCGTCAAAGAAGACGAAGAGAAAATGGAGGACAAAGTCTATCGCATCTGGAGCACCCTGTCCACCTTTGAAGAATCGTCCGCCTCTTGCATCTCTGACATGCTTCTTCATGTGAGCAATGGCGTCTATGTTGATGGCGTAATTGTCGCACGCAAATTCATCTGGCACGTGGATATTTTGTTCGGGGCAATCGACACGCTCGCAGCCCTCGTCCTGCATGCCGGGCTCAAGGAACTCGCCTATGGCCGGGAGGCGAAACTTCTTTGCAAGAAGGTCGTTGCTTTCTTCACGCTCCTGTCCAAGACTCAAGAGACTGGGGTACGCAAGCTAGGAGTCACGCAAGAGCTTCTGTCGTTGGTTACTGGCCTGGCCCACTACCTGAAGCTTCTCATCCGAATCGGTCTGCAAGGTGCCCTGAAGCTGGAGCGTGAACGAGGATCTCCGGAGGGTCTCCATGCCTTCTTGGACGAGCTCGCAGACCTGGAGACGATCAAGGAGCAAGAAATGAAGTCGCTAGATCTGGCAGAAAGCGTGGCTGGTCTGGCCAGCCAAGAGTCCGACTGTTGCGCGGCGTGCCTTGAACCCATCGATGACGAATGTGTGATGATCTATGGCCGGCGCTGGCACGCAAAGCCACCCCACCTGACATGCAGTGTCTGTCAAAGAGATCTGACGAGCGACCTCTTCAATGCTGTCTACAGCGAGAGGGAGGACAAGGTCTATTGCGTCGATCACGCTTCCCGAGTACAGAATACCGTGTCCGGCTTCTCCTATGTCACCAAATTACAACAATATGTCTTCCTTCTCCGCGTGGCTTTGGCGCGCCTACTCGAAGTACTCAAGTCCGGTGGTACCCTGCCGCACACCTCGGATGATCCAAATCTTACCCCCTACGACACCACCGAGGGCCATCGAGTTTCTCCCACAGGTGAACAAGTCGCGCCACATCAGAAGATGGGCTCACGGTCGCGATCTTACGCGGGGGCGTCAAGTCAGCAAGAATCTTCGTTGGAGCAGACCGTCGGAGAAATGAAACGCCTTAGGTCAACTCGGAATGAACGGACTCTTTCTACAACGTTCCGCAAAGCTCGAGAGTCGAAGATACTCTACGGACCAACCGGGGTGCGACCTGGATCCGCGGGCGCGGACAGCGAGGAGGCCAGGAATCGTGGCGGCTTTCAAATCGTGGAAGAGCGAGATCTAGATGGCAGGATGAGGCCGGAATTGACGTTCGGCAACCAGGACGGTCTAACGCTCGATGACATCCCCAGAATTGTTGCTGCTGAGCAAGCCAAGGAGCAACGACCCAACGCTTTCCGTCATGCAGGCACCAATCTCATCGGACACCGAGGTAACGAACCAAGACTGGTTAATGGCCATCACCGGGGGTCCTCTGGTGGGAATGATCTTTTGGCAGGCGAACCCAACCCCCTACGCACCAAGCGATACTTTTCAGAATTATCGGCTCTGGAGTACTTCATTGTGCGACATGTAGCAGTCCTCTCCATGCAGCCTCTTTTGGAAGGTGAATATACTCTCGAAGACTTGCTTGGCCTGATCGAGACGAGGAAACAAACCTTCTGGGGCAAGGTCAGCCGTGCACTCCGAAACGATGGAAAGACCAAGAAGAAGGGCATTTTTGGGGTCCCGTTGGAGACACTCATCGAACGTGAAGGCGCCGAGTCTACCAATGGAGTTGGGCCCGGAGCGTTGAGGGTTCCTGCAATCGTGGACGACTGCGTCGCTGCCATGAAGCAGATGGACATGTCGGTAGAAGGCGTCTTCCGAAAGAATGGCAACATCAAGCGCTTGAAGGAGTCCTCCGAATTGATCGACGCAAATCAAACCCCAGACCTCAGCCGCGAGAACCCCGTTCAGATTGCCGCGTTGCTCAAAAAGTTCTTGCGAGAGATGCCGGAGCCACTGTTGACGTTCAAGTTGCAGAGGCTATTCATCATATCTCAGAAGATCGCCGACGAGGAGCGCCGAAGAAGAATTCTACACCTGACATGCTGCTTGATGCCCAAGAGTCATCGGGATACCATGGAAGTGCTGTTCTCGTTTCTCAAGTGGGCTGCCTCGTTCTCGCAGGTCGACGAAGAATCAGGAAGCAAGATGGATATCCATAATCTGGCCACCGTGATGGCACCCAACATTTTGTATGCGAAGGAGAAGGCACCCAATGCAAAATTACCCCAGATCCCACAGGTGGACGACAGTTTCCTTGCCATTGAGGCGGTCAACACTTTGATCGAGTACAATGACTACTTCTGCCAGGTATGAGCTCCTATTCCCTGACGACCTTTATGCAGGAATGCTGACTAGATTTACAGGTCCCCGAAGATTTGCAGTCCATCTTGACCGACACCGGTCTCCACACCGGATCTGCGGAAATCACGACCAAGGAGATCCTGTCCAGATATGGTCACATTGCAAAGGGCCAGATTCAGAAACAATCTGTCCAGTCGGCCGATGCTCCGGTGCGCAGCCCGGCCTCGGCATCAAACTCGATCGGCCCAGTGGCAACACGCGTTGATGTCGACCCCTATCAAGCTACAGCATGGCAAAAGCAGAGCTCCGTCCGTCCTGTGCAAAACATGGCGTCAGCAACCTCTGCCTCGGCGAACGACTTCAACTTCAGCGCTCCGACTAGCCCGTATGCTCGAAAACGAGCCGGTAGCTCCGACAGCACTGGAAGCTACGGCGGTGCACCCACCGGGCGTCAAAGCTATCAACCCAAACCTGGCCAGATGGGCATTGCAGGTTGACCTGATAATTCTCCCAAACCACTCTAAAAGTGGTCTCCATCAAATCGCGGCGTTTTTGGCGCTCTTGCTGGCTCATATCCGGGATCCTGCTATTCCATCAAGCAAGGTACCCGAACCGGTGTGGTTTGGGTTGGATAAACAAAAATACTGGATGATCATGGATTGGTCTCCTCGATTTCATCAACCAGACTAATGATACCAGGCCGAATTTCCTTTTGTTTCAACCATCGAGAGAGAAGAAAGCTCGAACATCCGATCTTCATCAAACAGCAACTTGAGGACTGGTGCCAGGAAGGCTTTCTCTTCCACATTCAATTCTTCAACTGGAACATGCTGTGGCCGAGTTTTCGAAAGCAATCCTCGGCTTTGGGGCGCTTTTATGTTCACTTGTACCTTTGCGACGCCCACGCCTTTCTTCCTTCTTTGGGCAGCCCCATGGTATTGCCTCTTTTCTTCGACGGCGGGCAAGAATCCCACGTGCGAACCCCTTTCACTTCTTTTTTTTCCTAGCTGCGTTGGCGCAGACCGTTGGGAGGAGCTTGAGATTGAGGGCATAATTTGGCCCAGACTTGGAATCCTTGGTGGGACTCCGCGATAAAATGTTCCAGCAGATAGGGTACAACTCGCTTGCAGGAAGAGCGTTGGATAAGGGATGTCACCCTACCTTTTCAGCGGCATTGAGCGATGGAGCGAACGGACACACAGAGAAGGACGAAGGAAATTGGACGATCAAGCTCGGGGGTGGTTGTTGTTGTTCGATGTCGGCTGGTGTATGTGTCCAAATTAACAGACGGGGGAGAAGGGAAAGCTCACCATCGTTCATTCTTTGCCTTCGTGGTGGTCGTTCATGTCCCACAGCGCAAGGGCAAGCATTGCATGTCAAGAGTCGAACCTCAGTTCATCGTTCAGCATCGCCGTCGGAGCATGATGCTGTCAAACCAACCGGGCCGGAGGCGCTGGGTGGCATGGATAACAGGAACAGCTGGGCTAAGCGAAGGCAGGGCTTTCATTGTTGAACTATCTTCCTTCTAAACTGCTGGGGTGGACGCAGGCGAGATCTAAGCCGAGCGAGCGGGCTCGGTGACAGCGTGGAAAACGAGTCTATCCTCTGATAACAACCACAATCCGTGACTGGACGGCACGCGTTCTAGGCCAGATAGAGTGTGAGATAGCTTGAAAATCACGTCGAGTGACCGTTGAGTCTGGGCTTTTCACTGCCGTTCTGCAGGATCTTGTCCATGACCCTGCCGAGGCGCTCTACCGCGTCATCGCTGATCTGGGAGTGGATGATGAGACGAGAGCCTCGGATGTTCAGGCCCTCTTCAGCGGCGAGCTTCTGGATTTCTGACGCCGGGATCCCTGCATGGGCGAGGTCGAGCCACACCATGTTGGTCTCGACCGGCTTCGACAGTCGGCCCCCCTTGCTCTGCCACATGTCCGCGACCTTGCGGGCTCGGGCGTGGCTGTCTCGCAGCTTGCCACCTTCGCCGCGAGGTCCTTTCCCAAATCCTTCCTCCACCGCCACCCGAGCCGCGGCAGAGATGACGCCCGCTTGTCTGGTGCCGCCGCCGAGCATCTTACGAATCCTCCTCGCGTGGGCGACAAAGGCCTTGGAACCGACGACGATACTCCCGATGGGTGCGCCTAGGCCTTTGGAGAAACAGAGGCTGACGCTATCGAAACAAGTGGTGAACTCGGGCAGTGTCCCCGCGTCGGCGGCCACGGCCTCCCAGATCCGGGCGCCGTCGAGGTGCATCTTGATGCCGTGCTCGCGCGCAAACGCGGCAATCTTGCGCACTTCGTCGAGCGGCATGATCATGCCGTCGAGCGTGTTCTCGAGCGATATCACCCGTGTGGGACACGCGTGGACGTCGTCGGAGAGGATGGTGTACTTCTGGACGTCTTCTAGGGTCAAGTGGTGTCCGTTAGACGGGCGCACGGCGATCAGCATGGCGCCGGACAGCGACGAGACGCCGCCGGCCTCGTAGTTGCTGATGTGACCCCGAAAATCACACAGGACGGAATGAGGTGGCCCGGTCAGGTGCGTCCGCAGCGCGACCTGGTTGCCCATGGTCCCAGACATGACCAGCACGGCTGCCTCGTGGCCCGTTAGTTCGGCTATCGATGCCTCCAGGTCGTTGGTTGTTGGGTCTTCCTGCATCACGTCGTCCGAGAGGGTCGTGTTGATGATCGCCTCGAGCATCGACGCCGTCGGCCTCGTCATCGTGTCGCTGCGGAAGTCATACGCCGCGGGCCCGGGTTGCTGCCATGCGTTGAGGGTCTTGTGCGTTGCCGCTGTGCCATTGGCTTCGTTGATTTTGTGCGAGGAGCTCATTTTGTTTCTAGTGGTGCAATAGGAATTGGAATAAGAATAATCTGGAGTGTCGGGAAGCTTATGCAGTGGTTGATTTGACCTTGACAACGAAGAGCAGTGTGACAAGACCGTTTCCCACCCTCTGCTTTTGCTGGCTCGGAGTGATAGCCTTGGTCCCAGTGCGAGCATCACCAGCGTCGCATAAAAGTTTTGATGGTCGATACCAGGTGTATATGTGTGTGTGTTTTATGTACCTAGGCAGACACCTGAGGTACCTTGGTCTCTTTCTCGATTGACGCCACGACACGCCTTTCAGACGTGCAGGGTGGGGGTCGGTGATGTGCGACTGTATCGAACTGTGAGTCTAGTCACCTTGGTACTAATATCACTAATATGGATTTGGAGGGTGCGCAGTTGCGTTGTATTGTAGGCGATGGGGTGAGGTCCCAACCTTCCAATTGGCTGATGCAAGCACTTCCAGTTTCGCTTTCCCTTTCACGCGCCGTCCGAGTTGGAGCGCGTGCACCCGCGTTTTTCTGCTCCCGAGAACCACCTACCTAACCTTACACCTTACATCTGTAGTGGCCGTACAATCTGATGTGACTGAAGGCCCGACGCATCAAATTGCACCGCCTACGGAATGGCGCCTTCTACTCGTCGGAAGATCTCAATGCCGTCGGAGCCCGCAAAAGCCAACGTCAACCTGAACTGTGCTCGATGCAACAATCCGGTCGGTGTCTTCGACAACGAATGGATCCGCCTCACCAGTTCCTACGTCCGTCCTGCGCAGCCAGGTACACATTTCGGTACAGAAGTCGCCCGGAGAACTCAGGTGGTTCCTGACGGTGCGACACAGCCAGCTCTTCAAGGATGCACGCTCTCAGAAGTGTCGTGTAAGAAGTGCTCGACACCGGTAGGCCAATTTTGCAAAGCAGCCCCGACTCGAGAGCAGGAATGTCTGATGTAGGTATTGCTGGTCTGTGGTGTGCTGATGCGGAGCAGCTGATGCGGATCGCAGCGACCAGTACTTCTACAAACTATCAAGAACGTACCTGACGGATAGCGGAACGGACGACCAAGTCGACCCAATGTTTGTCTTTGGAGGAGATGTTATCCACGCAAGGCCCCGCGTCGCTAGTCGTCTCAGCCTCCCTTCCGCTACAGCAACATCTGCTCCAAGATTGTCGCAGACGCCCTCCCGTGCTCTTGACACGCCTTCACATCCTCAACCGCAGCCGCCGTCCGAACCACAGCTTCCTTCTTCCTACCAGCGCTCCCCGCTACGCAACGGCGTTAACTTTACGCCCGATGATGATTCAATTCTGTTGGAAATGAGACTGAGGTCACAGGAAGAGCGTCTTGCATCGCAAAATGCCAGGCTCCAGCAACAGGACACTCACATACAGCTCTTGACAAGTCTGGTGAATTCCTGTCGTGAATCAGTCGAAGATATGAAGGCTACACTGCGGGAGCTGCAATCCAGCAGCGTGGTGTCCCAGACCGGACTGTTGGCAAGGACTGAATTCGCCGGGAAAGCGAAGGTGACGGATATCGCAACGCGACTAGGCCAGTCTGGCAGTGGAGAAGTCGGACAATTGCGTGCTGAGAATGCAGCCCTGAAGGCAAGACTTGACAGTATCGCGTCGGTCATGGGTGTCGCCTCGGGAAAGGTTCCGCAGACAGTAGCATTTTCCGGCGCTCAAGGTGTTCTGGGTAAGCGGAAGCGCAACGATAGTGTCATCAGATCAGTGTCTCCCCAGCTTCCAGTTCCTGACAAGCAAGATGTTGCTTGGTCGACGCAGATTCCCACTCCGCAGTCTGGCGGTCCACCCGGCACTGATCTGTTTCACGATACATCGACTGCCTCAACGAATGTCTCCTCGGACGGGGACTCCCGGGCTACGTCGCGGCAACCGATGCAACGGAGGAAGCATGGGCAAGAAAGGTCTCGTCCTTCAGCTGACAGAGGGTCCACCGTACCGCGAGGGCGTTCTCAACCTAGAGGAAATCACAGTGGCTCCGTCGAGGAGGATTTTGCTCCTGCTCGCAGACTCACGGGAGCCTTACACGAGACCTGTGGTGATGAATTGGAGAGGTCGGGCTCTGCTCTGCTTAATCTGTTCACTCGAAAGACTCTAACAACAGCTACTACTGTGCCAGAAACCTCGGCGCAGCTTGATGAGCAGCCACTGCCATCATCAGTAGCCGGGAATGGCATATCACTTCAACAAAGGAATAGAGTTCGCCATGCCCAAGATGACCTGGTGGCCCCAATGGATGTTGAATCTTCCAAGCCTTCAGGCACCCATTTCTCAATCACCAATGTCGAATTCAGTGACGACGATCAAGCAGACGAATCCTTCCGGCAGAACGAGAATGTTGATGTGACCCCTGGTGTGACCCGTGGTGAGACTCATTCGCAAGGCGTGCAGGACTCGGCACAAAGTGACTCCCACTCTGTACCAAGCCGGCAAACCCGCCGCAAAACTGCACTTGCGCAGGGCATGCTTCAAACAGGGAAGAGCGACTCCAAAAAGCATGACAAAGCTTCAGGCGAGGCAAGGGCGCAGATCCGGGACAAGAACCAGCTCTCCCAGTTGCAGAGTCCTCTCAACCACATTTCGCCAGCGACCACGGCCGCGCCGCCCCGCACGATGAATGAGAATGGTCGTCCAGAGGAGATGGCTAAGGCGCTATCGTCGGAATCCAGGCAAGAGACAACCGAGATAGCGTCCAGTCGAAAACATGAGGTGGAGAAGGCATCATGGACTCAAAAGGCGACGACCCAGACAGGCGATAGTGAACCCCTGGCTGCAGAGATGAGGCTTACCCGTAGACAGCAACTGGCGGAAGAAATCCGTCGACGAGATCAGCTTGCGAAGGAAGCCATGGAGATGGACGACTAGTATCCTGCGCGCTGGACCTCACCAGATCGGAGATAGTAGCCGTATCCTCGGGACAGGTGCATTGGGCTCTACCTTTTCATATAGCAGAATGCTGTGGATGTGCTTCGTGAGGTCTGCGGCGAACTGATGCAAACATCACGAACCAGGACATGGCCATCAAGGGCGCTACCGACTTTAGCTTGTGGTCCAGGAACGTGGAAGCCGGGGCCCGCAGGCATCAGCCACGCCCCGGTTCGCCTGACAGAGACGCCCGGGAAGATAGACGTACTTCGTACGGCGTAGATACCTACAATAGGCCCCGAAGCCTTAGGGGCCCCCTGGCCTCGCTACCTTTGTAATACTGGTGGAACTGACCATTATTTGGTTGGTCGTGGAGGCAGTGAAGGGCAGGCTGCAGGGGGCCCTTGTTGGCGGGGAAATGCCTTCGACGTCCGCAGGCTAAACTCGACCTCATCGAGTCTTCTCTTCCACAGCCTTTCTTTGCCTTTTGTGTCGTACGGCGTGTTTGGTGGCGGGGTTGACATTTGTCCTTTGAATATCATCTGCTGGTCTTCATACGGTTTTCACGCGTTGGCTGCCTATTGGTAAGATTCCCCTCGCCCTCTTGTCTCCTCCGTCAACAACTGCTCACAGCCGGCTACTAGGTGCATCTGTCTCCTGACTTCACGAGCAACAGTCTTTTTCGGTAGGCTGCCCAAATCCCTCCAGTTTCCTGCCTGCCACGTCCATGTCTTATCGATATCTGCGAGTGGATTTTACTGTTGCGTCGCCGCGGCCTTTGTCTTCGTGAACAGTGTCAAGAGACTGGATGGTGCTCACAAAATGTCATATGCCTCAATGCCTGCATGTGATCTCAGTTTTGGAACGTGACTGCAAGTCTGGTGGCATTGCAGCCCTTGCGATACTGGTTGCTGGGCTGATTTGGACAATAGAGAGTATCAGTTCGTTGCTCCTTGGTGCACACTCGGTCAGAAGGTACGTGTGGTCGAAGGCTCATAACCCCTGTGCCATCTGAACATGATGTCGCGCCGAGCGTAGCCTGTTCGGGCATGCTCAGATCCATGGCGACCTCAATAATGAGCGCCGCGGCGGAACACTCACTCACATTTACCTATCCTCCTTGTTTGATCAAGATGGACACCGCTGATAGTGTGGAAGACCAATATTGTAGTTCCAGTGATGGTTGTCTCTCATCTTGCGACTCCCAGAAGACCGGCATAACTCCTGAAGAGTACTACGAAGACCGACTAGGTGATCTAGCAGCATTCGTTCCGGTCAGTAAAGAGTCTCGAGGCAGGATTGAAGAGAGCCTTGTTGACAATCACCTAGCATGGTGCAATTGCCGAAGAATTTCTGGGTCAATCTCCATACATCAACGCAGGAGAGTCCTGGGAGACGGTCGATACTGTGATCATGGCGGACCTATCGCAGCCCACTCAGCCGGCGACACAACCTGTTGATGACCCACGAAAATCCGGAAGGAACCTATCTACTGTCTCCGAAGCCGACGCGACAGATGTGATCTGCCTGCTCCACCCGACTTCTCCAGCTGCCTTTGAAGCGGTCAAGGTGAACCTCCTCCACGGCCGAGCACACATCCTACAAAATGAGGACTTGGATGGGATAAGTGAGGATGACTTGCTGTTCGGACCGGAGTTCAATCAACCCCGAGACATAGCCCTTCGAATCTCCTCCCGAGTTAAGGACCCCAAAGACGGATTCCGGTTTGGCCGTGCTGGCCACCATTCAGATGTGCTCTTGACGCCCTATCAGGATGACCCGCTGGTGAGCAAGATTCATTTCAAGATTTTTGTCAACAGCCAGGGCAGCCTTATGCTTCAAGACCTGTCTACCAATGGCACAATCGTGGATGACCTGCACCTTGCACAAAGAAACCGACGGGGCCAGACAACGCTCAAACCGGCAATGACAGTGCTCAAACACGGGTCGATTATTTCTGTCGTCAGTAGCCGTGACAAACAAGAGGTCAAATTGATGGTACGGATACCTACCCGTGGTGACAACGAGGATGCCTACGAGGAAAACCTCAAAAAGTATCTCGCAGCTAGAGGGGAGGTCGCCCAGTTTGCTTCCATGCGAGAAAGCTCCTATGGGAACCACTGGAATGGAGGCAGCCTTTACCACTTCACGGGCTTGCTAGGAAAAGGAGCGTTTGCAACCGTCTACCGAGTGCAAAGCAAGAATGAAGGAAAGCTCTACGCGGCCAAGGAGCTCGATAAGCGCCGATTCATCAAGAACGGAGTGCTGGACATGAAGTTCGACAGCGAATTAAACATTATGAAGAATCTCAAGCACCCGAATATTGTCAATTACGTGGACTGTCAGACATATTCCCATTGGATATACATCTTGATGGAATTCGTCCCACATGGCGAGCTATCGAAAGACTTACACATATTAGGGAAGATCCCGGAGCCTGATGCCCAACAAATTACCAAACAAATACTGCATGCCCTGGACTATCTGCATCGAAGGAACATTACCCATAGAGATATCAAGCCAGACAATATTTTAATCGCCTCCCGGTCGCCTTTGATTGTCAAATTGTCGGATTTCGGCCTCTCAAAATGTGTCACAGATCAGGAGACATTTCTCAAAACATTCTGCGGGACACTCCTGTATTGTGCACCAGAAGTGTATCCTGATTATCACAATTATGTCCAAGGGCCGACATTCAAACGGCGTCGTCTAGGTGAGCCTATGATAAGGCAGACGGCGTCTGCTTACGACCAATCAGTGGACATGTGGTCATTCGGTGCCGTCATTTTCCACATACTCTGTGGCAAGCCCCCTATCACTGGTAGAGGCGACAACCGTGGCGCCCAAATGCTGAACAACATCATGACAAAGGACGTGGATTTTGATCCTCTTCGAGAGACTGGAGTCTCGGACGATGCCATTGATTTTATTCTGAGGCTCCTCAACAGAAATCCTGCCTTGCGGCCAAAAGAAGCCGAATGTTTGAGACACCCTTGGCTCCGCGGCATCCCGGACCATTGTGACTACGATGATCTAGAAGACGAGGACTCTCTTATGAGACGACAGCTTGATGTTGTCGATGAGATTGATGAAGATCTTCTTGACGACGAACTAATCAACCACCTCAATCAATTAACTCAACTACCGTCTTCTAACCCTACCCCAGACCGTCCAGCAAAGAGGGTAAGAACTGCAGCAAACAATTCACCATCACAAGCAGAAGTTCTCTATCCTACTCTACCAGAACCTGGCGAGAGCTTTCCCCCATTACCTCCTGCAGCACCTGCCCAGCGTCTCTTTGGCGAAATATCACAGTCAGTGCTACGAAGCTCAGGTATCTTTGGGGGGACGCTTCCTCCACAGGTATACAACGAAGTCCACGACATTGGGAATCGTGTTCAACAGATCAGCGTGAATGATTTTACATCGCGGGAGGAGATGGAGGAGAGCGCCGACAACTCAGGTCAACCTCTTCACTACCCTCGCGTATTCGACGTCCCACGGGGGCAGGTTGATTCAGCTGCAAGCCTACTCGGTGCAGAACAGCAAATCGGCCAGCTCAACATGGCTTCCCCGGAGCCAGGTGTGTCCGATCCTGCCACACCCGAAACAGCAAATCCCGTGACGCCCCGGACTCGAGAGTTGTCTCCTTCAGACACTAGCAGTCATCATGTCGACACAGAAGTGAATGATACTGCGCCGGCAAACGAAACCCCGGTATTCACGCGTCGGATTGACCTCGGTCTCTTTTCAAACCCAGCTCAATTCGAGGCCGAGCTTCAAGTGCGTGATGCCGCCAGAGCTGCAAAACATCCTCAAGCCAGAGCCGAGACATTCCATGCAAATGAAAATGCCAGGGTCCAATTACCCTCGATTGAGCTCGCAGCTACGATTGACGTCAGAACCGGACAAGAAAACAACGCTGGCAAGACAGGACTTACCAGCCGTCTTATTCATGGATCGCGCTATCTGACAGAGATGCCGGGCGCTGGTCCCGGAACAGGCCAATTCGTCACGCCTTCAAGGCGGTTCGGGACGCTAACCAGTGTCTCGGGTTCATTTGCAAGTTTGACCGTGAATTTGGAGGGACGATTTACATCATGGGGCCGAGGGGTTGATTGTACCGTCCAACATCTCGATACAAAGGATACACGGATACCAAAGTACGCATTGAAAATTACGTTTTGGGCGCCAGGAATAGAAGCGCATGTCGAACGAGGCGGGGATTGGACGCAGGTTCCTGGGATTCGAACCGTGCTGTCGACTTCCGCGAGCGGTTGCATTTGGGTCAACGACGTTAAGCTGCGCAAAGAAACTCGAAGCGGCGATGCCGCTCTTTTTGGAAAGCTCTACACCGGCGATGTTATCACGATATACGACGACGAAGAGGGCCAGTTCTTGAAATTTAGGGTGGAGATCATGTTTGGTGACAGCGCACGACAGCGTCCGAAGAACGAGGCGGGATTCATTGTACAGGAGGAGAGGTACCATCATCGTCGTATGAAGGAGCGCGAAAGTATGAGAATCAGCACGGTTGGCAATGGTGTCGAAACTGGTTCGGCCGCCACGACGGTTCGGTTGGAGGCCCAGTAATTGTACAGTATCATGATTGCTACAGCAAGACAACTACGTGGACTGATGGAGTGTCGGTTTGAAGTTGGTTGCCTGGGCCGCTGTTGGATTTTGCGACTGAGGCATCATGCACCTAGGGGCGATATTCTTCTACCCCAAGCGAACGGCAAGAATCCATGTAACAGTATGTCTAGAGGCGATTGAAAGCCACGGTGTCAAACACTTACCTCATGGCTTGTTCCACAGCATCGTGTCGATTGGCACATGAATACAGCGGCTTCCCGCAGCTGACGCAGGCTACAGGTGGGCACTGTGTGTTTGGCATGCTGAAAGATCTTTTTTTTCTTTCTCTCTTTTCTGGATTGACGCATGACAACTCCGTATGCTGGAAAGAACTCCACCCTTGGCCTGCATTCATGGCAACACCGAGTCCAGTAGTAGTATGTACGCTGTACTCTGTCCAAGGTCACGATCTGATCTTTATCGACAGAGATTGATACGAGTATTGATAGGCAGGAGGAATGGCGCCATCTAGTTCGGTCTTAGACAGGGGTACGAGGCAGAACTAGCCATTCGTGTAGAAAACAGCGGAGGGTCCGACGATTCGACGAAGCCAAACACTGGCGGACAGTTCAACGCGGTGGAGTCGAAGAGCTTTTTTCCTGGTGGAAACAATCAACGATGAAACGGCAAGGAGAAATTAAAGATGAGGGGGAAAGATACGTCTGTCTCACAGTCAGGTCCTCGGTGAAAGGGCAATACTAAGATGGCGCGTGGTAATAATGATACATAAATAGATTGCTCGTGCGTACTATCGGATGAGACCCGCATTAGGTTGAATTAAATAGGTAGAGTACCAGTCAAACATCTTTGAAAGAACCAGTGAAGGGCTGCCTTGTGGTAGATCTAGATGGTGAAGTTGAGGCATGGCTGAGATATGTCAAAGTCAGTCGTTCCGTGACCAAGGCTGCAAGATGCCTGGTTCCGCCTGCGGCCATCCCGGGGGGCAGATTAATATTTATTTAGTAAAGACGACGGAAGCCTCTTCAGCCAGGAACATCTAACGCAGACACCGGGCACCTACCGGGCAAGTCTAGGCGGGTATTACAGGCTGTCAGTTCTCCGTACAGCCGAATAGTTGGGCTTGCTTAGGCCTTAGTTAGCGACATGGTGTGTGCGGCCTGTGCTGCTGCTGCTCCGACTTGTCCATATGATAATCATGTCGAACATCGCCTGCAACCACTGAATTGGAATTCCAATGCCCTCCGCCGACCTTTCTCTCCCCTTCCTGTTCGGACTGCACCACTGGCCTCTGAATGCAGCCGTCAGCTGTGCCACCCTATGTTGTCTTGATACGTTGTCATTTTGAACCTCATGCACACACGATCGCGACACTCCGATCAGCCCGAAATTCTACCCTTGACATCCTCCGTCCCCCAAGCTCAACTCACGCCAATTCCTTGACCATCGACGCTGTTTTCCTCTCACGCAGCCCTGATGGCAGTCTAGCCTTGTGACGGTCACTCAGCTATTGTCTGATCATATGATCGTTTCGCTGCGCTCCCTATCCAAAACCTCATCCCCGTCCCCTATCCGGCCATGTCCCGGACACCATCACCACTGCCTGGTGCAGGGTGGACAGCACAAGGTCCAAATGATGGCAGCTCGACACCCAACGGCTTGTACACTGGAACAAATCTCTACAGCAGTAATGAGGATCAGTGGGCAGCGGCAAAGGCCAGAAGTGCCCAAGTCAGAGGCTACCCAAGCATACAAACCAAGAATGAGGGCTTTTTCCAACGATCCAGGCGGAAAATCTCCTCGACACTCCCGATTTTCAGTCCTTACACGCCATTGTCGGCCAATTGGAAAGACCCAGAGAAGTTGGGTCGGAGTAGGTGGTATCCAAGAGGTGGCGGCACTTTGTCGAAGGTCAAAACATTTGCTGGAAATGTTCTGCGCAAGTTCAAATTTCTGTTTATAATACTGTCCGTTGTGACTTTAACCACGGTCATTATGTCCCAGATGAGTAAGTGTTGAATAGAGCCTCACAAATGCCAGGACTGACTGTCACGCAGGTGTCATGACTAGGATCCGCGGCAATTCTCATCTCGGCGGCGGGAGCAAGTTTGTCATCGTCCTGGGAGCAAATGAAGGAGGTGGTGTGATGGAGTGGAAAGGTCCTAGAGAATGGGCGATCGAGCGGGACAGCATTAAGAACAAACAGAGATACGCCGACCGATGGGGATACCAGCTTGAAGTCACAGACATGAGTACCAAAAAGAGATACGCACATGAATGGAGGGAGAGCTGGGAGAAAGTTGACCTCGTGCGAAATGCCATGGCTAGATATCCCAAGGCCGAATGGTATGGTGTCCCCTTGTGTCGGATTGTGAACAATGACTGACACGCCGAGACAGGTTCTGGTGGCTTGACTTGACCACCTTTATTATGGAGCCATCGATATCGCTGCAGTCGCACATCTTCAACGACCTGGCCAACACTGTCTACCGTGATATCAATGTCTACAACCCACTCAACATCACGCATCCCCCCGAAACAAAATTTCTTGATCCTGTGGCACGATCAGCCACAGGTGACAATCAGACGTCCTCTATCGACATAATCATCCCCCAGGACTGCGGTGGGTTCAACCTGGGATCTTTCTTTCTACGACGATCACCCTTTACCGACCGTTTGCTGGACATGTGGTGGGATCCTGTTCTATACGAACAGAAACACATGGAGTGGGAACACAAGGAGCAAGACGCCCTGGAGCATCTATATTCCTCCCAGCCTTATATGAGGACGCACTTTGCGTTCATTGACCAACGAAAAATCAATTCCTTCCCTCCCGGAGCCTGTGCCGTTGAGCCAAAAGAGGGTCAGCCTGTCGAGGAGGGAAAGACAGTTTTGGACCCACGCTTTCATTATAAAGAGGAAGATCGCGATTTTCTGGTCAACATGGCCGGCTGTGAATGGGGTCGAGACTGCTGGGGTGAAATGTACATGTACCGAGAGCTCAGCAACAAGTTGAATCGATCTTTGTGGGAAAAGTTCAAGGACTCTTGCAGTGAGACGTGGGCAAGTGTTAAGAGAAAAGTGACCTGGAGCAAGAAAGGATGAGGCAAAGCAAGCCTATGGACGAGAGAAGAAGTTTGAAGGCGCGAGTCGACCTCTTAGGGTATGGTCAAGGTCCAGCTCGGTCAAGAGCGAAAGCCCGAGAACGACACGAGACCAAAAGAAAGAGGCATGATTTACCAAGGAACCACGCCACGCGTTTTCACAGCATCAGCCTGGGGAGTTATGGGATGATGAACTATCACCACATCATTCTTGGGACGGAATGATCATACAAGGATTCGAGCTTTGAGCAGCGGCCGAGCATGGGGGTGGATGTTTTTCCCCATCAGACCTCGCTCAAAAGACAGGATGGAGCCATTGTAATTACGGGTGTTTTCTGCAAATGTATACCTAGTTGGGGGACGCCTTGGTCGAAAGAAATAGAATTTGCGAACACCATACTATATCATTGCTGAAACGCAACCGCGGCAGTCGGGTGCGGTGTCTACTTTGCGGGAGAAAGTTTCGCATGCACACCAGCATGACAATCTAACGGACAGATAGATAGATAGACAGATAGACAGATAGACAGACAGACAGACGAGACGGAGGCAGGCGAGAGATAGAGATTCCGCCTCTAAACGTTTAGGTTCAAGAGTCTGACGCTTTGAGAAGACGACGCCGACGCCGACGCTCATAGAATCTACGTAGTCTCGCGTGAGACGTAAACCCGCAGCTGCAGCTGCAGCTGGCTTCCGAGCTTCACCGAGTGTCTTTGCCAATGTGCGCGCGAAGTCGAAGGGGTGGTGGTGGTAATAACGGGAGGGCCAGTAGTGCACTAGGTATGTACTCCGTAGGTACCTAGAGGCCAGTACGGAGTACGGATATAATATGTTACGGATACTGTAGTTAAAAAGGCCCAAGCCCCTAAGCCCTAGCCCGGTCTTGGACCCTGCCGATCTCGATCTCATCCTCGTTTAGGCAGGTACCTGAAGCTAGTCCTCCGCACCCCGTACGAGTACCGGCAACCGGCAGTGGCAGTAGCAGTGGATGAGTGAAGCTCGGACCCGGGGCGACGCGACCATGGATGAATGAAGGAATGAATGACAGGCAGGAAAAGAGGAGCACGTCCTCCGTCCTACGTCCTCCGTACTCGCCTTTGTTCTGCTCTGCTCTGCTCTACTCTGTAAAAGTCATCCTTTTCCTATTCCTTTTCTCATTCCATCATGGCCTCCTAGTAGTACCTACTGTACCTACGAGTACCTACACATACATAAGGTATGATATATCCAATGCGTGCCGAGCATGCCGGATATACGGATCTGTATACATACCTATGTAAGGTAGTGACGTGAGCTGTGCTGCTCAATGCTCAACCATGAGTGAGCGTGAGGTCTGAGGCAGTGACCAAGATCTTCCCGAGTCCCAAATCCCCACGATCGATCGATAGGTATCCCAGATCCAGTTCCAGTTCCAATACCGGTGCGGAATAATATTTGTCACCCTCGTCTTTCACGTCTCTTCTCTCGTCTCGGCCGTGCTGTTCCGCAAACTTGGACTTTTCCATGCAATAAAAAACCAAGACAAGATGCTGTTTCGCAAACTTGGACTTTTCCATGTAAGAAAAAGACAAGACAAACGCTGTACTAGTACAAAGTAGACGGATACAGGCGAACGGAACGGCCTTGCAAAGGCCATGTCCCCTGGGCACCCACCCCTCTATTGTATCCGTACATACATAAGCAAAAACAATCAGCAGCCAGGATTCCCAAATGGTCACCCACTTCAGTACTGACTAGCCGGCATCGAGCTTAAGTACCGCTGAGCGAACGGGAAGCGCTGCTTTCTCGATCCTATGGCCGATTGCGGAAGACAATTCTGTTCTTGTGGGATATAAAGCAAGCATACGGAGTAGAGTGGCCGAGTTCGACGCCAACAGCCGCACCCAATCCCGGACGTCGACAGGATCTAATAATTAGCAGGATTGCGATTCTGAATGGCTTTTCAAAAACCACGTCTAAACCACCACTGCCGGTGCACCACACTGAAGGCACGCCGAATAACCACTGCATTGATGATATTATGTTGAAAAAAGGGCATGCCACGGCAGACAGCATTGATTAGTGGTATCACTGATGCCTCAAGGATCGCCAGGTCAGGAGGTTGATGACTTGGGCCCGGCCCGGCCCGATCCAGAACCAATGTTTCACGAAAGAAAAAAACCGGGGAATAAACAAAGCCGGCAGCGGAGAAACAAAAAACAAGAAACAAGAAACAACATCCATACTCCGTACATCTCGCTCATCGTGTACCGATATAGGTACAAAAAAATGCACAATCAAAGCCCGACTTGTTCCCAGGACGCTTGGATTCTGCTACATAAGGTTCATCACGCTCTCAACCGAGCTAAGAGTTACAAGCTGCTGTACCCCCAAACACCACAACTGATTGCTCATTACGGAGTACTTTTCGAATGATTGTGGAATTACCAACCGAACTCCCCTTCTGCTTTCATCGTTGCTTCGTCAGCGGTACCATCCTGAATGCCATAACACCTGAGAGAGGCTTCCTCCCGCCTTTGCAACATTCAATACACAGGCACATCGAAAATGTCGTTTCTCCAACCTCCTCCCGTCTCCTCTCCATCTTGCACCGCCTCCTCTGCCCTGAGAGCCTCCTCATGCCAGAGCTTCACAATGCTTCCAGGCGTATACACGCCTTTGAAGACACCCCGTTTGGGAGCATCCACACCCACTCGAGTGTAGAGATCCGGGTCTTCCTCAGGCGTCAGTCGCGCCATGACTGCTTTCAAGAATGTCACCACGTCTTGCGGATCAGCGATGCGCGTAGCCCGGAGGCGTTCTCGAGCAAACACCAACTCGCGGTTTGCTGCTCGCAGGGCGTTGACAATGTTTTCGGCGAGCGCCTTCTCAAGGGACCGGCGGACCAGATGTTTCAACAAAGGCTTGAACAGCCAGCCGAGCCAAGAGAGTTTGGACTTGCGCAATTTGTAGTCGAGTTTGTGGATATGCACCTTCACCCCCCGGAGGGTCAGAATCTGTTCGAGCTTCTCGCGTCCAATCTCAAGATCCAGGGTAATATCGATGCCGCGCTCATCCAGGTAGAAACTCGCAATGCCTTCATCCGCAAAATGCACCAGGCCCGCGTGGCCCCGAATCCAGAAGCCAAGATCTTGGGCGGCAACACTGAGACCATTGATGGTGATGGTCACGAGAGATTTAGTTTTCGAGACCGTTTTCCGAGAATGCGCTTTGCGGATTTCCAGGTCGTTCTTGGTCGAAACCGCCAAGCGATATGGAAGGAAAGAGGTCGAGTTCACGTTCCGGCCAGGTTCCAGGACAAGGTTTTCGAGGAGAAGGTCCATCTCTGGCACGGAGACTTCCACCCGAGGGATGGGTATGTATTGCACATTGCGAATCAGCAGTGGGAGAAAGATATGGATGGCGTCGGTGATGAGGTCCGGATTGATGATCTTGCTTGTTGGAGACACAATTTCATAGATTCGCCGGGTTGTCAATATCAGACCATTAACATCCTTATCTTCCATCATCGAGTTGATTGTGACCTGAGCTTGGCGGAGCAACTGGTCAAAGTCGGTGCGGAAGTCCGAGTCATTGCCCAGTTTGGAGGATTTCTCTTTCAGCTCTTCGATCTTCTTATCCGCGTCGTCGAAAAACTCTGGGTCCGTGAACATGTGTTGGACCGTGTTGCCGACGTCTACCATGAACGTCTCAAATTGAGGGTCGGACTGAGCGTGGCTGAGGAGCTTGTTGAAATCTTGTTCCAGTTGCTCCCATGCTTCTCGATCACCGAAGCTGCCGAGGAACTCCCAGAAGTTGCGGACTGCACGATCCAAAGCTGGATTGGTCTCGATATCGTCTTGGGCGGTTGCGAGAGCGGCATCTGCAACACGGGAATACGCTACAGCATATCTCTTGATCAACTTTGCCAACGTAGACACGGAGTCGTTGTAGTCTGTGCGACCCCTCAGGTTGAGAACGGCCTGCTTGATCCGATGAAGTAGAGTCTCGCGTTGTGAACCGGAGAAATTTTCCTTTGCACTCTCGAAAGAATCAATGCCGACTTTGGCTACCTGGGAGCCGATCACTTTGGTCGTTTCTTCCGCATTTTGTTCCAGCTCGTCTTTGGAGGGCAGAGTGCCTTCATCGGCCTCAGGCTTCGCCACGGCACTTTGTTCCTGTTCGGAGAGTTCGAGTTGTTTGCCCGTCTCATGTGCTGCCGATGACAGGGAAAAGGCCGTGTCTGCCAGAACTTGTCGTCCTATTGTAGCAACATCGTTGACAAAGAGTCTGAAGTCCGCATTTGCAAGCAGGAGACTTCCGACAGTCCGGAAACTTTGGTAGGCGGCCTGGGCCTCAGCTCGAGATTTGGCCTGGCTAGCTGAATGGGAAATGTCGTTGATATCGAGGGACACTCGGGATTTGGTGAGGTTCCAGATGAAATCTTGAATCTGATCTTCGGCATTCTTATGATGGAGAAGTTCGATGAAAATCTTCAACCATGCACGACAGTTTCGAACCAAGAGCCGGCCCGACTGACTGAGCTCCTTGTTGTTGGGATTGAGGACGTCTGAGGCAAGCAAGGTACGCAGATTGACAATGGTCTGCTCGTTCGAGGGCATGTACGCTTTGGAAAGGGCCCTTAGCATCTGGTAAGTATGCAGCTTCTGGTGGAGGGCCCTTTCACGTGCAGTGTCGTCTTCATAGCGAGGGAGGAGGGGCGTGGTATCTTCAGCACCTCGCTTGCGGCCAAAGCCGCAGCACGACGAGAGAAAGGACATGGTCATAGACAGCGACAAGAGCGATATGGCCAGTCAACAACACTAATGATGTGCTGATTGTTGCCGACGATCACAGGCAGCCATACTAGGTAGCTTTGAAAGAAATGCAGGCGAAGTTGGGCGACTGCGGTTGCAGCTGTGGCTGCGGAGTGCAGGATCGTGACGCTTCCTAAGTAACCTGAAACGTCATAATGACCGTCACACTGCCTAACCCCCCTCTGGGACGAGGTGATGCCGCCCTAAGCCCCTTAGCCTTAGGAGCCGGGTACGGAGTACGGAGTACTCACCCGCCAGGGGGGGCGGGGCGGCCAAAGGACCCGGCAACTTCGCGTCTACCTCACCCGAACGAATTGAACGGTCACTTTCGAGGTGTTGGACTTCGGTCGAATCGAATGAATTGAGCACTTTGGTTCTGCAAAAGGCTGTTGGCTTCTCCTTCTCGATTTACTAGGTAGATGCTATCTATCGATTACATCCCACAGTCTATTTCATGAACTCCGTCCGTCGTTCCATGTCAAGTCTTCTGTAAACAAATAGGAAGTCCACGTTGCTTACTGATTTATGTCGTGCGGCCACATTTCTCAAACGCAAAGTACGTTGTGTTGGTTTGTTACAACTGGCTGATTGACCTCTGTCATTCTTGTCGGTTGTCATTGCAATCAAACTACACAGGCACAGGGCATCCGAAGCTGACGGCGACGGTTCCGCCAGGGCCGAAAACATCAATCAAACCCTCAATGGCGGCCCAGGTACCCATTCCACAGCATGCAAGGCCAAGAAGAATGTAGATCAGTGCAATAGTGCTTCTGAACCAAGTCTTCTTGTAGCCTCTGATCCATCGCTTCAGGCCGTCGTCGTGCCTGATTGTCTCGCGTGTGGTCGGGTTGAAGCCTTCACCGGGGAGTTCGGCAGCCTTGTGGATGATGGTGCTCATGTACATCATGCCGGGGAAGGTGTATGTGAAATTCATCATGAAGACGGCGCCGACCAGGCTGGTAATGCCGTTGAGGTTGGGTACGGCCCCGGCAACGATAAATGCGAGAATCCAATAGCATGGTCCCAAGGTGTACCAGAGTATCTTGCCCTTCTTTTCAACAATCGAGGGGAATTTGAAGATGGACTGGAAAACTTCAAGGTACACCGTCTTCATGCCGATGTTGAAGTACATGATGATTGCAATCCAACCGGAGAGAAGTCTGAGAACGTTGCCGGCAGTCTGTAGGCCATATGGATTGACAACGTTCACGATGTTGTTGGCAGAATATTGGCCGTAGAAGGAGTAGACGAAAACACCAAAGAACATGTAGACGATGCAAATGAAGGCCTGGGCCAAAAGCATGCCCTTCCAGAAGTCTAGCGGATGTCTCATTTCCGCGAGGAAGGCGACGAAGAGCAGAGCGCCAGCATAAGCATAGACCATGGTGTTGACGGCATTGAATGTTGCCGCAAAACCTGGAGACTGCTGTTGGTACTGATCTGGTGGAATGCCAGCAAAGACTTTGATGGGCTCGATGGTCTGGATCAGTGTAGACCTCGTAATTGCTGGGTAGTAAGGCGCAAAGTGTGCAGCAGCCACCATACTGTTGCAACCATGGTCAGCAAGACATGCCAACGCGCGGCTCGAGGAAGAAAACTAACCAGATGATGAAGTTCACAATGTTCATCCACACGGCAGCATTCGAAATCCATCCAATCTTCCTCAAGCTTCGAATAAATCCTCCAAGCATTCCGACCACCATGATGACAACCATCATACCTACGAAGCAAACGCTCGAGTGTGCGATCTGCTCAATGTTCAAAGCCTTGCTGAAGATCAAGATGGCTACGGTGAAGAATTGCTGGAGCGATTGTGCGATGTTGATGAAATGGCGCCAATATACGCCGAAGAGGCGCAAAAATGGATCACCAAAACTCTGCATCGGGTAGCGAGATGAGTCGAGATCGATGAAAGTTTTCCAGATAACCCAGCCGCCCCAGGCAGCGAAGATGCCGAAGATGAGGTAGAGAGCCACACCAGTGCCGTAGCCCACGCTGGCAAAGACGAACCTGTATTGAACTGTCAGCCACGATCTGTATTGTATCTGCGTCTCAGGGAGTTCTTACGGTGCACCTGACCAACCGAGAATGTCAGTGGTGATGAGGAAGAACATCTGGCCCCAGCTGGCAGTTCGGAGTGCACGAGCAGCATTACGCCATTCCGCGTCTGAGACCTTGAGCGAAGACTCGGCAGGCTGACCATTGTCAACAGCATTGTCAACAACGCCCGGCTGCTTCTCGTGAAGCTGTGCCAGGGTCTGGAGTCTAGCCTCTTTAGCTGCCTTCGCCTTCTCTCGGCCAGCCTTCGAAAATGTGTTCTTGATCGAGGTACGAAGGGGAGAGCCGTGCTCAGCCTGGAACACTTTGTTCTCTTCAATCTCCATCTCACGTTCAATCTTGGCCCAGTAGACGAATTCTTCGTAGGTCACGGTGCTATCGGTACGAGCGGCGAAACCCCATACGCGCTCCTTGACCTGCGGCTTCTCACTGGGCGAGACAGATGGCTGCTTCCGCATCTGCTGCTCGGTCAGCACAGCATGCTCTGGCGCTGGACGTGCTATTGGGGCGATATGCTCCATGGCTGAAAGACAGTGGAGTGTGTGAATGAGAGAAACACGGAAACGAAGTCGTGCGCTGTGAGGAAAGCAGGGTCGTCCGAGGACCAAGGGACTACTAATAAGTAGCCACACGAACGGAGCTGTCTATCTCATATCCCAGCTGTCGCGCCTCACGATGTAACATAGGATGGACAAACGAGCCATCCGGGCAGTGGCGATATAGCCATTGGTAGCCGCTGGATATTGCCCAGGCGGAGTTAGTGGTATCTCGTACTTCTTGCTTCTCTTGGGTCTTGATAGCTTTACTTGCGCCGCACAAGTATAGCCATATTCTCTGCTGTTATTGGCGGGGTGATCAATTGGGGTCCATGGGATGAGCGATGAAGGCTCGCTCGCTTCCATTCTAGCGAACAGATAAGGCAGATGTGAAAATGCAACTGTTTCATCGCACATCGCTTGAAGCAATAGGTTCACTCTTCTGTGAGTTGAATGGACTGCTAGGTAAGATGAAGGTATGCTAGAATGGTAAACTAACACGACACTGGTTAGTAGTAGACGACCTTCACCCCGGACACGCCACACGCCAAGCACGAATCAGTCCCGGGCGGGAAGTTGATAAGCTTCAGCCACAATCGTGCCAATCATGATGCCAGTGAGCAGCAGCGGCAGGGTTATCCCGCTTACTACATGTAGGTACGGTCCGTGGTCCTAATTGCAGTGGTTGTATGGGCTCTGTACTGCTCAGTGCTGATCGCCAGGGTGAGATAAGGACGGGAGAGGGGGGAGGTCGCCGACTGTCACCTAACACCTACGAATCTCCTCAACGTTACATGACTTTTTGGTCCGTCTAAGTCAGTCCTTCTCTTGAACAAGGGTATGTTTATATGTCTCCACAACCAAGCAAGATAAGCCAAAGCTGTTCCTTGGCCGTAGATCCTCCAACTTATTCTCCGGGACATAGATATGCAGTATGCGTGGTGTGAGCAGAGAACCTTAGCAAGGAGAATGTCCACAAAGTGATTAACGTTCTGGGATCCGGGAGACGGCCGGGCGAGGTGGAGTGTAATAAACACCCTTCGATTCTAGCGATCAATAAGGTGGTATCACTAGTAGGTCAGTGAATAGATACTCAAAGCTGCTCAAAGGCATAGATGAGGGTTTATCAAGCAGCGCTCAGGCCTGTATAGCCACGGCTCAAACCGGCTTCTCAGGGGGTTAGGTCAACGGTGCAGTGCCCAGGTCTAGAAATAGAAATAGATTGTAAAGAGGTCATGATCCGGCGCAAAGTGTAAGTAGGCTAGGAATAGACAAGATCAATAGAGATATAGTACGTACGAATAGATAAGCCAAAGTCATCGTCGCCAGGGGGATTCATATCAAGGATCTACAGTGCGATACGTAGGATCGAATGTGGACGAAGTAGGTCGTTTGTGATTGAGATTGTAGTACGTTCGAAGGGCTACGCGCAAGAGATATCCTCGAGGGGCGCATGCGCAGGTACGTGAGTCAAACCCGTGACAGGGCAGGGTTATAAAAAGGTTCCAATAAGTAGGTAGGTAGGTACGGAGTCCGTACAGAGAGAAGGTGAGGGTTGAGCGGTGGTTCTAAAGCGGCGTAGGTCGGGTGAGCGCCCACGTGACCTGGCCGTCGGTTTACCTTGTTTTTATGATCCTGCTCCTCCGCATGCCCAGCTTCCCTTCAGCTCCATGATTTCCCGAACTCCTGCATGAGTGAGCATGTCGCGAAAGAAGATGCAGAATCTGGTATACAGTGTACTTTTGGGACTGGGGAAGATGAACGGGAACTGTGGGGTGGCCGACCACTCTCCAACTTGAACGAGGACAATTCGGGGACTTCACCTCCCCATTATTATCAAATCCACTGCCCAGGCCTCATCATCTGGGAGAATCGCGTGGTGGAAGATGAGGTCTAGATGCGTCGCCTAGGCCTTCCTGACGGTCCTTTCCGCAAGCTCGAATTTCGGTATCCGACGGTTATGTCTCGGGAAAGGAGCCGACGACGGTGGATATCGGATGGTGACTCATTATTTTGTATCCGTACGGGGTACGGATATAGGTTGTTGCTGTGAGATTTAGAACGAGCGAAGCCGAGGCAGCCCTGTTGTACAGTCAGGCGGAGAAGCAGTAATTATGGCTCGTTCTTCATCGTTGCGGACTGGGTTGCTGCACACGCAGGAGTAGGAGCTCGACGGTCGGGCTCCGATGATCCTGCTATAACGGTGACAGTAATTAGTGGCTGACACAGTTCATCATCATAGGAGGAGTGTCTCCCTGTGTCACATACTCCGGATGAGCCCATGTGCTACTTTTGGACTGGACGGACGTCTGGCATCCCGACTAGTAGTACCCCTTCGCTTCCCAGCTCCCCAACCTTTGGATGAGCTCCGAAAACAGCGCCAGGCCATTGGCTGGTTGCTGCGCTGGCATGCATCATCTTCCGAATAGGATGACTCTCACGAAAGTGAAAAAAAAGTTGAATCCCAGCTGAAGACACACGCTCTTCGTATAGGAGACTCATCAATAATGATGCGACAGGCCCCTAAGGCCCTGAATGCTCCCCCTGGGCGTCCATGCCCTCCTTCGTCTGACCTGGTGAGTTCCCACTCCGTCATCGGTCAAAGGGCGTCTGTATGCCTTATCCGCCGCCATTATTTATTGTATCGTCTTCATGTGCGCACTCCTAGGACACTTTCATCGTTTCCCTCCCGGTTTCACCCATAATTTGACTCTGGCCGGGCATGCGCATGACTGCTCGCCTGTGTACGGATACATTCACCCTTTCTCGTCCGTTCCACAGGGAGACCACCGAGTACCCAACATAGTCCCCATACTGTCGGTGCCCGGTCCGAGGGCCAGTCACGGCAGCCGAGCTACCCTCCCTCCCATTCCGAATGCTCTACAAAGTCACCAGACAACCCCGACCGTGGTCCAGCTGTCTCGTCAACCTCGTCCGCCTCGTTCAGTCTGCAAGTATGAGCACTTTTACTGCCACACAGGCCCCAATTGGCCAGCAGGTTGGCAGTCTGCTGGCGACCTCGACGCCTCACACTTCCCCTCCGTCTCATAAGCATCGACTAAAGCACACACGCGCCACAGCCCATGTTCCCAACCGAGCGGCACATTTTGACACCTCCCTCTCGATAACAGCCCGCAAGTACCTCCAGACGTACGGTCTGACTCCTCCGCGCGCAGAGAGCTATGAAGTGCAGAAGACGAGATGTCTGGCTCAGCTGGCCTTGAAGACGACACCCATTGAAAAATTCTTGTATTTGAGCACCTTGAGGTACAACAATGTCCACCTGTTCTACCGGTTGCTCACAGATCATTTTACGGAGTTGACTCCGCTGGTGTACACCCCCACGGTTGGCGAAGCCTGCCAGAGATGGTCGGAGATTTACCAACAGCCGGAGGGCATGTACCTGAGTTTCGAGGACAGAGGCCATCTTTCTGGTATCATTCAAAATTGGCCACAAGGCAACGTGGAGATCACTGTCGTGACCGACGGCTCTCGGATCCTAGGCCTAGGAGATCTCGGTGTTGGCGGCATGGGTATCCCGATCGGCAAGCTTGCTCTGTATACCGGCTGCGCTGGGATCCGGCCAGAGGTTACCCTGCCGCTGACAGTGGATTTGGGCACAAGCAACAAAGCTCTGCAGGCGGATCCGCTCTACATGGGCAGCCACCGAGACAAGGTGACGCCGGAGGAGGAGCGGGAGTTCCTCGATGAACTCATGGCTGCGTTGAAGGAGCGCTGGCCCGACATCGTCATTCAGTTTGAGGATTGGAAGAATCCGTTTCCCTCTCTAGAACGCTATCGTCAAGATTATGCCATGTTCAACGATGACATCCAAGGCACCGGGGCGGTCATCATGGGAGGTATCATTGGGGCCGTGAAACAATCTGGAGTCGCGACTAGAGATCACCGTGCCGTCTTCCTTGGTGCAGGTTCGGCCGGGGTGGGTGTGGCCAAACAGATCGTGGACTACTTCATACACGAAGGTATGACAGAAGAAGAAGCAAAATCGCGTTTCTGGCTTGTGGACAGCAAGGGACTTGTTACTCAGGACCGGGGTGACAAACTCGCCGAACACAAAACTTACTTCTCACGGACCGACAACAATGGGCAACAGTTCCAAACTCTGGACGAGGTCATTGAGTATGTCAAGCCCACCATCCTCATGGGTCTGAGCACCATTGGAGGGGCCTTCACTCCAGACATCCTCCAGAAGATGGCCACATGGAACGAGCGACCGATCATCTTCGCCCTCTCCAACCCGTCTTCTAAATCCGAATGCACCTTCGAAGAAGCAATCACCCATACTGACGGCCGGGCCTTGTTTGCGTCAGGTTCCCCCTTCCAGCCGTACGCCTACAAGGACAAGATCTACCATCCAGGTCAGGGGAACAACATGTATGTCTTCCCAGGTATCGGTCTGGGAACCATTCTTTCGAAGGCGGTCCAAGTGACGCCTAACATGATCTATGCCTCGGGCGAAGCACTGCCTACCATGATCACGGAAGAGGAGAAGCAAATCTCTCTCTTTTATCCTTGTATCGCCCGCATTCGGGATGTCAGTGCGCGTGTTGCTCTGCATGTCATCCGCGCGGCCCAAAAGGACAATGTTGACAGATTGCATCATCTTCGCGAAATGAATGATGAAAGCCTGGAAGCTTGGATCAAGGATAAGATGTATGATCCTCACCAAGAGACCAAAGAGATCGAGAACGAAATCCGTGAACTTGTCGATGACCTGGCAGCTTCTCCGAAATTGTGACGGCTTGGCCATCTTTGACCCAAAATCGTCGTTGGTTTATTGAGATACCTAGGGACAAACGTCTCTGTTGCGTAGGGACACTGGGGCAACTGGACAAAATATGGTTGGGTGCAGGTTGCACTCCCGCGAGGCTCTCGGGCACGTTACGTACCCCTGTAGCTTTGGAATGCTAGGGCTAATTGGCTCATGAGTGGGTGAGGAAAATATCAGGTAAATGGAAATAATATGGATTATCTTGAACCGCAACAGGCCAGTACTCTGTAAGAATACTAGTAATTAGTGGCGAACGGGACGAGGCTGTCGAAGGAGGACGCTACAGGTTGCCGGGCAACAGGCCAAGACGGTTTCCGACAGGGATGAGGACTGGGTAAGGCTTAGTCGCGGAGCCATGGACCTCCTAGTCCGGGCCTATGCAACAACGAGCCCTCCCAGTTCCCTGTCGAAGCACGATAATCCCCAGTTCCACAACTGCGTCTTCAGACGGAGTTGCGCATGCACGCAGAAGAGACCTTGGTCGACCTCTGTTAGTTGCCTTCTGACTTCATCTTCCTGAGCGTCACTCACTCTCCGTCTCGACCGACCGACGACTCACTCTGTACTATTGTCAATCACTCAAGGCGAAGGTGAGTGAGCGTCCCTCCCGCGGTGGCCGTAGAAACGGGCAATGTTTCCTTCACTTGTGTGGCACTTTGACCAACACCAGGAATGCACCGCAGCTCAGGACATACAACAGATTCGATCCGATCACATCTCTACCTCGTCGCTTACAGTCGAGTTACCTCCTCCCAATGGCCTCGTTACTGACCACCATGTACGAGTTTCTCAATTCCTCTCCCTCTCCACAGCCTCTCTCTCCACATCTCACACTCAAACAATCATCCTCATGCGTCACGATCAATTCCTACACCTTTCATGACAATGGCGATGACCATGTCCATACCGATTCTGTCACTTGCTCACCCGCCAGTCCTTCTCGTGCCGCACAACTCCTGCGTCTCGGATTGAGTTCTCCTGCTCCTACTCCTCTTATTAACCAACTTTCGCCCTCTAGTAACGCCCGCACCCGAGGCCAGTTCAAGCCGCAACGCACAAACAAGGGCACCACAAGCTACCAGCTACGCCAGTTCGCCGAGGCTACTCTTGGAAGCGGGAGTCTGAGAAAGGCCGTGAAACTGCCTGAGGGCGAGGATCTGAATGAGTGGCTTGCAGTCAATGGTGCGTTACATGGTTAAGCAGAGAATGTTGCAAGATGTACACGCAGGACATAAAGCTGACAATTGCGATGCGAAATAGTTGTCGACTTCTACAACCAGATCAATCTCCTCTACGGCTCTATCACGGAGTTCTGCTCTCCACAATCATGTCCAGAAATGAAGGCAACTGATGAGTACGCAGCCCCGGAACGGAACTCCGCGGTTTTGGACCTTCCTAGACTGACTCTTGTAGGTTTGAATACCTGTGGCAGGACGCCGCAACAGGATACCCCAAGCCCACAAAGATGCCTGCACCAGAGTACATCGAACACCTGATGACCTGGGTGCAATCGAACATCGACAACGAGTCGACTTTCCCCTCGCGCATCGGCGTCCCCTTCCCCAAACATTTTCCTTCCACAGTTCGCCAGCTTTTTAAACGCCTGTACCGTGTCTACGCCCATATCTACTGCCACCATTATCAGGTTATTGTGCATTTGGGCCTCGAGCCTCATTTGAATACCAGCTTCAAACACTATGTCCTTTTCATCGACGAGCATGGCTTGGAGAAAGGTGGCGGCAAGGATTACTGGGGCCCGCTTGGGGATTTGGTCGATAGCATGTTGCAGAGTGATTGATTGTCATTGGAGGCACAGTTATGCGGATATGCTGGATAATGACCTAGGATCTGGCCTGCTGGGCCCGGACACCTACGACTGTCACGGCGTTGGGGTGGGCGAGGGAAACGGACGGGGATTAGGACCATGGATGATACTCGAGAGGCCACGAGCACGCGTGCTAGACGGAGTACCACGAACGGCGTTCGAAACGAAAGGGCGCGAATGTGGAGCGCAACTCTATGTTCACATTGGAATTCTAGAAATACAAGTATGGAATCTTGCGCTGATGAGGTTGAATCTGCAGTTCTTGTCTTCGAGACAATCTTCCTTGGTATTACAACTACATCTAGTTGACGCCGCACCTCGAATCGCGGCAAAAGCGCCATCCTCAAACCCGTCGCCCATCTTGTTGTAGTACATGTATCGAAATGGTTCCGCGGCGGCACAACGACAGTCAAAAAGCCCAACAGCCCACCCAACCAGTAGTCTTTCTATCTCGTGGTGGTGACATGAGAAGGCAGCCAGGACAACGAGTCGCGCCACTGAGCCACATAGATCAGGGTTGGACTACCACTAGTATCCTCTCCTATAACCGCCGCCAAAGGCGGCGGGCCCTCCACCCCTCCATCCGCCACGCATGGTGTCGTCGTTGTATGTCCGCCCCCCTCCACGAGGGAACGAGTCTGGTCGCCCGAAGGACCCACGTCCACGAGGCCCACCGCCAACCCCGTTACCATAGTGTGAGAATCGTGAATTGTAGGCGGCCGGTCTGTCGTCACGCCGGTATGAACTCGAACCTCGATCATCGCGGCGGTCGTAGCGATCCCTGTCTCTCTCGCGGTCCTGGCCACGTTCGCGCTCATCAATACGGTCTCGGTCTCGACGCTTGGCGTCTCTTCTGCTGCTCTGGTCATCGAGGGAAACAGAGACTTGGGTTCCTCCAACCCCATATCTTTCATCCTGACCATTGGACTCCGGTTTCCGAGGCTCCCCGGTTCGTTGATCTCGTTCGTTGTAAGTCGCGGGTGGCTCGCTCTCCATCTCGATGTCCTCCATCGCATTGTTATTGACAATTGGAGCCGGCATCTCTGAGGTCACAGCTCCGGGGTTTGAGTCGAGATCCGAGTGAGGCCTCGGTGCGGTACTGGGACCACCACCTGAGCGCTTCAGGAAAAGCTGTAGAATTCTTCCGTCTGCCCGCTGATTGTGATACGTTGATATGACCTTATCTGCGATAGATTTCTCGGCAAAGGCCATCTCTGCGACCACTGTGGGACCATTCGACACGATGCGACATGATATCATCCCACTGATCCCATTGTCATCCAGAGTGTCACTCTGCAGAGCTGACTCAATATCCGCAGCCGTAGTCCCCGGGGCAAAGTTGCTGGCTTCGACCACGAACGGACCTGCTTTGCCTTTTATGCTTAAACCCTGGCCTTGCAGTCGACGGGATGAAGGGACAACATTGGCTTGCGAAGACTCTAGGGCGGAGGTGAGACGAGCGGAGCGCGCATTGTTCTGAGACGCGGTTGACGAAGGCCGGGTTGGTGTAAACGGGTTTTTCCTCGCAGAGTTCGTGTTCGTGCTCGCAGCAGAGGATGATCGCTGTATTGAGATATTGTATCAGTGACAAATCCTTAGGAGTGCATTCGCACAAACGACTGTAGTCTCTGCTCTCGCCCGCAGACGGGGGCAGGGTGGAGGCGGAGCGGGATCGGGCTGTTCGGGGCTTGTAGTGTTATACCTTTGTAATCCGACTTGCAAGATCTGGGGTCCGAGACGAGCTTTTACTTGTGCTTCTGGAATCATCTTTGTTCTGTTTGGTTCTTCCGAAGATCTCTTTTGCCAGAGCTTCATTCTTTCTCTTCTGTCGGTCTAGACTTCTAGGTCAGTCGGCATTTGCGGTGAGGGTGAACTGAACCTGTGGAAGCACTTACCGGCCTGGATTATCGCATCAAAACTGACGGCGGTCTTTGCATTGGACATGACTGCCTAAAGATACGGAGGCTACAACATAGAGCAATCAAGGAGGTTTCAGATGAGTTGGATATCGGTGAAGGTGAGAACACCCACTGCAGCCGGAAGCCGCACTGGCTGCGCGCGCGAGGAGTGGAAGCGTACTTTTGGTCTTGGCAAGCGGCTGCTCGCGATGTGTGTACGGAGTTGCTAGTAGTACCTGGTATTATTCTCAAGGAAAGTTTTCCACAGCACCAAAGCTCATTGACCCTCAACCAGAAGTCAGGCTGTTCAGATTCTCGCCCTTGACATTACCCCAAAGCATAACATATTGCTGCGATTGGAACCTCGACCGTCAACCGGTGACCTGAGCACCAATGGCTTCTGCACTTCGCCCCGTTCTCAGACCAACCCATTTACCCAGTTTACCGACCTCGACAACAACGACAACATATATCTGCCAATCGTGTCGACATGCCCGTCTTTTGCGGAGGCCTAAGCGTCCGTATACTTTCACTCAGTTGGTGACGCTTTCCGATGGAAGTGCTTTCACACTGCGCACTACCTCTCCAGTCCCGGTCTACAGGTCAACACGAGATACAAGAAATTCGCCCTTGTGGAATCCATCATCGAAAGAACTGCTGAATGTCGAAGATGACGAAGCCGGAAGATTGGCTGGATTTCGAGCAAGATTTGGTACAGGCTTCGACACCGCGAAAGACGGAAAGAAAGAAGTTGACACGGAGAGTAATAATGCGTCGAGTGTCCCAGCTTCCTCAACAGCAACGAGGTCCAAAAGCCTCGAGGAACCGAAATTTGAAGACGAGCAGAACACGTTTGAAGAAGATGATATGAATCTACTAGATCTGATCAGCTCTTTTGGTCAAGAAAATGCCCAACAGGACAGTCAGACGTCGGAGCCGAAAAAGGGAGGAAAGAAATAAGCTGGCCAGACTTTCGGAATTGGCTGTATCAGAGTGCCTCATGTACAAGAAAGCATAGCATGTGGCGTTCAATTATTGGCGACCTGCACTGGGTTCTCAGATATTCGGCATGGCCAGGTCGTTCTATGACTTTGTTTTATGGTCAATGTACAAACATTTGGAAGTCCAATCTTCCCGTCTTGTCCCCGTTGTGCTTGCGTTTCGTTACGAGCCTTCAATCGGCCTACATGGTCGATTCAAAGCTAACGGTGGCTATGCGACTGCAGGATTGGACCCAACAGTCTCATGGGCGACTATTGATCTTGACCGGCGAGAGAGTCTAAATAGCGGCGAGTAGTGGCAAGGCATGACTGCACCCGGGCTCACTCGGTTTGGCATGTCGTAGCTCCAATCTAGGCCCTAGGGTTCACCATTGTTCTCTGAAGACGACTGATGATCGCTTTGGACTTCTGCCTGCCATTTGATAAACCGGCGACCGGAACAAGATCCGTCGTTATTCTCCTATATGCTACACATCCCAGGCACAATTAATATAGCTGAGAATGGACGGGTTATATACCCCCGACACATAATACATGTAATGGTTACCTGGTTACCAGATCCAGTAATATGGCGAGCATCGCCCAGAAGTTTTAGAACTGTGAAAAATGCCTAATCCGCAGAATATGGCGCTCAAGTGCCTATAAAAGTGTCTCAAGATATAGCGAACGTATGGTGGGTCACCGCTGAAATGAGATCAGAATGTCATCATTTTCGCGTATACCAGTGTAGCCTACGGATACGACTTTTTGGGTTTATTATCCCGACGCCGCCATCTTCCCAGATTTTGGATGCTTTATCCAAGTATCGACGTTTACACCACCTCTGTCTCTTTCGGCTGGACAAGCGCACGAAGCTGGCTCCGTACCAGTCAAGATGGCGGACTCTATCACATTGCATCCGTTCGGACTACAATATTACCTGCTGCTAGTTGCTGCATGGTCGCTACGGCTTCCCGCAATGATACTCGACTGGACAAAAAAAAGGAAGAGCTTAGACGTACTGGAGACCAGAGGTGTCACGCGGAAACGCATCCAGGTCCCGTCACGGGAGAACGGCCGGACGATAGCGGTGGATATATACGAAAAGGCCAACCAGCCTAAAGATGCCAAAAGGTATACGCATCTCAATTTCCATGGGTAAGTGATACGAGCCCTCCCCGCGAGCAGGCCTCGACAGGCAGGATTTCAATGTCAGCACCGCTGATCCTCCAGATCCGGTTTCATCATTCCTTCCCTGGGCAGCGATGTCGACTTCTGCAGCGACCTCGCCTCCACCGGCGTCGTGGTCTTCGATGCCGACTACCGCAAAGCGCCCGAACACCCGTTCCCTGCCGCTTATTATGATGCCCAAGATGTTCTCTCATATATCCAAAACCACTCCTCGGACTTCGATGTTTCCCGTCTCACCATCGGCGGCTTCAGTGCCGGCGCAAACCTTGCCATGGCATTAGCCGTCACCTCGCCTCCTGGCTCCATCGTGGGCTTGGCCTCATTCTACGGCAACACAGACTTGACGAGCGTCTATCCCGCACCCAATGAGAAGAGCTACGACGCCGGTACGGTGCTGCCGGCATGGTTGAGGCGGTTCTTTTATAGGTGCTATGTCCTGCCCAACCAGGACAGGGCCGATCCGCGGCTGTCGCCGGCGAATGCTCCGCTCGACAGGTGGCCAAAGCATGTTTTTCTTGCTTGTGGGACGGCTGATAGTCTACACGAGGCTGGAAGGATTATGATAGATCGATTGCGTGAGTCGGGGCATCGGGATGCGGAATTCTTGTCGGTGGAAAGGGAGGCGCACGCATTCGACAAGAGTGCCAAAGAGGGTTCCCCAACCGAGAAGAAGACACAGGAGGTTTATCGGAAGGCGCTGGCTATGATTGAGAGGTCTCATGAGTAACTACCACCTGGACGCGGCTTTTGTCTTGATAGGCTCATGCCCTCGATGCCGCTTCACCAACACACAATTTGGCTCTGTCGCACCAAGACTACAGCATGACTGAGAATAAGAAGGTCTTCCGCCTTTGTAGAGTTGACGAGGCGTCCGGCTCAGACCACGGTATGACCTGGTCATGCTGCTGCAAGCTATCAACTTAACTTGTCTTTTTGTCCACGTTGCTACAGAAGACGGTCGCGGGATAAGTGGTACTTAAAGCGGCGTGGTCTCGACAGGCGGTCCCGTTCTGAGCCGCCAACGGTAGTAATAGAGACACCTCAATTTGACCTCCGCGATTCAGTTCACCCGGCAGATACATCCACGCATCTACTCCTTTCGCTCCGCAGATCTATACGACTCAGGGCCACTCGCGGAATGGATTTGGATTCCCCTTGGGGGGGTGAGCCATGCCTGCAATGCTCTTGTAACCTCGAGCTAATCACCTCGCAGATGTCCCCTCTCACTCGCAGCCAGACAACCAGCAAGAGTCGACTACAGGCTCCTCCAAAGACACCGACCTCACGAGTGCGCTAGCCGAATAACAGCGGGCTATGGGATGCTGACACCTGCTCCAGGTTCCGTGACACCTGCGAAACCGTCCTCTGGCGGGCCACGTCCCTCCTCGTCGCGAAAGATACCTGCCCGCAAGATTGAAGTACAACCTACAAAGCTCGAGGCTGTAGATGACTCCTTGGATCCGCTTGGACCCCTAGGTGGTGATCCTGTGCTTACGACGTCTTCGGTATCCGCAGACCAGGCTCCGACCCCTCCTCGGAAAGAAAACAATGCAAGGGTCTCTCGACAGCCATCCACAACGTTGGCAGGTCTTGCGGGTTCTGAACACGAAGACACCACGTTTCCGGCCGGTAAGGTCAAAGGTCCGCCTCCTGTTCAGCCGCAAAGTGCTACCGGACCAGCACGACAAACACAGCCAAGTATCAGTGTCGAGCAGGCCGCAAAGCCGACCTTTGACATCAGCGTTGGAGACCCACACAAGGTTGGCGACCTGACTAGTAGTCATATCGTGTATCAAGTCCGCACAAAGGTGAGTCGCATGAGCGGGGGCGTTGCATCCGCTGACACGGACAGACCTCGTCAAAAGCGTATAAACAGCCAGAGTTTGCGGTCTCCCGGCGATATCGAGATTTTTTATGGCTCTACACGTCCCTGCACAACAACAACCCCGGAGTCGTGGTCCCTCCGCCTCCGGAAAAGCAAGCCGTCGGCCGCTTTGACAGCGAGTTCGTCGAGACTCGCCGTCACGCGTTGGAGCGAATGCTCAATAGGATTGCTGCACACCCCATTTTACATCATGATCCTGATCTCAAGATCTTCCTGGAAAGCGAGTCGTTCAACATTGATGTCAAAAACAAAGAGAATAGGGAGCCAGATTTGGGCCAGAACAAGGGCATGTTCAGTTCACTAGGAATCAACGTTGGCGGCTCCAGTGGCAAATTCGTCGAGCACGATGATTGGTTCCACGATCGCAAGATCTATCTCGACGCCCTGGAAAATCAGCTCAGGTCGTTGTTGAAGGCCATTGATGCCGTCGTCGTCCAGCGGAAGGGCCTGGCAGAGGCGGCCGGCGAGTTTGCTGCGTCGCTGGGCAACCTGGCCCAGGTTGAACTGTCGCCCGTTTTTTCTGGACCTTTGCAAGGCCTTTCGGATGTGCAAATTCGAATCCGCGAACTTTACGAAAGACAAGCCCAACAAGACGTTCTGACGTTGGGCATTACGATTGACGAATATATTCGACTCATTGGCAGTGTAAAGCAAGCGTTTTCGCAACGACAAAAGGCCTTCCATTCCTGGCACGCTGCCGAGAGTGAATTGTCCAAACGGAAAGCCGCTCATGAGAAGCTTTTGCGGCAGGGAAAGACTCTACAAGACAAGCTGAACGAGGTCAGCGCTGGCGTCAGTGATGCAGAAAAGCGCGCACACCAAGCGAGATTACTGTTTGAGGACATGGGCCGACTAATGAGGGGAGAACTGGAAAGGTTTGAAAGGGAGAAAGTCGAAGACTTCAAGAGCGGCGTTGAGACATTCCTGGAAGGTGCTGTCGAGGCACAGAAAGAGGTATGTTTTGCTGTGTGAGTTTTTGAGGCGACATCTAACCACCTGACTAGTTGATCGAGCTGTGGGAGACGTTCCTCCTACAGATGGACGCCGAGGATGACGTGCCCATCAAAGCACAACCGCTATCGAGGGAATCTGCCACCACAGACACCGCTCAAAACGCGACTCAGCCCGGTCAAGGTATCGACGCTCCTTCTGCCACAGCAACAGATGTGGCGTTGGAGCAAGACGCTTGATACTCCCCAGGGGCGAAGGTCTGGCGTGACCTGAGCCACTGGTGTGCAGCGTCTTCAATATACCAGACAAAAGCAGGTACAGATGGGGCGTTGAATAAAGGTTACAGGCTGTACAGTATGCCCGCCTCTCCTGAATGGCAGCAGTTGTTGTTACTGCGTATGGCTAGATACCCCGTGCAACCATTCACTGTGTTGCCAATTACTACTTCTGACCTGACCTGATCTGACCTGTGATGGCTCTGTCCACCTCTCCGCCCGCCCATGCGCTCCCTCAATTGGTTTCGTTTGTTTTGTTGCTTCTGCCTCTGGATCGTGCAGCTTTTTAAACATCGAGCGCTGAAGCAAGTGACGTACTGCGGTGCCGCGTCTTCTGTTCTCGGCTGATGATCCATAGAGCTTCCAGCGCAGGCCTTCCACACCTCTGCCTCTGCACCTACACGCCCCTAGAGAGCCGTTCTCCCCAGTGGCGTGCTCAATCAAGCAATCAATCACACACATCCTCTCCTCTATCAGTCACGCGCGCTCCAGGAACCCCTCGCCTGCCCCTGACTGCGCGGAGCTGGAGATCCGAGTCGTCGAATCCAGTCGTGACTGCCTTCTTTCCGCAGTTCGGATCTTGCCGACACGGGAATATGGCCGTGCCTATGCCTATGCCCATGTCCGTGGGAGGAGGAGGACCACACAACAAGCACTCCTCGCTGCATGTTGCGGTCCCGTTCATAGGAGGCGGAATACATACAAGGCAGACCAGGCCAACATCTCGACCGAGACTGTCGAGACCAGCCTCCGATCCGATGGGGACGCCGATTCACCATCCACCCTTACCCTTGCCCGAAGACCTCTCTCGGCCGACGAGCACCTCGACAATGTCCACTGCGGGCTCGTCGACGGCCTCGCCGACAGCGGCTGCTGCGTCCACACAAGCTGACGACCTTGACACTATGGTTCAAAGTTGGCCGTCCGGGACAGGGTCAGTCTCAGCCAGAGACAGCGCCTCGAATCCGTCGTTCTCGTTCTCCGTCTCGTCTGTCAAGATCTTGCCGCCTACACACTCTACGGCGGCGTCGTCTCCCGCGGGGTCCTTCTCCTTCACTCTCACTCTCACTCCTACTCCCACTCCTACGTCCACGCTATCTTCGTCTCCGGCCCTCACCTCTTCGCCTTCGGCCTCGCCCGGCACAAGCGAGGCTCCGTCGTCGACGCCCACGATCGGCGCCGTCGCTCTCTACATCGCCCTCGGCATCTTCTTGTTGTTCGGCATCTTATGTGTCTTCGTCACCAGCCCTGGCCTCATCGACCGGACTCGGAGATATTTGACATGGAGGAAGACCGCCACGGCCTCCTGACCGCCGTCGGCGCCAGTGCAAGTGCAAGCTAGCAAGCACTCGGGCTTGCTCCATGTCTTGGAAATTGGTTCGTACATAACAGAATGGAACGGAACGGAATGGATCCGATGCGGCTGTCATTTTCATGCGGATGGTCTTAGGCAGTAATTGCCGTCTGAGATCTAACATGGTGCTGCGAGACGCGACATATGTAGCTGATGCTGGTGCTGACGCTGACAATGGATGATCATGCCGCATGGTTGAGCCAAGTGTGGAAATAGCTGTATAGCATAGATAGAGGGAGGCAATACCAATAGGATCAGCATGCCCCGGGACATACATCTAGTAGGCGTTTACTGTCCGTACCCGTGTCCTTCTTCGTCAAGGACGACAAGACTGAATGATCGACCCCCCCTATTTGTTTGAATTGCCATGGTGTGCTGTTCTTTCACTCTCTCCGTCTATGAGCCTTCCGTCTCTGATCATCGAAACCAGTATTCTGAACAAGCTTGGATACTGAGTCCGTATTGTCGTGCCTGTATGATTCTGGTCCCTTTGCTCTCTGGTAGGCAGCTCTGTGCGAGGTTTGTCTGGATTTTCAAAATCATCCAAACTCGCTATAGCACCAACAAATGTCGTATTTCCAATGCATCTATACACGCTGCTACCTTTCATACCGCTCCTCTCATGTCCTCCAACACCATTCTTGTACAGTGCAATAATCTATCCTGCTTCTCTACTTCATGACCATCTATCCTCAAGACAACCAATGCTTCCAAGCCGGTCATCCCCACTCCTGTGCTGTCTCACTCGTTGTCGACAGATTCAACATTCGCTCGGATGATGACAATCTTTTCACCCTTGTCCCGTGCCTCCCTCTCTGGGCTATCTCGTACTTCAACTTCAACTTTGATACCCGCTCTACCGTTTCTTGAAGTACTTCGACTTGACCCAGGACTGAGATTGAAACGTTGTTCGACCCCACGATGTTCCCCCACTGAGAGTCGATGAGTTGACCTTGTCGATCTTCCTCTGACCGGCGTTCGAGGGTCAGGTTTCCGAGGACTAGGGCTTGACTCGCTCAGTGCCTCGAACCTGTTAGGAGGTGACAGCACTTGTTTTTCTGTCATAGCACGCTGAAGAGGAGTTCTTGGTTCTGATAGAGTGTCATTTACCTTTGGGAATGGGCCCAATCCCTCGACTTCTTCCGTGATCGGCATTTGTAAAGGTGGCACATTGGCGGGTTTCAAATCTTCAAGGTCCACCTTACCTTCTCCCAATTCGGACTCTTTGACAACTGGAGGGGGACGGCTTTGACGCCGGCTGAGACGTTCCTTTTCCGAATGTCTTCTGCGGTTCTCAGCATCGTCCTTTCCGTTGGCGGCTTGAAGCAAGTCTTGGACTATACTTTTCACTGCACTTGGCTTGCTCCCTGGGTGGTGTACATCCTTTGCTTCGTCTCCAGTCAGGAGAGGTCTTGCTTCTTGGGGTGGCGTTGATGGAGGTTTACTGAAGATAGTCCACTTGAACGGCCAGTTCATGGATGCCGTTCGCTGGTGGGGAACAGCCTCCGTAGCCCTGTCGTCCACAGATGCTGCATGTTCCGGGGCGGGCTGCTCTACTGTCATGACCGAAGAATCTGTGCTCGAATTCTGTTCAGTACTGACTATCGTTGGTAGAGTCAACGGTATCAAGGGTGTAGCTGGTCTTTCCTCAATGGTGCCTCCAAACTTGATTCTCGCAAACCTTTTCGTCTCTTTGCGATTGTGACTTCCACCTTGGGGAGCTCCCCGTCCGGGCGGAAAATGCTGACATATCTGCTCGTGTTCGGATGGCTTCTGGACAAGGCTCTCAAATAGGGCCGCCCTCTGCTTGACGGGGCTGAGCTTCTCGTCGGGGCGGGTCAAAGCCTGTGAACCCGGCTCGAGGACAGAGCAAGACAGTTGACGCTCAGGCGATGTTCTTGGCCGGGTTTCGACCAGCGGCGTCTCTGTACCGTGCTTGTCATCATGAGACTTCTTCCTGAGAGGTGGCTGCCGATGCCTCGATTTCTCCGCGTTGTTGACTCTAGCGAATTCCTCGCTGCTACGTGGCATGGCACTTCCCATGCTTTGTCTGACCTCTGGACCACGTGAATGTGAGTGATGGCATACTGGTTGACTCGTTTGAGAATAACTCGTTAGGTCGGGTCTAGGCGTAGCTTCATCACTCATTTCTGCAGATATCACGCCTGGCATCAAGGACTGATCCTCGATGGCATCGTCCAACATATGTCCCAATTCCGCCAGCGTATCTACGCGATCTCGCTTGGGTTTTTCGATAGTAACATTCTTGTCAATAACTGAACGAAGCCGCGATCTGGCCGTTGCTATCTCCCGGGCAGGATCCGCTACGTTCTCCATTGAACGATATTTTCGACGAAGTGAATGAAAGTCGTTGTCCTCCGCCGGTGGCCATGCCAGAGTTTGCTCAGTTCCGGGTCGCTCCATGCTCGTGACAGGTCGAACGAGGTCCGACACGGGATCTTTGTTTCGTTCGTCGTGTTCCAGTATAATAGGAGACTTTCCGAGGACGATAGGTCCTACGGGAGGACGTCCATCGCCACGAAGACCTTCATTCCCGTCTCTTGCCGCTCGGCTTGTCGGAGATGCGAAGATGGCATCCTGTCTTCGACCGCGACCGGAAAAGATACCAAAATCATTCGCTTGTGTGAGAACACGGGGTCCAGAGTAAGGCTTCGGGGCGGCAACCTCAGGAACTTGAATGTCTTGAAAGGCCCGAATGCGGTCGGCCACTGTGCCTCGTTGCGGACTGGCCTCATATTAGTAACTTCAGTTTGTCTAGGAGTGGACGGTATCAGCAGACCCTTGCGAGCTATTCATGCTCGAAGATGCTTAGCAGGACTATGTCGATGTCGCTCATATTAGACATGGGGGATTTGGTGGCAACCAAAACGTTGGTGGTGCAGACTAACAAGAGACAGGAACTGCATCGTGAGGATTCGTTGCTGTTAACGACGGCTCTTTCCTCCTCGCCTACGATTTGCATTTACCTGGGAAAGGCAGGAACGGGCAGTCCATTCAAGGGGCTGTTGCTGCGCTATACTGATCAGTCTAGCCCAGGAAGAGCCTGCTGTTTGCACTGGAGCCTTGCTCAAGGGCACATTCACTTCAGCGGGTTGTACAAGTGGAGAGAACAAAGGGCAAGAGCAAAATGAACCGATCGTTACATGGAGTAGAACAATGGAAATATTGTCACGATCCCATTCGATCTTCTCCGCGGTCTCATTTTATATGTACAGAAGTAGTGGCCATTCCCTCTTACTTCAGTGCCGCTTGCAATGATTCGAGAACCTGGAGAACATTAGCCCACGCCTCCCCGGAGTGGTGGTTTTATTACCTCGAGCTCAATCTTAGCCTCAGCAATGTCCTGCTCACTTCCACTTCCACTGGCGATCTTCTGGGCCTCGGAGATTTGTGATTTGACAGCTTCTTCGCTGAACTCTTCCAATGGGAAACCCTCGACAGCGTTTATGCTCAGAACGGAATTAGGTTGGACGACGGCAAATCCTCCGGAAACTGCGGGCGTGTGAGTATTCTTGCCATCCTTCTCCTTTAAATTCAACTTGACGTACGGAAAAATTGCTTGTTCCCGCCGCTTTCTTCGATGATTTCGACCAAACCAGGCTTCAACTGTTCAATGGACGGGACATGTTGAGCGAGGATACCCATCTCTCCGGATTCGGCAGGAAGGTTCACTTGTACGCTGGAGATACTAGTCAGCTCTCGACTGTTGAAGACTTTACATTGCGTCTGGGTTGGCGGATGTCGGGACGTACACATCTTGCGAATGGTAGATTGCCTGTGCAGCGATACCATGTCAGCTCAAGCATTCGGATGAGGCCTAATATCTCCTCTGGCTTATGTACAGGGAGCATAGTCTCAGGGTGTCGACATACCTGGTGAGGAAGGGCGAGGGAAAGCTTTATTTTGTCCGAGACGGCCTCAGCATACCCTCTACGTTGGATCGGCTTCAGGGCCGCGGCAGTTCTAGCGCGCAACGCTGCACGCGATAGTCGAAGGGCGCTCATGGTGACGACAAGCGGAAAGTTGTTGCAAGAGAAGTCTAGAGGTGTCGTAGCAAGCTCCGATGTGAGCTTCTGCTGCACTCCGAGTCGAACTGTCGGACTGCCAAGTACGCTTCCATATGCAGTTTAGTGCAATGAGAGAGCTAGGTGAAAATTAGAAAGGCAAGTGAACCGACACGAGGCAATACCACCACGTGACAAACCAAGGTCACGTAGTAACATGGTCCTAAAGATTGAGCTTTCCGAGGACTGTATACAAGCACACGGTCATACATGAGGATCAAGGATCACTTTAACCGCTATATATGTAGCTTCACAAGATAAGATATCCTAGGTGCCACATCAGGCAAGACTACGACTCTAACACATAAATCCATGTGCTGGCTCGATCGTGCGAGGAACGGCTCGTGATGTTCAGAGATTCGCGCGATTGTACAAGTGCCTGGTATACTCCTGTGCACTGTCCGCTCGGGAAGGTGACGGAAAAACTTCGCCTGAATGGGCGCAGTTTGGGACAGACTGGGGAATGGAGCCCATCCGTCTATCGCACGCGTCTTCAGGTCGTGTGCTGTCACCTAGTCGGCCTCGATTTCCTTCAGAATTTCTGTGACTTGCACTCCGGCAGCTCATATAACCGGGCGACATTCTTCGGTCTGAGCAGTGGTGACATACCAGAGACACACAGAGGCGATGCTTCATGCGAGGTTGTGATCTGATATCCTGGAATACCATTCATCGAGTTCGTCTGCAGATATGCATGTAGCCCGTCATCTTCGAGTTTGAAACCCGTGCACAACATCAGAATCTGGCCAGTGTCCCGTATCACAAGTACAGCTCTTGCATCCCAGCTGGTAGCTTGAACAATTCAAACCCTTCGTCGACCTTTTTATTCAGCGGATTCTCATCCATTTTCGCGGAGCCGGTGGCGTTTTTCTCCCAACGGTCAAGTAATCCAACATCCCAATCCTGGAATCTCCGTGCAGACTGAGGCAGGATCTCTGTACTTTCCTGCAAGCTTTTTTTGAAGTCTGCGAGGTCATCTGTTGTGCCCACGAGCTCTTCGTACACGTTGCTGTTGGCGTCTAAGAACTTGACGGGATCCGGAAGTGTCTTGTAGAAGACTTTCATGGCTCGGTGAACTGTAGGCCCTCGCTTACTGCTCGAGTAATAGATGTCAGGATTAAAGATCCAAAGCATCAGACCTTCGGTCTTCAGGTCGGATTCGGTATGATTGTCAGCGTGCACAACGATTCTGCGCGTCACAGAACTTTCGATCAAAGACAGCAGCTGGGCACAAACAAAGATCGCCGCTGGGAACTGTTCCGCGTCCTGATTCAAATCGGGAATGACCTGCAGCCGAGACTTGAACAGTCGGTAGCCTATCTCGCCTTCTTGACGAAAGCCTAGAGTAATCCCGCAACCAGGGCATTTGAGGGTGCAAGAATCTATTCTCGAAGGGTGCTTGACGTTCTGAATAAGTATTGGTTAGCTAAATTGAAATGTACCTCACGCAAATCCCTCTGCGTTGTGCGACTCAAAGACGCAAAGGTGAAATAAGGAGGCGTATCCATTTGTGACACGGCAGCAGGCTATCCATCACTCAGATAATGAGGTTGGCACTTGCCACCGTGGACGCGGAACGACGTCGATATGCGGCGAATGTATCAGAAACCGGGTCAATTGAACCTCAAAGATGAGTTTGAACGGTCTCTTTCTTCACGCCGGAGGAAAGAAGGCCCGAAGGCCAACTAGGGGACATGGGGACTTACTTGCACGTTCGGACAGTCCTCTTCATGCAGCAGAAAAGAGACGGCATCCACCAGCCCAACCCTGGGAGTGGCGGTAAACTTGCTGGTAGGAGAGAAGCCTTTGGATTCGGCGGCGTGTTCATGGGTAGAATTATCGTGGGGCTTGTGGCAGAACCAGAAGTCCATCAGCTCTGCCCAATGTTCGCTGGGCAAATCTTTCCACACAGTGACTCGTCCAGCCTGTAGGACATCGGCGCCACAATCTTTGCATCGAATCGCGGTATTTGCGGTCAGAGCTCCTGCAGTCCAAGGGACCTCGATACCGCCTGACTCATCTATGTCAGGTTTTAGCTGTCCAAGATCGTCTATTTGCAGCCGAGCTGAGATCTCGGTTTTCTTGTCTATGGGGAAAGTTACATGTGCGGTGCCGGAGATCTGGGTGGGAAGATAGATGCTGGCAGACTGGCCGTCGTGGAGCGCCGTGATGATTTTCTTATCTGACGACAAGAGGATCTTAGTGTGCTCATTCTTCTCGGTCTGAAGAGAAGCGTGCAGTGTGAGCTGGCGAATGTGAGTGAGCGCCTCGGCGTAGAGGTAGATTGTTGGATTGGACATGTTTCGCCCGTTGTTGGCTAGTAGGAGATTTAGACTGTTTCTGTCATTCCTTGCCCTGAAATCGGGAATGAAAGGAGAGTGCGGCAGGACATGCGGACGGAGAGGGCTGACGGGTTGACGGGTTGCTCTGCTGGGGTCTATCTCTCCAGGATGGACGGCAGCAAGTCACCAGACCTGTCAAAGATTGCACCGTCACTGACAAGCCCAACGGGATCTGCCTTGCAAGTAGCAGACCTCGCGACGCCAGTCCATTGATTCGACAGATGATCAGATGGGATTCTGCACGAACCGAAGAATGCGGTCGGTGCAGAGCGACTGATGGTGGCAGATGGCAGACACCAGACGCCAGGTGACGTTTGGGAAAAAATGTTGGTGTCGAACTTGTCGAGGTCGGATTGCGTTGCTGTATCACAAAGTCCTCCGTACTCTGCACAGCGCGGCGCTCGACCGTAGTGGATCGTAAACCACTCCATCTGTCTAAGCAATACGGATAATGGGGACAAGAAACATCACAACAGAACTGAGGCGAACGACAGCGGTCGGTCTATTCACCAAGGTAAAGATACTCAGGTATTATTTGTTCGCTATTGATCCCGTCTTGCAAGGCTCTCTCTCAGGTACCCAGCATACCCTTCATCCACCTTTCAACGAGTGTGAGTGTCTGCGCTGTCCCCTTCGCCCAGTCCAACAGCCAGGTACACCATGCTAAGGATAGAGATAGAGGCCGTCCGACTCAGCTAGAGTTGACTGCTGATAGATGCAGGTGACACGCCGTCAGACTGTGTTTGGATGATTGACGAAACCCTCAGTATGCCACGCATTTTATCCCCCGTTGCCCCTGTCCATTGTGTCTATTTTTGTATCCGTATGCCGCAGCCCTCGATGGCATGACTGTATGATTTGTGCTCGACGTTTGGAGCCAAAGCCGCCGCTCGCTTCTCTAAAACGAATTTGCTGCAAAGCATGAGTTAGCTATCCCAGCACGAACGGTGACAGGCAGCGGCGTACACTTTGCCGTCGAACAAATGCCTTTAGCAAGCTTTGCCGCACTTGTGGCATCTGGTGCCAGGAATCACCCATGTTTCGACTCCGTTCGCCTTGCATTGAGGGCATCTCACACCGTTCATCTGGTCGGCGTCTGTCAGCAAGTGCTGGAACAGTACCAGGGCCATAGTCCTCACCGGCCTAGAGCGAACGTGCGGACTCAAGTCAGGCTGCTGCTTGACGTTGTCGGCATGTCCTGTGGGAACGCGAGGAAGGTTGACTTGAAACTTTGGAAGAGCCATAGTTGGAGAAGATGAAACAGAAAGAAGGCCGTTGATCCAGCATGAAGGAAAACAAGTCGGGTTGATGGGGAGGATGACGGTTGGGAGGCACTTTTATTGCGCTTGGAAAGAGCAGAGTTGGTTGCACATGAAGTCGGCAAGAGGGACTCGCTCTTTCTTCTAGACTCACAGCTACCGAGCACCTTCCACATCGCTGCCGTTCGAAACTACCGGATCTGGCAAAATGGTCAGGTTCTCACGCTTGCAACCGACGTCCAGACGTACTGGTAGCTCGATAGCTCAGTAGCTATGTAGACGTGGCCAAAGTCCCCAGTCCCGAGTCCCGACATATACGATCTGCCTGAGTCGAAATCGCCGGATGTCTGCTTGCGACGCAGCAGAGGCTGAGATGGTAAGACAATGTCTTCGATACAACACCAACTCGGTGGAGGTTGTGTCTTTCTGTCGTACTACATTGCGGTATCCCGCTGTCGGGTCGTTTTGCTCTTCATCGAGATGCAGCCGTCAACGGATAGAATGGGTGCATTATAGACTATCTGCCTGCTGGACGATGGTAATCTTCACCTAACGCACATACCATCCCTCGAGCAGTCTGATCGGCCCCCACAATTCTCATCACACGTGCTCATCGACGATCAATGGAAGCCGCCGACGTATGAGGCGCGAGAATCTTGCTGGCCACTTGGGCTGAGTATGACAACAGCCACTGTGCATCAAGCAGGTGCACACCGTGGCCTCGCTTCAGATCCCTGTTCATCTAAGCCAGATCTTTCGAGATATGCACAAGCAATGCTCCCTGCACCGGCAAGCCCGTCGAATCAAGCAAATGAATGAATCTGTAACCCGGCTGGAGGCGGTCGAGACGGATGCACGCCCAAGCAAGTAGGTTGTCTTTGCCAATCGATCGGTCGTCCATGACTTTCAGTCTATTGACAAGTGTCAGTGTAAGCATCCGCTGGTTGGCCAAGGCATCACATGACAGGTCAAGTATCAAGCTCATAACAGGGGCCGGGAGGACAACAGTTGCAAGCACAGGGAAACGAGATTTGTGCGACACGATCGCACACGATCGCACATGCTAGGCAAACAAATGCTGGCCGCAGCTCGCCGAGATATTCCAGGGATTGTGGTATGGTATCGGTGACTAGTCCGGTTTGAGGCATGCAGACCAATATTTCATGCTTGCCCGCAGCTTTCTGCGAATGCGTGACATTGCACAACTCTCACAGCGCACACGGCATCCCATTTCGGCACGATGACACTTGCCTCCTTATTACATGCCGATACCTCGCCCACTCAGTGCTACAGGCGACCACAACAAGAGGGATGGCACAGGGATGGTATGCGAAAGTCGTGGACGGTCCGAGACAAGACTCGCGGTGAGGCCAAGCACGTCTCAGTTGGGGCAGATATCAGGAAGGCTATCAAATCCGACCAACTGAACTTGGACCAGATGAAGAACTTCTCGTTCCACTGACGAAAGGAAATGATCGCTGGGCAGATAATAAGAAGTAAACATACCTGAGAAAGCTCAACTCCTCGACCACTTCTGAGATTTTCATCCAGCTCAGTTTCTCATTGCCAAAATCAGGACAGTCACTCCTGGATGTCGCGGATCTACGCTTGTAGTACTTGTCGTCTATTTCGTCACCGCTACCCGCGTCGGCGTCGAGCTGCGCTTTGTTCGGAACATTGGGACCTTTACCTTGCCCCGGTGGGCCATGAGTGTCAACGTGGAGCTGAAGTCTGACGTACGGCCTGATCTTGGAAGCATAAGACGCATCCTTGTCCGCCGGTAATGGTAGTCTCTGTGCTGCGAGGAGGCGTACCTCGAGATCAAGCCATTGGGTTCTGGGCGCAATGGTAGGCGTGCCATGCACTTGCCTGTGGGCTTCGTTATAGCGATAGCCCTCCGGCTTTAGCACCCATCCTTTCGTACCTGCGAACATACCCTCATTAAGCATCATGCCCTTGTCGAGCTTTTGCCAATTCAAGGCCACCATCTGAGCGCCTTGTCGCCAGTGAAAGGTCGGGTCGGTGTTGGAGCTGTTTATCCTCGTTCCTTTGGGGAACACTCTCATCATATATTTCTTGTTATGGTCAAACAACGCCGGGCCATGGAACGGGTCTGAATGCATGGAGAGCACTTTGTTTTCGGACAAGCTGAAGACGTGGGTAGGGATGGACGCTTCTGGTTGCGCGAAGTGCTTGAAAGTGTAGGCCCGGGTGTAGACACCTAGTTCAGAGAGGGACTTGAGTACCTTGGAGGGCTTCTTCTTGTCCAAGGAACTCGCTGACCCGTCTTCGGTGCTTCCATCGGTGGAGTTCGATACTGCCAGGTTGATCGGATTGTTGGATTCCCCGGTGTTTGGGTCCGTCGTCCACTTGACTTTGATGAGAATTTTCCGTTTCAGTGACTCCGGCGATGGAAGAACCGACATGTCAGTTTCCGTGCTGATATCCACCAGTAATCCAGACCAAACTTCCCGCATAATATCCACCATGATCTCCTGCTGAGGGAGGGAAGCATGAACTTCGAGCGAGACAATTATAGGTAGGTCAGTGCTCAGGAAAGCCGACTCCTTGATAGACTGACAAACAGAGCGGAATGTTACGGAATGAGTGAGGGTGTAGCCGTGGAGAACTCGAGGCTCGCTTTTGGAGGAAAGCATGGTTGACGGCTGGGGGTGTAGGTAGGTTGGACTCAAATTTGACATTTCAGACTTGCGAGATGCGGCAGTGGTCCTGGATTCACCATCCGCATCCGCAATCTGCAAAGTACCCAAGTCTGGAGGTCGGTCGCTGTTCACCAGCGACCCCGAGTGAGAGCGAGAGCGAGAGCGCATCCTTGCTGCACGAGCTTTCACTCTGTTCCATCGAGATGGTTTGGAGTCGGACCTTGTCCGGCCATATGTATCACCTTGCTCTTGTTCACCTTCCGAGCTGCTGGTGTCTGAATCGCTGTCACCATCCCACACATCGATTTCCAGGCACCTGCAGCCGCGGTTTAGGACGATCTTGTATGCATCAACACTTGCCTCGCCGTATAGCTGGTGGCCAGAAAGATACGTGTTGTGGCTCGAGCTAATGTAATAGGAGGACAGCGGATAGCTGTAATCGGGGGTGTTGAGGTCTGCCATGGCGCTCGACTTCTTGGAAGCCATATATGACAAGAAGGACGACTCGTCGGGAAACTGGCAACCATCTTGAGACAGCGCAGGCTTGTGCGTCGATACGAGATTCGACAAGACCGACTGTGAGAAGGGCGTGACGGGTGTGTCTCTGGCAACCGTGGAGGGTTGACCGCCGCCAGCAACACGAATGGGAAGTGTCTTCATCGTTGCACCCGTTCTCTCGATGAATGTATTTCTGTTCGGGTTCGGCAGGCTCAAACAGTCCTCAACAAAAGCAAGTCAAGAGACTGGTGAACTTGCCGAGAGGACCTCCGCTCCGAGACTTCTCTATGCGAGAAATGCAGACTGAAGTCTCGAGGTCAGAAGGAAACAAGGGCACGAGCGACTGGCGGAGCAGGGTTGAGGCTGAGGTGTGGCATCTTGTCGTTGAGTCTGCTACTGAGTCAGGGTCACAGTAAACGTGGGCAGACTGGGAAGTAGCGATGGCTGTGCAGCAACGTTGACTTGGAACCAGTGACTGGCACTGCGAAGGATCAGGACCAGCTTCCAACAATCAACAATACAAGCGCAGCTGCGCCTGTTTGGTGGCCTGGCTGGCCTAGAGATGTTCCCAATCCCAGGTGTCCCTCTTCCATGATCAAGTGCAGATGGCGTACGCCAAGAGAAGTAAGTCTACCCCGAACCCCCCCTTTAGAAAAGAGGGTGATGCCGCCCTATACTTACCCCTGGTAAGTGCCTGGCACCCGCGAGCTAGGTGAGAAGGCACCCGTGACTTAACCTGGGCCGTCGTGGAGGCTAAATTCATTGGCGCCGCGGCGCCAATAAGTAACAGTTGACGTACCAGCGGAGTCCTTGTATCACTAACCATGATTGGCTGTGTCCTAGCTCGTCCCTATAGATATGAAGAGTCTCAAAAGCAGCGTCGCGACTTCGACGCTTTAGGGTACGCCTGGTGTCGCCGTCTTTAAATTTCGCGCCAGTCCCTGGACACTACCATCCTAGCATGTCAAGGCGAAGCCTAAGATGTCTGGAGGAAGCAGGATGCCGGGGCGGGGTGCTCGGAAGAGTATACGCAGTACGTACAGCTTGGTGGGATAAAAACGGTAGCATACAATGAAAGGTTGGATGTTTGCCAGAGAGGCCCGACTGACCCTTCCTTCGGGGAAACAAACCCCCCGTGACATCGCAGGCGCCTTCTATACCAGAGACGACGGATAGTAAAGCCTTTCAGTGCATGGAAGAAAGCTTGAAGCGAGGAGAGGCCAGTAATGCTTACCGTAAGCTCACACGCGCATGGATCCACCTAGGCCGATCAGATAGGTATATCTTCCTCGGATCGTCGTCGCCTGCACGGCAGTGTGCCTCAGGGTACACCTCTTTATGGCGGCGTTTCTTAACAAGGAGGTAGTTATCAGGGTGTAGAGATCCGTCTTCGTAGTCTAGCCACGGGCGTAGTGAAGCTACATCGTAGATACGTGCTCCTTTCCCCAACCAGAAAGGTGCGCGTAGCAAAAATGTGGCAGAATATCCGTTATACCCCTTCGAGCTTGACAGAGGGGATGAGGTGTGCCAGCCCTTTGTCGACACGAGCATTCGAACCAACAAAAGAAGAGGCGTCTTCCTACGTCTTCTCGTGCAGGTACTTTAAAGAGAAAGGCGTATAGTCGTAGACATTTAGACCCTCCTCCCGTGTCGGGTCTGCACGATGGTCTTGAGTCTAGACTTGACGATACGGCAGCCTTGCTGCAGTGCACGGTACAGGCATCGCTGTGAGAGGCAGGCGGTAAAGCGTAGTATTTGGAACTCTCCTCCATCCCGTCAACATATCAATGCGACTGCTGTAGGAATGGCTGGTTTTCGGGGTGTTGTGGCCTCGGGGGCTTACTTTCCTGCTGGAACAAGACGGTGTACACAGCATGTTTGGCAAAGAATGTCCTCAGGATTTGTTGTCTTTCTTTACCTGTGCCTGCTTCTTTTGTTGCTGGGGACCTTATACAACTGTAATCCCAGCTGGTGAATTGACGTCGTTGCTAGGCATACTTGGACAGGTATTCGGCTGACAGAAGACTGAACATGGTCCTAGCTATTTTGGAGCATCATTGATACCACATAACCAATACCGTGCACACTTCACTCACGAGGGATGGCGTAATGGGGCGCCGATGCGAGATTAAAACAATCTGGGGATCTAGCCTGCATTTCTCAGGCTGACAGGCGCAATTGTGATGAGGCTTCTGAATGACGCCGGGGGAAATCATCATGGTGCCGTGGCCACCAAAGAGCGGACGTGCTAAATCAGCGGACAAGGCTGAGGAGCGTGGCTCAGACCACTATTGCATGGCCAGTGCTTAGAGTTATGATGGCAGCGAGGATCGACATCAGTAAACAATAACAGTGCTTAGATGTCCTTTGGAGGAATTCAGACACACAATTCAACTTGCCGCAGGCTCATAGCATCCAGCATCCTGGCCTGACCACCGTGTCTCATGTGTTGCCTCCCCTCCCGGCACTTGTTCCGTCGGGTCTGATTCACCGAAGATGCCGGTACTTACGTAGTTCGGTCAGATGCAATCTCCCCCAGAGTGCTACCTTCTACGTAATGATGTCAACCTGGGCAACTGCGATGAAGTGGCGTCACGCGTGGTGGTGGAAATATGCACACAACATTCAACACAGGCTCTAAAAAAGGGGGTAGGGGTAGTGGGTAGGGTTGGGAGCCCATGCCTGTATAGGTCTAGTTGAATACATTATAGGACTAGCTCTTCCCAAATAGAGACTAGAGCGTTTAGCGCGTATATCGCTTACTCCGGACACCTTGTCTCGACCCTCGACCCATTATTGTTCACTCGCGCCGTTCTTCATCCTCCCTACTCGTACCAGCTCCTCCGCTGTAGGAACAAGCTCCTCCGCTGTCGCCTAGGAGCTATCCAGCTATACGCCTACCTGTCAGACTCACCTGAGCGCTACATGGCAGGTCATGCCTGGTCATGTCCTGAAGCTCAGGCACCATGGGATAACCACGACAAACAAATGCCTCAACCTCGCAACCTCAATCTTGCGAGACTGTCAAGATCTCACGGCACAGCCGGTCGAGGCCTACAATGAAAGTGAGGACTAGTATTCTCTACCAACAGCCAAATGGGTTAGCAACGGCAAAGGTTGCGCCCGCCCAGCAAAGCCCCGGTTTGCATCCTTCCCCCTGCGTCAAATGCCAATCCTTCCATCACGTTGTCTAGGGCCTTTGTCTCTGGTCTCGCCGTCTTGGCCCAAGCGATGTTCTCCTGAGAGACCGGTCCTGACTCCTCACTGAGGCCTTCCCCACTTTTCCCAGCGCGTCCATTGTCAGGCCTGACCACGGCAGAGATCGTCGGTCTCGACAATCTGGCAAGGACAATGCGTGTGGAGATCCCCAGTGGGCATTGTTTGTTTCACAATTCCTTTCGGCCCCGGTAATTGGGGACCTGAATGGTGCCAGCGTTCAATGTCTATGCGCTTGGTCTGTTTAATTATATCTCATCCCATTCCTCTGCTGCCTTTCTTTCTTGTCTGTCTTTCGATTCTCGGTCGGTTCATCACGAATTCAACGGTCTGCGACTCCCTCCTTTCGCTCTTTCGACTCTTGCATCCCACCACATTCATTTGATCCCTGGAGGATACACACTCTCATTACAATTCCCCCAACTCGTTCCTGTTCCGCTCCTTTCTAGCCGAACTTGAATACCACATTCTTTACCACAAAGAAACCCTACCAAAACACCACCATCATGTTCTCTTTCAAGAACCTTTCCGTTCTGGCCGCCGTCGCTGGCGTCGCTTTTGCGCTGCCCACTCCCGCGGAGGATTCGGCCCTGGTCGAACGCCAATGGCGTGGACATGGGCACTGGCAACGCCCCGACAACGTGGTCTGGGTCACCGTCACTGCTACCGCTGATGATGCTTCCATTCCTACCGCCACCGCCGCGGCAGTTCCCGTCAGCACACCCGCGTCCGTCTCCGTCCCCGCCGCCGCACCCGCAACCCCTACAGCCGACACTTCCGGTGCAACCGGCTACTTCGCCATCGTCTCGAAATGGCGCGCGGCTGGTGGCCTCCCGGCCTTCACCCAGGACAGCACCCTCGAGGCCAACGCTCTGAAAACTGCCACGGACAGCGGTGGCGCACTGAAACATGAATTAAACCCCGGGACTTTTGCTCAAGTCCTCGCCCCTGGCACAGATGACGACAACTCATTCCTGAGTTCCTACGTCGGTGGCTGGCTCTGCGAGATCCCTACGTTGCCGGGATTGAACGGAATTTGCGCGACGCTCGGTCAAGGCTGGACTCATTCTGACACGGGTCATGCAGACATCCTGACGTCTACATCTTACACGAAAATTGGTTGTGCAAATGCAGACGGCATCTGGGCGTGCGACTTGTCGTGAACGTTCGAGAGATATGTCCGCATTTTCAGATCTTAAGATGAGATGGAATGACGATGAGCCGAGTTGAATTAGATGATTGAGCCGAGTTGAATTGGTGGATGGATTGGTGTTTCGCTTCATATTTCAGCGATATACGGACGATATCATACTTCGTATATTACCTTTAAGCTATTTCTCCCTTAGGTAGAGAGAAGTAGGGAGAAAATAAATGATTGAGGACTTGAAAACGTTCGAGAGAACTACATAGTAGAAGTAGGGAGAGGAAGAGAGAGAGTAGAGTAATAGTAGGGTAGGCAGTAGGGATGATACATATGTATTGTTTTACGTGATAGAGTAGTGTACAGTAGGTAGTAGAGTAGAGTAACCTAGGAGGCGGTAAAGGTAACCTAGGTTATTCCGAGCCTACGTACGCTATATAGAGGTAGTAATGAATTACTTAGTACGAAGGACTATCAAAGAATTAGGACCAATTAGGACCTCGAGATTGGAGAGTCGATTTGGCAGGCTAAATCAAGACGACTTGGACGACAGCGATATCGATATCGATATCGACCATGTCTCTCCTCGAACATTTTGACGAACCACATTTGAGGCTCCTGAGGTCTTAGGAGCCTCGTCTTCCATCCTACCCCTCTCCCAACCTGGGTTCTCCCTCTCACCTCTGTTCACCCTGATGTGTTCTGTCGTGCTTCAACTTCGACACCGCCTGGATCATCTCCCCCTGACTGCGTTTGCCCCCTATCCCCCTCCTCCCCCCATCCCCCGCGATGTTAGACCCAGTCTGGCAGCCCATTCCGAATGACAGGGAATCATTCAGGCTACTCTCTCTCCACGCTGGCGGAGCAAACAGCCCAATCGAGGCTACCCTCATCGTGGCACGGCTGAGCCAGCCGCCACACTATGAGGCCCTGTCGTACAATTGGGAGTTGGCGCAGGTGCCGCATGAGCCATTCCCGGCAAACATCAAAGTCAACGGAGAACATGTTATTTCCCTCCGGCCCGATCTCGCCGCCGCTCTCAAGACGCTGCGGTACCTTGACGGTCCGAGGCTTCTCTACGTGGATGCACTATGCATCGACCAAGAAGACAAACTCGAAAAGACTCGGCAGGTCATGTTGATGGGTCAAATCTTCCAGACCGCAGGCCGGGTTCTGTCTTGGCTTGGACCAAGTGATGTGCCAGTGGCAACGGATCTCTTATTCGAAGCTACGACAAAGGTAGAGCCGGACGATTATGAGGTCGACTCTGGGGTCTGGAGAACCAGCCACGTGTGTTCCCTATCGTCGGAGTTGACCTCGTTGAAGCAGACGATGATGAGCTTGATTGAGAGACCGTACTGGCGCCGTGCATGGATTGTTTAAGAGTGCATCCTCGCTAAAGACGTCGTCCTCTGCTGTGGACATGCCTCTGCCTCTTGGGACAAGTTTCGACTTCTCTATCTGATGCTCCTTGGAAAACGACCCGACTTTCACGCCTACACGGCAGGCTACCTGACGAAACATATTACACGGTTCGACCACCTCGCGGCGCAGAGGGCCAACCGGGACAAGTACCCGGTGCCTCTGGCTACAATCGTCAATTCCTTCCAATCGTGGGAGAGCACAGATGCTAGAGACATGGTCTTCGCATTCCTCGACTTGATCGCCGAGTCCCGAGCGGACCACCTGAGACGTATTCAAGCAGACTACTCACCCAGTGTGTCCGTGACCGAGGTGTACTTCCGTGCCTGCCATGCCTACCTCCTCGACCCACGAGCACGTCCTCACCGCGTCCTTGACCCGCTTCGGCAGATGCTCAGACTTCAATCAGAGGACATCTTGTCAGAAATCATCAACCTGGTCGATCTGACCGATCTGTGGTGCGAGGTCGAGTGGATCACGGGTAAGTTGCCGGAGGTTGATACGAAGCTTAATGAGAGCAAACCGGGGGCCGCATATCTGGAGTGCCACCAAGTTGATTTCGCCCGGTTGGTGAAGAAGCTCGATGAACTCAAGCGTGAAGCGCCGAACCACTCGGAAAATCCTTAATCAAGTCGGGGAATTCTTGAATTGCCCACAAGACCAAGCTTGACCTATTTCCTATTCGTAAGGCCGAGATCACAAGACCAAGCTTGGCCTATTCGTAAGGCCGAGATCGCCACAGTTCCCAGGAACATCCTATCTATCTATTATCAACCGGCCTTTATCCGACCTATCTAGGCAGGAGTAGGAAGGTCGGACGCGAAGGTAGCCTCGCTGGCAAGACTGACCCTGACCTAGATCACGAAGCACTACGGAACTTATTACGAGGTCTAGGTAGAAACGACGGATTAGGCCCGAGTGTTATACGGATGCTTTAACGTAGTAAATAACAGCTAGATGGTCAAATGTACAACAGAAGAATACGCATGCCTGTAGAGAGAGGTAGAGATCAGGGTTGACTTGACACTCTCGTCTCTGCGGAGTGAAATCTGATGTGAGTGATAATGCTGTCACAGGTCCATGGGTAAGTTCGTACTGACCGTATACCGTATCTAGACTACGACTTGCGACTATGTTGCTCTATATCATTATCCTGTCCAACCAATGTCCGTGTTGAGCGACTCAGCCCAATGTGATGTACTTATTACGTGGCCCGCTCTGTGCCCAGGCAGTCTTCAGGATTCTTCCCAGACCGACACGGTAAGCGCAATGCATGTCTTGATCCCATTCAATCAACATGACGTTGTACATCAGGCACTTGCCCGGCTGATCCGAGAAGATGGGCAGCCAGGCCACCAGATCGATCCCTGCAAACTGGGCCTCCGAGAGGACAATGTACTCATAGCGCGACGAGCTATAGCGCTGAAGTGGAAGATCCTCTCCGGTGATGGTCACGACACCGACGGGTTGGCCGCGAGCGTTGCGGATTTGGTATTCCTGAGGCCGCAATCGTCCGAGGTCGTGATCTGAGATCTGGTCGGTGTCGACTTCCCTTGTGCCATGGCCATGGCCATGGATGTGGCTCCTTTTCACCAGTCTGTCGAAAAAGGAACACGAGGTCCAAAACTTCAGCTGCGCGCTTGTCTGGGTCGGGGTTGCACCCGCACCCGCCCCAGCCGTTGCAGGAGGTTCGAACGGAGAAACCCAACTGGTGCTTTCGATCCCCGGGCTGAAGAGATAGGGCTTGATGCCGACGCCATATCGATTCACCAGCTCAGTGCGATGGACATTCCATTTGATGATGGGGAGAAGACCTTCCGCCCCGTGCCTCCCCTTGGTTTCCTCGTACGAGACTTTGCCTTCCCAGCCAGCCCAGGCCCAGCTGGCAAATCTTTCATTTCCGCTTCGTCTGCGGAGTGGTGCCGATGGTTGCCACAGAATTGCCGCATCGAGGAATGAGACCGGCAGCCCTTCGACCATGTCCGTGTTCAGATCCAGCATGAAAATCTTGCTGATGCCGCCGAAAGCTCGCAAGACGTCTTCTGGGAAGCTGAGCTCTCTTCCTGTGTATTCTGAGACGATGTCTGCATAGCGCTGGAAAGCCGGAAGCCTCTGGAAGCCCGATTCGATTGCGCGCTTGATTGGACCGCCTTCGCCTTCGCCTTCGTCTTCGTTCAGGCCTAAACTCGATAAATGCTTCAACCGTTCATAAGGTGCACTCTTGTTCTCTGCCAGAGTATCCTCGCATTCGACGACAGTAGGGCATTGCCAGAGGACCTGGTCGTCAAAGAAAACGAGGAACCGTTTGGATAAGAGCTGCTCCTGGTACGTCCATGCCCTCAACGACCACCTCGAAGTCTTCAGATCCGCCGGCAATGGCATTGAAACAGCAATTCCGATCTCTGGGCGCAACCGCTCGTAGAGCTGAGCTCTCGACCTTGTCCATGGTCGAACCCCAGGGAGCCCAACATTCGCATCGTCACCCCCTGCAACAAGGGTGAAAAGCGCGGCTCCATATACCAGGTGCATATCCTGAAGATGAGCTTCTTTATCTTCTGCATCTTGAGTTATACACAGTGCATCGATCCAGATATATCTTTCTCCAATGCTCTTCACCACCTCAAATGCATCCAGGAAGGTTTGCGGAATCTCGGAGATATGAGACCCCAAAGCCCCAGGGCTGCGTAGATGATCTTCATTCTCCCGAGTGAGCTGCAAGCTCGATGCCTCTCCCCAAACATAGCTTAGCGCGACGTACCGGGACGAGGAGGGTTGTCGGACAACACAGGAGGTTATGACATCTACAAGGCGAAGGGAGCGTAGTTTACCATCCGCGTTGGGTAAGTGAAACCCATTGCACGTCACGCCGTGTGATGCGACGCATTCAGAGATCCACGCCTTCAGCACGGGTAGATGAATTTGAGACTTATCAACCGTCCGACCCGAAGTGACTGAAGCTCCAGCTAAAGACAACGCGACGGGGTGTAGTATCATGAAATCGGCGTTATCTCGCTGCATGGGAAAGGGTGGCGGGCTGAAATGCATCCTCACACATGGCCCGACATTGATTCCTCCCCTGGAAGATCGTGCTCCCATGTTCGCGATTTCAAGGAAGCATTTGACCGCTTCAAGGTGACGCTCATAGCGAGAGGAGCGGAAACAATAGAGAGGAGAAGGTCTGACTAGCTCTGCCCCCGCCGTATATAACAACTTACAGAATTTGCAATGCATCGCCGCCGCTTTGACCCGATAGAGTGATATTGCTAGTTTCGATGGTACGAAAAAACCTGTCAAGTTGGACATCCAAGATCCAAGTCCTCGGCAGCCAGTGCAGGTCGCTTGCTCGCCTGCAGTAGAGTGTTCGAAAGGCAGCACAGATTCCACGAAGTCAAGTCCGCTAGACTCTTCGTCGTCAACAATTGTCGACACCGTTAGGTCTTCGTCGTCCGATAGGTCATCAAGTTGAACTCTTGACCGCGCCAGGCCTCTAACCTCATGTAGATAACGGCGCTCTGTCCAGCGCAGCAAGTTCAGCGCCGATCCACAGTTACCTCTTGAACATTGCCCACAGATGCAAAAACAGACCGAAGAATCAGAAGAGGGCGCGTTCCTAGCCATGACTTGGGTGGCTTCGGCGGGATTTGGGCCATGTCCATCCAGTGCGCTCGCAACATTGCCCAGTCTATCGCCGCGTGACGTTGCAATGGAAACTGAGGCATTCGAATCTAATGCTTCGAAAAGAAACCGTAGACTGTCGCCGTCGTCTAGCACTATCGACCAGTCCTCCAACCTCCGCATCAGCACGGCCAGGTCTGCCTTTGAGTAGTGTAGATGGTAGTGTAGATGTTGCAGTACATATGCAGCTATGTCAAGCTTGTCCGGATACTGCGGAGCATCTGCAGCTAAAGTTGGGCCACGCATAGTGTGTCAAAAGACTTGTTGGACGGTGGTTCTCGGTCATCCACACGGAGGCCCGTCAGGCTGAGGACACGATGAAGTAAGTCGTGAAACCTACTGGTCAGAGTAGCTAGTAAACGTGGAGTGTCACGGTAAGCATGATTACACCAAGAGATGGGACCGGGCAAGCAAGGCCGACGTGGAGGGTAATGGGTGCGAGGTGCGAGGTGCGAGGTGCATCGCAGCGATGAGGAGGGTGAGTTGTCAGAAAGGCGGCATGCATTAGTGCCAGGCAACCTGCGTGAGCTCCAAGCAGCTTTTCCATGTACTCATCTTTAGCTGCCAAGGACTGTCTTGTGTCGACCTCACTCGACTGTCAATCGAAGTGACCAGTGACCCTCTTACCTGCGGCCACAATGTATATCTTTACCTTGAAGTAGTACCTAATGCAAGAGCAGTAGTTGTACATATACGGATATATACAGAAAGTATAGCAAGAAGTATCCGTACAGAGGCAAGGCTTGGCATACGTCAGTGATATCGCCGCCACCGCAAGGCTTCGAGATCCTTCTCATACTGTACAGTCAGGACTCAGTAGTAGTGTGACTGGAGGCACATGTATCAGGAGACTACTCTGGACCAGACCCTTTTGTCTACACTCACTCAGTAATGCCAGAAACCCATTGCCTTCAAGTTGCCAATTGACCGTGCTATCCCGCACACTGGTTTGAGTATCTCTACCCAGCAACCAACCCATCCCAAGACTCAAGATACCATGTCAAGTCGCTCCCAAGACGAGAAAACAGTGCGGAATTGGGGCTTCTCGCATGTCTTCACATGGACCGATGGACCGTAAGTCTCCCTCCACCACCACCGTCAGTCTTGGTACTGCGCCAAAGTGCCGGATCCTCCTGTCTTTTCGGCATTCCTCTCGTGCCAACGTCCGGCCCGGCCTGAGAGACCTTTCTCCTCTCACAACCTGACCGGGCGGACCCTCTACTGACAAGGAATGCAGCCACGCGCATTATCCGCCTCACTCGCATTCCGGACTGACCACCCATCTGATCCGGCGTGGGTCGTTGACCATCACATACCCACGAGACCCGACTCCCACGAAGGAGACCTTCGGTGTGGGCGCCAGGATCGATGTCCCGGCGGGGAAAGTCCACGAGGTGTGGATGGGAGACGAGGGTGCGTACTATGCGTCCCACCGACCGACCGACCGTATGGTCTAGACTCGGGAATGGCTTCCATGGTCTGTTATGCCAACGCTGACTCTCTCCTCCCTTGCTTGACAGGCTGCGAATACGTGATTGGAGAGTAGGAGGAATCGACAAGAGTCGCAAAGGGCGAATTCAAAACATGGGCCATGACGACATGACGAAGGGTGTTTTTACATGGTTTGTTTTCAGTTCTGGTATAAAAAGCCTATCAACAAGCCCAGGTGAAAAAGCACGTCGTTCGCTCTCCCCTCGCCTCTCGCCCCCAAGGGCACTTTAGTAGACTCTCTTGAACGGTGGCACGGCCTTGCACTCGGCCTCGTCCAAAGTATGAGCGGTGACAGCTCTGTAGCCCAGGTTGACCTTTCCGTGCGGGTCCTTCTGCCACGAGAGCGTATGCTTCATCCAGTTCTCGTCATCACGCTCTGGGTAATCTTCACGGGCATGCGCGCCTCGGGACTCCTTGCGGTTGGCGGCCGAGGCGGCCGTTTGAACTCTGTACACACATGGTCAGTAAACATCTCAAACGACAGGTGACGGAAATACACGTACGCGCAAGTCAACAGGTTCCTCAATTCGAGGGTTTCGACAAGATCCGAGTTCCAGATCATGCTGCGGTCCTTGATACCGACGTCGGCGAACGTCTGGTCGACCTCATTGATCTTCTTCACGCCTTCGTCCAGAGATTCTTGGGTTCGGAAGACGCTGACATCTGTCTGCATCGTTCTCTGCATGGCATTGCGGATCTCGAAGGTGCTCTTGGGACCATCCGCCGTGCGGATCTTGTCGAGCACGTTGATCGAATCCGCACCAGTATCGGCGGCAAGCTCCTGCTGGCTCTGACCCGGGGTGAAGTTGTCACGGATCGTGTGCGATACGGCTCGTCCGAACACGATCAGATCGAGGAGCGAGTTGGCTCCCAACCGGTTGGCTCCGTGGACCGACACGCAAGCAGCTTCGCCGCAAGCAAAGAGCCCAGGCACGACCTCGTCTTTGCCCGCATCGTCGACGCGCAGGACTTCGCCGGTGTACTTGGTGGGAATACCGCCCATGTTGTAGTGCACCGTCGGCAGGACCGGGATCGGTTGCTTCGTGACGTCGACACCAGAAAAGATCGAGGCAGTTTCCGAAATACCAGGCAGACGTTCGTGGAGAATCTCGGGGGGCAAGTGACTGAGCTGCAGGTAGATGTGGTCTTTTTCGGGACCGACACCACGACCCTCCCGGATTTCTAGAGTCATCGATCGAGAAACGACGTCGCGAGAGGCCAGATCTTTCGCCGTGGGCGCGTAGCGTTCCATGAACCGTTCGCCCTCCGAGTTCAGCAGGTAGCCACCCTCACCCCGGGAACCTTCGGTGATCAGACAGCCGGCGCCGTAGATACCGGTCGGGTGGAATTGGACGAATTCCAGATCTTGGTTGGGAAGACCAGCACGGGCGACCATGGCCATACCGTCACCGGTACAGGTGTGGGCAGAGGTGCAGCTGAAGTAGGCTCGACCGTAACCGCCCGTTGCCAGGACGGTGTTCTTCGCCTTGAATCGGTGAAGAGTGCCGTCCTCCTGATTGTAGGCCAGGACACCCTTGCATTCCCCGCCTTCCATGAGCAGGTCCAGGGCGAAGTATTCGATAAAGTAGCTGGCGTTGTGGTTCAAGGATTGACCGTACAAGGTGTGCAGGAGGGCGTGGCCAGTCCGATCGGCGGCGGCGCAACACCGGTACGCTTGTCCGCCTTTGCCGTACTTCTGTGACTGACCTCCGAAAGCTCTCTGGTAAATCCGCCCGTCTTCCGTCCGCGAAAAGGGACAGCCATAACTCTCAAGTTCGATGACGGATCGGGGGGCTTCGCGGGTCATATAATGGATGGCGTCCTGGTCGCCGAGCCAATCCGACCCTTTGACTGTATCGTACATGTGCCATCTCCAGTCGTCCTCGTGCATGCTACAACAGAGTCAGCTCCAAACCGCCGGAAATCATATAAGCTTCACTGACTTCCCCAGGGCCGCATTGATGCCTCCCTGTGCCGCCACCGTGTGACTCCGAGTGGGAAACAGTTTGGTCACGCATGCTGTCTTGAAGCCTGCTTCCGCCAGACCGAAGGCCGCTCTCAAACCTGCGCCGCCGGCTCCCACGACCACCGCGTCATACTCGTGATCCTGACTCCGTCAGCCACACCACCCACACAGAGGTTATTCGGTCGTCTTACAATGACAGGGTATTTTGAAGACACAAAAGGCGAAGCTTCTTTAGCTCGTAGCGTCTGGTTGGTAATGATCCGGGCTTCAGAAGGGTCAGTGTCGGTCAAGAGAGAGTATTTGGGGTATCATTCGTACCGGCAGGGCGCGTAGAGGAGAAATATCTCTTGGATTGCCTCCAAGTTCGAGAGAGCTGTAGGTCGGATTAGTTTCGGATCGGGGCAAAACAACTCTCGTGCCGTACCTTGGTGGAGGGAGTCAGGCTCCGCATGATGCTTGAGGAGCTCATCTTGCACAGCTTCGAGTCATCTAAGGCTTGAACGCAGAGCGGAGAGCGCACACAGCAGAGCGATACCCGGAAAGAGATGGGCGCAGGAGGCGGTTCGGAAGATGAAATGAAGGGAAATGGAGGTCGTCAACGACTTAGCTCAAAATGGGTGACCATCCAGCGCTGCTTGTCGAAGGACCGAGCATGGCGGTTTTGCCCGCCGTCATCTTCGACCAATCACGGCCGACCTATTTCCATCCTATTACTATATCCCTCACGGAGCCTCGTTGCGCCTAGGTACCTAGGTAATTAAATACAACTGATCATATCCGATAGCGGTGCCAGTTCTCGCGCATTCTTTGGAAAGATCGCAGGCCACGAAGCAACACGAGCAGATCTGCACAAGAGCCGCCGAGCTCGAGTGCCCTCTTGCTGGGGGCAAGCCATTCACCGAGGCAGCGAAGAACTTGGTCTAAACAGGGCCGTGAGGCTCCGACCATGTACGTGGTACAGTCGTTGGGTTTGAATTTCATTGATATGTCAACCATCAGCTCTACAAACGACCGCCTGACCGGGCGCCCGTGATGCGCGAACTCCGAGCAGATGCAGCTCTCCAGAACAATCCCGAAACCCATCTATTAGTTGTATTGTGCGTACGCGCTCGTGCTGTTCCACTTGAGATTGCCTTTGATCACCTTGTCGACCGCAGCGAGGAAGTCTTTCTCGGTCGCCACTTTGCGCCGACTTCGGATCGCGAACATTCCCGCTTCTGTCGCAACACTGCGTAGTTCGGCTCCGGTAGCATTGGGACAGAGTCTAGAGATCAGCTCCCACCTGATGTCGCGCTCGACGGACATGCTCTTGGCGTGAATGCGGAGAATGTTGGCTCGTCCATCGAGATCGGGCAGGGAGAATTCGATTTTCCGGTCAATTCGGCCCGGCCGCATCAAGGCAGGATCCAGAGTAGAAGGTCGATTGGTGGCAAACATCACCTTGATATTCCCTCTCGAATCGAAACCGTCCAGCTGAGTGATGAGCTCCAACATGGTTCTTTGGACCTCGTTGTCGCCGCCCGCTCCGTCGTCAAATCGAGCACCACCAATAGCATCGATCTCGTCGAAAAAGATGATGCAAGCCTTCTTCGTCCGGGCCATCTCAAACAGCTCGCGAACCATCCTCGCACCCTCACCCACGTATTTTTGGACCAACTCGGATCCGATGACTCTGATGAATGTTGCGTCGGTCCGGTTAGCAACTGCTCGGGCACACAGTGTCTTCCCGGTACCCGGGGGTCCATATAGCAATGCGCCTTTGGGGGGGTCGATTCCAAGGCTGACGAATCGTTCTGGCGACAGAAGCGGCATCTCAACCACCTCACGGAGCTTTTCAATCTGTTCTTTGCAACCGCCGACATCTCCGTACGTAACATCAGGTTTATCCTCGACCGTCATCATCGTGACACTCGGGTCAATCTTGGGTGGCAACGGGAGCATGATGGAATATTTCTGTCGATCCACGCCAACACGCATTCCCTCCTCGATGTCCGTAGGACTGACTCGTTCTCCCAAGTTGACAACAAACTTTGCAATCTGCTTAACGTTGATGACATATTTGGGTTTGTCAGGATCCTTCTCGTCTTGGATGATCTTTGTACACCGCGCGACTTGCAAGGGTTGTTCTTCTGACATGCGTTGGCGATCGGCAGCAACGTCCCAAAGATGCGGAGGGGCGAGGCCGGTATCGGACTCCTGTAGACAAGTCAGCGTGATTCAAGACGAGGCAGGAGCAGACGCTTACCTTCACGCCGATCTTCTCATTGACGCTCTGTTGTTTCTCCTTGATCTGCTTCTCGAGCTTCTTCAACGCCGACGCATAGGGTGCGGCTCCGTATGTCCTCAGAACCTGAATGTCCCTGTTCTTGTCAGTACAGTCCCCTCAGGTGGCGGCGGAAGGCCTCACTCTTCTGTTAGGGGTGTGATCTTCTTCTCTGGCTCTTCGTCGTCGGCATAGTTCTTCTGGTACTTCTCCCAGCTTGACCCTGTGGCACTGGGCATTTTCGGAGGACACGGTGTGGGTGCAAAGGCCGCTCGGGGAAAATCGAGTAAAAGTGTCAGTTCCAAATATCACTCCAATGCTGGAAGATGGCGAGGTGGGTATCGTAAAGGGTGAAGGGGGAAGAGGTTTATGGAAACGATGAGATGGCGAGTGTTGACACAGTGGGAGCAGCAATGATGCTGGACTCCGTAATCGCGCGGTGCCTGGGGACCAGTTAGGCTGCACTTGCGGGCGAAGTGATTGCCACTAGAACGACAGCCCAGTGCCGTGGCCAGTACTGCGGACCAACAGCAGCCCCTCGACCCTCTCCAACTTTCGCGTCTGGAAATTTACCGTATGCCTGCTTCATTCCCAAACTTGAAGTGAACTTGTGCGGACAAACTCTACGAAGGCCACTGCATTACTCCGTGACAAGCCTGCACAAGTCACAAACCCGAAGGTCCTCCTCGCCCAATCTAAAGCAACCATGGCCACCGCCGTGGGAAATTTCCAGGGCACCGCAGGAAATGCGGCCTTCAAAGTATGCGGTCTCCCTGTCGAGGATAGAATAATCCATGCTGACATGTGTGGCAGGATAAAGAGAAGCCCATGGCTGTACGGACGGCCAACATCCTGGCAGCCCGTGCCGTGGCAGATGCTATCAGAACCTCGCTGGGCCCACGAGGAATGGACAAAATGATACAGAATGGCAAAGGGGAGAATCTTATCACCAACGACGGCAACACAATGCTGAAAAGTATGAGCGTCATGCATCCGGCGGCAAAGATGCTGGTCGATCTCAGCGCAGCCCAGGATATTGAGGCCGGCGACGGAACGACGTCTGTGGTGGTCATTGCCGGCAGTCTCCTTGGGGCGGCAGACCGACTGCTCGCCAAAGGCGTACACCCTACCATTATCTCCGAGTCATTTCAGAGGGCTGCAGCTGCAGCGGTCAAGATCCTAGACGGCATGTCACAACCCATTTCACTATCTGATCGGACGACTCTCTTACAAGCAGCCTCTACGTCCCTGTCTTCCAAAATCGTGTCGCAGCATTCCGGATTGCTTGGCCCCATGGCGGTCGATGCGGTCTTGAAGACCATTGATCCCAAAACTGCGGACAACGTCGATTTACGAAACATCAGAATCATCAAGAAAGTCGGTGGCACGATCGAAGACTCTGAAATGATCGACGGTCTGGTTCTCAATCAGCAGGTCATCAAGAACAGTGGCGGCCCTAGCAGGATAGAGAAGGCACGGATTGCATTGATACAATTTCAACTCAGCCCGCCGAAACCCGACATGGAGAACCAGATCGTGGTGAATGACTACAGACAGATGGACAAGATTCTCAAGGAGGAGAGGACATATTTGTTGAACATGGTGAAGAAGATTCAAAAGGCGAAATGCAACGTGCTGCTTATCCAGAAGTCGATCTTACGGGACGCGGTCAACGACTTGTCACTCCACTTCTTGTCGAGGCTGAAGATCATGGCGATCAAAGACATTGAGAGAGACGAGGTGGAATTCTTATGCAAGAGCACAGGATGCAAGCCCATCGCCAACATCGACACATTTAGCGAAGACAAGCTGGGCAGCGCTGATTTAGTCGAGGAAGTCCATTCCTCGGGCGCACGGTACGTCAAGATCACCGGCATTCGATCAGCACCACAACAGAACCAGACTGTCTCGATTGTGGCCCGCGGCGCCAACACGCTGGTCCTGGACGAGGCGGAACGCTCCATCCACGATGCTCTCTGCGTGATCCGATGCTTGGTAAAGAAAAAGGCGCTCATCGCCGGGGGCGGTGCTCCTGAAATCGAGGTGGCTTATCAACTGGCGAGACGCGCTCGTGAATTGACGGGCACGGAGGCCATATGCTGGAAAGCGTTTGCGGATGCGATGGAGGTGATTCCCACGACCCTGGCGGAAAATGCCGGTTTGAACAGCATCAAGGTGGTGACGGATCTGCGACATCGACATGACATGGGAGAGAAGAACTCGGGCGTCAGCATTCGAAGCGGTGGTGTCAAGACCAACATTGCCGAGGAGAAAGTGCTGCAGCCGCTGCTTGTGAGCACCAGTGCGATTGAGCTGGCAGCGGAGACGGTGAAGATGATCCTGCGGATTGATGATATTGCCTTGTCACGGTGATGGGGGGCACGGCTTGAAGCTGGATAGAAGTTGAGATAACCAAGGGCAATGCTGGATCAAAAGTGTACTCTGTAGTAGAACCACACGACGCATGGCGAGGCTATGGAAATTGAATTCATATACCCGACTGCTCCGTTGACTTTTTGACTTGAATGTGCTGCGCAGTATTGTTTGTGATGGGTTTGGTATTAGACTACGGAGTACGGAGTACTCTGAAATTATATTTAAATGTCTCGCCATTCCTGCAGACACTTTCCTAAGCCCACTTCAAGGTTTAAACCCACCGCTTGAGCTGCACTGCCTGCATCTACTTTAATTACCTATACTGTACGTGTAGACTGCAGACCACCTTCCTCGAACTCAGCTCTCCGTAAATACGGCCTGAGGACTAGATGTCCCGGGTCCAAAGTCCAAAGCAAACCCAAGCAGTGTTGTTCTTCCACGTCTAATGAATCCAAGACTACGCCCATGCAACCGGTGCCGGCGCTACATGGGCTGGGGATATCCTGACTACCAGGGTTTGAATATTATGTCCCTATTCGGGATCCGTATAACTAAGGTACATATACATATATTGGGGTGCGTTGCATGCCGCGGCATCCAACGTCCAATGTCGCGGCCAAGGCCTATGGCAGATCAGTCCTAAGGCCCCCAAGCCCCAACCCTGCAGGACCGGAAGAGCTGATGCAGGAACAGACGTTCTAGTAGTAGTGTCGGAGTCAGGGTCATGGTCAGGGTCAGGGTCTGGGTCAGAGGCTGGGTCTGGGTCATCGAGTGCCTCAGCTCAGCGACTCGACTACCTATATCCAACGTACCAGAGTAGATCCAGCCAACAGATACTCCGCACGACACCGAGGGAGGACCTGGAAGCGCGGCGACCTGGCGCCACAATATTAAATGGATGCCGAGCTCCGACGACAGACAAAGACGAGCAGAGCATCTGCGACAAGTATCCGGACTCCGTGCGATCCAGCATTCATCTTGGACTTTGTGAACTTCGGGGGACGGGGGACAGGCTCGTTATTATTTGCGGCCTACGAAGGACGGAGTACCCAGGTACCCAAGGTACTAAACCTAACCCTAACCCTAACCCTAAAACTCCTCCATGGCTGTGCACGCCGCGATCACGTGTCCGCCTCGGAGCTGGGTCGGCGAAACTTTAGACCGACTACACCCCTTCCCTTGATCTGACACGACTGTAGACTGTAAACGTAGACTGAGCCCACAGGCACGGCCACTCGTCAAAGTGTACCCGTGGTTTCTGTACAAGGCATCTTCAATTGATGGGGTATCTGATATCTGATATCAACCGACAGACCGGCATTGAATCGGCCCAAGCCGCATGAGAAATGCGATACTGATGCACTATCTCTGTGCGGGAGGAAGAATGCCCTGGGAGACTGTTCTTTGCATCTGCCCTCCGATAACCCTTACAGCCCATTTGTGCGCAACCCATGCCCGACGATCAAAACGCCTATATAACCTCCCAATTGGATCCAAACAAAAAAGCAATGCCACTCAGGACAGGCACACGCAAGTGGTCAAACCGGAATCTACCACGCGCAACGCCTCCCTCCCGGCGCCCAAGGCTGGTCATGGCGATGGCAACATCATCAACGCGCCGTTCTCCACGACGCCCACGCCTCACATAGGCGTTCCATCGGCACAACCCTAAGATATCTGGTACAGCAAATAGAAGAGCAACACACGTCAAGTCATCACAGAGACATAGTCTTCGGAACTCTGGGAGCCGTTCATGCAGCGGCCTCGGCCTTCTTGGGTGTCGCCTTTTTCGTGGCCGTCTTCTTTGTGCCGGTCGCCTTCTTGGCCGGCGTCTTGCTGGGTGCGGGGCCCTTCTGTTTGGTGACCCTGCCGGACTTGGTCTTTTTCAGCACGGGAGGGACATCCTGAACAGCGGGCGCCTAGAATAGGGTGAGCATCAAGCGCATGAAAGGAGGAACGGGACCACTTACGGACGCATCAGTCTTAGTCTTTGTCTTGGGCGCTCGCTTTGTTGCAGTGTTGGCTTTGGGCTTGGCGGCGGCCGCCTTTTTGGGAGCAGCAGCCTTCTTGGTCTTGGAGGCAGCACTGGCAGCCTTGACCTTGGGAGCAGCCTTCGTCTTGGTGGCTTTGGGCTTGGCATCCTTAGCAGCCTTCTCCTTCTGTGGTGGGGGTCAGCAGGCCGCTGAACGGCAAGAGCTCGGAACACTGACCTTCGGGGCCGCAGGCTTCTTCTCAGCCGGCTTGGCTTCCTTCTTCGCCAGCTTGACGGGACCAGAAGGACCTAGAAACCACGGTCAGTACAGCGTCCCCTGCGGGACAGTGAGGCCTGCATACCCTTTGGCTGTTGGAAATCGCCCTTCTCGACACCGGACTTCAAGGCCTTGTTGAACAGAGAATCGAACTGTGTCTCGGAGGTGACGGTGATGTTGTTGTTGGCCTTGACGTACTTCTTGATGGCCTGTCGACTGTGCGGGCGTTAGCATCAACCACTAACCAGAACATGCCTTGGAAGGCGAGGCGACGCGGAGGTGCGGGCCTGGAACGTACCTGCTACCGTTTCGCTCCTTCAACTGTATATCAGAGAGGGTCAGTAAGTATATGAACTTGTACTTGTTATGGTACATGGCGTGGTGGACAAAGGCCACCAGGGTGTTGACATGCCCCGGCCCGTGAGGGCGACATGAGCAGACCACGGGAACCACAGGTGTCGCAAACGAAATTGGCTTACGTTCAGGATAGCCTCCTTGATCATATCTGGCATACACGGTCAGCACGTCCATGCGACAAGGATAGACCAGGCTTTGCGACAATGCAAGCGCGTCCTTGGTGGGCAAACCGACCTTTGTAAGAGGCATGGGCAGGGGCGGCAGCAGGCTTCTTGTCCTTGACTTCCTTGCCCGAAGCAGCGGCTTTCTTGGGAGGCATTGTGATGGTGTAAGTGCGACTGAGTAGCTGAGTTGATGACTGAGAGATGCTAGACCGACTCGGATGCGACGGGTGGGCAGGTTGGCACGGCGAAGAGAGTGAGTAGATGGGTGGATGGGCGACGGGCAGTCTTTCGCAGCGCGCGGGCGGGGGAGGCAGCGGATGTTTATACCTCGCATGTGACGCGGTTGATCTGAGGCCCACGGGCCAATCAGCGCCTCCGGGCCGCAGGCGGAATCTCGACTCACCAAAATCATAATCAGCAAGCCGCAAAATGGTATTTTTCTGATTGCAGTGTCATTATCATTCACTCTTTGTCGCGGCGCTGCCCAGTCTGATCACGCGCTGCACACACCAACCCATCCTGTGTCTGTTTCCTCTCTCTTTTTCTCCCTCTTCCTTCTCTTCCTCCTCTCCCTTTTCCTCCCCCCTCCGCCTCTTTCCCACTCACCATGTCTTCCCTCTGCCCTCTGCTCTTCCGTCATCTGATCTGTTGTATGATCTTGTCATGGCGCGGCTTCTTCTATAGTAAATACAAGGCTCGTGCCTATCATCAAAACTCTAGGAGGCCGCCGCTGCATGATATAGTACCGCATCGCCTTTGAGTTGACACGTAGAGTACGGGCTACCGTGATTGAGCCATGAGCGGTGGTGTTTTTCTGTGCCTGTTGCGTCGTGTCGTGTCGTAACGTACGTGGCTTCTCTCAGCTGGACTAAGTGGCAGTAGCAGAATTCAGGCACCTATGCTCGGCACAATAATATGGTCCTCCACAGGCATTGAAAGAAAATCGAGGAGCATGCTGCCCTCTACGGAGTACATTGATGTGTGCTGTTGTGTTGCATTCGGCATTCGTCATTGCGAGAGACAAAGGCGAACTGACTCGCAGAGGGTTGGGGAGACCGTGGGTCAAACTCCAGCCATTGGCGTTGCGAGCACCTGACCTCGCCGCCGTCGCCGCCGCCGCCAATGAGTCTCCGCGATCATGTGAGGCCTGCTAGGATCGCATTCAAGTCCAGCACACTAGTGCCCAGTCTGTTCTCATTATAATTTATTATTGGCAGCTTCACGTCGTTCCGCATTGTTCGAGTTGTGTGCAGTGCGCTGGCACTCCCTCAACTATAATCCCACCTGGTGGAGATGCGAGCCCGCTTCCTGAACGCCCTGCTATGAGTGTACGCCATGTTGCGACCCCGCCGCCTTCGTCGTTGTCGTCAAACTTGAACCACAAGCTCTCGCCTTGTGGCCACCATGTATCTCCTGCAGCCTGCTGCACTTCATCTCGAGATGTGTGTTTTCGCCTTGGACTCCTTTTTCGTCTTGACTTCGTCTTTCTTTTTCTTCTTGGATTCGGCTATCTTCTCGTCGTGCTTGCGCTTCAAATCTTTCTTCTCAGCCTCCGTCTTTGGCACGGCCTTGAAGAATCCTTCCAGTCTGGATTGTTGCGCTGTTTTAACATTCTTCTGCAGTTTCTGTGCCGCACTCCGGACGCGATCTTCGTTGAAGCCCTTGTCATTTACGAGGAACTTGACGAGACCTTCCACATCCGGCGCCTCCCACTTGAAGTCGCACTCGGGGTCCTCGGCCGACCGAACGTCAGGGCGGATAAAAAGTTCCCTCGCATCTTTGTATGGCCAATCTTCTGGCAGCGTGTATCTCTTCTTGGGGTCATTCTCGATGAACTCGACTACCTTCTCAAGTGAGCCATGCTCGCGGATGAGCTTCAATGCAGTATTTGGCCCAATCTTGGGGATGGGATCCACGTAGTCGCAACCCAGGAGAATACACATGTCGATAAACTAGTCCAAGTCAGCTCTCGATGGCACGTGAAGAGCGTGGCTGGTGTCTTACCTGGGTCCTGTCCATGCCCAATCCCTCCAGGGCTTTGTCGAGGTGGATTTCCTGGATAGGCTCCTTTCGCTGTTCACTGAAGGTCAAGTGTCGCAGTAAAATCGGCGTGTTGAAGCATAATGTGTCCATGTCTTCCGATGCCGCCGCATACACCTTCCCGGCGCGCGCCAGGACCGCACATTGTGCTTCCGCCTCGGTGGGAGCGATAATGTAGGGGATTCCCATCAACTTGAGCAGTTTTCGACACTCCTCATTGTGCTCTCTGGTCACCCTGACAGTCCGTCTTGAGAACTTCTCAACTTCCTCCGCAGTCCCGGTTTCTTTTGCCTCCTCGTGTTGTTCACTGGCCTCGTGTTTCCGTGCAAAGCGCTTTGCCAATTCGCCGGACTTCAGTTTGGGCGGGGCACCGTCGAAGACGTAGAGTGGTTTGATACCGTTATCGACCATGCGGAGAGTGCGGTAGAACATGCCCATGAGATGCGACGTGGTTTCCCCCGTGTCGGACATGAGCTGTTGGCCATCGGAACGAACTGCAATCAGAAAGCTGTAGATGCTCATCGAGCTGTTCGAGTCAGTGGACGTCCGAGCCGGAAACAAGGAGCAGGTCCATACGCATCCTGCAGGAATATGTTAGCTCCCTCCTCGGAGGTACACGATTATGCACTCACGATAGCGACCTTCCGGCCAAAGTGGTTCTTGATTTCGCCAGTCTTGATGGCGTCAGGCGCCTCCTCTGCGATGACGTGGTACAGTTCTGCACAGAATCAGCGACCATTGAAAAAGTGAGGCATTACAGAAGTAACATACGCTTGATACCCATCGCTGTGGCGTGACAAGGCTGTTGCAGATCGGTTGGTGTGGGTGTTGCAAAGTTCCCTCTCTCCTTGCAAAAAGCGCCGGGTTGGAGTCGCGTAAAGTGATGAAGAACGCGTTTCTTTCGCCAGAGGTACGGTGATGACGTGGGGCGCAGAAGGACTACGGTGGACTCTGAGGTGATGAGATGCAGAAATCATTCCCTCGTGAAAGGTCCAGAGTACAATGCCGATGGCGACGACTCTAGGATTGAAAGGGGTATGTCTGATGTGACTACTCCGTACAATTGGGCCTCCAAACCCTTGGTCGATGTTTACAGCTTTTGGTGAGACCGCGTCCACGTCGTTGCATGACATCTTCGGCCGACATATCTCTTATACTCCAGTAATGTCCACTCCGAGGCGTCGGTGATCCCCGGCTTAGTGTCTACCCTCTCGATTCTCCTACCTTTATTGCCAACAGGTCGGCCCAGACAGGTTTCCAATCTCTTCCAACGATGTTGAGTCGGAACATGTACCGGCAAGCTGCGCGGGCGCGCTTGATCTCAGCCGCCCGACCTCGCTCCCGCAGACACGCCAGCTCTGCCGCCACCTTCAATTGGGAGGACCCTTTGGACTTGTCCCATTTTCTGACGGAAGAGGAGCAAGCTATCCAGGAGACTGCTCATTCTTATTGTCAAGAACGCCTGTTACCCAGGGTGTTGGAAGCATATCGCAAAGAAGACTATGACAAGAAAATCCTCCAAGAGATGGGAGAGCTAGGCTTGCTCGGTGCGACAATTCAAGGCTATGGCTGCGCCGGAGTGAGCAACGTTGCTTCGGGGCTTATTACGAGGGAAGTGGAAAGGGTGGACTCGGGCTACCGGTCAGGCATGTCCGTTCAGAGCTCCCTCGTCATGAATCCGATCTATGAGTTTGGCACGCAAGAACAAAAAGACAAATTCCTGGAGAAATTGGGGAAGGGGCAGCTGGTGGGCTGCTTCGGCCTGACCGAACCCAACCATGGTTCCGATCCAGGTGCAATGGAAACCACTGCCAAACCACACCCAACCAAGGAGGGCTATTACTCTATTTCCGGCGCGAAGACCTGGATCACGAATTCACCAATCGCGGATGTCCTGGTGGTCTGGGCAAAACTTCAAGAGACAGGCAAAATCAGGGGCTTTGTGATCGAGAGAGCAAAGTGCCCTCCAGGTACTCTGGAAACACCGCAATTGAAGGACAAGAATGGACTTCGAGCATCCATCACAGGAATGATCCAACTAGACGAATGTCCGGTACCCAAGGATAATATGTTTCCAGACGTCGAGGGACTGAAGGGGCCTTTTGCTTGCCTCAACTCTGCTCGACTGGGCATTGCCTGGGGGACGATGGGTGCGCTTGAAGATTGCATCAGCCGAGCCCGGGAATATGCCCTGGAGAGAAAGCAGTTCAAGAACAATCCCCTCGCCAAATACCAGCTCGTGCAGAAGAAGTTGGCAGACGCATTGACAGATGCTGCCTTCGGTCTAGCCGCCGCCTACCAGGTCAGCCGGTTGAAGGATGAAGGCAAGGTCAGTCCAGAAATGATTTCCATGATCAAGAGACAGAACTGCGACCGAGCCCTGGTGAACGCGCGACAACTGCAGGAGATCTTTGGTGGAAATGCTGTCAGCGATGAGTATCATATTGGTAGGCATGTTGCGAATCTGTTTGTCACGCAGACATACGAAGGACAGAGCGATATCCACGCGTTGATCTTGGGGAGAGCCATTACCGGAATCCAGGCATTTGCGTGAGTAAGGCACATAGGACTGTATTCAATATTGTAGGAAAGTCAATGGAATAGCCACCGACGACACCGAGCCAACGGTGTGGGGTTGCAAAATACAGATGGTACCGTACTGCGGAACAAATATCTCGAAAGTCAGAAACGGACGCCCCAGGGTCGAGGACGATAATATATTGGTAATTTTGTCTCCGTGCTTGGTCATATGGAGTAATGACAGGCCCCAAGTGGCAAGGTTGCAGCTGAGAAATCGGAGCGCAGCGGGCACCCGATCTAGTGTAAGGCGAAACGCTGGATTTGCCAGGTGCTTCTATGATGCCAAGCTTGGGCTCTGACCTGAGGACTGCGCTTTCGGCTCGATGGCGAGAGGTGCTCTTCTTTCACCACCATCACTGCAACAACAACCGCAACGGCAACGTGACAAACATTTGACGCACAACTTCACCATCCCTGGGATCTCCTTCACTCCCCATCTCCCTCCTATAACCCAACTTTTTTCAACTCTCAGGTTTGTCTTGCTCATCCCTCTGCCATCTCTGCCCCGAAGTTGACTCAGATTGCAGCCCCACGTCAACTCGGTTTTCAACCACCTTTTCGCAGTCAGCACTCTTCTGTCCTCACATCCTTCAACTTCTTCAGCCATGGCGTTGAAACGTATCAACAAGGAACTCACAGATCTCGGCCGGTGAGTGCCTCCTCTTTTCCGAACCGCCATATCAAAGGCAATTCACGATCGACCTGATAAGGTCGCTGCGCGTCATGGCAACACATGCTGACAAGGAGCGATTGCAGTGACCCTCCTTCATCATGCTCAGCTGGTCCCATAGGCGACGATTTGGTACGTCCTCCATCTTGATGATCCGCCTGGACCGTCTATCTGACACGTTCCAAATCCGGGCGTGACAACCTTCAACACAATTCGCTAACTCTTCACTGCAGTTCCACTGGCAAGCGACCATCATGGGTCCCGTACGTGACCGATCCTCTGAGCTTGACCCTCTGGTCAGAATCTGTACTGATTCATATTGCAGGGTGACAGCCCTTTCCAAGGCGGTGTCTTCTTTCTATCAATCCACTTCCCCACAGACTACCCGTTCAAACCGCCGAAAGTCAACTTCACCACCAGAATCTACCATCCCAACATCAACTCAAATGGCAGCATCTGTCTGGACATTCTCCGAGACCAGTGGAGTCCCGCTCTGACGATATCCAAAGGTGAGGACTGCCATGCCCGTAATGCTGAAGCCGACGACCTAATCTGTAAAACAGTCCTTCTCTCCATCTGCTCCATGCTTACAGACCCCAACCCCGACGATCCTCTCGTCCCGGAGATTGCCCACGTCTACAAAACCGACCGCGCCCGGTATGAAGCAACTGCCAGAGAATGGACGAGGAAGTTCGCCATCTAGTCGCTGTGGAACATTTGAGGGGCGGCTAGTCGTTGCTCGGCCGTGTCAGGCCACGGGTGCGGTGCAACGGCTGCCAGATATGATTCGGCGCAGTGGGCGACAAGGACGAGGATCATGAACGCGCGCGGCGGATGAGAGAGTACCACAAGCATAAACACTACGGATGCAATGGCAGCAACTGGGAGAACGGGCGTAGACCTGAGGCTGTGCTCATGTCCAACAGCACGATTTGGGATGAACTATTATGATGCATTACAGCTATGGGCATGCTTTAGGGATAACAACGGTGCTTTTTTGCAATCCAGCTCATGTTCTGTTCAGGTCCAATCTCCTTGTGAAAACACCACCAAACGCTGGTGCCTGGAACTCCTTATCGTCGCGCAACATCAGCCCAGCTGTGACGATAAAATGTGAAACATGGTAGAACCTAGGCAGAGAGTCACCCCAGACCATTCATTCGATCGCTTCGGGGACCCAATAGGCATGTCTCGTCGGCGTGCGCAGCCAGGTGGCCCGACGTGCGTAGGCTGTAGGTTGTAGGTTTCAGGCTGCAGTGTGCACACTCACGTGCCTGCGACGTGGGAGCGTCGGTAGACTGTAAGGGGGCTCTCTGAGTGGCCTGATGCGGTGGCAGACATGGTAGACATGGTGTCGAAGGGATCCTAAGGATTCATGACGAGAAGCCTTGCAGGAGCTGAAACAAGGAGCCACAGCGGCAACCAGAAGGCAAGGAAAAGGCGAGAGGAAAAGAGGCCGCAATGGTGACTTTCTGGGCCGTTTGGGGCTTTGTCAACCTCCTGGCGTGTTTCACCAACTGCCATCCACCTCGCATCGCGTGCAAATCATCTTGCCCAAGACGTTTCTCTGTCCATCCGCCATGCATTGTATCCGGACTCGATTCGGTTCCATCGCTGACGAGGCGTCTGGCCTCCTAAGCCCGGAGGTTCGCAACGCATTGTCACGACTCAAGTGTTGCGCCCACCCCAGCCATGTGGATTTTCATGTCATGGATCATGGATCGGGTTCCAGCCGGCCTCCCGCTCCACCACAGAGTTACCCCTTTCACCTTGCATCTGTCATTGTCTGCTACTTCGGCCAGAGGCGCTGAAGGGAGGTGGGCGGTTTCGTACTTTTCACCGTTCTTGACGGCCTAAATAGTCATTTGTGGCCCTCCGGCCCTGATCTGCTCTTTGTTTGTGTTGATCTTCCTCTTCCCACGATCCCGCCTTTCAATCCATGGATGTACCGACATTATTGCTTCACTGCTAACATCTCCCCCCCAAAAAGCCTTGCCTGGTGCGAAGCACATAACCCCCTGGTCGACACGCAGTAGCAGGTAGGTTGGAGCGATCCTGTCCAGACCGGTTCTCATTTGCTTCGTACTAATTCTGTGTCAAGTGTGCGTTTCAAAGTACTCATCCTCGTTCGCGGCGTCTCAAATTCTCGACCTTGACACAGTAACACCACCAGGCAGTGGACCGGGACACAAGGAACGTTAGATTGCCTCGAAGCATCAGACCCTTCAATTACATCTCGCCCGCCATGAACAGGTCGGCGCCACCGCCCTACTTTCAGGACATACCGCTGGGACGGTCAAACACAACTATGCACAATAATGCGCCCATGTATTACCTGGAAAAGCCGTTGGCCAGGTCAAACACGTCGTCGACTACGTCCTCCTCAATGTCGGAACGCACGCGCTCGACCCCTCTCTCGAGGATGCTGTTGTCGGGAGAAGTGAGCGGCGACGCCCCGCGGGACCTCACGATGAAAGAAAAGTTCGAGAGATGGATGGTCAACGAAGGATCGAGAAGGATGGTCGTGGGAGTGTTCGTGCTGGTTCACGGACTGATATTCGCCTTTGGATTTATGAACTACCAGCTGAAGGACAACTTGACCGGTGCCCGGAGCATCTTTGGCCTGACATATCCAATCGCCCGTTCGGCGGCGCTGGTGTTGCACTTTGACATCGCCCTGATCCTCTTCCCGGTCTGTCGGACACTGATATCGTTGCTGCGCCAGACCCCGCTCAACAGCATCGTGCCCTTCGACAAGAACCTGACGTTCCACAAGCTCGTGGCCTACTCGATCGTCTTCTTCACCTGGGTGCACACCATTGCGCATTGGAACAACTTCGGGCAACTCGCGGCCAAACAGAAGCTGGGCTTTGTTGGCTTCCTGAAAATCAACTTTGTCACGGGGCCCGGCTGGTCCGGTTACGTGATGCTGTTCGCCTTGATGGCGATGCTTTTCACCTCGATGGAGAAGCCGCGCCGGGCCAACTACGAGCGCTTCTGGTCCGTCCACCACCTGTTCATCGTGTTCTTTGTCTTCTGGTCCGTCCACGGGGCTTTCTGCATGATCAAGTCCGACACCGCGCCTTTCTGCTTCGGCACCGGCGTTTTCTGGGAGTACTGGATGTACGGCGGCTTTGCCTATCTGTTGGAGAGAGTGCTTCGCGAAATCCGCGGTCGACACAAGACGTTTGTGACCAAGGTGATTCAACATCCTAGCAACGTCGTCGAGATCCAGATCCACAAGGAGAAGACAAAGACCCGGGCCGGCCAGTACATCTTCCTGTGCTGCCCCGAGGTCTCCATTTGGCAATACCACCCCTTCACGCTGACGTCGGCGCCCGAGGAGGACTTCATTTCGGTCCATGTTCGCATGGTGGGCAACTTCACCAAGGCCTTGGGCAAGGCCCTCGGGTGTGATGACAGCAAGGCCAAGGGCGAAGGCGGTCGCGACACCAAGAAGCAGCGCTCCGAGGTTGTGTCGATGGCTCCTGGCGGCCTCACGAAGCTTCTGCCCCGAGTATATGTGGACGGCCCGTTTGGGTCCGCGTCGGAAGACGTTTTCAAATTCGAGACGGCAGTGCTCGTTGGGGCGGGCATAGGAGTCACTCCCTTCGCCAGCATTCTCAAATCCATCTGGTACCGCATGAGCACGGGCAACGGCGGCAAGACGCGACTGCGCAAGGTGTATTTCTTCTGGGTCTGTCGAGACTTTGGCTCTTTGGAGTGGTTCAAAAGTCTCCTGACGGCGATCGAGGCCCAGGACAAGCAACATGCCATTGAAATCCACGCTGTAAGTGTTTGAACAGATGAACAAACTCCCGTCCCCTGTGCTGTCTGCTTGACCTCTCCCTCTCATACTGACGCTTCTGTCTTTGCAGTATCTCACCGCCAAAATCTCCGCGGCGGACGCCAACAACATCATGCTCAACTCGACCGACACGGACGCCATCACGGGTCTACGGACGCCGACCAACTTCGGCCGGCCAAACTGGGACATGGTCTTCCGCGCCATTCGCAAGCTCCACTCACCTGGGGAGGCCGGCGTGTTCTTCTGTGGACCCAAGGGTCTCGGGTCGCAGTTACACGTCAAATGCAACATGTACAGCGAAGGCAACAAAGGCTTCCGATTTGTTTGGGGCAAGGAGAACTTTTAGTTTGGTCGGGTTCAGATAGATCTAGCGCCGTCTTTTTCCACTTAGATCATCGATACCTATATATCAGAAGAGACAGATGAGAGTTTTTCCTTGACGAGACAGACGAGAGTTTTTCATTGATGAGACAGACGAGAGTTTTTCCTTGATGAGACAGACGAGAGTTTTTCCTTGATGAGACAGACGAGAGCTTTTCCTTGACCTTGTCAAACTTACATGTAGGCACTAACTTAGGCATTCCCAGCCTTGTGCTTTGACCAGAAGGCTGTTTTAGCCATGCTGCCTATACTACCTAGGTATATAGCATGCGCTCCTGCGACCCTTGGATAGAGAGCATGGATCATTTCAACCTTTGACAGACCTGAGCGCGAAGAATAAACCAATCGTTCCTTTCCTGTCTTTCTCCTTTTCCTTGCATGGCCCGGCGGGTGTGTGATGCCATTGGCGACGGTGACGGCAACGGTGATTACAATGGCGACGGTGACAATGATGGTGAAGGCGACGGGACAGGAATTACAGGTAGATTGAGGGACCGCGACAGGAATGACAGATAGATTGATTGAGGAACGACCCTGTTTTTGGTCGGGATTCGAAGCAAGCAAGCAAGCCACCACCCATCCAGTCAGTCAGGTCGCTTCAAGTCAAGGACTCCCAGACTAGACCCCCGTGAGATTTCCAATATATATGACTAAATTACTGAAGTACTCCGTAGAGTAGAATAGAGTAGAATAGAGTAGAATAGAACAGAGCGGAAATATAATGCCAGCACTGAGCATGGATATTTGATATTATGAATGCTTGATCGGTTGGGCCCGCCTGGTTCGGTTCGTGATACAGTAATATAATAATATATATTAACTTATATATAAGTTATATGTCCTAACCTCAACCTCAACCTCAACCTCGACCTCGACTTTAACCTCGACCTTAATATAAGTCTCGACCCGCCACCGCAAATGCCACCGCAAATGCCAAAGTTGATGCCAATGCCAAAGTCATACCTTCTCTACATTCTATTCAAGTCGTAGAAGCTGTCACTGTCACTGTCACTGTCACTGTCAATTGGCTTGGTCAGCCATTTATATATTTAGAAATTATAATTTAATATCCTGGTAATCTATACTCCCTGCTTCGTACATCACCCGCATATGCGACCGCCCATCATCGACTGGTTCCGATTGAATGCACGTACTGTATCCGTAGATTGTCTTCAAACATGATTATGCTAGTCTGGGTATCATATCTAGGCCATAAAAAATAATACAGGCCGTTCAACCACCTGTCCGCTTCGGACAAAATTCATCCCCGACCATTCCTAATCCATAAACTCCGTCGCTGTGGAATCGGCACGCGCTCTCATAAAGCAACTCGCCAATGCTAAAACTTCTGATAAGCTGGCTAAATGCAGTAAAAGTCGACACCCGGTCAAGAAACATGGCCTAGCTCGGCGAGAACCTGTTTCTCCATGGTCGAAGTAGACAGTAATGAAGGGGAGAAATTACGGCTGTTTGTGCCGTCGTCAGGTGCATAGACGCTGGCGCCGTCTTGACTGCCATCGTCGCCTGACTCGAGATCGCTCTCGTCACGGAAGGGCCTCTGATTGGGCTTCAGGTCCGAGCCCTTCTCGCCGTCATAGTTTTCCACCACGAGGACAGGTGCCTTCTCGGATGGATCGGCAGGAGTGCTTTCGGCGGCCCCGGTCGAACTTGGCATACTGTACATATAAGTAGCCAGGAAGACCAGGACCGACCCGAGCATGAAATAGATGGTGGGGACGAAGTTGAAAAGGAAGACCGAAGCGATGGTCGAGAAAATAATGGAGAGGGAAGTGGCGAAGCCCTTGAGGATGTTGTCGGCGTACTTGATAACCATCGCCACAATAAGCCCCCCCGCAGCTTGAATGCAGACCGTGGCAACCACCACAGCATTGTATCCTTGGAAGAAGCCACCTTCGCGGATGGCCTGACCGTTCCACATCAGAGCGCCAAAGAGGGCAATGCCCAGACAGCTGACACTCAATTGGATGTTGCGCACCCATATAGATGCGTGCTGACCGCCCTTGAGCACTTTTTCAAAGTAGACGCCGGCGAACCCCGAGCAGACACAGGCGATGGTGACGGCGGAGATGCCAAGGAGGTAGTTGCCTTGCCGGGCGTGCAACGGCGTGGTCGACGAAGGGATCTGGACGCAGCCGACGCCGGCGGTGAGAATGACCAGAGCCAGCCACTTCCGGGGCGAGAGACTCTGTCCGAGCATCACCACGGCAAACAGGGCGGTGGTCAGGATCTTGCACTGGTATGTCACTTGAAAAGTGGCCGCATCCAAGTTGGAGGCAGCCACGAACTGGAGATTGTTTTGAAGAGTATAGAGGATGGCGGGGACGAGAAGTTTCAGGAAGCCGCTTTTGAGACTGAACAAGTCGGTCCATAGCTGGCGCAGGCTGTAGCCCGAGTGACTTGACGCTGGACTCGCATCGTCGGAAAGTGTGGGGAGTCGAGAATGCCGTGACTGGGCTTGCTGTTCGCGGATGTGGACAAACAAGCAGATGATACATTTGATGAGCTCGGATAGGACGACAGCGGTCGAGCTCAAGTATCTTGGACCTGGCAAGATTCGGGAATACCGCATGACCAGGACCAAAGTCGAGTTCTGGACGACAAGACAGAGGAGGGAGACGTATTTCGTGGGGATGCCACACATGGTGGAGGCCGAGTCTGCACACACTGGGTCAGTCCCCCGTCCGGGCACGATGTAGAGAGTGGATGTGGTACCTTGGGGAGCCATTCTCCGAGCACTGGTGACGACCAGGAAAAGGGACAGAGACCGACGGGGAGGGAGGAAGAGGAGGAGCGAGAGCGAGAGCGAGAGCGAGAGCGAGAGCGGGCGACCGCCGGTTTGTATAAAGCGAGTGACAGTGGCAGTGGGAGAGGTAGTGAGCGACGAGCAGCAAGAGGCTGAGGCTGTTCAAAGGAGAGTGGTGGCATGAACAAAGACAAAACACCAATAAGTATGCTGCTGCAAGGGAGTCGTTCCCATTATGAGTGCAAATGCAAATGCTGGTAAGAGGCTGCGGCGGCCCAGGCAGATCTGGGTCTCGGCCGGGGCATAACGAGGGACATTCCAGAGGAGCAGGCAAAAACGCAGGTGGTAGTGGCCGCGGTGGTGCCAGTGGTACTGTACCAGCTGCGGATGGTGGAGGGAAGCTGAGGGAGAGAAATTAACCAAGGGCGCAGGAGGGAGTCCAACGCAGCCAGTCGCATGGCAGCCAACCCCTGTCAGCTGCGCCTCCGACCCCCTTCTCTCGGCTCTGGTGAGACGGTGTGCAACCTTACAACCTTACCTACGACCTTAGATAGGCACTCGCTCGCATCTGGAATTGCTCGGCCCACCAGTCTATTCTTCGACGCCGTCTTTGTCACGCATTTTTATTCTTTGGTTTTTTTTTCTTTATCGACCCTTCTGCTGGAACCTGATCTTGGACGGACAGAGTCCCGGCAGCCTGGTTTGCGCACGGGCGCGACCAAAGGGGCATCAGCAGCCGGAACGCTGGCACCGCGGGAGCTGGAAATGGGTACAATCCACCTCGCTAGAGCCTAGAGGGATAGGCACCGCCCATGCCCCTAAGCCTTCCCAGGTCCCTGGGTACTTAGGTACTATACTAGATGTAGACGGTGCCCAGAGACCATGCCGCATCCAGCCAGGTCGTGCTGGCCGCCGGTGATGCTCAAATTGGAAGCTGGCCCAGCACGTGAACTCTGGACTCGTTTCTGATCTCGCCTGCCTCGTTCCGTTGTACTAAGTTGTACTCCGTAGTGGTGCCCGATGGAGTTGTAGCAGCTCGGTGACATGATTTCTAACTTCTGATTTCTGTCATGTTCGATAAGCATACCTGCCTACGTACCTATCCCTGTCGCAGGGTCCCGATACGCACGCCCACAATGCCGACCCCTGTACCACCCCACGACGCCATGACCAGCAAAAAGTCCCGCCTACTGCCTATATGTAGTAACGAGGGAAGAGAGAGAAAAAAAGAAGAAAAAACCTTCTACTCCGTACTCCGTACACGTGCTGACCCGATCCTTCAATAGTCTCCGGAAATATTGTGCCGGATCCAATCATGACCTGATTCGCATCAAGGGTTCAAGAAGACCAGATCTCCGTCGTTGTTTCTCACTCGTTCGTCCAGTCGAATCCGATCTGTGTTCCAGCCCCCGCTGCCCGTGCCCAGTTCGGCCTCAAGCACTTTTCCATTTTCCAGCAGCCTCACGTTGCGAGCACTCGCCCCGAAGTTTCCTCCATGCACCCAAACAAACCGTCCATGCTGGTTTGACAGGCAGTTGTTGAGCGACAGTGACGACAGCTTGTGCTCGCCGCGGGCGTTGGCGCATGCGGCAATCAAGTCATAGTCCTTGTCCAGCGTGATGGTGTGCGAGGAAGCCGAGAAATTGCCCCGCATCGGTTCCTGGTGTTTCTTGTTCTTGTTCTTCTTTTTCTTCTTTTCGTCGTCCGAGGAGCTGCTGGAAGAGGAGGAGGAGGACGACGACGACGACGAGGATGAACTCCGACGCAACCCGGCCGGGCGCTGCGTCTTCTTCTTGTCCTTATTGCCCTTCTTGTGCTTTTTGTAGGCATCTTCGGCCACGGAGCCCGTGATCGCGCCCGCGATCGTCCCGAGGAAGCCATGGTTCACCTTGTGGCCGCCGTAAGCTCCTAGCGCCCCTCCCGCGACAGCTCCCAGGAGCCCGCGGTCTTGGGAGTTTGGAGGGTTGGGATCAAAAGCCCCCGCCGGCTGAGGAGGATAAGGTGCTGCTGTCTGGCTTGGTGGGGGTCCCGTCGGGGCGACGAAGTTCTCGTACTGATGTTGAGGCTGAGGTGGGGGTGGCAAGGGTGAGTGTGAACGCGGCGCGTGGTCGTAGTAGCCATAGTTCGGCGGCGGGGATGCATATGCGTCTTGCTGGTAGGGATCACTGGGGGCCGGCGACGAGTACGAGTACGGGTTTGGGTTCGGGTTCGGGCTGTAGGGATGAGTCTGAGGGCCTGGTGAGTCGAGCGGCGCGCCATAAGGTTGCTGGTAATGCTGAGGAGGAGGAGGAGGAGGTGGTGGTGGCTGGCTGTAGTCGTACGGCGGCCGACTCTGATCGTAGCCGTAGCCATGCGAGGACGACTGGTTTTCCCCGGGGCCGGGGACGGGGACGGGGACGTGGGCGGGACCGGCGGGAGACTCCCACTGATGCTGATAGCCTTGCTGATAGCCTTGCTGGTAGCCTGAGCCTTGCTGGTAGCCGGAGCCTTGCTGGTGATTGTCCCCGTAGCCGTACTGGCCGCTGTTCCAGTAACCGTCGTTCGACATGATATTGTGCCTCAATCAGTCGTTCGGTGTGGTGTCGTTGTCGTTGAATAACGGAGGCAGAAACAGAGGCAGAGTGGTAGAGGGGATTCGGAATGAAATGGCGACGTTGGGATGGTACTCTTATCCTATATAGTCGGCTGCTGGTTGCTTCAAGTTCCTTGTAGCGGGGATGGCGGCGAGGCTAAGGCATCACAGCCACCTCAGCCACACTGTAGTGAAGATTGGAGTGTGGCAGAGTATCTACTATCTACTCCGTACACATACGTATATACATACATACGGGCCTAGCACACAAGGTATTTGTATCAGTAGACGAGTGTCGGGCATCCGTTCGGCCGCTGGGCCCAAGTGACTACGTATCTAATAGTCCTACAAACCTCAAACCACGCAGACACTCTTCTCTGCCATCCGCTCTGCGCCTTCGGTAGATCCCGCCTTCTGTACTCCGTATACTTGCTTGATTCTCGCGTACGAGGTCCATTCCGATTCTCGAGACAAACCGAGTGATACACTCCGAAGACTACTAACTCTCAAGGTTTAATTCAACCCTTCAGCCTCGCGGCTGTCTCGACTGACTGCCACATCACAACCTCGCCCGCTCTACCTCATCCCCAACCCCGGCCCTGACCCTCAAGCCTCTCTCCTTTCCCTCCTTATCCCTCACCTTCAAGATCCTCCGGAGAAGCTTGCCGGTCGAGCTTTTCGGCACTTGATCGGTGAACTCGATCTCGACGATCCACTTGTACCGGACCTTCCTCTCCTTGACAAACTCCAACAGTCTTCGGCCCGTGGCTGGGGTCTGCTCGACTCCTTTCCGCAACACGACGTAGGCCTTGGGCCTCTCGCCCGCGTAGTCGTCCGGGATCCCGAGCACGGCACAGTCCTCCACGTCCGGGTGGCCGAGCAGCAGGTCCTCGAGCTCGGCCGGCGCGACCTGCTGGCCCTTGACCTTGATCATCTCTTTGATGCGGTCTTCGATATGGATTAGGCCTTGGTGGTCGAAATGGCCGACGTCGCCCGTGTGGAAGAACCCTTCGGCGTCAAACGTCTCGGCCGTCGCAGCCGCGTTGTCGAGGTAGCCCATGGCGATCTGGGGCCCGCGCGCCAGGATCTCTCCGGTCTGACCGGCCGCCAGCTCTTCTCCGGTCGTCAAGTCCATCACCTTGGCGACCGTGTTCGCCACCAACATGCCGCCCGTGTGGGCATACTTGTAGTCGTAGTGGCTCGGCGGGTGGGCAGAGATACACGCCGTCGACTCGGTCGCGCCGTAGCCCTGGCGAAACCCCGTCCACGGGAACTTCTTCTGCAAGAGCGCGATGATCTCGGGCGAGATGGGCGCCGACCCCGACGACCAGCGCTCCACGTGCCGCAGGTCGTAGTTGTCCACCATCTTGTCGCGTACCAGCCGGATCAGGATCGGCGGCACCAGGATCAGCTCTCGGATCTGAAACTCGCAGATGGCCTGGAGCATAGATTCCATGGAGAACGAGGGCAACATGACGCTGTCGCCATTCACCAGCAAGGGATAAGTGCAGAATCGCACCAGGCCGGTGACTGCCGATCTATTAGCACATGAGGAAGAGGGTGGGGGAGCCAATTGATGTCGCTTCGTCAAAGCCTTAGGCACGGCGTCGGATACGTACTGTGGAACAGGGGCATCACTGCGAGGATCTTGTACGGGCCTGGTGTCTGGAGCTGCTTGAGCTGATGGCACTGGGCGATGATGTTTTGATGCGACAGCATCACCTGGTCTTCTCGTCAGTCGGATGTCGCATGTCTCTTCGCGGTGATCGGAGCCTCCCAAGCCCCTGGATTTGCATTTGCATGTGCACGTACAGCCTTGGGCAGCCCCGTCGTCCCACTGCTGAAGTTGAGATAGCCACACACGTCTGCATTCGTCTTGCCCGGCGGGATCCGGTACGGTGGCGCCGGCGTGTACTTGGAGCCCCTCTGGATGAGGTCCTGCACACTGGTGAAGCCCGGGACCTGGCCTTCCAGCAGGAGAACGTGGGAGCGTGCCATGCCGGCCTGCTGCGCCGCCGTCAGCGCCACGTCCAGCGACGTCGGCAAGGTCAGCAGGAACCGCGACTTGGCGGTGCGCAGTGCGTGCGCCATCTCCTCTGCGTTGTAGGCGGGCGACGCTCCGTTGACTCTTCCTCCTGCTCGCAGACGCCGATCAGGGCGGGGGTTAGCCCGTGTTCATTCGGCCGGTGGAACGGGAGAGAAAGGTGATCTCTGCCGCGACAAAGCATACACACACACACATACCGGCTCGGATAACCGCCCACATGGCCACTGGATACCAGATGGTGTTGGTGCTGAACAGCGAGACCGTCTCGCCCGCCCGGAGCCCGTATTCAGTCATCAACGCGCTGCTCAACTGCGTCGCTTTGGCTTTCACCTCAGCCCAGTCGAGCCGTTCCTTGGTGATGGCATTGACGTATCCGGCCAGGGCTGCCGGCTGCTTCAGCTCCTTCTTCTGCTTCTCCTGCCGCGCCACCGGCGAGTACCTGGGCGACTCGAAGATCCATTCCCAGGTCGTAATGTGTGCGGGGACTATGTTGTACGCGTCAGAATGGTCAGAGAGAGAGAGTCCTGATATGGCTCAAGACGCCGGGATCTCGTTTACCTTCGACGTCCGGATGAGGCGACTTGAACAGCACCATGGCCACAGCATGAGAGGCACCTACATCGAGCAACAGAGGCCAGAGCCACGACGAGTCAAACAAGGCACCCTCACGTGTCGGCTTTGTCGGGTATTGGACGCCATGCGGAGGAAGTCTGCACGCGGACTTGGAGGCGGAGAGAAAAAACAGCCTCGGCACAGCAAGGACCGGCCGGTTAAGGGGCCGGCCTACAGTTCAATTGCTATCCAAATCGAGGTGTCGTCTGCTTCAATCATCATGATCAACATCAACATGCAGGCACTCCCTCCCTAGCAGCCGCGTGCATCGACCTGTCGACCCTGTCCAACGTCTCAACTTTCAAGCTCCCACCGCCGCGACCTGACTGGAGACGTGCCCAAACCTCCTGCTCTCGCCGTCACCGTCGCCGACCTCGACCTCGACGCCCCGGCCATCGCTCGCCACGCCCATGCCCAGTTCCTTTGCCCGTTGTACAAACGCCCGGAAATCGACCTTGGGCCCATCCACCCAGTGACCGTTCTCGTCTCGCTCTCTTGCCGCGGGCATGTTCTCCCCGCTCACGATACACAGCACGGTCATGCCTCGTCTGTACTTCAACCCACTGAGCAGCTTCGGGGTGATCAGGAAGTATTGGCTTCCCCCGTCATCTGCTGCAATGTCCACCATCCTTCCATGAACCATCCTCTCGTTTCTGGGGTCCATGCCCTGGTTGATCTCGTCCACCACGCGGAAAGGAGCTCGATTCAGGCTCTGGAGCGCCATGAGGTAGAAAATGGTGCTGACCGCCCGCTCCCCCCCGGACTGCCGGTGGCTGTCGAGCAAACTCAGCGGTTCATGTTCACGGAACTTGACACTGATGTGGATGGCCCAGTTAGCAAAGTCCAGTCCATTCTCCTGCCCGCCATTCTCTTCCGCGCAGTCGGCCGGATCGTCGGACGAGGCCTTGTAGACGGCCACCTGTCCCGCGCACCCGATGCGGGCGAATGAGTCGGAAAAGGCATCGTTGATTCTGGCCACCACCTCATCCAACCGGTGTTCCCATTTGTCTCGTATCTCCCGGATGCTGTGTTTGAAATCTGCCTGTCGCGTCTCGGTCTCGGCCAGTTTCGCCTGTAATCTTTCAATCACCTTGGCTCGGTCTTCGAAGTCGCGGATGATACTGGCGCTGCCGCCTTCGGTCAACTCCAGCTTGGCCCTTTCCGCGTCGATTTCGGCATCCAGCCCTTCTTCCTGTTGTATTCCCGCAACGAATTGGAACACCTCGAGCAATCCACCCTCGCCCTTTTCCTCCACGAGTGTGCCGGCTTGTGCCCTCACTCGGTGTACGGCCTCCAGCACTTGCGTCGCTCGCTCATACTCCCTCTTGTGGACACTCTTGGCCTCCGCCTCCTCGGCTGACTTCTGGGTGATCGCGCTGGTAATCTCCTCGTTCTGGGCGCGCAAAGCTGCCACATCCGAGATCGCCTCCACGAGCATGACGTCGGCTTCCAACAAGCTGGCGAGTTTCACTCGGACATCTCGGGTGGCAGACGCATACTCGAGGACAGCTTCAGTCTTGGCCACAAGAGCGTCGTCTTGTCGATCCCTCAGGTCCCTAACCCGAGTTTTGAATCCATCCAACGTCTCCTGTAGCTTGCCCACTTTCTCTTCATTGTCCTGAATCTTGGGCTCTAGCGCCTTCCACTCCATCAACGCTCTCTGCTTGGCGTCTTTCTCTTGCTTCTTTTCGACCGCTTCTTCCTCTAGCTGCTTCTTCTTCTCCTTAATCTCAGCTATCTCCTTCTTCAAATTTTCAAATTCCGTCTTCATGATTTGGCTGTCTCCTCTGCGCTCGGCAATTTCTCGTTGTAGAGTGGCCTTTCGGCCAACGTCAATCGGCTGATCCGTCCACCTTTTGGCCGGGCGCACCTCACGGACCCGAGCAGATGTCCCTGCCGAGCCATATTCCGCGCGTCGCACAAATTGGTAGCTTTTCCTGCCCACGACGTAGCTCTGCACGGCCGTCTTTGCCAGTTCGTCGTGTTGCTGTTGAGTGAGCTCTCTCGAGCTGATACCACATCGATGCAGGTTTCTCTCCGTGCAAAGCATGGCGAGAACCGTGGCGGGGCCGTCGAGATGATCCCTAACCCAGCTGGTCAATCCATATCTCTCCATCTCTTCATGCGAGAGAGGAGGTCGAAATTGCGACAGGTTGTCGCTTGTGCAAACACGTAAACTGACGTCGTGGTATTTTTTCTCGCGGAACAATTTGCGCTGCAGATAGCTGAAGTCGTCCTGGTTCTGGACAGTGATGAACTTGAAGTCGTTGTCTTGAAGCACAGATTCGACCGCGTCGGCCATCCGGGGGTCCTTCAATGAGCATTCCACGATAGGTGGCCCAAACACGTGCTGCTTGAACTCCTCCTGGTTCTCTTGTATCCACTTCCACGCCAGAAATGTGTCTCTTGACAAGTGCTGCAATTTATTTTCCTGCTGGCCGGCCTGGGTCTCCAGTCCTTCAAGCTGGGCGTTGAGTTGCGTGATTGCGTTGTTGTTGGTCGTCCCTTTCTGTCTCAGCTCGTCTTTGCGTCTCTCCAACTCTTCCAGTTGGGGGTCCAGCACCCTCTGCTGATTCTTTAGCTCCTGTATTTCATCGGCAATGGCGCGACTATCGAACTCCTCCGGACGTTGCTCACGTTTCCGTCTAAGCTCTGTGATCTTGTGTTGCAAGCGTTTCAGTTCTTCGCGTATTTTGGGGATGCTCTTCTTTTCAGCTTCGACTTTGTTGTCGAGGTCTCGAATCGTGTCCTGACATTTCTCTACTTCCTTTGCCTGGTTGCTGCATTCACGCTCGCTTCTGGCCAGCTCGTTTGCCCTCTCGTTCTTGAGCGCCCGTATGTTCGACTCGTATGTCTCCTTCGCCGTAATCTTGCGCAACGTGGGAGCGGAGACAGCCTTGAGTTGCTTCAACTCTTGCGTGAGCGCTTTGGCTTTTGACCTTGCTTCTTGGTACTTTGTCTTGGATTCGGTGTATTGGGCAACCGGGCGGCATAGTTCCAACCAGGCGAGTCTCTTCTGAACCATGGCTCGTTCTCTCATCCGCTCCACTTCGGTCCGTTGCATTTCTTGTCGATTCTCCAAGTTGGTTAGATGATCTCGGTCTTGCTTGTGCTCGTTCATAAACTGAGTCTGTGAACTGCGCAACTTTTTCAGATCCTCATGCATTCTCGCCATGTCTGGGCCGGATACGGCTCGTTGTGTGCTCGCGAGAAGCTCAATGGGACTCAGTTGAGCAAACTCCACCACCTTGTCCTGGGGTAGGAACTGGCACAGGTTGTCAATTTGGATGTTGAAGGAGTTCGCCAAAGTCTGAACTGCTTTGGCTGTGGATGCTGCCCCATTCAAAGTGAAAATGGACTTGTTCCCTTCTCTTTTGATGATTCTGGTCACCACCGGGTTTTTCCGCGAAGTCGGTTGTCGTTGCAGCTCGATCTCAATCGTGGCCTCGCCCCGGCCATGCTTGACAAACTCGCCTGGTTCCTTTGCACGCCCGAGGTACTGTGGAGGGTTAGAGCGCACCGGAACTTTCACAGAAGACGTGGGCTTACCGAAGGCGGCCACCCCAGCCCGAGGCATATTGCACAGACAAGTGTGCTTTTGCCAGTACCGTTTGGGCCGATCACCATATTCAGGTTCGGTCCCGGGAAGAATTCTGCAGAGGTGTAAGTGACGAAATTCGTCAGTTTCACCCGGACAATGGCCCCGGGTTGGTGAGTCTGCCTGCGGCCATTCCTGCTAGGCACGCTCGTCGGAATCTGAGACTGAGGCTTGCGTATCGCCGGCATATGAGCAGGTGTCTGTGTGGAATTATCCTCCGAGGCGGAGCCGTCCTCGGAATCGGAGGTGATTGTTCTTCGCAGTCGCTTGCTGTCGTTCGGGGCGGTTGACGAAGGAGTATTCGCCCTCGAACCTTCATCGTCAGAATCCAGCGTCCTCGAACGACGGGCCAATCGAGACGCCATTGTGAAGACTGAAGACCTCTGTGAGCGTCAAGCCATCTGGTGTCGGTGTCAGCGTTGCGAAAGGTCAAAGTCTCGAAACTGAGCAGGCACACTGACAACGAGTACGACACGACGCGCCGCGCCGGCTGACGCGACAAGGCAGGACCCACTTCTTAGTCACGTGGCTGGACGCACCCCGATGTCCATGTTGTTGAATGAGCAGAGCCTCTCGTCGCCGCCTTCACGTCACCGGGCGATGTTTTGGTTTGCAAGCAACAGTAAATCTAGGTGGCATCACTAGCTTGACACGAGATGGTGATTTGGACTATCGAGTTTGACCACTTTGCGGCGAGAGTGTATTTCCTGACACCAGAATTGCTGTTTTCAACGGACTGCTCCAGAAAGCTCAAATACAGTCGATCAATCAAGTCCTTCAGCCACCGTGGCTAGCCAGACCTCGGTCGGTCGACGAGATTCTCCCATCCTCTCATATGTGTCACTAATCTCCTGTACCTGTCCGTAGTCAGGACTTCCCACGGGGTATATCAAGGTAAACATGAACTCGAAATCGCCTGCGAACGTTCCTTAGAAAAAGACTCTTCTAAGGAAATCCTTCCATTAAAACGACAGGTTTCGTAAAAACCGGTCGTGGGTCACAAACAGCGGCTGGAAAAGGTCGACTAAAAGAGATGTCCAGCTGGGACCTATTGAACCAAGGTTAGCACTGTTTTATACGTCGCAGCATGCAAGGGGATCTTACGGCTAGAAAGATGGCAGTCAAGATGGCAGAGATGACGAACGCCGTGATCAGAGCTTGCACAAAGATGGTGTCCTGAATTTGGCGGAGAGCAGGCTCTTGGATCCAGACTTCACGGTCGAAAATCTTGCGGATAACATTACGTTTCTCGTACTTGGCCACCCACGGCTCATCTTCATAGCTTTTGGACGAGCCCAGAGTATCGAATGATTCCTTCTTCAGGGTATAGTCCGAGGAGATTTCGTCTTCATCCCCAAAGAGTTCCCAAGGACGCAGATGTCGGTGGTGCATGCCATGTAACACCTATTCATGTCAGTACCAAAGGTGCAAAAAAGGAATGATGCCAAACTTACAACACACATGCCCTTCCAGGCCGCAAACAGGGTTGAAATGCCGATGAAGAGACCAAGGAAAACAAGAGCTCTCCAGCCACGGTTGGCCGAGCTCAACGTGATGACAATGCCGTACACAATACCAGCAACAATGCCGGCGACCCCGAGACCCCGCGCGAATACCTGCCTCGGTTTGTTGCCGTTACAAATCGTCCATCGGATGAAGTTGGGGTGGGCCTGGTGCCGGAGTGACCACTCCACCGTGGCAATGACATCGCGGAAAGCCGAGGGGTGGGTGGTGATCGACAGGGCCTTCAGGAGAACGGCCTTTTCCTTCGAAGAGAGATTGAGCAGCCTGGCCCCGCCGGCGGCGATGTAGGTGGCAATGATTCGGGTGATTTCCTCACGGAAAGGCTGAATGGTGACTGTGCCACAGTTAGCTCGGAGACGCTCTGATGTCGCACACTGAGGGGTTGACTTTACAAGGCTGTAGGGTGCCAGCTTCCTCAAACGCAGCCTCTGCTTTCTTGCTGTGGTCAACCGTGCCGCTCCGGAGAGTGGTGCCGTCCTCGCTGAAGCCGACCGTCGAAGGGGCATCACTATAACCATCATGGGCGGAAGAAGTCCGGGGAGGTGTGCTGAAGGGGTTAGGCGCGGCCTCCGGCAGGGCGGCTTTGGCCTTGGGGTCGAAGTCTGTCCCGGTGAACAAGGTTGCCGCACTGTTGGCCACCTTCTTGGGCAGTTTCTCCTTCTCGGCGCCGGTCTTTTCCACCAGAGCCTGTTCCGCAGTCCATTCTGGTGCTAGCCGTTGCTGGGTTGGGGGAAGCTCAGCAAAGCGCTTGGAGTAGTCACGGTACCACAGGTAGAATTGCAGGTTCTCGGCATCGTGCTCAATGTAGCGGAGGAAATCCATGAACTCGCGAGTAGTCACCGGCTGGCAAGGTATCAGTATTAGCTCACGTTTCCTCACGGGTGGGATAATGCGCGAGACTTACCGGACAAGTGCCACCGCTGATGATCTTGTCGAATGACAGAGCTTCGGGGATCCCATAAGGGCCGCTGGAGTTTGAGTTGATGGATTCGACCCGGCCGCTTGTCTCGGAGTCGAGCGAGGTGCGAGAGGGCGAGACATAGGCCGGACGGCGGTAGGTCAACGACAGGACCATGTTGTCAATTTGGCAGACGGGAAAAGCTTTTCTGGCACGGCGAAGGTGACACAGATGAACAAGTGTCGACGATACGTGCAGCCAAATGGGAGATCGATGGTCCCAGTGCTCGGATGGAAAACAACACGGCTGGGTGCAGTCCCAAGAGGAAGGAAGGGGGAATGATAGAGTTGAAGACTGCAGAGATGGACTCTCAGGGTTCCAACGAGGCCGTGAGCAATGACCTCTGGTTCCTTGTTTCTGGGGTTCAACCAAGCAGCAGGAGCTCCAGCTGGGGATTTAAAGCTCGGTGACTGGCAGTGGACAGCGGGCAGGGGGAGCAACCACGAGTTGAGGGATGGGATGGCCCGACAGCTGAGTCTTTGCTTTCGGTCTCTACCACCAACGTGCGAGATGGGAGGAGAGGGCTCTACTCGACGCACGAGGGGTGGGAGAGGTTTATGTTCTACGTGTCATACCTGGGAATGGCGCTCATGGAGGACGCCCATGTCTTGCCCTCGCTTTGCCCTGGTCGGGGCCGACGAATAACGTGCACGATAGTCAGACCCGGGCGGATGAAGGCCTACCCCGGGCAGGCTGCTGTCGAGAGTCAATGTGCCAGTCCCTGTCAGAAAAAGTCAGAGCTGAGCCGTTGAGGGTCAGTTGAGGCTGGAGACCCGGACGGGCCTTGACGCAAGGAGGGTGCGCTGTGAGGGCGGTGGAGATGCCATGCCGTGTCGCGTGCAGTTGAGTGGTGCAGATTCACCCAGCACTTGGCGCGCGGAGTTGTGGACGCTCTTTTTAGTCCTCTGGATGCCGCGGTCAAGGGTTGATCCTTGGAAGAGCTGACGGGAAGATGAGAAAGACGGGACTGGGACAAATTGTAGAATGGTCGAAGTCCGGATCGGCGACGAGGAGGAGAAGCATCTGGGCGAATGGCAGATCTGGCCTGGCAGGATCAAGCACATACTCCGTAGTGAGCACCACTACTGGCACGGGGCGATCGAGCCGCTAGGGAGGCCCTAAGGCCTGCATCTGGCTGCCGCAGCCTAGAAGGGCGCTATTTACTGCTCCCTAGGCACCTACTAATAGGTGCCACCTACCTAGACCTAGGTAGGTGGGTGCCTACTACTAGCTACAGCATGCAGCCGGTGCAGAGTACGGATACAGTACGTACGTCCTCGCTGCGGTAATATTAATGGCTGATTGTGCCTGCCGTGGTGGCTGGGTTTCACGTCAAACATCAAGCCATCAACATCGTGAGCCAGGGACCTTACCTTAGCCATCGACAGAAGCTCAACTCGACCGGCTCTACTAAGAACCCTAGCCCCTTGCTGTCACCGATTCGGCCCAGTCCCAAACCACCTTCTGTCCCGTTCAAGAGCGTGGTCCGCAGCTGAGTCTTCGCCTTGACGTCCGCTCGCAGCCTGAGTCGCCCTCTATCCTTCACCCTCCTCACCCCGCGATTTATCCACCGGGTTGTCCACCAGCCCCGAATCGTGGTCTCCGGAGGCCAGCATCTCCTTGAACTTCTCGATGCCATGGTCGAGATGACCCCTGGTCTTTCCTCTCCTACTCTTGAAGCCAATTTGCACCGAGTAGCAGTCAGTCAAGACCAGCGAAAACGGCCTGGGCTGCTGGCCACGCCCGAACTCAAATGTCCCAGGCGGATATGGTCCATTGGCTTGCATAGACACGCGCATGGTGGCATGGTGGCGTTGACAACCATTGGATTCAAGAACGCCATTGAGGTCACAACTCCGCAGCTTCATTTCCTCCGCATGCCTCATCACCAATCAACCCTCTAGCAATGCTACCTGACCTTCACTCATGCCTTTCCGCCTTCGCGCCCGAATCCCTTCGCAGCGACTTAGTTTTGACCCGACGAGGATGGCTTGGAGAGTCGCCTTTGGCTCCCCAAGTAAATACAAGGGCTTCTACAGAGTAAATTGGTAATTTGACCAAGCATAGGATACCCTGCACAACTGGTTCAGTGGCCACCAGCCAACTCCTCATGGCTCCTTAGGCCTACGCCTCGCCTATAGGCGGGCTTAGGGCTATCTGAGATACGCGAGTGAGGCCGGACGGGTCCCACCACTGCAGGACTGCCGACCAAGGTAGCCATGCATTCCTGTGCGTATTCAAGATGCGAAACACATATTTCCGATGCTCGGCATAACCGTTGCCACACTGGCAGGTTGAGGCCGCGCTCGCCGCTTATATGCCTCCACGCTTCACACACCAGCAACCTGTCAAACCTGCCAGTTTCTTCGACCTGCCTTGGGCTACTCGTCTAAGCTCCTCCACTTGCACGTCCGCCACCATTCACATTGGCTAGACCCCTTGCATTGGCCTCTTTAGTATGGAGGTCTTTGGAAGCAGCGTCCGCGACATCCGACTGGCATAAAACCCCCAGCATACGACCTAGGACGACCTTGGACATACAGTTTGACGCATACTTCGACCCTCGTCTCGAAAACATCGGTTCTCCCTCGCCACATCCGAAAAAAAGAAAAACCTACTTGTGGTAAATCCAGGCGCTTGAATCGAAGACTCCATCAGTGGAGAGGATTTCTTTACACCCCTGTCATAGGCCGAAGGTGATTCTAGTGCTCGAAATCGCATCCTAACAGGGAACCCTGGCACCTACCTGGCAAGCGTTAGAAGCGGCAACGCAAATAGCTGGGTGAAAAGGGCACATGCCGGCGACCTTACAGCATTCGCTTTGTTCAGCCATGCCTTCCATCTTCAAGACGCGCGACGGGAATGGTTCCATCCTTCGCCATCAATCAAAGAGATAACGTTGTGATCAGAACTATCTTCGCGGCAATGATCAGCAAGTCGCGAGTGGTGATCGAGAAAAACACTGTCCTCCTTTTTCACGTGTGCAACAGGCCTCGTGGTATGCGACCGGGAAGGGTGAATCCGTCTCTCGAAACCCATGCCTCTCCAGCCCCGCCCCCGAGACTAGTCGACCGCGCCTTATGGCCCCTAGGTTCTCAACCTTGCCCCGGTCGGGTATCCGCTCCTGGCCAACCGCGAGTGATATCCATTAAGGAATCCTAAAGATTCATTGTCGGAGATCATTCGCTTCACAGATTGCCGGCTCAAGGCATGAGATACTCACATCTAAACACAGCCGAGTCTCCCGTTGATGGGAATGTGGCCAGCATTCCCTGTTCACCGACGGAGGCCGGCGTGCTATAGCCCTGAGCCCTAAGCCCTTTTCAACACCTTTGATCTACGAGTTGCCACGCTCGTTGGGGCGGGCGGATGCCTCCCGGACAAAATCGAGTACTTCTTCGAACTCAACGCCATGGTCAAGTTTGAAGTGTCAAGTGTCAAGTGTCAATGTTTCCAAACGCTGTTATTGACCCTTTGCCGGAAACGTGAGCGACAGCGCTCCACCGGATGGCCCTCGAGATGTCGTGGGTTGGTGTTTCCATCCGTTTCTCTGACCCTTGCAGCACCTAGAAGCCGCTGCTTGATCTGCAAGGGGCGACTTGCTTCAGCACGACCCTTTGTGTCCGCAGCACAGACCGTCGAGTGCGGAAATGCTGGACTTGTTCTTTTCAAGGCTGTTCATTGTCTTTGTCGAAGCCCGCAACTTCACCCAGAAACAAAGAAGATTGATAGCATCTAGCGTGAGTTGACAGCACCGTCTATGTTTGCCATCAAAGCTGGCGCACTTTCAATAAAGACTTCTCGACTATTCTTCGTCCAGGTTGGTCCTGATCTACTATAATTAGATGCCGTGTTGTACATCTGTTTGACAAACAAACCGGATAATAAACAAGAACAAAGGTGAATGATCCCGTCAACTATCTACACCTGACCTATTTCAACCATGTCACTCGCGCCGTATCTGCAAAGCAGCCTGAATTCTAGTTTAGGCAAAGTCTTGTCCATTTCTCGATCGCCCTCGTTCGCTAGAGTTGCAGTTGCAGCAAGAAACCACGAAATCTGCCGTCTGGTCGATCAACACCATGCTTTTTCCCTGGCAGCAAGATGTCCAAAGTTGCCCTTCCAGTCAGAATTACTATCGATGCTCGTCAGTACCGTATGCTGGCTGTTGCGCCCACGATCCTTGCGGCTCCGGAGTTTGCACAGACATTGCCTCAGGGTTGGAACCCGGGTCTTGTGGAAGTCGGGAGACGGTAACTGTAACCCAGACAATCTTGCACGGGGCAGCAACAAGCACGGTCAATTCAACCACCGGTGCCTTCAGTTCGACAAGAGGTGAGCCAAGTACTGCTACAGGTATCTCTAGCTCCGAGGGATCGGCTCCTGTCACTGGTTTGCCAGTATCAGCCGAGGGTATCATTCCACTCACTTCTGCCGTTGTTCCCATAACTGCTCCTACTGTCATCAGCGATATATCGTCAATCTCGGCAGCGACAACAAAAACGTTGAATCTCGTCGCGGCAACTCCAAGTTCCACGTCAACCACTAGCCCATGCCCTAAACCGGGCAGTTCCCACCCTAAATCGACAACAGGAACGATTGCGGGAAGTGTCATAGGAATCATGGCAGGCCTAGCGCTGCTCATCGTTCTCCTGAGCTGGTGCTTCAGACGCAAGTCAAAGGTGAAGCTCACCTTCAAACGCAAGCCGATGGAGGCCGAGCAAGAACAGGACCGAGAAGATGTGGAATCCAAGCCCTCGACGAATGTGAATCCTCCTGACCCTCCCGAGCACAGCCAACCTCTCCCTACTCCGATCTCATTTGATTTTGGACTCCCTCGTATACCAGCTAACTCGACTGCTTCAATGCCAAAACAATGGATCTGAACGTGTAGCCAATGCCCTAGATTGTGTGGGGGAAAGTACTTCGGCCAGGACGCAGACGTAAGTTATTTGCACGGCTTGCAAGCATGACATGGCATGAGCTAGTGGAGCTATCTTTCACCGCAAGGCTGACGATGTGGTAATCATGTCCTGGACGTATTTCGACGAGAAGGCGCCTGGGCAGACCAACTTTCGGTCTATTTACATATATTGAAAATCCTTTGTTTCTCTAATAGACCGTAAGCGCATATTTAAAGCCTCTTGGATACCTCTTTACCTGCTCTTGTCTGTCGTAAGGTGCGGCAACAGTGTACATTCTCAACATTCTCGACTCATTCTCACCAAAGAGGTCCGCTGACAACGATGCGCCGAGGACGCAGACTCTCGTGGCTTACGATATAAGCTAGCCAAGCGTTCCCTCAGGTGGCCTCCAAATATGGAACATCTGACCGTAAAGTTCCTTGGAGCTGGAACCGAACCATCCAAGAAACACATCCGGCTGGCTTGGTGGTACTACCACCGGTCCCAGTCCCAGTTCTTCCTAGCCATTCTCTCCGCTTCGAATCGTGTTCCGTGGAGACACGAGCGTCAACTCTCTCTTCCGCTCTCCGTCGACAGGGAGAGATATTTGTCCAGACGGTGTTTCTGGAATGTCTAGTACTGCTGACTAGTCGATGGATGTTTGGCCATGTATCAGAGGGCACCAAAGGAGAAGGAGAAAGAGGCAGATGCACGATCTGCGACATCGAGATTCGAGACACGAGACACCTGAGCCGGGCCAGCCCGGCCTCTTGAAGTTGTTGTACCATCTTCCAGAGCATGTTGTACTTCCCCCCTCGGACCTGAGGGAGGGCTTAGACTGCGAATCGTTCTTCTAACTTGAAGGATAGTAGTGTATTGCGTCCTGGGTGCCGCCGACTACAAATAAAGGTGAGGTCCGGTAGAGCCAGGGAGTCCCTCCTCACGCGGGTCGGGTCGGGTCAGTACCACCAGGAGAACGGACGTGCCGTGCAGCCGCAGCCGCAGCCACGTATAGGATGGATGGACTCACACGTTTGGCTCTCGCAATCGACCTCATGATTTGGAGAAAGCAGCACTTTATGTCTGCTCAGTGCTCTTGCTAGCAAACTGAAACAAATTCAATGCCGATCAGTCTGCGCCAACGTCTCCCAGGGAGACCAGTTGGAAATCCTGTCTGTCCATTGTTTCTGCGTGTCGCGATGGGATGGGGATGGGAACGGGAACGGGAATGGGGATGGGATTTCTGGTATAGACATCTCCCGATTCATGTAATTCCACCTTAGATGATGGACTCTTCAATATATATATACCGTAGCTTGACGAGTTGAGCCAGCCGAGCGACCGATTGGCTTCCCATTTGTAGCATTGCATCCTCTGGAACGCTGAGAACAGCAACTGTGACGACGTCCGCCGGCTGGCACGGATGTATAGTTGACGAACTAGATTAGTCACTGGGGACACGGCTCACCGCATAGGGTACCTGGTAGGTAGTCTTCTCGGACGAATGTTCCATGTTAGCATGTCCGACACGAGACAAGAGCAACGGTAAGAGCAGCTGGCGAGGAATGAACGAAGTCTCGCCTGTGGAGAGAAGGACTGTATTCATTGGATTTGAAAGTCAGATTTGCCATCTTATCCCCGTTGCTGCAAGATCCATAACCAGCGGCCCGTCACATTTTCCCTTCCCTCACACGTCCCAGTCCAGTGTTGGAGATCAGATGGGCTTGCCGCTTCGACCTCATGGAGCGCAGCTGCTCGAGGGCTCTCGATTCTCTCAGGTCTTTTCTCCGGTCCAGGCTGTTTTTCCACATTCGTTCACTGTTGCTATAAACACGGCTTTCGAGGATGTCCTTTCGTTCTGTCCCGTCCCGTCCCACCCGAAGCAGAAAATACATGAGCCAGAAAAACGAGAAGTACAAGAGAAAAGCGTCTCCCAATCTGTGGTCGGCAACTTCGCCGGTTCCTGTTTTGCTGGAAGGGGCTAGGTTGAAATCATTCGTCCGGAGGATCTGAGAAAAGACCGATTCTCATACGGTGGAGTTGGGGAAGTTTGGGTATCACAACAGCCATGAGAGCCATAAAGTTGATGGTGAAGTACGTAAAGTCGTAGTGGGTGTAGTGCGTGCTGAGCAGGAAAAGGACGATAGGGACCATCAAGAGGAATTTTTTCGCAGGCGTGTACTGATCGCCATTGTCAATCTGCTCCCACATGTTCAGGTTGTCATATGCCCCGGCATTGAACTCAAACGGTACACCTCGAACCCAGTGGAACATCAAATATGAGCCCGCCATGTAGGTAATGTTGGTGAGAGTCCATGATATCTCTTGCGTCATGCCGGGAATGATGTCAAATAATATCTTGAGACCGATGATGAGAACGGGATGGATCGTCCAGGCTCCTAAGAAATGTCATTACTTCTCATCTAATTGCAGGGTAGAGGGAATTGTCCTCACCCTTCGCATTCACCCATTGCGAATTGAGGTTGGGAAGAGCGGATTGGTCACTGATCTGTTCCAACGACTCGGGCGGCTCTTGATAGATGATACTGCTAGATCTTCTTCTTCGTCCGCTCTTGTCGGAAGTCATGGCTGGGTCGTAGGAGGAGATTGGGGGTGCAAGGTTGGCATCGGCTTGGAAGGTAATCGTCCGGTGAAGGGTGGTTTGGGAGGTCATGGAAAGGCTGCCAAATTGCAAGATCGGCTAGGGGAAGAGAATATTTTCTTCAAGTGTCTGGAGGCCGTCCGAAAGTGTCAGCGCGCCTATCATCCTATTCAGTGAAACGTGGCCATACTGCATACCGGGTTGTGTGAGCAGGAGAGAAAGACGGAATGCTCGTGTTGGAGCAGTGACGTCTGAAACGGAACCGGAGGTGCCTGTTGGGATACGAAGTAGATGACGGCAAATGGTATGCAGAACCAGGAGGATTCGAAAGCAATGAAGAAGGGCGTACAAGGAAGCGGAGGCGGCGAGAATACAGTGAGACACACGGTGTTGGGAGTGGATGAGTCTCAGATCAGATGTATGTAAGGCCGTAATAGTGCGAATGGAATTGCCAGTGCTGGAGGGCGAGTCGAGGCGTAGGGACAAATAATGCATATTCCAGATCCGAACTAGCATACGCAACCCGAGCCAGCCATAGTGGTGACACTACCGTCGCTGTGGAGGGCCTGCTGCGCCCTAGCTATACGGTGCACCACTGAGTCTGGGGGTCACCGACACTACAGCTTATTAACATGCACTACTCATCTACTACTTTCCCCGTAGTAGTTAGTGCCACCAGTGCCACTAAACGCAAAGTCACTTGGCCCTATGCGGCGCCACCTGACTTGTATCTGTAATTGAGGCAAGTGAACTTTCTGCCGCACCCGCGCGATTCATGCAGTGCTGGAAGGGCTTCGTTCTTCCCAACATCACTCCTTCCGCCGCACATGCCTCGCTCGGCACACTATGATGAGGAAAGCGAGTCACGAACCGCCTCTGTCGGAGCGAGACGCAGCCAGTCCCACCATCAAGGTCAAGTCAATTCCTTACCTCATTCTCCCATCACATCCCAGTCTTCGAGTGACAACGGCGTGATGGGCAACACTACTTCGCGTCCTGCTCAACCCCCCACTTCTCAGAACCCAGAGACTTCTGCCACTGCCACTGCCTCCCAGGACGATGCCGCCGAACCTATCATGAATTCTACCTCCCATGGTCTGGGCAACAATCGCCTTGCCACCGGCTTCCGTAGACCTCGAACACCTCGCTCGGGAGACAATGGCACCCCATCAAGTACGCGCGACGGCCCCTCTGAAAGCGCTCCTAGCCCCGGCGGATTCCTCGACGATGCCATTGAGATATCTTCCGACGAGGATCAGTCGTCTGATGGCGGTGGAATGGTCATCAACCTCGACAACAGTGTGCATCCCGATGCTATGGTCCTTTCTGATGAGGAGGGGGAGGTTTCTTCATCTGAAGATGAAGCTGTTGAGTCACACTTGCACCCAGGCGATCCCATACAACCCTCGTCCTCTGTAGGTCATGACGCTCACCAGCTGGCAAATAGCACAGGTCATGTTCGACGCCTAGCAGACTTGACACCGCAAGAGCTGGAGCAGCAACTGAAATACGCGCTGTTTGATCTTGATCCTGATCAAATCGACCTTGGTCGTTCGGCGGTCTGCCTTGGCTGCCTACAAGAGGGCCATTCAGAGGAGAGCTGTCCCGAGAAGATTTGTCTACATTGTGCATCAGTTGGCGAGCATTCCAGCCGTCTTTGCCCTCAAGTCCGTCGGTGCTTTAAATGCCGCGAACGAGGACACGCGACGGAATCATGCTCCGCCGACCTCAAAGTGACCACTGTCCCATGCGATCTTTGTGGAGCTTTAGGGCACCACGAGGAAGCCTGCTCACAACGATTTTTCCCCTTCGAGACCTCCCCCGGCACCGACTCTCTCAAGTTGTGGGTGTCTTGTTGCGTTTGTGCCAGCAAATCTCACTTGGTTGGTGATTGTCCAGATGCGGATCGAGCTACCACGGTCAGATGGTCGCTGAGGTCGTTTACACCTTCGCACATCACCAATCTCAGCCTAGAGGCTGGCACCAAGCAACGCGAGAAGCAAGCGGCTAGTCGTGGACTTCGTCCAGACGGACTTCGAATCAGAGGTCGTGCCGGGTTTCATGCCGCCGGCTTTGCTGGTTCGGCTCAGCCATCCGACGATGACAGCGACGAGGAATTTCTGGGCCCACGGGTTCCCCATCGCGAGAACGCAAGCCGGGGCAATTTCTCGTTCCGCCACTCTCAGCGTCTACCTGGCCGGGATGACCGGTATGGACGGTATGAGCCAGCCAATGACCGTCGCGGCTTTCAGAATCGGCCGCCGACCAACTGGTATGCGACGGACTCATTTGGCCGCGGAAGACCTCGATCTCCGCCTTCCGCAGGGGGTGAAAATGGTGAGCACTGGAATCGTGGAGATGACTCGCGGAGACGATCCCGATCTCCACGCGGCTTTGATGGTTATCGCCCTCGCCAGAGACGATCTCCGTCGCCCCGGTATCACAATGCCCCTCCCGGTTCACGTGGTGGTAAGTCCGGCCAGCCGAACCAGCCACAGCCGGGCATGACCATCCAGCTACCAGTCCGGAGAGGCTCAAACAATCCATCATACCAGGGCTCTTCCTCACATAACTCTCAAGCCTCTGCACCGAGACCTCAGCAGCTCAAAAAGACCTCAGGTCAGGCGAAAGTGGACAGTTCAAAGAAGAAAAAGTACAAAAAAGGGAAGGCCAATACTTAGGAAGCAGCTGGAGCCTGGACATTAACTCTTCTGTCGACCGTCTCTCGGCATTTATCAAGCTTGTATCGACCTCTCAGTAAGAGTATCCAAGTCATTGGTGCTCGAGAGGACAGTGCGAATATTGCGAGACTCGGCCCCCATCAGGCATTCACTTTCGATGCCCCCTACAGGCTCTTTGCATCTCGCGAGCTGGTTTCGCTTGTGTAACCTGCACACCATGTGCGAGCTGGTTTCCCGTCGACAGCCCACGTTACGGGCAGCAGCAGCATCTTTATCACGAAACGGGGCGTTGAAATGCTCACCGTAACCCATGCATGGATAACAAAAGCAAGCGCAGCACGGCACGGCACAGCATGACATGAACCACAATATCTCAACTCTGTAAAACGCATCTACCTAAGTATCGACAACAACTCAAACCCTGAATCTCTAGCCGGTCTGTCGACATGGTTTCGAAGTCCTCCAGGGCTATTTTCGATTGATTGATCGATGACTCGATGCCAAATACAAACGACCAAGATGCTCTCTTTCTCTCACTCTCACTCCCACACAACACACACCCCCTTCCATCCATCCGACGCTACCAATCGATTCGTGCGCAACGACCAGAGGCTTCGAGCGGCATCCCTGAACCCGACCAGTCGCGTTACGTTCCACCCTTGTCGCTCTTTGACTGAAACGAAACCAAGACAGAGACAGCCAGAAACAAGCATCTAAACACAACAAACAATTGTTGGTATCACAATAAAAAGCCTCCCACAACCATGAACTTCCATTTCAAAATCTTGTACCTAATTCCTGTGTAGCCCACCACGTATCAGAGAGATCATCCAATCCCCTTCGGTCTGTTGCTCTCCTACGCGGGGCTCTCCTCTCCCGACGTGCACACGATTTGCCCTGCAGCCACTGGTGCGTTTTGTGTGACACTGGGCATCGGCCTTCACCTTTTGACCACCTCCTGATACAATCTGGTTTCTTCAGTCAAGCCGGGAGTTGCAGGGAACTCGCCCGGTATGTGCAAGTCACTGATAGTAGTATAACTCTTGCTTCGGTTCGGGTGCCTGAGGACATAGTCTGTTGGTGCCGTTGACGAAGTGCGGGGCCCAGTAAAGACTCCATCATCGTTAAACAAGCTCTCGTGTGTAGGGGCGTGACCTATGCTGGTGGGTACGGTGGACAGTGTGCCAGTCTCCGTGCCAGAAGCAGTCGTGTTCGCAGCGGCCGAGCTAGGGGCGGTGGTACTATCGCTCATTGCCCGTGGGCCTCTGGGGGCATCGGCGGGAGCAGCGGTCGCGACAAGGATTGGTGCCGAAGACTGACCGTACTCTGGTATCGCTGTTTCGGCGTCCGCTTGATGCGTGGCTGAATCAGGCACTGGCTGGTGCTGCTGCTGATTGTGATGATGTACAGCCCCGGCTCCCACCGCCGCGCCACCTGCACCAGCCGCGATTGGCGCCATCCATTCGCGATATTGGCTTGCTGTCTCATGTGGCGGGGACACAGGGTGCGCGGGGAGTATGTTCGGGTGTTGGCCCGTAGCGTATTGGTTAGGCGGCTGAATGTCGCTGACAACGCCGTCAGGCTCAGGGTGGGCTTCAGGAGGCTGCAACTCCGTGTGCCTCTCCGTGGTATTTGCAAATGGCACCCCGCTTCCAGGCAGAGCGCCCGCGGCTGCTATGACATCGCGCTCTCGGTCAGAACTCTCTCCACTAGAGGGGGAAAGCGGAGCTTGTAAGCCTCGTTGCACGTTGACATCAGATGGAAATCGCCCACCTGGTGCTGGTCGTTGTGGAGGACGCCATCCGGCCTCAGATCTGTTGTCCTCGAGATCGTGCAAGCCCGCAACACCTAGTCCACCAGCTCCAGCGAGGACACCTCCTTCGGCGACAGAATTTCCACGGACTGACTGTTCGCCGGAAAAGGCGACGCGATCAGCCTCATCTTCCTCCATGCCGCCTTCGGAGCTGATGATGCTGGCAGGTTTGAGACTGTTTCCAGACAGTGATCTGGCGTGTTGGCGCCGCACGAAATCGTTCCGCTCCTCGCCCCGCTTCTCCGTGAGTTCCTTGATGTCGGTGTACCAAGCCAACATGGTCTCATGAGATTCGGCGCGGAAGACCCAGGAATGTCCACGATGCATTGAGCCGGTCTGTCGGCCCTTGAGCATGAACTTGTGTGACGAGGAGCCGGGCTCCGAGTGAGAGCCTAGTTTCTGTTCGGGAAGGTATAATGACATGACAGGAGACTGAGAGGCGATGCGGTCTGCCGACTTGAATTCGTGTAGATGTGTCGGAGACAGAACATACCTGAGGAACGAGTCAGTCACTTTGGGGCTTGGGGACTGGTGCCAGACGCCACTTACCATCCAGGAGTATAGTTCTTCAGGTATTTACTCTTCCGCTCTAGCATGCCGCTCCTGACTTCGATGGCTGCGGGATGTTCTTTGCCAGGATACACGATATGAGAAACTTGTCTGATGGGGTTTCTGGGATCGACCATCTGACTGCTACTGGTGGTGAACTGGTCCCACTCATGATCCTTTGCCATCGCCAAAGGTCCCTCCTTGAGCTTTTCGGCCGTATCATACGAGGCGTCAGCCTCGCGACGGAGGATTCCGGCAACAACATTGTAGGCTTTTTGGATCTCGCCAACTACAATGGACTCAAGTTCGCGGCCAGAGGCTTCGAGGTTCAAGTATGCCTGCAATGGTCAGTCTCATCCAAGAGCGCAAAGTGTAGGGGCAACGACGTACGCGATGCAAATAGTTTTCCTCGTCGATTTGCCTCTCGACTTGCCTGTCGACCGCCAGCTTGACGAGGAACGGATCGCCTTTCCCACTGGTAGAGGCTGCATCGTGGTCGACCATGCCAAGGGCTTCCTGTAGTTGCCGCACGGCTTTCTTCGTGGTCTCCTGTTCCTTGTCCACCGAATTCTTAAAATCACCAGACAAGCTCTTGATCTCTTTTATCTTTTGCTGCAGGTCGCTACGAAGACCTGTCAACTGGATGATGACTTCATTCTCGAGATCCCGGGCTTTGTTGGTCTCGGCGAGAGTCTGCTTGTGGAAATCCCGCAGGATGGCGACTGCATCGCCAATTCCACCAGAGGAGAGGAAGTTGGAGGGAATGGCGGTGTTGTTGATGACGTTGGAAGTTGACGAGAGCGTCTTCGCGCGCACCTCGTACGATTTATGCAGGTCACGGAAGTAGTTGATCAGGTCCTTCAGCACTTTGCGCCATGCTATCATCGGGAAATCAGCGCCGCGGGAGAAATAAAACGAGGGGGATTCTTACCTTGAAACCGTGCTGCAAGTAGCTCAGTCGGATTTCCAGAGGTGGGAACGGGACAGTAGAAGACACTGTTGTATTCTTCACCTTCGCCGTACCGTTCTTTGTCACCCAGTTTCACGCTGCGCACCGAGCCAGCGTAACTGCTCCGTTTGCTAGCGGTCCTCTTCAAACTCGTGCTCCTGTGCAGGGAAGACTTCTTCTTCAAGGTCCCACCCCTGGAGGGCAGCAGCGTCTGCGACCCCGACACGTGCGAATTCGACCGGTGAAGATTGGAATTATCTTCGTCGCCAACGGGGACCTCCTCGTGATATTCGCCGGGATGCGACAGTATCGACGGGTCCTGCGGGGCGCCTTGGGGGTGGTCGAGTTGCGACACGGTGTCGGGGGGGTGCGAGCCGGCGTAGGAGACCGGACGAGACGTTGTTCTGGCGCTGAATGGTCGCGCCGAGGGCAGCGAAGGGTCATGTTGGGCTCCCGACAGGGCGCTGTGAACCGGTGAAATTGGAGTCACGGGTCTCGACATGGTGACGAGATCGAAAGGGCAGTGTGACAGCTGGGGAGAAGGAGCTGTTCGCAAGTGGAAGGAGGGTCGGTTGTAGCGGAATTCAGAGCTAGATAGCGAAGCTCGCCGACATCATCTTGCTCGACAGGGAGGAGATAGCGATTGTGCTGGCGCTGACGGAAAGAGCAGAACGCCGGGAGGTCAGGACTGATGGCGATGAGATTGCAGATAGAGCTACGATGGAGAACAGAAAAAACCGGAGTTGGAATCACCTCACCCAAGGGAACAATAATGATGTGTAGTAGTGGAGGGAGGAGAGAGAGGGTTGGGAGTGGATGACGTCGGTTCCAAGAAGCAAGACGAGATGGGTCGACGTCGAGGCGGCGGGAAGAGGAGCAGAAGGACGTAGGGGGAGAGTCCAGAGTCTCCAGAGTCTCCAGAGCTGGGTCTTTCACTTCATTGTTGTTCAGTGCAACCGGGGCAGAGCGGGAAGACGGTCAAATTAGAGGGCTTAGGAGGCCTACGAGGCCGGGAACAGAGATGCCGGTGGAGAGCCCAGCGGGCCACCAGCTTAATAGCTGACCCTACTTGGTGCCTAGCTGACCTCCCTGACGCCTACTAGTCGTACAGTGCTAGGCTTGGTGCTAGGTATTTGGTAGTTAAAGCAGTGCCTAAAGCCACTAGTGCTGGGGTGGAGTGACGACTACTTTCTTGGGTCGTTGGGCGGGCTCGGGATTGCGGCAGTCTGACGAAAAGCCACTGCACAATGGCGTGGGTATGGACACGTCAGACAGAACCTTCGCTCTTGGCCTCCCCATGCCGAGAGCGCTCGAGCTGACCCTCAGCTGGCAAGCATCATAGAAGCCTCGACTTGGAGCTCCAGCTCCCGCTGCTGGCCATCCGGAAACTTCCCCCGCTACCATGGAGTGATGAGATGGCCCCTTGAGGTCACCAGGACATAGGACCTCAAGAGGAGATGAGAAGATGAGGAGATGAGCAAAACAACAGAGGTTACAGAGTCAGCCAACCTGGTGCACCCACGTTGCGGTTACAGAGTACGTACCTCACGGAGTGCTCTGTGTTGTTGTATCCGTACTCCATACTGCCACGGGTATCCGGGCTGTTAGCTATTACCTATTGTTGGCCTCCAATAGTATGGACACGTAACATGGCATGCCAACTAACGAAGGTTCTTAATAATTATTGTTACCTCGACCTTCTGTGCGTCTCTTCCCCCACCGATCGACCTCGACCTCGAACTCCATCTCATCAATCGTCCATAGTCCGCCAGAGGATGGTCGCTACGGTGGCGACGGCGTACTTTTCAATGAGTTAATCTCCATACTGGTGAGCGCCCAGGATGCAGCGGTGACATCCTTACATATTGCCCCAGAGACAGTATCAGTATACTATCACAGCCCTGTCTGCAATCATGCGCTCGACTCTCTGTCTATCTCTTTCTGGGGATCATGTTACTCAACAATGCTACTGTAAGCGATGGGCCGGCACTCCGCGTTGGATACGGGCAAGTCTCATCGTACTAGACCGCATGCTGCTCTCCCTCACTCTGCTGGCGGGCTTGAATGAACATGCGGCGCTCGCTTGCGTCGGAGACGTTCTCCGATGATTAGGGAACAGTCGCATTAGCTTATGCCGCCGACCTTTCTCTAACCGGGCCAGATCACTTCCTGAGTAGAAGCGGCCCGGCCTTGTTCACCGTGTTAAGGGAAAGAGGCACTTAATTGACGAGACGTCCACGACACACATCTTCGAGGCCAGGCAGTTACCGAGATCGCAGTTCCTAGACAGAGAAGTCGCGCCAGCATGTGTTACGTCTCTTGTGAGGTTGTCTAAACGAGCTATACACACTGCCCTCGCGAACGAAGCTTGGCCGGCGACCATGAAAATGCACATATTGGAATGCGGAAAGAGAGCAATCCTCTTGCTTACTTTCTCATCCTCAGCAGAATAAGATGCAGTTAGGATGAAGCCGTCAGTCTTTGCGGCTTCCCAACTCGTCTCTCGATCCCAGGATGAGCGGTTGGATGAGTTCAATACGAGCAGGGTTCAATCCACTCCTGGTGCTGAAGTGCCCGCATAATATGGCTCTTGTATATCGATCCCATATCTTTCCTTGATTCTCTGTTTCCGTCTCTCGCCATAGCCGGGACCGTAAATACCTGACACCGCAGTCAGTTCAAACCCACAGGTCATGTCTCACGAGCGTCTTACCTCTTCCTTCTCCAAGTTCGTTGATGGTCTCGTTGATCGGTCTTCGATACCTAGCCTTGGCCTCCTCCTTGTACCCAATCCGGTCATGTTGGAATTCGTCCTCACCCGACTCGAACACAGATCGCCCTGTGTAGCTAGCCACTGCCATGGACACACCCAATGCGAGACTGCCGCCGAGAGTCGCCGGCATTGATCTTTCTGCACATAGTCAGCACACTAGATCCGTCGTCCGTAGGCCGTACGTACTCGCGAGACCAGGGAGAGATCCAGCAAGAGCACCTCCAATTCCATGGTTCCAAAAGTCGTTCCTTTCCCGTAGATTGGCTGATGCCGCGCTTGTGAAAGCAAACGTCCCACCCACAGCCGCTGTAGGATGTCAGCCTATGCCTGCCTGCATCTGCCATGTGCAATCCGTCTCGTACCGAATAAGCCTACAGTGCTCCCAAACCTCGAGAAGACACCGAAAAATCCGACATTCTCCTTCGTGACTGTGTTTTGTACCGAAGCCAGGAAAAGACCGGCCGCGCCTGACAGTGTACCTGCCCGCAATGACGCCCCTAGAGCGTCTTTGGGCTGAAATACGGCGTCGTCGCCGCCGGGGGTTGGTTTGGAATCGAATTTGTCGGCCATTCCGCCGGTGCTGCTAACTGCTCTTCAGGCCTGGACGTGAATGGTGTCCGAATCACGGCATTAGAAGCTGAGACCTCAGCTGCTCGGTTTGTAGGAGGACGGCAAGCAAGTCTATGAGCTGCTGGGAGAGCCTGCGGCGATGCAACTTGGTTCACTGAGGACCGAGACTTGCAGCAGGTCCGCCGCAGTGGCAGCTTCAACGATGCGCCGGATTCCCTTGGCGCCCGAGGCCCCTAAGCCTGCTCTGAGCTCACGTGAAGGCGACTGAGCCAGGCCGTGCCGCTTTTAAAGCCACTCCATCTCCGCTCTCACCTACACACTCACCTCCCTCACCTTCATAGTACTCACTTTACTCCCCCTTTCGCCATCATCTTCATCCTGAATTTCTCTGCCGCATGCGGCGTTAACGAGACGATCTAAACCAGTCGATTTTGAGCCAACCGCTCCTCGGAACTACGTCTTATCCTGACCAAAACTCGTCCGTCAGCAATTATCACTTATTGGCTATATCTAGATGGCCTTGCTGTGCAGCAAACATCAAGAGGACTTGTGCCATCCCTATTCCCCTCCTCATTATCATTATCGACCCGTTGATCGTCAACCACTTCACTATTACGGAGTTACTTGAAGAGCCGCCACTCATGTGGAGTGCAATCAAGGGCAATCAAGGTACACTCTGGAAGGCCAATTCTCTGCGATCTCTCCACATTGTGCACGGATTGAATCGCCAAGCGCCGCGATGTCGCCTAGCAAACCAGTAGTGAATGACGTACGGCACAAAGAATGGCACTGACGGGAAGTCATGCATACCGCCTTCGAATGCCCTGTCTGCGGTTCCAAACACGAGGGGCGCGATTCGATACTAAGAAGGAGTCAGAACCACGTTCATGAACCGTCAAAGGCTGTCTAACATTGTCTGTGGCCATTAGGGTTTTCTCGAATTGCTTATAAGCTTGCCGTATGCGCCCGCTGTCGTACACGTCGAGAGCTCGCAGAGTTTCAATCTCGTCATGCAGATGTCGAGTCAATGGCTCCGCAAAAGCTTCGATGAGGCTCTTGATTTTCCGTCCGTCATAGTGTTCGGGAAGACAAGTCCGAGAATACTCCTGAAACTGATCGAATCCCGGCGTGAATGCTCGGTGTTGCTCTATATTGCGTTCCATGATTCCTGAAACACCTGATATCAACTCTATACTCGGGAAGAAATACTCTTCTTCGGCATCGTGGTGGTGGTGCATGGATTCACCCCAGCATTGGCAATATGTCAGGAAGTCTCGAATTGCGTCCAGATCTTCGCGCGGTATGTGCGTCGCTTGGAGGTAAATGGAGTTCAGCCCTCGGAGAATGCCATTGTGGGCAAGTGCCATCTGCGTTGCAACATAGTATGCCGCATGGGAGGACTATGAGGAGGCATTAAGCGATGCGCAAATACTCGGCAGAGAAATGACAGACGTACATCTTTTGAGAATGGATCAGTAGAAATCAGGGAATACGGCTGATCTGCCCACTGAGACGACATACTGACTCGTCCACTGGTACCTGGTAATCGGCACAAACCGACGTCAATCTCACAGTGACAGGAGGTTAGCAACAGATATACCTGGAAGAACGGGAAGATAGTGTCCCGACCCCAGCAACATTCCCGACCCCAGATTCGGTGCGGACGAATGCTGGCCTGACACTTGTTTCGAGTCTGCTGATGGCGGCGCAACTCGACTCCGACGGCTTAGTAATTTCTGCGACACCAAAGCCATACAATCAATATAGATACTAGATATATATATACCAGTCACTCTCGAACGAGAAATCCGGCATCTTTCATTCCAGCCAGCACAACTAAACAGCAACTATGAAGGTCCTTCTTATTGGAGCAACCGGTAATCTGGGCATTCGCCTCGTCGCAGCGCTCCTCACACATGGCCACAGCGTTGTTGCCTTCGTCCGGTCCTCGAACAAACTCGAGTCTCTTCTCCCAGCGTCTGTCTACCACCAAATCACCGTTGTTCAGGGCGATGCTACGGATCCAGACTCAATCAAGAGGGCCATCTTGGATGCCAGCTGTGATGCTGTCGTCAATACCGCCGGTTTAGCCGCCCTGCCTCCCTGGGGACACAGTGAACTACCTGCTATATTTCACGCTGTCGTGGACGCGGTACGAGAAGCGGGAGTGGACAGAAAGAAACCGTTGAGAGCTTGGTTCTTGGCTGGCTTGGGAGTATTGTACTACCCAGGATCAGAATCGATGCTCTCGAACTAGTAAGTACAGTCACCATGGCATCCTACCTCATACACGCTGTTTGTCCCTGCCTTGAAGAGTGGCTCGGAGATTCATCGACTCGGGAATACTAAGAGCCTGCAGTCTTCCCGTCTACCTCGAACACCGCCGGAACCTCCACCTTCTTAAATCTCTCCCACCAAACACCATCGACTGGTCTTTGCTTTGTCCAAGCGTCATGACCCCCGAGTCGTCAGAAGTCACTGTACCGACGCAACTTTTGCATGGGAAACTGATCGCAAATGCTGCGACTCCACCGTCATGGAAAGATTCGTGGATCAAGCACATCCCCTTGATCGGGAAGACGCTTGTGTGCGCCACGAATGCCCTTCGCTATGAGACCACACTTGAACAGAACGCAGATTTCATTGCTAGCGACCTCGAAAGCGACGAGAGCCCGTGGAGTGGGACGACGGTCGGAGTCATCGACGGCTCCAAGTGAGTTCATTGTAGGGGAAGGACTTTTGCAGAACATGCTCACGATTGTTTCCCTTGATACTACATAGTTTTCAGTTGTAATGTATAATTGATTAATTCTCCTTATATGCTTAACCGCCTGGTCGGTGCTGTTGCATGTTGTAGCAGTTTATATGTACTACTCCGGAGTACGGAGTACTTTGCATGCAGTACGGGGCTCTACGCGCCCACATGCGAATCCACCAGCCGGGAGCCTTATTAGCCTCTGCATCTTGGAGAGTCGCAGGCCACCATCTTTGTTTGGCAGAATCGCCATCCGGTAATAGAGGTTGTTGACAACCTCTTCTATGTTTTTCTTTCTTGACCATGACCTGGACATTCTGATTGCATGAGTCCTTCTGACCGCCGAATGTCTTCTCTTCCTCTCGCCACCAGTAAGCTGCGCCGGTCACAGCCTGAGAGACTTCCCAGACCTCTGTGTTCGTCGATTTGCTCGGGAACACCCCCAGTAGAGTTGTTGTCAATTCAATCTCAACCATTCGCATAATCCTAGAACATAGACGTCCCCTCCGTCGACCACCGCGATACCCTTCCTCTTGCCACCCCTCTTCCCCGTGGAGCCGGCCGGCATCTCACTCCCAGACTCGTCTTGCATGGCCGGCGTGCAAGGCAATATACGGTCCTTCATTGCGCCGATCCAAGGATCTGGTGCGTACACACAAGATGAGCCGGGGGATGGACGAGAATAATAATTGTATCACGACAGGTCGAACTGCTCCGGCACTCCTGGAAGACCTGACGCTATATGAACCATGGCAGGGCCAGAAGGACGCTCCCAACCTCCTGGCCGACTCCCCTCTGCAGTTCACCCATGTGCAGTATCTCGGAGACTTGATCCCACCCCAGAGCTGCAGGCACAAGTTTAGATTGAAGCCCAGACAATCGGACAGTCCTGCGTTGGACGAGAGGCCTGGTCCCGAGACGATATGGACAGTAGCCGCGTTCTGTCAAGTGTGTCGCCTGCATCTCCACGTTAAAGTCGACTACACCATCAGGTTCGAGGATGCACCTTGCCCGACCGGGGATCATCCATTACACCATCTGGTGAGATCGGAGTTTCAAGAGCCTCTAGAGAGGAATGCCTGGAAACGTCAAAATCCAAACTCGCAGGATGAAATCTACACCTACAAATGCTCTTCCAAGAGCTGCTCTGCAATGGTCACGGTGCGCTTGAGCGGGCCTGTCCTGCGCCCCAGTGATGTTCTCACGTTGGTCGATCCCAACCTTCTCCAACAAAGAACGAATGATGCGTTTCGAGCGAGAGAGGGGAATACCGAGGGGATGAAGTATCCGGTGCCTGTCGACGTCTTGACCGATCTCCGAGCTTACATCAGAAATTCGTGGAAGGCGCAGGAGGATGTGAAATATCGAGCCATCAGAGTCTCCAACCGAAGATTTGTCGTCCGCTTCGGGCCGGAGGGCAACGCCTGCAAAGACGTGCTAGAGCACTTGGGCTTTCAGCTTGTGGTAAGATCGCATGGCGTGGCGGTTAACGTGTCCGTTCCTAACGTCATTGCTAGCCGGGTGATTCCTGGAGGGTCCCAGAGCCAGATCTCAATGACTGTCAGCCATTCCAAAGTCCCATGAATATTTGGTTGGACAACGCCGAACACGAGTTAGGGGCCCTGATCCTCTCGCGGCCGCCAGAAGAACGACAGCAGGTCCAAGATCCTACTCCTCCAGTGCCTGCCGAACGAGAGCTTGCTCGTCTCCTGGGCTGTCAAGATTGTGAGCAGTGCCAATTCGAGATGTGATTTATTCTGACAATAGCAGACGAAGCCGACGCCACAACCAGAGGCATCAGGTTTTTGCCGGAAATGAGAATACCGTAAAAAAGCACTTCTTGCCTCTTGCAAGGACCAGCTGACTCTGTCTAGGCCTTTCACAGCCCTCGGCTGTCCGATGGACCTTTCAGACCAGCTGATTGCAAGAGCATATCACTGGCAGGTGGGGACAGACCCTCAGAATGCGCCAACGTACCTTAGCAGCCTCCAGGCCATCGCAACACAACGTAGCAGCGAGGTGCTAGAGACCGAGGTCGTGCTGGAAACCTCAAAAGGCCGGTTCGACGCCGAGACCCTGGACAAGGCTTACAAAGCCTTCCAACTCCGCGGGCGTGAGGGCACGGTCAGTGATGAGGATATCATCGGTGCATTCACAGCCACTCTAGCGGATGCTCCCAGCCATGAGCATGAACTCAGAGAGTACCTGCGAATAATTGGCGCTCAACGGAATAGCCAACTCATCACCGACACTGCGCAAAATGGTGAGCGTTCCAGCCTGGCCTAGGTTTCATCTACTAACAGCCATTCTATAGTCATTGAGACCTACGAACAGGCCCTGACCTTCCTTGATGCCGAGAGCACGACAGAAGACGAACATATTCAGGCCTTGTACACGGTCAAGGTTTGCATCATCGTCCAGTTCTGCATGCCGTCTCTGACAATTCCCGCAGACAAACGATAACAAAGCGTTGGAAGGACAGGCCAATCAGGCAGTCCGCCTAATCGCAAACCATCGCAGAAGCAGCATGCTTGCCAAATGGATGGAGGCGGGTTTCGCGGCCGCACCGACAATGGATGCTGCCGACGGGTACCAGGCTCTTCAGATCTCGAACCACGATATCGATGATGAGATGATCATGCTCCAATACAACATGGCGGTCGAGGAAAATCCTGGCAGTGTCGATTTTTACACCAAGGCTCTCACTGCAATTGCGAGAGGGCGAGGGAGCTCGACCTTGTTGGATCATGTGAATAGTAGAGTTCGACAGGAGCCGCCCGAAGCTATACTGGAGGAGCCCGTAGGACTGGAAAACATCGGCAATACGTGTTATCTCAACAGCCTTTTACAATTCCTGTTCACCATGACTCAGCTGCGGCATATCGTTCTCAATTTCGACGACTACAAAATGTCGCTGGATGAGGGGAGCATGGAGCAAAAGCGGGTTGGCCAGCGCAGGGTCAGCCTCAAAGAGGTCCAGACAGCTCAAAAATGTAAGTGCCCACCCACCACCGGACCGCTCGCCTCTGACATGCGCAGTTGTCGCAAGCCTGGCCGCCCTTTTCCGTGGCATGATTCAGACGCCACAACTTTCAATTAGACCAGACCAGGAGCTCGCGCGGCTGACGCTAGAGACCGAAAGCGTCAAGGAGAAGATGCGCCGGAGGTCAACTTTGAAGTCCGCAGATCGACCGAGCTTGGGTGACGTCGCCAACAAACTCATGCTCGGCCCGCTGACCCTGGCCGAGTATGAGAGAATTGGTGTCGACGTGGCCGGTGCGATTGTTCAGTCTCCTGCGGATGGTGACGCTGTCGAAGACCCTCTCGCCAACCTTGGTACTGCGCAGCAGGAATCCGGCAACAGTCCAGACCAGACCGAGCAAGGGGACGCCGATATCGCGATGGACGACAATTCTAGCGAGGCCACGCTCGTGTCTAAACCTGACAGCGACCAAGTCATGCTGGACGGTACAAGTGGACAGGAGTCGTCGGCGTTGGATAATAAGGAGAATATAGCCCCCAACAAAGCTGCGACTTCTCCCAAAGCCAATTCCTCATCGACGGCCGAACCTCTCGCTCCGTCGTCGCCATCCAGGCTAAATACCCAGGCTGGAACAGCATCCCAAGATGCCACTGCTGGAGACGACGACCTGACCAAATCAGAGCCCCCGAAATACCAACCTCCACCTGGTAAACCACCCCCAATTCCTCCCCGGAAACCTGTCCAGACCAGCACTTCCACACTCGAAGAATACGCCCGCCAACAAGATGTCACGGAAGTGATGAATCACTGCATCATACAGCTGTCCTGTGCGATGCGGCCAACCGGCTTTGACAAATCAGGCGAGCAAGAAGACGAAGTGCATGATCTCTTTTTCGGCCAGGCAGTCATTCATTCACGACCAGAAAAAGCAGTGCCACAACCTGTGCCGTTTCTCAACATCATCACGCGCGTGTATCACCAACCCACGGATGTTTATGCCGCGATCGACAATGAGTATGACCTTCAGGACGCTCAAGATGGCACCCAGTCATACACTTCTATCTCCCGCCTCCCCCCAGTCTTGAGCATTGCTCTCGATCGAGTAGCCTGGAACCAAGAGGCGAAGCGCCAGGAAAAGCTCAATCATCACGTCGAAGTCCCCGAGACAATTTACATGGACCGATACTTGGAGGGCGGCGACGAATCTGAACTCCTGCAAAGGCGCCAACAGACCTGGCAGATCAAGAAAGAACTGGCCACGCTGTCTGCTCGTAGAGCTATCTTGGAAGAGAAACGGGTAAGCAGAGTTGACCCGAAATGCCCTCAAGACCCAACTAACACGTTGCAGGGGCAATCTAAAGACTTGCCGGGGCTCTTGGACGACGCGAAGCTCGTTCTGGAATGCCTAGCAGAGATACCCGGTGATTCTGTGTCGGAAGATCTCGAAGTCAATCCAGACACGATCGCCATGCTGGGTCTTTTGGCCGAGGATGCACGGTCTGAACTTGAAGGTACGGCAGCGCTCATTGATCGTGGGGTTTGCTGATCGTGGTCCAGAGCTCCGATTCCGCATGGACCATCTGTCCCAACAAGTCAAAGAAGCGTTCGTCGACATGCGCAAGCATCCCTACCGTTTACACGCGGCCTTTTTCCACCGCGGCGGCGCGGGAGGAGGTCACTACTGGGTCTACATCTTCGATCACAAGAAAGAAGTGTGGAGGAAGTACAACGACGACCGTGTGACGGTGGTGCTCAACCGCAACGAAATCTTCGGCCAACCGGCACAAGACAACTGGGGACCTCCGCCCAACCCGTATCTGCTGATCTACATCCGAGCCGACAGCATCGACACGCTCGCCGAGACGGTGAAGAGAGAGGTTGTCTTCCCGCCGCCCGACCAGCCTCCACCCATACCGGCCCGCACCCAGATGAGCGCACTACCGCCCACCCAGTTCGGAGGAGACGGAGACGTGGAAATGGTGGAAAACGTCACTTATGACGGTGAGCAGACCCGGACCTCCGTCCAACCACCGCCTCAACCAAGCGTTCGGAAGGAAGGGGACTGGGATGACTCGCAGCTGATCTCGGACAGGCCGATCACCTGGTGATGGGGATGGGGATGCTTGGTGGCAACTTCAGCCGCTGGCGTGAACATGCGAAGCTGGAATGTCGGGATGGGGCGACGATGCTGATTGGCATGGCATGGCATCGCACGGCACGGCACCAGATAATGGCCGCTCCTTCTTGGTCAGGCGAGAGACGATACAGGAGATTGGCGGTTCGGTGCCTGGTTCGCAGCATCGCGCGGCCGGACCTTGAGAATACAACATTGGCAACGAGCGGACGCTCCCTCGTCACCGGGGGTACCAGTTCTCTTCTGTCTTGTCTTCCTACAACCTGTGCACAGAGTATGTGAGCTGCTTTTGGAGGGCCGGGAGAAGCGGTCGACGTTGGGGTTGGGGCGCGCTTGGAACAGAGGGCTTAGGCTCAGGCTTGCATGTCTGGAAAACCGCTCGGTCCTCCCTCAGGAGAAACAGCTGGCTCCCACGCGAATAGAAAGGAGCGAGCTTCGAACGCGGCCCGAAACAAGTAATATGTCTTTACGATTGATTTTTAATAACATAGGTCAATGGTTCGTCCCTCATGCAAAAGCTCCCACGATTGCCATCAGGAGGCCACCTAGACCAACGGCCAGGCACGCCTCGATCCTCCGGCGTCCTCGCAGAACCTCGTAGCTTCTCTCGCTGAGGAAATCCTCGGCGATCAGCTGGACAAGCCCGGCGAACAACAAGAGGCCACTACTAATGGCATTGGTGATTCCGACCATCAGCAATCCCACCTCGGACGCAGGGTCGTATAGCTCATTCATCCATATGCCAATGGCTTGGCCGATCGGCGTGGTGGCTCCGTAAGCCAATGCCATCAGCCAGGGCTTTGGACTGTACGCGTCGAACAAGTCGGGAATCAGGGCGGCAATCCGGGAGCCTAGCGCAAACCCCTCAAACGTCTGGTGGAAGCAGATTGCCACCAGCAAAACCACAAACTCTGTCCCCGTGGCGACCGAGACCGCCATTCCGATAAAGATGCTGTGGAAGAGAATGCCGGCCTCCAGCAGCAGGCATTGGAGGAACAGTCTTTGAGGATTCTGCTCAGCCTGGCCGTGGTTGTCGTGCTGTGACAGCTTCCGTCTGTGCGGATGACTGAGACTCGCCGATTGTTCGGCGATCGGATCCAATGCGTCCAGGTCGTCGGTGTCGGAGCCGGACTCGCTCGACGTGGAGTGCCGCGGCTTTGGTGTCCTGTCGGTGTATGGCGTCAAGGGCGTGCCTAGATGATTGAGAGCGATGTGCCCATTGCCCTGAGCATCTCGGTGGCTTTGCTCCGGCAGTCCGTCCCATTCGCTACCGTGACTATGCCCGGCTCCTTTCGAGGCAAAGAACATTTCAATCGAGACCACGACGAATACCGCGACCATGGCGATGAACCCTGGCATGGGCCGATAATGTTTGCTCCAAAAGTCCGGCAGACATGGGTTTGTCATGGATATGAATGCCGTCGGTAGGAGATGGATGAAGGCGGTGGCAATCAGGACCCCCGTACCGAAATGCCGGGAGAGAAAGAGGAAGCGATGAGGGATTGGGAGGCTCGGGAACCGCCGTGCGATGATCGGGAAGGAACATGCTGACACAGTCAAAGGTCAGCTTTCGCTCTTCCTGACGCCGGGGGCTGGACACCTACCGAGAGTGCTCAAGACGAGGATGAGGAACAGGGCGAACACATGGGTCCCCGTGTTGTAGGAGTGCTGCTTCCCGGTAGACCCGCATGTCGGCTTGCTCTCTTGTCGGCGTTGCAGTTCAGCATGGAGGAGTTCGAGCGATAGCCGCGACACATCGAAGTCTGCCACTGTTCTGTTAGAGCTAGAGCTGCAGCCAGCGTTTGGGCCGGGACGGGGACGACGACTGACCTCCGTGAGGCATCACTACCGCCGCCGCCGTTGGGACCGAAGAGCGTCCATACAGCATATATCAGCAGGATATGGTGGCAAATGAATGAATGAACGAGTGAATGGGCCACGCGTTGTTTGCAAACTCTCACGATGTGGCCGGTCCGGCGTTGAGATTCCACCTGCCACCTGCCACCCGCTGCCGTGTCCCCAATGGGATGGCACATTTAATACGGAGTATGGCCGTAAATCTTAGTGATGTACTAGGCCGCAGATATTAGACTGATTTCGGAGATATATGTCGGTTAGAGTCACAATACGGCTAGATCGGTTGATCATTGGCTAGCACCTACCTAATACGTCCATTAGATATGTTTTGTTCAAATCGAATCATCTCTATTAGGTAGGTTCGGAGTACCAATCTACGCATACGGAGCATTCCATCTCCTCCCACCTCATCATCGTCCTTGTCTCAATTCATCCGACTTCTCCTCCTCGTCCTTTCAGGGATCCCTTGAGCCTCGAGGCCTCCTCCCGCTGCGTGCGATGTCCAGGCCCTGGCTCGATGGAGCCGGAGCCGGAGCCAGACCGCTTCTGCTAATGCCGTGACTACAACGATTGCTTCCGGACCACTCATTGCATTTCTCTCGCGTAACACAGACGTCGACGCCGCCTAAACCGTTGCACCACTACATCCGCTGATGGCGGCGGCCTCCCTCGCTGCTTTTGCCCACTCTATTTACTATGGCAAACCCAGAGGTCAGCGGAGATATTAACTTCTGAAAAGCTTTCATTACGACATCAGTTCTTGATCCGTCACTGTGTTGGCAACCCCTTGGATGTGCCCGACACCGCCACCGTTCTCGTCTTCGCCCCGACTGATTGCTTCTTGGTTAGGTAAGTACCTTGAATCATACGTCCATCGACCGGTGAGGAAGTTCTGTTGCTCTCCTTGCTGCTCTTCTCCATCGTTTCCTGTTGCTGTGTGATGTTGTTCTTAGGCCTCGAAATGGAATATCGATCGCATGATCGACTCAGCGGACTCACATGAAGGCTCGTTGTGGTCCCTATTTCAAGGTTTGAGGTACATACAAGTCTCGATGGGCTGGCCTGTGGAGCGCATGACTTCAGCCAGCACTTCCCACACAGATAGACATACAAAGTACATACAGTGTTTCTCGCACCATGCCATCTTCTTTACGGGCCAACCACCCGCGCCGCCCTCCGTCTCAGCCTCGATCTGCATTCGACCTCGACAACTACCTCAACCCGCTGGTCCCCCGCAACCCTCTATTCCGCTTCCCGACTTGGATGTCCTACTGGTTTGGCTACCGGCTGCCGACCAAGGCCACGAGACCGGCTCGAAGCCGTCGTCGCCTTCAGACACTGAAACTATGGCTGTCGGTGTTCGTCGGCGCCTTCTGCGGCGTGGCCATCATTGAGAATGTCTTCCTGGCCCTCCCTCCTCTGTCAGGACACGCAGTGCCCACCATCGCCTCGTTTGGGGCCGCCGCCATCCTCGAATACAACGCCATCGAATCGCCGCTGTCCCAACCGCGGAACATGGTGGTGGGCCACATTCTCTCCGCCACCGTCGCCGTGGGCATCACCAAACTGTTTGCCCTGTTGCCCCCGGACCGCTTCGACAACCTTCGATGGCTTGCCGGCGCTCTGGCCGTCGGAACAGCCAACCTGGTCATGAGCATTACCAAAACAGTGCATCCCCCGGCGGGGGCGACGGCTCTCTTGGCCGCGACGAGCGTTGACATCCGGGTTCTCGGATGGTGGCTGGTGCCGTTGGTCTTGCTGGGCGCCATGCTCATGCTGGCGAGTGCCCTGGTGCTGAACAACATCGCCGCTCGCCGCTTCCCGCTGTATTGGTGGACACCCGTTGATCTGAATATGCTGCGAGAAGAGCGATGCAAGGAGCAGCGCGAGCAACAGGGAACCCACTGCAGCAATGTCATGGACGTCGACCTGGAGAAGGCTACTGAATCGTCATTATCAACGTCATTCACGATACCACCAGCAACTGCAGCAACAACACCTGATATTTCCAACACCGAGGCCGGCTTCCAAGGAGGCGGCGGCCATCTACGGTCCAAGCCAGACACCCAGGCTCGGTGTCCGTGTCCGACTCATACCGTATCGTACTCGGCCGCCAGCAGCGTTCCCCACGCCCATCCGCCGACCTCTGCCTCGGAAGCGATGGTGGATCGGCAGTCGAGCCGAGCGAAGCCACCAGCTGTTGCAAGGGCGACCACGCAGACGACTGGATCGCGGAGGCAAATGTCACGGTCACGATCACGCTTCAAGCACAGGCAAAGGCATCCCAGACCGCATGAGCCCAGCAATGGACCTAGAGACAGCGCAGATAATGACAGCTCAGCCGTTGATGCCGATGCTGATGCTGACGCCGACGCTAGGATTATAATCACGAAACACCAGCTCCTCGTCCCCGACTGGCTTGAGCTACATGACTATGAAGACGAGGTCCTGCGCATCCTGATGGAGCGGTTCAAAAGTGGTTTGAGTTGAGGTGAGAGGGGATGGATGGATCGGCTTCAAATGGAGTTTCTTCAGGACCTGCCAGTACCAGCACCAGCACCAGCATCAACACCAGCATCAGGGACGGGGACGGGGCGGGGTGACGGTTACTTTTGCTTTTGCTTTTGCCTTTTCTTTAGTCTGCCAGGGGTGCGTGCGTCACAGTGTGCGGTTCATGGAATGGCCAGTCATGGTTGGAGTCGTGGCTATGCTATGCAGCATTTATCCTTGTATACCAGTTCTACAATAGCACGGTAGGGTAGTCACAATATTCATTGCAGCGAGCGGGTCTGAATCTCTTTGTTGCCGCCGCTTTTCCCTTCCACCCAGCCTGAACAAGCACAGCAGTTGGCATCATCCTTGCTTCGCGCCCTCGTCCTTGCTCCCGAACAGATCCTTGGCCACCAGCCCGCGACAGATGGGGTGATAGAAATCCTTGTTCTTCTCAAACGTCTGCACGGCCAACTCGTAGTCGAGCTTGATCAGCCCACGGTACAGCGGACGAACGAACTTCATGCGTCCGACCTGGCCCAGCAGCTTGGCCACAAAGGGCCGGATGGACGAGTCGCCGCTGCGCATCGCGATTTGGTAGTACCGGCTCGAGACCTCGACGTTGCGCGTCTCCTTGAGGTCATAGATGTCTCCCATGCGAGTTGCATGTTCCACGGGGAGTGGCCTGTCGAACGCCACCACACGCTCCAGGAACACCACCACCTGGTTCGCCGACCAGCCGGCAATGTCGGACCGCGACGGCTGGAAGCTGGCATCGGGCGCCGCCCCATGCGGCGTCAACTTCTGCCATCGGTCGGCCAGCTGGTACGCGACGTCGACGAGACTGGTGTCGAAGTTGGGCCGGGGCGGGTACCCGGGCTTGTAGAACCAGGCATCCCAGTCGATGGTGGCCAGCTTGGCCGAGACGTCTGAGTCGGATTGGAAAAAGTCCAGCAGAGTGGCCTTGAAGTCGTAGCTGTCGAGCGACTTGCCGCGCCACGTCTCGAAGTAGTGTGGGATGAACTGGTCAAACTTGGATTTGGAAATGAGCTTCTCGATGTAGTACAGGAAATTGAATCCCTTTTCGTAGGGGATGCTCGAGAACGCGTCGTCCGGGTCCTGGCCCTTCAGGTCAATGACCAGCTTGGTGAATTCGTGCTGCTCGCCAAACTGCTCGATCGAGTCGCTGAGCGCCTTCCATCCGATGATGGCGCTGAAGTCACGCCACTGATCGCCGCCGTGTACGGCGGCCTGAATCCGCCGCTCCAGGTACGTCGTCCAGCCCTCATTGAGCCAAAAGTGCTCCCAGGACGCGTTCGAGACCAGATTGCCCGACCACGAGTGCGACAGCTCGTGGGCCACCACGTCTACGTTTTCCCGGTCGCCGGAGATGATGGTCGGCGTGGCAAACGTGTAGACCGGGTTCTCCATGCCCCCGTAGGGGAACGACGGCGGCAGAACCAGCACGTTATACTGGCCCCACGCATACGGGTACACCAACGACTCGGCCGCTTGCAGAAACTTCTCCGTGTCCGCTTCCAGTTCCCACTGGCACTCCTGGAGCTCGTCCGGGCCGGTGGCCACCACGCTCCGCGGTCCGATCTTCGCTGTCGCAATATCCCCGCTCGCCAAAGCGAAGAGGTACGACGGAATCGGGACGCCCTGGTGGAACTTGTACAGCTGAGCGCTGCCGTCCGTGGAGGGCGCCGTGGGATTGTCCTCTGCGCCGATCCCGGACGCGATGACCGGCAACGGTGACTTGATGGCGAAGTCGTAGGTGGCTTTGACATCGGGAGTGTCTTGACACGGGAAAATGGACCGCGCGTGGATCGCCTGACATTGTGAGAACATGTAGGGATGCTTCTTGTTGGAGGTTTGCGCCGGGGTCAGCCATTGGAGAGCGGTGCATAAAGCGGTCGTTTCGAGGTCGATGTGCACCTCAACCTTTTCGTTCAGCTTCACCTTCCGTTCGAGCTTGATCTTGAGGGGACTCCCGTAGGGCTCGACCCGTTGCACGATCTCCCAGGGGACCTGTTTCCCATCAGCGGTGACGCGGTGGATCTGGACATGACTGGAGTCGAGCAAGATCTCGTCGCTCTCTCCGTCGGTGATGGATTGAATGCTGTGCGTCACACTGCCCTGCAGCTTCTGCTGGTCGAACAAGATGTCCAGCGTGGTTGCGGTGTGCACCGTGCGCCAGTTGTTGTAGTTGGCCAGCGTGTTGGGGTCACGCGGCCGGTTGATGACGCCAGCGGTCGCGGTCGCCATGGTGCGGTGGCGGTGGCGGACGACGAACTCGTCGAATTTGTGAAGCAGAGGCAGGCCCGGCGGTGACAAGAGCAGTGGTCGAAAGGCCGTCCTCGTGAGGGACACTGCGCTCCACGCTCGACCTTGGAGCATGCGTTCGTGGGGCCAGTAACCAGCAACCAGCAGCCGCAATCTACCTCTACCCTCGGACGGTGAAGTAGACACAGATGCACAGATGCACAGATTCGCAGTGGACTGCAGCAAATTGGCCAGATGGTTGAGGATTGTGAGGAGGGAGGTGGTTGCGTGAGGCCCGAGGCCGCCTGAGGAGCCCTACTGCTACAGTGGCAGTGATACTCCGTAGTAGTATAGTAGAACGCAGCTGAGTAAGCCTGCGCCCCTCACCCACCGGCGCCGGAACTACTTTCCTCCGGCAGCCCTCAACTTCAACTCCATCACCATCACCATCACCCAGATCAACCTCACTCACCTTGCGAGCAGATGCCACAGGATCTACGGGAGGAAGCAGCACCTATTAGTAGTTTGCAGTTTGTCCAGAGTATATGCACGTATGTGTGTGTCTCCGTAGGCCTTGCCGATTCATTTTCCTCGGCGCCCGGTATCGTATCGCCGCATCCATCATTCCACCCAGCCGCCAGGTCAGGCGGTGAGTAGCTAATATTTATTTAGCCTTCTCTCTGTCGGGCTCGACTGTAACGTACCTAAGGTACTCCGTATCGTTGTTATTATTACTCCTCCATGAGCCGAAGGCCCGGCCCTGATGGGATGGTTCGGACAACAGGAAATTGGAGACAAAACACCTCCCCCTGCCCGCCACTGCTACCCCTGCTGCCCCTGCAGACGTGGAGACCAGCACTTGCGTTAGGTCCAGAGACTCGAGACACGACAGGCAAGAAGAGAGTGTCAAAAAAACCCCCAAAAACTTTCTCGGCTGTTATGTCGGTGGTACCACAACACCTGCATGAGGCTAGAACAGCCACACTCCTCCTTCTCCCGATTCTTTTTCTGCTCACCGTCTCTCCAAGAAGCGGGCGGGTCGTGAGATCTCGACAGCCAGAGCCTTGCCGGCGAACCAACCTTGGAGTCAATATAGCTGCAACAGCGAGTGCTCCCTCAACAGGCGAGTTGCGAGTTGCGAGTTACGAGTCACGAGTCGAGATGCATGGTCATACAGCGAACAAAGCAGTCGTGACATTCCCTTCAACTGATTAAAAGAGCCCTAATTGTGCAAAGCTGGCGTAACAAGCAAGCTGGCCACCCTCGTTGTCTCAACTGATGACGCACGAGCACAGCATGGTGCTGGTTCCTGGATATGCTGTGTGGCCTATACACGCCAGCGTTTTTGTTCTTGTGCCTTCCTCAAACGTGCACCGCAGCTCGTCTCACCGCCTGACAACCCTCAAGCTTGTAAACCAATCACTCCTCCCTGTTCTTGCGCCGCCCTCTCCCCCACCCCTTCTTTATTCGCCTTTTCTGTTGGCCCTTTCACTGGCACCCTTGATCAGTCCGCTCAGATCGCCGACGGGGAGGTTGAGCGGGAAGTCAACTGAGGCCAGAAGTTGCACGAAGAACAGGTACCATCCCAAGAGGGAAACCACGAAGGTCAGCCCTCCCGCCGCGTGTTGAAGATTCATTCGGACCACACTCTCGCCGAGGCCGAAGAAGAATGCGGCCAAGCAGCTAAAGGCAGGCACGAGCAAGGCAAAGATCAAGACGAAGACAATGTTGGTTCGAATCGCCACAATCATGTAGATGAAGCAAAGCATTGCCATATAGACCAGGAAATAGGCGTATGTCGCGGCAAAGGTGGGGTTCGTCGACGATGTAGCTGGGTGTGTCGGGTCGTATGCGATGGAGGCGTTGAAATACGGGGTCAAGGTGGCCGCGAACGACAGCCAGAAGGCGCCGAATGATCCAAACACCACAAATGGGAAGGTGTTGCCCAGGAAGAATTCGAGGAGCCCGCCCAACACCATGAGAAGACCGCCGAAAAAGTAGTAGATACCGCTAACCATATCGTAAGCTGTGGATCAAGTCGCTCAGTTGGTGTTGCAACTCACACTTCCGCGGCACCAAGCCCGCCGGCACCACGCCATCCCAACAGGACGTTTGACAGCGGAGTCAGAGACAACAGAAACCCGACCAAAGCACTGTCTCGGGTCAGTACAGCAAACCGCCATGCACGCCTGACTTACAGAGGAGTCGGGTTACCAAAGGTCGACCGAATGTTGTTCGAGACCCGGTTCTTCGGCGACAGATAGATCTTCTCGAAGAGCTCAGGGGTGATCGAGATGCTTCCGGCCGTTCGGATCCTCCTCAGAGCACTCTCGCTATCATGATGGTCGTGGTGGAGGTCATATCGGCCGTTGACAGAGTCACTGCCGGCGTGGTCTTTCTCGACATCGGCCGCGTTCGCCATGTTGAAGCTGATGTGAATGTGTCGGATCAAGGGTCAGACGAAGAGGAGGAGTGCGAGGAGGATGAAGGATGCCAAGGAGAAACGAGGTGAGGCGGTAATGAGAGAGCCTGAGACTTGTAGCACTGCCGAGAATGAATCACAGGCACAAGTATAGACGACTTGTTTGCAGAGGGCACACTGGGAGAGACGCAAATAATATAGGGCACCTGATGCTGGCGTCACGGCTCCGACAAGATCGACTGATTCTCCTCTCGGTGGAGGGGAGAACCCAGGCCCCTGAGCCCGCTCAGCCGAGTGCCCAAACAACAAGACAGAGACTATTTCAAGCTGCAGGCGGAACCCGGCCGCCCTCTACTAGTAGCAAGAAAGCAAACCGAGGCCAAGAAATTGGTCCGAATGCTTGACGGCTCGAAAGCACGGAACCGGGGGTTGGAAGCAGCCAGTCGAGTCTGCAGGCGTAACTTGCATCTTGCCCACCCCGGCCGTCCATCAAATCATAGCTCGCGAACATATTGTCTCGAAAGCGAAGGCTTTGCCTGTCCGCCCAATGCCGCCACAACCTGGGTCCAAGCTGCAGGCTAGCGACGGAGCTAATTGGTAGTGTGCCAACCTGGCTGCGGGGAAAATGCTGGGGTAAGAGGAAAGACGCGAGGGATGAGGTGCTTTGGAGCGGACACTGGCAGTTGGTGAACAGTGGACAGTGAACACTGCTTGCTCCCGTCGCTTCCAAACTTTGCCGTGTTTTGGTCTATTCGAAGAGGCCGCACGGCTGTCGCATGTTGCAAGAAGTTCGACCTTGGGGGCAATCCAAAGTCATATTGATGTTAGGGGGACTTAGTGCAGTATAGCCTGAGCGGGCCTCTCAGTCCGCCGAACGCCTGGCCTGTTTTTGAGCATTGGTACTAAACAGGGCCTTGGTCCACGTATGCCAGAGCGTAGCTGCCGTCTTCTCGGAAGGGCTCTGTTTGCGGGGTCAGGCCAATTCGAGGCCACTCACTCGATCTCGGGACATGAATCTATCGTCGCCTTGGCCCACCGACGCTCCAGTTGGATGTCGCTCGATCGATGATTGCCCTGCCCTGCCGCGCTTGGGAGGGGAGAACCTATGACTGGCGTGAGAATGTGATGGTCTCAGGCGACCATGGTGCCCAATAAACATAGCCCCCTCGTCACCGATTTGGCCAATATGGGGGTCGTGCTCTTGATGCACTGGCGCCGGACGCTGTCCGTGGGGTCTTGCCCTCGCCGGTGAGGAATCAGGTCTCAGGGATGGCATGTTCGAAGCGAGGGAAGCGAGGACCAGGAACAGCTTTGCTGAATCTGCAGCTGGGTCCCGTCGTCATGGGACAACGGAGTGACACATTGGACTCTGTAGCCCAGAAGGACCCAGTTGTTTAGTCTTGGATGGCGCGTAGGAGCCCCAGCAGCCGGCGGCAGCAGGTTGTGCACCGTACCTGGAGTGTCTTTCACATGACGGACATCCGACAATGCCCATCAGCACAACCTCTGATGGGGGAACACTGAGTATACCGATCGAGAGGACTTCCACGGCGGTGCCTAGAATAGAATTGTCGGACAGACGGGGAAGGGAAGAGGGTTTCCGTTGGCCCAGCAGGCGCTGCCGCCAGTTGGGGGAAACCACAATGTTGCCGGCCTTGGTCTTGTGCGCAGGTAGACCCAGAAAAAAAACGACATCGAATCACGTGATATGGACACTGGGGCAACTACCCGTGGGACTGTGTTACTGCACATCATCGGCTATTGCCCATCTTCGATTGCGACATCGGAGACTTGGGACTTGAGGTAAGGCAGGAATAGGAGTAGAAGCATGTCTCTCATGTCAACGAAATGGGATCTTCATGGAAAGGTGCTATTCCCACAGCAGATCTTCACGATCTTCAAAGGCCGGGCAAATGGCATCATACGACGTGACTGTGTTGCGATGTGATGTTATCCCATGTTGCGTGACTCTGGGCGAGCTGCATAGAGCTCACTCTCGCCCACGAGGCGGGCACGGCGGGCACGACTGGGACGTCCCGTAACCCAACCCCAACCCCCCGACATGAGTTTGGGAAGAACATCAAATCCGTTGGCACCGAAAGGGAACGAACACACCAACTGACATCGGAGCTGGGGTACAGGGCGAGACCGCAGCTGTGTTATGCGGCAGGACGTGTTCAGATCTGCAGGACCACTTGAGAGGCGTATCGAGCGAGTTTGGGATGGCTGCTGGCTAGGAGGAAGTCTTGGGGTTCCCTTGGTAGTTTCTCATTGCTGTCACGAATCATGCCCATGCCATTCTTTCACAGCTTGTCAACGCCAGGTGCGTGCGGATGAGGCACATGACCCCGGACACAAAGGAAATGAGAGAGCAGAGGTATGAAAGCAGCGTGCTTCTGTTAAGGCTGGTCGAATTGAACCTGATTTTACAGGTAGAGGCTGCCGCATGGTGTGTATGTACAGGTGTTTTCATGACTTTCCGGTGCTTTTCCCCTCGACGATGGCATGCAGCCACAATCGAGAACAAAACGCTGGGTATCAACTCAGATCAACGCCGGATCTATGGCGCCCCTCCCTCCTCGCAAATATATCCGTGGGCTTCTGAATCAGCTTTATCTCATCTTGCCCCTCATTCAGCTCTCTGCAAAAAGCTTGGTTAGATATGCTTCGAGGTCGAAATTTTTATCATTCGGGTCCGTTATAACTGCCGCCGAGTTGTCAGTCTCGCAAGCTAAAAATGGGAATGTGGCTGCGGTCCCATCACGTACTGTCACCACCTGCTGTCTTTGCTTGGGGAGGAAGAGTCTTCTTAGCCCATTCCAGCTTGGCTTTCTCTATTAAGTCGAGCTTGTGTTGATATTCGGCCTGCTCATGAGCTGCTGCGGTCCGGGCGGTGATCGTTCTTTGGTGTGAAAACCCGTAGAAAATGCCCGCGAGGAGAGCTGAGTACCGGAGTACCTACAAGAGATCAGTCTGGTGTCCGAGAAAGGTTGAGATGCGAGAGCCTTTGGAAAGCCACAGGATCGCGAAACCCGTACATTGACTCCTTGCGAAGTTGACATTGTGGAAGAACAAGAACACCGCGAGCTATGGGTGGAAGCTGAGTCGAGAAGCTGCTAAATTGGCGTAACGCACGATTCCGAATGTATTACGGCCGCCACTGCAAGGCCGTCGTGTGGTGGTGAGAAAAGGGTGTTGGTGAAGCTGTAGGACTTGAATCTGAGGAACATTTCGTGCTTTTCCGGAGCTCTTACCCTGCGCCCGTCAAGTCACGTGACTTCGCGAACCCTCCTCCAACCGACGCGAGTTTGCTTCTAGTATCCTCGTGATAGTCGGCGAACCATCGCCGCAACCGCTGACCGCAGCGTGATTGTTCACAGGTGTCCACCATGTCGTCGCGGAAAGACGAGCTTCTCGCCAAGAAAGCGCGTCTGGCCGAGCTGAAGCGGCAGAGGGAGCTTCGACAAGAGCAATATGTCTCTAGTAGGCGCAGTATTGGAGAGGTATGCCAGACTGCTCCCTCGGGCGAGCCATACTCATGTCCACTAGGCTCCGTCGCCCGGCAAAACAGCAGAGGAGCGACGATCTGAAATTGACAGCCTCGTTTCGAGCCTGATCGATTCCCGCAGAGACTCGACCGCCACCCCGAGCAGAAGGGAAAGCCGTCCAAGTTCTGTCCATGGCACCGGTCAGGTCACCCCTCAAAATGAAGTTGAACCATCACCTAGAAGATTTATGCAATCGACATCGACACAGACCGAACCCACCGACGCCTCCTTTCCTATCTATGACGATGCGGCTGCACACGAGCGGGCCCCGCCCAAGAAGGAGTATATCACATATTCCAAAAGCGTGCAGACTGAGCCTTACACGGAGGACTCTGCCTATGTACAAGAGGATTCTGATGGCAACGACCTGTCTCTCAGCTCGCACAAGCGCTCGAGTCGGCGCGATCAAGAACGGGACGAAGAGATTCGGCAAAACCTGAGGAGGGAAATAGAAGAGGAGGTGAGGGCAACCGTGAATCGAGACTCTGTCGATGTCGTCTCGTCAGCGTCCCAACAGCGGTTCCCGTTACGGACCCTGACGACCAACGAGCTTAACGCGGTCGTCGCCTCCTCCGATTTTGTGGCCTTTGTGGAGCGGTCTTCGAAAGTGATCGAGCGTGCACTGGACTTGGATGATGAGTACGACCTGCTCACGGATTACACTCGAACTTCCACGTTAGACGACGACGAGGACGGCAATGACGCCCCGTATTCACGAATCGGGAAGAAGTCACATTCCTTACGCGAATCTCTGCAGTTGTTTTCCGATCGATATACCCGCCGACGCATAGTTTCGGACATCCAATTTTCCCCACACTTCAACGAACTGCTTCTCTCTTCTTATACCAAAAATCCATCCGCTCCCCATGAGCCAGCCGGTCTGGTACTTCTGTGGAACACGCATGCACCTTCGAGACCCGAATACACTTTCACGGCCTCCTCCGACGTCCTCTCGGCTCGATTTTCACCATTTCACCCGAACCTGGTCATCGGTGGCTGCTATTCAGGCCAAGTCTGCCTTTGGGACACCAGGACCTCCGGTCGGACGGGTCAGCCCGTCCAGAAGACTCCCCAGTCAGGGTCACACCTTGGTCACACTCATCCCATCTACAGTATCAGCGTCGTCGGCACACCCAACGCCCACAACATCTTGACGGCTTCGATGGACGGTGTGGTTTGCTCCTGGTCTGTGGACATGCTCACTCAAGCACAGGAATACCTGGTCCTCCACACGCCTGCCCCTGCCAAAACAGACGATCTAGCGCCCACCAGCATGAGCTTTCCAGCGGCCGACCCGACCTTCTTTGTCGCCGGAACCGAAGAGGGTAGCATCTACGCCTGCCATCGGTACGACCGTGCCGGTGCACAAGCAGGGGTGGACAACCGTGTTGCTTACCGAGGTCACACTGCTCCGGTGATGAGCACACAGTTTCATCCAGCCCGCGGGCCCGTGGATCTGGGCGACCTGCTTCTCAGCTCCAGCTCCGACTGGTCTGTGAAGCTGTGGCGGGTCAAGCCAGCTGCCGGTTCCAGTTCGGTGGCGGCCATTGCAGCTTCGGCGACCTCTCCAAGCCCCGCTGTCCAAAGCCCAATTCTCAACCTCGCTCGCGAAGACCTGGTGTATGACGCGAAATGGGCGCCGCACAAGCCTTCGGTTTTCGGCTGCGTCACCGGTTCGGGTGACGTGGAGGTGTTCGACCTCACCTATGATCTGGAAGTGCCAATCGCCAAAGCTAGTCCAACCATTGGCAAAAATGGAATTGTGCCCTTCAGGGGATTGAACAAGCTGGCTTGGGAAGAGAGACGGGGCAGCCAGGTTGCGGTCGGCGGACTCAACGGCGTCGTTACAGTCTTCGACGTCGGTCGTGGTTTGCAGTGTGGGAATGGTGAGTGGAGTTCAGACGAGTGGGTGGGAATGAAGAGGTTGGTGACCAAACTTGAAGGCGGCCAGTCGTAGGCCTGGTAGGACGGATGCAGGAAGAGCAGAGACTGGGATATGAGCGCGCCCGTGTCTTCGTCCTGTTTGGATGTGTAAAGAGGAGTGAAGTTGCAGGTTGGCGGCGCGGGGGTTTGCTGTGTCGCTTCAAGATGTGCGAGATACCCCTGAGCAGGTCGTTCACCCGTGGCGTTGGATCTGCACATGAAGTACTAGGTGGTTGATCCGCCTTAGGATCGAGGAAACAGATCACAAATCGTGGATAGACTCACCCGCCCACACACGGCCCCAGCCTTGCCAGTGGAGCATCGGGCGTGGCATTGCCTGACGTGGCGACCATTACCATATTCCCGAGTAGAAGTCCCGAATCCTTGCATCACAACTTCGATCCCACGACGTTCAGGTTCAGCCCAAGTACCTCCAAGTCCACGCCAACGGCGTTATCCCCCAGGAGGACCTCTTGACAGTCATCCTCGGGCACTCCATTAGCGAACTGAGTCACGACGAAATCGACCCGGCGCCGCCCTATCACCACCATCGGTGCATGCCACGTGCCTGGCCCATAGGTAACGGCTTGATCGCCTCGTGCCACAAATGCCTTGAGACGCGACAGGTCGGGCGGATGGGGAATCTCAATGGACTCACCCGACGCCAACTTTGCGGTAGCGGACGAAGCAAGGGACGGAGCAACAATAACGAGGAAGACGGTCGACTCGTCCGAGGCCGACAAGCCGAGAGGACTAAACGTCTGGGATGTGTAGGGATGGCGCTCCAGGATGGAGACTTGAAACACCGCCGTGTTCGAGATGGATCTGTCGATGCCGACCCCACTTTTGTTCCGGGGAAAGCACGAGAACAAGCTCATCTGAGGTTTCGCGAGCACGTGTCCTGTCCCTGAGGGGTAGGCGTTGATGAACGGCGAGATGGGAGAGGTCTTCAGCGCGGAGTTCTGGTTCGCAAACCCCGGGGTCGGCTGATGCGGTGCGTGCAGCGGCCGGGGGACGACAGCGGGGACTTCAGCCAGAGATGGTGGCAGCGGAGAGCATATGGCCATCCCAAAGCGGGAGAAGGACGATGGTGTCAGAGGTTCCAGGCGGAGAGTGGTAGGCGGGTGGTGGGCGTGAACAGACCGCGGGAGTGTTGGCGGCGCCATCGCGACCGGCGACTGGCCAGGAGAAACACAAGCAGGATTGAGATGGAGGACGCAAGCCTTGGACGTTGAATGGGAAAATGTTGAATGTTGAATGTTGATCAAAGCCCCAAATCTTCACGTGTGAAGAGAAGACGTCGAAGCACCAGTCCCCCGCAGGCTGATACTACCTGGTGCTACTACAGGTACTGCCGGCGGCGGGCGGTGTCGGTGACAAGTCCGCAACCGCTTGAGGTGATGGTTTTCCGCTGTAGCCCTTGACAGAGCTTAGCCCCTTAGCCCCCTTCTAGGTGCTTTGGCTCCCGCCGCTTATATTGGTTATACGGATATTTCACGCTGCTTTATACTACTTTACGCTACCTTACCGCGCCTACTTAATGTAGTTCTCAGCTGCCGCCAATTAACGGTAGATCTACCGTAGAAATATTTCTAACCGTAGGTCTACTATAGATTTACGCCTACGGTAATTATGCCGTATTTGAGAATAGGGTTTGCGCGGTAAGGTACCTGGTTGGTCTGATCCTTTACGCTGCTTACGATACTTTACGCTACTTCTTTACGCGGTAACCGGCCCTCTGCTTTACGTGGTAACCGGCCCTCTGGTATTACTAATAATCAGCTCAACTTTGGTTGTTAATCCCACTCGTGTCAAGCAAGCCGTTCAGCCGGAAAAGCCGACTTGTTTGTGATGTATGGCGTACATACTCCATGGGACCCGCAAGTGTCCTCAGCCTATACCTAGGTTTGGACGGATGATAGATAGACTCGCTCACAAGCTTAACTCCGCAATGGTAGGTCCCGCGGTGGCAGGTCCCGCAATAGTAGGTCCCAGCCATGATTCACTGTCCTGCTTGAAGTTTTCTATATATCTCTGCTCCCGGTGCTATGTCCCGCGCCCTTGTTGCCATGTCCAGCGACATCCTTTGCGAGAATGGAAACATACCTTCAATACCGCCGCATCGGACATACCCTTCGCCAACAGCTCGAGTCCGACGCTGAAGGACCACGCGAGCTCCCATGCCTGTCGCTCCAGGAGACCCGAGTGGTGGGCGGGCGGCAAGTTCTTGTGGTCGACTGGGACGGGCCAGATGATCCTTTGAACCCGCGAAATTGGCCCTTTCGCCGGCGCTTCTGGTCCACATTGATCATATCCGGCATTGCGTTCATGGTTGGGGCTGCCGCCCCCATCGACAGCGCGGTCCTTCCTCAAGCCGCGAAAGACCTAGGGGTCAGCGAGGTCGTGGAAACTCTGGCAGTCGGGGTCTTCTTGGTGGGCTTCGGGTTTGGCGCGTTGATCTGCGGCCCCTTCAGCGAAGTCTTGGGCAGGAGCATGACCTATTTGGTCAGCCTGGCATCCATGTGCATTTTCCTCATGGCATCGGCACTCGCACCCGACATTGCGGCCCAGCTTGTCTTCAGATTCATGGCGGGGTTCTCTGGCGCCTCTCCTCTCGTGTGCGCCGGAGGATCCATCTCCGACATGTTCACGCCTCTTGAAAAGACGTACATGTTTCCAATCTTCGCCATTGGAGGCTTCGGCGGGCCGGCCCTGGGCCCGGTCATGGGGGCATGGATTCCCGAATCGCCCTATCTGCATACCTGGCGGTGGACAGAATGGGTGGCGTTACTGACGGCTGGCGTCGTTTTGTTCCTGGCCTTCTTCTTCCAGCCGGAGACCTACGCGCCCGTGTTGTTGAGCTGGAAGGCAGCACAACTCCGGAAGCTCACTGGCGACCATCGGTACTACGCCGAACACGAGCTCGAACGGATACCACTATTGATGCGTCTGCGGATCGCCCTTCCTCGACCATTCCTGATGGCCTTCCACGAGCCGGTCATCATGCTGATCACGCTCTACATGTGCGTCCTCTACATCATTCTCTTCACCTTCTTTGACGGATACGAAGACATCTTCACCCGCACGTACGGCATCTCTCAGGGCCTGACGAACACCATCTTTGTCGCCCAATTCGTCGGCATCTGCCTCGGCAGCCTGTGGCTTCCGTGGATCTACAAGAAGACCGTCCAGGCACAGCGGAGAGCAGAGGCCGACGGATTGAAACAATTCGACCCCGAAGTGCGGTTGTGGTTCGCCATGCTCGGCGGTGCCCCTGCCATTCCTGTCTCGTTGTTCTGGATGGCCTGGACAGCCTACCCCAGTGTATCCATCTGGTCGCCCATCCTGGCTTCGGTGTTGTTCGGATACGGAGTTATCATGATTTTCATCAGCTCCTACATGTACCTGATCGACAGCTACGAGACCTATGCCGCCAGCGCACTAACCTTTGCCACACTTGCACGTTACAACTGTGCCGGGGGAATGACCGTGGTGGGCATCCCTTTTTATCGAAACATGGGCCATCACTGGACCATCACGATTCTGGCTTGTCTGAGTATCCTGTTGACCCCAATCCCCTACGTCTTCTACAAGTACGGCCATGTCATTCGGAAGAAGAGTCGATATGCGGTCTCGCGCTCCATCGAAGAGGCCGAGAAGCACGTGGTGCCCGAGTCCCCAGGCTCTTCCTCGACGACGGTGCCGATTGAACGGAATGAGGAAGAGGGCGCAACGGGAGTGACCGAGGTTCAGCGTTGAGCGCGTATCTCGTGTCTAATGTCCTGTGTCGAAGTGGCGAGCATGTCAGCAAGCGCCGCATATGTAGAAGATAATCTGTGGTTTCGGTACAAGCGTCTCCTTTGGACTATTTGGCTAGGTGGATGGGCGAAAGTGCCACCCACATACCACCTACTACTGTACATATGTAGCTGATGGACAGATAGTGTACTCCGTAATGTAGTGGGAGAATGGGAATGCACGGGGGTTGGGGAGATGTTTAGTTAAGAATATTTACCGTGGTGCAGCCTAAAAGGCTTAGGCCACACTAATCAGACTGCGCACTCTGTCCTCGGTACTCCGTACTCCGCACCACACACGCCACCTTCTCTAATAGTACATGTATGTGCTACCTGCCTAGGTACTTGTACTGTATGATAGCATAGTATCTCATCCCGCCAGCGTGTCCCTCCAACTCCGCCAACGCGTGATCCGGAGTGCCCTGCGATACCACACTCTCGTCTGGTCTCTGAATCATCAACAGAGCAGAGCCCGGCGTGTCTGACCGCGACCTCAGCTCCTTCGACATGGCGTACGTGCCCGGCCTCACCTTTCCCGCCTCCATCTTCTCGAGCGCCCCAGCTTCGATCCTGCTTCCGCTAGGTTTGGGTCTGGGAGCTGGCCTGATCTCCCAGCCTGGGAAAGTCACCCCCAAGAAGTTTTCGGACGCTGCGGCGAAAGAACGAGGGAAGTTCCGGAGCACCGAGGAACAATACGTCGCTCTAAAGCAGCCCCCATTCAGACCACCACCCTGGGTCTTTGCGCCAGCCTGGACTACTTTATATTTGACAATGGGCTATGCCGCTCACCGAGCCTGGACAACGGGCATGGCCAGCATGAGCCCGCAGATTGTGGAAGATACAAGAAGAGCTGCTACATTATACACCCTGCAACTGGGCTTAAACGTCGTCTGGATGCCTGTCTTCTTCGGCCTGGGGAGGCCAATTGAAGCCATGCTTGACATCCTGACCCTGACGGGCACCGTGGGCTATCTTGCATATGTCTGGCACAAGGTTGACAAGACTGCTGCCTACCTGATGGCACCGTACCTCGCCTGGTTGGGGTTTGCGACCTATTTGACCGCTGGCACTGGCTACCTGAACGGGTGGACGCTCACGACCTCCGACCGGATTCAGGAAGAACTGGAGGTAAAAGACTCGTGACTTCCACCCGATCTCTTGTGCTCGAGCGTCCCTCCATCCCACGTGGCGCGAGGCGAATGGGCCCCCAATTGAGGCGAGGCGGGCTTTGGGCAATGTTAGCCGGCGGCGGTGTTCTTTTTACAGGCACGATCCATAGATGGATAGACCAACATTATCGCTCTGATTCGTCGTCGACGGCTTGTACCGCTTGTTACCCTCGAGTCCTCCTGAATTCAACTCCTCCGGATCAAGATTGAGACGGGCGGTGGCCGCAGTCCCAGTCCCAACCGCGCGACTCGAGGGAAACTTTCCTGCCCGACAACCTTTGCAGCCATGTTTGCCACTCTGCGCCAGTGGCCTGCTACCATGCAAGTCTTCCCACACCCTCGGACAACGAGCCAACATGGTGTTTACAACTTCTGGGATTTCTCCAGGGTCGCTTGATCGGTGCCCGCGCGGTGAATTGTGGGAAAGATTGCGAAGTTCCCTTTCCATTGGTTGGGAGGCTGACGTTAGGCGAGCGTGCATGACGGCTGAAGTGTTGCACGAATCAACGTGAATCGGGCCCTCACTGTCCAAGGCCTCTGGGGTTCTCGACCCAAAAAACGTCCGGCTGAAGCTGTCACTGCCTCGTATCGTCGGCCGCTCATGCAAGACCTTCCCTTTTTGGCTCCATGGACAACCCTGTATTCAGCCAGCCTTTTCCAGCTTTGACTCAATTCGTCCATGCCATGTCGAGAATCTTTGCAAAGGCCGACCTGGACGGAGGACGGACGTACATCCTGGCCTGGTCGTTGAAGACTGCAAGGTCAGCTGCCATTCATTGGATGTCACCCGTGGCCGTGATTGCATGTTGGCTGCCTCTCGACGATTCTGTCGAGCACTTTTGTACTTGGGCTGAGGTGTCTCCAATGGAAGGGCAGCTGGACCTCGTAAAGGTTCTGATGGTGTAAAGGTTCTGATGGCTGATGGTGTTCAGGATGACAGAGCTTGAGAGTGCCCTTGCGGCCGCAGGAGTCTCTCTGCGGCTCAAAAAACCAGCCTGGGCCCTTCGTCTACCTGCTGATCCTCTCCTTCCTCTCCTTCTACTTCCTCATAGGAGCCTACTACCCGTCACCAGCGATCGTGTCAAAGAATTCTGTGCAACAAGCAGAATCTGCTCTGAAAATGGACTCGACTGAGCAAGACCGTATGTCGGGATCTCCCCGCCGCCCCGATGCTACCAACCCCCAGCCCCGTCCGACATCCTGGACAACCCAGAATTCACAGGCGACTCCCTTGGGAAGCCCGGGCTTGTCGAGTGTACATTCTCCTTCGTCGCCCTTACTGGCCGACCGATTCGACGGCATGTTTCAGCCCATGTTTGGATCGCACCGGCGCAGGGAGGTGCCGGGGGCCGAGGGCAGGGACACGTCGTCGAGCGATGGTACTCCACCCTCTGCCGGAGTCGAGCAACCTCAGCACCGCCCTCCGTATGCAGAGAAGTTCCCGGCAGCACCTACCAAGCTTTCATACTTGCCTGACAACATCTGGTACCTTCTTCTCGACCTCGCACTGGCCGGCTTGCCGCTTGTGTTCATCGTGTATGGCGTCCTCGCCGCGTGCCTTCACGGCCGACCGACCGCATCCTTCTACTTCGGCGATGACGGCTACAACTGGTCGGGCGAGGTGTATGGACCGGCGATGCTCATCGTGCAGAATTACATCCCAACCTTCTTCCCCATGGCGTTCGGCGTCACCGTGGCTCGGTTGATCCAGGCATTCGCCTTGTGGCGCGCTCAGCGGGGGACTCGGCTAGGCGCCATCGAACAGCTGGTGGGAAGTACGTCTCTCGGCGGGACCGTCAAGTCTCTCTGGGGCCTGTTCATCTTCAACCCGGTCGGGGTGGTTCTTTTCCTGCTTTGGGCGCTGGCTCCGGTCGGATCTCAGGCGGGGCTCAGGATTATCAGTGCCAACGGCACTTATGTCAATACCACCACGTTCAATTACATGAACACCAGTGCCATTCCGACGGGTCTTCAGACGGAGAACGACGAACTCCAGTTTTACACCTACGCTGTCAATGCGATATATAGCACCCTGATCCTCACCCCAGGAGCCATGGCCGGGCCTCAGGACCCTTGGAGTAACGTCAAGATCCCTTCACTCGAATGGCTCGAGCGAAACGGTGGCTGTGAGGATTCGGGGTGGTGCTCGCGCGCCCTGGTCAACGAAAAGCAAGGGCTGAACCAATCCGTCGTGCGGGCGGGGACGTGGACCTCCCTGAGCGGCCTTCCGGTCGTGGCGGGCGAGTATGGCGTGGGATTCCAGAATTTCACCCTTTCGGCCAGCTATTGGGTTCTCGACTGCACGAGTCTAGAATATGTCGACCCGTCGGTCCGGTTCTCCTCCGCCCTCCCAGGCCGGGGGGACTATGATACTGACAACGCCTCTTCGATCTGGAACAGCGGCAATGCCGAACATCCAAATACCTTCTTTGTCGACACGACGACGCCTCTCGCCGGTCTGGGTTTGGCCGAAGGCGATGCTCGTTCGCAGGGCACCCAAGTGTCCCCCCGAAATCTGACATTTGGCTCGCGAGCTCCAGAGGGAACGTCGCTGGCGACTTGTACTGTGGCCATGTCCTATGTTCTCGCCGAGGCGAACTGCAACTTCACGGCGCCGCTTTGGAATATCGACAAGACGGCGTCAGGCCGGACGTCGGCCGGGGCCTGTTACGTTAGCCGGGTCCGGAGAGACCCAGATCATGCCGTGCACGACACGCACACGCCCCTGGATGTGACATACCGGATTGCACAGCGGCTGTTCACCCAGTGGCCCCTGGCCACAGGGACCATCCCATCAGGAACATCCTCGGCGACCGAGCGTTTCATCAACGACGTCAATTCGGACTCGCCGTCTGGCAGTAGCAACTCCATCCTCGTGGCCACGGACTGGCTGGGCTTCAACACGACCGACCATGACCACGACGGGGGCACTTCGTACGTCAACATTGCAAGCCTCGACCTCCAAACCTTCACCGAGCGCTTCGCCCTTCTCTTCAACACTTACTGGCACGCGTTTTGCAACCTGCAGGCAATGACACAGTCGGAGATCGGACTGGGCTTCGGCTCTGTGTTCCCTCCGAACGTCATGTTCCAGTCCGTCGACGCCCAGATGATGATCGCCGGCCAGCATTTCGTGGTCAATTTCGCCTTCCTCGCCCTGTACCTGGTGTGTTGCTTGGTCGCCTTGGCTGCAGGTATTCTGGGCTTGATCCTTCAAATCTGGACCCTGGTGCCTGATGTGTTGGGCACGGTCAGCATGCTGGTCAAAGACAATCCTTACACGCCGGTCCCTGAAGGCGGGTCGGCATTGGACGGCCGCGAGTATTCGCGAATAGTCATGAGCTTGCCGGTGAGGCTCTGTGATGTCAGACCCAATGCTCCGGTGGGACATATTGCGTTGACGAGTCTGCACGTCAAGGATGAGGCGGGCATCGTTGCTCCTGTGCAGAGGGGTCGATTCTACCAGTGACTCGCGGCCGACCAGTCCTGGCGGCGCGATCATGATGAAGCTATGAGCATGCGTGACGACGATGACGGATTGTAATTGAATGCGCTTGACGGGTGTCGGTATATGGAAGCCGATGCAGGATTAATACCAATAGGCCTACCCCTATAGTTGTGGTCATGAGCAGCCTGAGCAGGAGATGCGTCTGGGTTCGTTGCGGTCAATCTTATTAATCACATGGTAACGTTGCCTCTTTGGTATGAGCATGAGCATGAGCATGAGCACGAGAATTCCTTAGGCGAATGACATTAATCCACCTTGCCAGTCCAGATAGGACTCTCCCCGTCTGGGAAATAGAAGGAGAAGGTAAGCCGAGAACCAAGTAAAGCGGCAGGAGATATTACGTAACTCGCCGTCATCCCATGCCGCTAAACCCAACAGGGCAGAATGTATGTGTAGACGACAACGACAATGACAACAGGCAACATCCTCCATATGCAGTGGCACTTGGGTACCGCGGTATCTGTTTCTGTATCTGTTTCTTTTCCATTATCAGTTGTAACCCACCAGTCCGACCACTTGTGCCGAGATTGGTGCATCAGCGACCAAAGACCATACGGTACTGATACTGATACTGGTAGACTGGCATCATGCCATACACCAAAGGCACATGTAAGAACAATCACCATTCCATTAATCGCCTCTTGATCCTGATATTGCTTCTGCATCTGACTCTGACTCTAACTCTGCTTCTAACTCTGCTTCTGACGCCAGGGGATACCGGCGAGCAAATCCGTGAGCACAAGCTCGCCTACTCGATCATCAACCTCCACGGCACGGAGGACGCGGTGTTTGACGAGCGCAACCTGGACCTCCTCAAGCGTTTCACGGACAATGTGTCCACGACCACCCGAGACGAGATCCTCGCGGACTACGGCTGGGTCGACCGTCCCGACGATCGGCCAGGCCAGAAAGCCGTCACCAAGAGTGGAAGTCTGGTGGGCATGTTGATCGCTCGCTATGGGACCCGCGAACCCGCACTGGATGAGCACGACTGGAAGCTCTTGGCCGGGTGGATGGGTCAGGGGATGCCCGTCGGCCAGCACGTACAGCGTTGAAGCATTGTGACACAGGCATGAGGGTAAGGGATTATGATACGGACATGGAGCATCACATAATGAGTATGAAGGATTATGACACGGGTATGAAGGGATCCATGAATTGGGATTGTCTTGCCAAGTTAGTCGATCATTTGGGATCAGTGGCGGGTTTTATACCGAGTATATAGGCAGGCGCGGGGCCCCACGCTCGTTTCGTTTCATATCTTGGCTACCTATATTAATCTGTTGTAAGTAAAAGTACCTTGTACTCAACCTTAGATACCTAGCAGTATCAATCATGACAATATGTACGACCTGTACCATGATCGGTCAGTAGAAGCCATATCACGTGCACACTCCGGCCCTGCGCTTTGGTCGCAACACTCCTCTGTAGGTCCTGCCACTTAAACCCCAGCCCCCCAGCAACAGCACCAAGCACCTACCAGTGACCACTACGGGGCACCACTAGCACCGCTAGCACCTGCCATTGTTCAACCAACCCTCCCCTGTTCGCCCAGTCAAGCGCTGCTGTCGCCTCCGAGTCTGTCTTGGGTGTTGGCGCAGGTTCCTTACACCGAAGCGCGCCGGTCGTTTCTCAATCACTCTCTTCTCTCCCTCCCATCATCACAGCAGGATTCGCACCGCCAGTCCAGCGTCCTGTCGCCCTCTACGCTTCCTATCTTGTAGGTTCATCACCTCGAATCCTCCTGTCGTTGCGCTGTCTCGTTGCGCTGTCGTCACCGCGACCAATTCACCTTTGTCTTCCTCCACCCGCAATAGCTTTGACAGACTGGTCACGGTTTGCCAGTCTGCCTTCTTCAATTCTACCTCTCCACGCTTCTTCCTGCGCTGCCTCCATATCTCTTCCAGGTTGTGGCAGCCATACCTGCGGATCTTTTCCTTCTTTTGGAGCTCCCGACTACATTCTTACTTACCATCATGCTGTCCTCAAATCACTTTGTCTTTGACTCTAGTCTAACCTTTGCCATGTTTATCCTTAGCTCTCCAGTCGCCCTGAACCGAGTACGACAAGACGGCATCACATAGCAGCCACCTCGCTCCGCTCTGGAGCCGCAGAGAAAGAGAGCGCCAGCTCGCGACCCAGGCTTTTCTCAGCCATTGAGACACGAACCACATTTGTGACGAGTCGCACAACCGATCCAGCATGAATCCATACGAGGCTTATGGCTCCCCGCCTACTGAAAGATCGCCGCCCAGATATCGGCCACGAGATGAGGAGCCTTACGAGCGGACTGAGCGGACTGACTCATACCGTAGACGGTCTCCAGGTAGGTGGGCTCTCGCCCCGTGGCCCAGCAGCGCTGACATGGAACCAGCGAATGACCGGAGACGCCCGCCTCCGCGCAATCGGTCGCGTTCGCCGGTAGGGATCGATCGGTACCAACCAGACCGTGACCGCGCTCCCCGAGACGATTATTACGAAGCGCCAAGAGCCGCGCCTAGAGACCGCGATGATCGCCGGAGGGCTCCTTCTCCCATTGCTGCCAACATCGACCGCTATGTCCCTGGCCAGGAACCTACCAAGCCGGCCGTCCGGGTCAATCCACTGGCGAATCCACTCTCCCTCGACACGCAGGCTGGGTTTAGCTTCTTTGCCGATTGGTGGCGATGCGAAAATCAGATCAAGGAAGAGAAGGAGCGCGCCAAACACGGCGGACGCAGACCGTCGGATCGCGTCAAGGGCGAGCGCGAGGCCAAGGAAGACCGTGAGAAAGAACGGGCGCAAATCCAGCAAGCATACGACCAGTACAAACAAGAGTTCCAAATCAAGATGGCCAAGCAGTTCGTGCTGCAGCACAAGAACGAAGAATGGTTCAAGGAACGATACGTCCCGGAAACACGAGATCCGATTCGCAAGCGCCTGACGGAATCCCGCGAGGAGGCTTTCGAACGGTGGGTCCGAGACATCGAGACCGGCCTGTTCGACGAATTCACGCTGGAGGGAATCTACAAGAACGATAGTGACGGGGCCGGCGGTATGGTGGAGAAAGAAGAGGGCGAGGCCGTGGGCGGTGGCGAGCTGCTCGGTGTCCTGGACTTGGTGCCCGCTAAAGGTGGCGACTTGAGGGACGAGTCTGTCTACGACCCGGCCCTTCTCATCAAGACGCTGGCGCCCAATGTGGGGCGCGAACGGATCGAGGAGTTCTGCAAGGAGCATCTCGGCGAGGAGGACGGCGGCTTCAAGGGACTGTCACTGAGCGACCCTAACCCGGCGAAGAAGTTTCACCGCATCGGTTGGATCATGCTCAAGCCCGGTCAAGACGATGACGGCGAGGCGATGCAGGAGGTCGAGCGCGGGGATGGCCGCGACGACGACGAGGAGGGCGAAGAGCCGGCCAAGGTGGAGGGCAAGACGGTCGCGGAAAAGGCCCTCGAGCTGATCAATGGCAAGACCATCACCGATCCTGTGAGGGGAGATTTCACGTGCCACGTTGGCGTCCACAACGCGCCGAACGCCCCGCGCAAGAAGGCCCTCTGGGACCTGTTCTCGGCCCCGGAGCGCATCGAGCGAGACTACGAGCTCGCCCGGCGATTGGTCTCCAAGCTCGACACCGAGTTGGGTAAGGACGAAAGTGCCGGAGCCCTGGCTAAGATTGATGCCCGGGTGGAACAGATGCGGAACCAGGGTCTGCTGCAACCTCCGCCGAAGCCGAAGAAGCCTAACTTCGAGGACAACGACGACGAAATCAAGTTTGACGAAGAGGGCGAAGAAGGAGAGGAGAATGAAGAGGAGCAGGACGACGAAGAGCTGCTGGTGATCAAGAAGAAGCTCGACTTGATGGTGGAGTATCTTCGTCGTGTCTTCAACTTCTGCCTGTTCTGCGTCTTTGAATCTGATTCGGTCCATGAGCTCGTCCGGAAATGTCCTGGTGGCCACCTCCGACGCCCGCGAGCGGGCTTGAGTAGCGCAGCCAAGGCCGCTGCCCGAGCCAGTGCTCTGGGGGAGCCGTTCCCGGGCAAGAAGAAGGACGGGAGAAGCGAGACGGGCTACGACGATGAACCCCCCAGTCCCGCCCAGGACAAACGACCCGCCAAGTTCTACAAGAACGACCAACAGCTCCTGCGTGCTTTCAACTGGGTCAAGACCTTTGAAGAGAAGCTGCTCCAGATTCTCGAGCCCGAATACGTCGACTTGAAGAAGATTGGAGGCCGGCCGGTCGAAGAGGCGCTGGACGACGAACTCTCCAAGTTTGTCAAGCAGGAGGATGAGGCCAAGTTCCGCTGCAAAGTGCCCGAGTGCACGAAGCTGTTCAAAGCCGAGCATTTCTGGCGAAAGCACGTCGAGAAACGCCACGAGGAGTGGTTTGTGGCGCTGAAGAATGATGTGAGTGAAACCCCGACCCCGTGGACAACTAGACGTGATGCTGACTCGACCCAGCTCGACCTCGTGAATCGGTACGTGCTGGACCCGGCGCACATCGCACCCTCCCGCTCCGACGCCAATTCGAACGGGCATTTCCCTCTCCCTAGCAGCCACCATCTCAACAACGGAACTCCACGGGGCTTCAGCTTGCAGAACATGGGCATGAACATGTTGAACTTTGGTCAAAACACGGGGCTGGGCCTACCCAACGCGCCGTCGCCTTTCGTCTCGGGCGTGAACTTCAATGCCGACGGTCTGAATGGCAGCCACGGCGGCGGTCCCATTCGGCGCGGAGGAGGCCGATACGGTAACCGCTCTGGACCGTACGACCGAAACCCGCGCAACGGTCAACGTGGATACAACAACGTCGGTTCCATGGTGAGGGGGAATCTGCTGCCTGGCCTCAATCCAGGGTTCATCGCCCAAGGTGGCGGAGGAGGCGGCGGAAAATGGGGCGACGGTGCCGGCGGGGGTATGAACGCCGTCGGACCGAGGGAGGCCGTCCAGGGCCGAAGCATCAAGAGCTACGAGGACCTTGACGCGCAGCCCAACGGCAGTGCAGGTGGCGCTGGAGCTCGTGCCGCTGCGCAAGCCGCCAGCGGTGCCGAGCTGGACTATTGATCTTGCACGCACAATGCGACGAGCCGCTGTAAGAACAAGGAGTGAAGCCAGAAAACCCGCTCGTCAGCAGGTTCGAGGAATGTCGCGATGGGCTGGTCAGCGGTGGTGGTTTGCTTGGGTGATATCATACCGGCGGCAATGGGCATGGCATCTGTTAACCTAGCTGGAGTTGGACGAGGTGACGGGGCTCAAACGGCGCGTTCAAAACTGTCTGTCTGAACAAACACGAAACTACCTGGCCTTTAGTGTAGAAATTGAGAAATTGCACAACCAGATTGAACATGAGGACGGGGAAAACTCGCCGGAGATTGAAACAGGACTCCGACGAGGCTGAGAGAGGGTGCTAGGCGACTCTCGTGAGCTGACAAACAGCCCACTCCATCAATGGATGGGTATTATTGTAGTACTAGTCTGGATACTACCCAACAAACCGACACACGCAGCAAGCACCCAACGCCATCCAGGCCAAACGCAAGGCAGCACCGTCATTTTGACCACCCGCCAAACCAACCAAAGGAACATCCTCGGCGAACACAGGCAGGCCCAGGTCATCCAACATTGCTCATTCCATGGAAACATGTCCAGCTTGGGGCCGGCCCCTCACGTTCTCTTCCGCAAGACCCTGCGCGGCGCGGCGGGCTCGACGACCACCTTTTTGTTCGCGGTCGTGTTGTTTCTCTTCAACGCCGTCTTGGCAGCACTGGCAGCCCGGGCCACGCCTCGTTTGGTGGCGCCCGGGCTTTTTGGCGCAGCCGTCTTGGGCGCGGCAGCTGCTCGAGCCCCTCGTTTGGGTTTGACAACAGTGGTGCTGCTCGACGCCGTGGAGACGTCGGTGGTGGCGCTGTGGTTGCTGGCCTGGCTGAAGGCGCGTTGAGGCGAGGACGGGGCACTGGGCATCGCGGCCAGTCGTGGAGGCGGCAACATCTGCCCCTTGGCCGCCGTCGTGGCCAACTGTTTCTCCTTTGATGCCGTGCGGGCGAGCTTCGATGCGGTGCCGCGCTTTGCGTGCTCAATCATCCCGTGCACGGAGGCGGAGATGGCAGAGGTCGCGGCCGTCGCGGCCGTCTTGAGCGGTGACGCCGGTTTAAGGGGGGAAACGGGGCGGGCGATCATGCTCTTGGCCGGCGAGGACGGTGCGGCGAGCGAATGGTCTTTGACCGGCGACCGAGGCAGGGTCCTTGAGTTGTGCGATCTGGGTGACAGCACCGACGTGGCCTTGCCCGTTCGTGAGGCCGTCCGGGTGACGGCTTTGGCGCCGGCTTTGGCGCGCTTGCTGTTCTTTGCCACGGGGAGTTGGTCCATGGTGTCATTTTCTTTGTCTGACGCGATGTAGATCCCGGAGCTCTTGCGCTTCTGGCCCCGAGTGACTGTCGGCTGCGGCCGTGGCCGGGTAGGAGAAGGCGGCTTCGATGTGTGTTGCTGCGGCAGCGCCGGGAGAGGCCTCTCTTTCGAGACCAAGGCTTGCATCTTGGACGGCGAGGGTCGATGGTGATACTGGTTTGGAGGTGCCACTGTCTTGGTGGCCTCGTGTTGTGCCATCAAGTCCCCCATGGTCATCTTGCGGACGGCGATGGGGATACGATTGACGCGTCGTGCGATCCTGGCACGCAGGTCGGCGCATTGGAGAGCATAGCCGGCGCGCAGCTGCCGGGCTCGTTCGGTGACTAGGAGATTCGTGTCAGTCGGCTGTGTTGTGCTGCACTGTCCTTGACAGCCGGGGGCTTCTTCTCTCTCACTTTCAAGTTGCAAGTTGTCCATCAGCGCCTGTTTCTGAGTCTGGGTGATTCTCATCCTCTTTTGTGCAGGGCTGCCGCTGGGAGTGGGAGTGGCTGCGCGTGGAGACTCCTCCATTTCATCCGACTTTCTCTTGCGTGGACGTGTGGGTGCCATGGTGAATGGTCAGCTGTGACAGTCGATGCTGGGAGTGCTTGTGCTTGTGCAAGTGCAACAACAATGGACGATCAATGATGCTGAAATTGAAGGGCACAGCCAGGTCTGGCGGACGTGGTCGTGGTCGTCTGCTTCAAGTTGTTCCAGGTTGAGATGCGGGTAAACAAACCAGCGAGCTAGTTCTATCTAATCCTAGCGGCTTGGCGGGCACGCATCGCAGCCGCAGCCTGGCACTGAACCCAACCCTAACCCTAACCCTAACCCTAACCCTAACCCTAACCCTTACACTGGGTGGTCGTAGCAGTAAAAGTGATTAGTAGTAGGTACGCATGTAGTGATTAGTACTCCGTAGTTGTCGCAGTCTTATTGATTGGTAATTGATACTGGTACTGGTGGTGATTCTATTTCTATTACTACAGCTACTACTTACTCCCAACATGAGCTGCTAGGTGAGAAGCTGGTCACGATATACCAGTACCACCAGTACCACCAGCAACTAGGTACGTGTGCCGCCCGAGGGAAGCAGTAGCAGGAGCTGACTCTATGGGCCAAGAAAGAAGTCCCTCCTACCTTCCCTCTCGCCCTCTCGTCCTCCTCCAAAAGGCCTGAAGGATCTCGCATCTCAGATCTCAGAGCCAGTCTTCTTTCTGATCATGCCGTGCGCTGTCAACCTTGGGCTGCTCCAGCTTTGGCCAGCCTCACCCAGCACCCAGGACACAGAAAGAAGGTGTCGTTGATCTCATCAGTATTGGCATACGGCTCATTTCGCTCATGCAAGGACAATGTCGAGTTTCATGTCGGCCAAGATGTCCTGCCAGCGCACATCGTCCTGGCTCACCTCGCTGTCCCTGCGCCGCCAGACTTCCTGTGCCACATCCTTGGAGATTTCGAGGTTCATGAAACCATGCCGCCGTTTCAGTCGGTACCATGCAAGCACACGGGCTCGCAGCTCGGGGCACTCACACTCGCAGGCCACGACCAGCGGCGGCCAGATGAGTGTGCACCCGACCGTGTCCGCACCGAGCCGCTCAATTTCCTCCAAATGGTCGACCGCGCGCTCCACGAGATCCTGTAGCGCAGCCGGGGCCGTCTGTCGCACCGCTCGCTGGAAGTGGATGAGACTGGCGTAGTAGAAGACATAGGCATGGTGTCGAGCCAGTTCTCGCGCCTGAGGGTCGTCGAGGCCCTCGAGGTTGAGATGCTCGGGCGTGGGTGCACGGAGCTCGCTCTCCAGCTTGTCCAGTAAGGCCGGGTGCAGGTTCTGCGCCGACGCATCTCGCAGCAGCGCATTCACCCGCACAATGTGTTGCAGGATCGGTCGAGTCAAGCCAAAAAACCGGTCGAGGACGTAATCCTCACATGCGTCCGAAGCGACGTCGATGGTGGATGGCAGGTCGATATTGCACAGCGCCGCGACCGCCAGGTAGCTCTGGTAGATCATGGACGAGCTCTTGTCCCGTTTCCAGAGTTGGTCCTGGCTCGTGGCCAGCAACGACGCCCCGCCCTGAAAATGCGTCCGCCATTCCGACGAGCGGCCGGTAATCATGTCCATCACTGAGAACATGGTGATGGTGGCGATGATGGCGTCGCGCTGCCCGTCAGCGTCGTCGCTCGTCAGGTTCGCGAGGCTGTGTCGAAGGTGCAAGATGGCCAGGTGATAGTGTTTCCCCGCCAGCGTCAACGCCCTGGCATCGTTGGAAAGCTGCCCTCGACTGTACGCTGACGTCGCGCAGAGCGAGTGGAACAGGGCGATCTGGCCATTCGACTCGCAGGAGAGACTGTTGAGGCCTGCCAGTGCCATCGGCGTGAACACGCTTCGAAACGGATTGTCTGGGCGGTCGACGGGCACCAAGTGCCACGAGACAAAGGTGACCCAGTGGTGGATGAGTTGGCGCTGTTCGGCTGGTCGAGGCAAGAGATCGAGGTGGCGAGATATCGATGGTGACCAATACTCGGCCGGTGAGCTGGGCTCGGCCGTGAAGGGCAACACGACGATTTCGCCGGCGTCTTGCTCGTCGCCATGGTCGTGGTCAAGTGAGTGGACAGAACTGCCCGACAGGCACTCAGTGTCGGACAGCACGACGTCGTCGAATTCCAGTGGTTCATCGAAGTTGCTCTCCCTCGTGTCTGTTTCTTCGTGCACGGAAAAGACGGAGAACGGGCCGATCGAGCAGGCCTCGCCCTGATCCAGCCGGTCCAATGCATCTTGGACATCGACCTTGATGAAGGCCGAGTCGTCGTGGTACAGAACCGGGGCGCTGACCACGCGTCTGATCTTTTGCTCCCATCCGCGTGTTTCCGGGTCGATCCAGACGAGTTTGATCCCATAGCCGTGGCAGACAAAGCCGCCTTTCAAACATCGGGCGCAGCTGGGCCGGCCTTCGTCGCACTTGACATGGCGCTCGCGACAAGTCCAGCATCCGGAGAAGGTCTTGGTCGCGCGCTTCGGTTTCGAGACTGTTGTCGACCTGGGCATCGGAAGGAGACACGATGGTCATTCTTGAACGCCGTCCAGGAGTCTGGTTGCTGTAAGCAGTCTCGGCTGACACGATATCTGATATCGGTTGGGGCACCTCGGCCCTAGAGCGAATTTGGCCCACTGCATGCACATTGCACAATGCACACCCCTCCTCGGCGTCCGTCCTGTTCCTGTTCCTGTATGGGCGCCGCCTCGCCACAGGTGGATTTGTGCGAATCGACCGGAGAGGGTTTGCGTCATCACGACAAGGGAGGCACGGTCGGAGGGAAAGACCAATCGCACATGGGCGGTCGAGGCCGTGTACACTGTACAGAGTACCTTATGGAGTACGTCTCCTCCGCGACCGCCGTTATGTGGACCTTTGATGCTACGGACAGTGTACAACGGAGAGATTGCAGGCGAGCTGAGGTGATCGGCGTGCAGACTCACACTTCGACCGCGATAACAAACACACGCTATTCTGATTGGTCCCCTTTCTGTACCCAGACCAGATTCCTCCTATTAACGACTAGGATATAGGAAATCCGGACAGGGGCGCATGGTGGGTACCACGTCGAGCTGGCCCATTGGCTCTCGTCCCAACTAGGGTCAGGGCCACTACCCTTTCGCCGCTGGGCTGCCTATCACGGCTAGTACAGAGTCAGATGTGAATGGGGCTCCTGTTGAATAGACTTTGGCGCAGTCACCGTCACTCCTCCTCCAGTGTCCACCGGAGAGCAGCGCACCATGGCCACCGAATGCGGTGGAATACAGCCAGGCACCCCGGCAATTGCCGGTCACTCTACAGAAGGCCTCCTGATCGCCAGGCACAGTTGCTCGAGTAATGAATCAAAACCAGGACATCTTGATGTCCAATCGAGAAAAATTATGTACAAGGTCCTCCGAGGGACTCAGCCTCGCCCTTAGGACGCAGCGGCCTTCTGCTTCATGTAGTCGTCAAAGTTCAGCACCGCCTTGCCCAACACCAACGCGCTCTCGGCGCAGTCCTCCTTGGACGTCCACTCCTTGGGCGAGTGGCTGATGCCGTCCTTTGCGCGTGCAAACACCATGGCGGTCGGGCACAGTAGCGTGGTCATGGTCGAGTCGTGTCCGGTGCCGGTGCGCGAGGCAATGCCCTTGTCCCCGCAGGCCCGCCTGACACAGTCGATGGCCTCGGGCCAGAAGTTGCCCGGCAGGAGGTGGACGGTCCGGTCGGTCTCAGCCTCCAGACCATGCAGCGAGGCAATGCTCTTGACGCGCTCCATGATGGCCTTGCCCATCGCCTCCAGCCCTTCGGCCTCCTTGTGCATCAGGCAGAAGGTGATCTTGGTCTTGGACTGGATGTTGCACGCGCCCCACGGCCGGCTGTGCATGCCGGTGACGGTGGTCGCGCCGTTCTTCTCGTACGCCAGCTTTTCCAGCTCGCAGATGAGTTTGGCGGCGCCGGTCAGCGCGTCCCGTCGGCCGTACATGGGGTAGGTGTTGGCGTGGCCGTCCTCGCCGTGGAAGATGACGTCGTACCAGGTCATGCCTTGCCAGCCCTCCACCCAGCCGACGGGCTTGCCAGCCTTCTCCAGGTCGGTCGACTGCTCGCAGTGGATCTCAAAGTGCGCCGAGATGGGGAACTCTTCAAAGGTGTTGGGACCGTCGCCGACGTAGCCAATCTTGGCCAGCTCGCCGCCCATGGTCAACTCCGAGGCGTCGTTGGACTTGGCCGCCTGTGCCTGCTCGATCGTGGAACGGCCGGCGTAGACAATGGAGGAGCCCAGCAGGGGGAAGAACCGCGCGCCTTCCTCGTTGGTCCAGTTGATGAGGACGACGGGGGCCCGAGTCTTGATGCCTTGTTCCTTGAAGCTGCGCATGACTTCTAGGGCACCAATCACCTGTGAACGGTCAGCGTTGGGCCACATTGGGCGGGCTGGGCATTAAGACTGACTCCAAGTGGTCCATCAAACCTCCCGCCGGTCGCGACGGTATCAAGATGAGAGCCCATTGCGATCGGAGGAATGCTGTTGTCCTCTCCCTCAAACACGCCAAACTGGGTGCCCGTCGCGTTGACCTGGTCTTGTCAGCGGCCGCGGTCTGGTCCCGATCGCATCATGCGTGCACCGACCTTGTAGTCCGCCCCAAGTGCGAGCAGCTGGTCGCGGAACCAGTCGCGGACCTTCTTGTCGTTCTCGTCCGCACAGAGACGAGTCACGCCGCCGGGCGAGGGGGCACTCCATTGCGCAGTGTAGTGAATGTCTTGCCTGGAAACGAGCTCTCGTCAGCAGAATCCCACTCCGGTCGGTGTGGTGGCGGCTACTGACCATAGGCGATCCCCGTTGATGCTGAGCTTCTCCGCCAACGGCGCGTTTTGCACGCTCGCATATGCGCGCAGGCCGGTCAACCGAAGAGAGAGGCTCTTGCTGGCCGCGATCGACCCTCGACCGACGACGGCGCGAGTGAGAGAGCGACTGAACATCTTGAACCACGGATGCGGGGGATGAGTAGAAAACGGCTGGTGTCGGGGGTTCGTGAGGACGAGGAACAAGGCACGAGAGAGAAGTCCTTCGAGCTGAGAGGGCGGACGCTGTTTACATCGGTCTCTAAGTACTTCGCCGACCCTCTCGTCGCGTCTGCCTGGGACAACCTCGACCCGCGCGGCCTCACCATTCTGCCGGAGCCCTGGACGCTTATCTCTTGTGTGCCAGACACGAGGACCCCACGGAAGGTATCAATCGTTCTCGGCGGCGGTGGTCCTGGGAGGACGGGGTCGACAAGTGGTGATAACAAGCAGCTCGAGGCCTTGGATTGGCAGACAGGCCTCTGGTCCCGATATTGCGGGCTGGCATCGATGGACGACGAGCAAAGGACAGGGCTGATGCTCACCTCCGCCTTGATAACGCCCTTATTTTGCGGATCCCACAAGGCTCCAATGGGACTAGCGGAGCCTGAGGAGCCTCTAGGATCCCTGACCGGGGGGGTGTTCGGCCACTGAGCCGCCGTGGACCAACCCACACCCCTTATCAGGGCCTTAGGCCTTTACCGACTATGGATCATTGGATATCCAGATACGCCGTAGAACCGTCTTAACGTTCTCCCGCAGCTACGGCGCCAGATCGCGTGGGTCGGCCACCTCGTCATGGCTTGCCTCGTCGCTCACCACACGAGATGATCATCGCCAGTTTCTTCCACCACAGACGGTGCCCGAATACGGCAGGCCGAAAAGGTCGCCCAGGTCGTCATGGCTTTCCACCTTGTGCGCTATCTTATCATGGTGTTTGATGCCTGCTCCACCACGATAGACGACGTTGATCAATCTTGTTGGTGTTTCTTGACACACCAGGACACTGCTACGAGCACGACACCGCGCTTGACGAGATGAGACGAGACGAGACTCTGATAACAGACCTCGACAGCCGGGAAACAACGCAATATCATTGTGTACAGGGTCTGCGTGATGCCCCACTGGTCTCACGGCCACATGGCCACACGACAGTTGGTCCAGCAGATGCATTCTTGTTGATATAAGGCGCCTGCAGCACGACCAACTCCCCTGACCCTCCTGACTCTCCTGCTCAGGATCGCATCGCATCGCATCACATCGTCCAGCCATTCGAGAGAGTCGTGTCGTGCTGCTTCTTCACCATGTCCAGCGCAGTGCAGCCCATTCTCCCCCAGGGCGTCGGCTATGGCGTCGTCATTGGAATCGGGTTCTTCTTCGCCCTGGTTATGTCGGGCGTCTCGTATCTGCAGGTATGTTTGGACGTCCAGTCCCCCCGGCGCACCGCGGCTGGCGCAGGCTGACCGAGATAGAATCGCTATACCAAATACTCCACCAAGATGAGCGAAGAGTTCAACACGGCCAGTCGCAGCGTCAAGCCCGGGCTCATCGCCAGCGGCGTCGTCTCGGCCTGGACCTGGGCCGCCACCTTGCTGCAGTCCAGCACCGTCGCCTACGAATACGGCGTGTCGGGCCCCTTTTGGTACGCGGCGGGCGCGACGGTGCAGATTTTCATGTTCTCGGTGCTGGCCTGCAAGGTCAAGCAGAACGCGCCCCGGTGCCACACCTTCCTGGAGATCATCTACTACCGCTACGGCACCTTGACGCACTTGGTCTTCATCTTCTTCGCCCTGATGACCAACATCCTGGTCGCCTCCCAGCTGTTGCTCGGCGGCAGCGCGGTCGTCACCACCCTGACCGGCATGAACGTCTACGCGGCCGTCTTCCTCATCCCGTTGGGCGTCGCCGTCTACGTGGTGCTGGGCGGCCTGCGGGCCACCTTCCTCTGCGACTATTCCCACACCGTCGTGGTCATGATCATCATCCTGTACTTCATGTTCTCGGTCTACACCTCCAACGACCTGATCGGCTCCCCAGGCAAGATGTACGACCTCCTGGTGCGCGCGGGCGAGCTGCGGCCGGTCGACGGCAACCAGAACGGGTCCTACCTAACGCTCAAGTCCAACTACGGCCTGATCTTCGGCGTCATCCAGCTGTGCTCCGGCATGGGCACCGTCTTCCTCGACCAGGGCTACTGGCAGCGCGCCATCGCCAGCCGGCCGACCACGGCCGTGCGCGGCTACATCATGGGCGGGTTCGCCTGGTACGCCATCCCGTTCGGCTTCGCCACCACCCTGGGCCTCGCCGCGGTCGCGCTCACCGACAACCCGGCGTATCCCACCTACCCGAACAACATGACCTCGTCCCAGGTCTCGGCCGGCCTGTCCGCCCCATTCGGGGCGGCGGCCTTGCTGGGCAAACACGGCTGCATTGCGCTCCTGATCACCCTGTTCATGGCGGTGACGTCCTCGTCCTCGTCCGAACTGATTGCCGTGTCGTCGATTCTGACCTTCGACGTGTACAAGGTCTACATCAAGCCGAGCGCCAGTCCCAAGGACCTGATCTTCGTCTCGCACATCATGATCTGCTTCTTCGCCCTCGTCATGGCCGCCTTTGCCTGCATCTGGAACGCCATCGGCATCGATCTGGGCTGGCTTTTCCTCGTCATGGGCCTCTTGATTGGCGGCGCCGTCTTCCCCGCCGCCTTCGCCGTCACGTGGAAAGGCCAGACCCGGGCCGGCGCCGTGTCGGGCGCCCTGTCCGGCCTGGCCGCCGGCCTCATCGCGTGGCTGGTCGAGGCCAAGGTGCACTTTGGCGAGCTCACCATCGCCACCACCGGTGCTTCCTACCCGACCCTGGCCGGCAACATGGCTGGCGTGCTGACCGGCCTGATCGTGACCACCGTCGTCTCCCTGGCGAGGCCGGACAACTTTGACTGGTCCGTAACACGCGACATCAACGCCCCGTCTTCCCTCTACGGCGACGTGGTACCGGGCCCCAACGCCGCCGGCACCGACGCCACACGGGCGGTCGAGTCCCGGGCCGAAGAGCTCGAGCCCAAGGACCCTAACCACAACGCCAACCTGCCCACGGTCGTGGACGAGGAGAAGGAGGAGGCTGAGGACGCGGCGGTGCTGGACAACCCACAGTCGCTACAGCGCACCTTCATGTTCGCTCTGATCCTGTCCACGGTGCTCTCCGTCACCATGGACTTTATCATCCCCATCCCCATGTTCCTCAGCCACTACATCTACTCCAAGGGCTTCTTCACCTTCTACATCGTCATCAGCTTCATCTGGGTCTTTGGCGCCTTCGGCCTGTGCGGCATCCTGCCCATCTGGGAGACTCGCCGCTTCTGGCGCGAATTCCTGGGCGAGATCTTCACCGGCAAGAAAAAGGTTGTCACCGGTGTCAGCCCAGCCGATCCCAAGGCCGTCTCCGAGAAGTCTGCCAGCGGCTCCGTCACCCCGAATGCGAACCAGGGCGGCGGCGTCGAGGAGATCAAGGGTTGATGAGGTCGAGTCGTCTTGGATATTGCAGGCGGGGTTGCTGTCGGCGTCCGCTCGACGTGGAGAGAGAGTGGAGTGAGGAAACAGTCAAAATAGGGGTGCGAGAGTGGTCATTAGACCTGCCTAGTTAGAAGGAGATCATGTTCCACCTTGAACATGAAGGCCGGAAATCGAAGTTCTTGAGCGAGACATAGACTTATACTAGCAGAACCTCGGGGCTCTAAAGATATCCTGCTGAGCGAAGCGAAGTAGTAGAAGCTACATACGTTGTCGATCTTGCAGAATCTAAAGACGAAGATTTATTTCGACGATGATACCATTCTAGACTCGACTAGAGTCCATGTTTCATGTTTTCTTTTCGCATCGGGAGCTGTAGTGTAGTGTAGGTCCAAGAGAGAGTCAGTCCAGTCTGCCATCACCATCAGCATCACCATCAGGCTTTCCTACCAAGACATCACTCATCACTCGTCACTGGTCATGTTAATTGGGCCTGGGCATGGCTTCCTCCGCAAGTGGAAGTGGTCTGAGACACATGGCTCGGTTAAAATGTCTCCATCTTGACGGGGTAACATGTTGCTCTGCCACAGTCTGCACTGCACGGCACTCCCTAGTTCCCGTTCCAACAACTCGCCTTTTTCTCTCAAGCAGCATATCCGCCGATATGGAACCCGCCTCTTATCTCGTACGGAAGATGACGAGCCGCGCCCAACAGGCGCATCTTTCGTAAATTCCGCTGCCACTGCAGCAGAGCAGAAATTGTCAACAGAATTCCGCTGCCACTACAGCAGCCCAGAATTTGTCAACAGACTAGCGCGTGCTCGGGGACTCTGCTGTGCGGCCGCGATTGCGTGCCATCATGGATGGCATCCGCCGGCTTCCGTAGCCGTAGCACGCGGTAGGGTAGCGGTCAAATCGACGTGAGCTTGACATCGAAGATAAGGTCAATCAATCCCAATCATCATCGTCGTCGTCCTCATCGTCGCCGGCAGCGGGCTTGCTGCTTTCATCGTCGCTATCCTTACGTCTGAGCCGCATGTCGTTCTCTTGGATGGCACCGACGTCGACGAGAATGCCTTCAAGGTCCCGTAGATTGGTCTTTGGGCCGTTCAATTCTCTGAGCGTGACCAGCTGGCGCTTGATGTCGCCGTCCTTGTAGACGAGAATGGTCGGCGTGTTTTTCTCCGGATATCCCTCGATGCAGAGGTTGGCGCGAATCTCGCAGAACTTGACGTCGCCAAATTTGGCCGCGGCCTGCCTCCAGAGGTCGGAAAGGACCCTGGATTCCACATTCGTGCCCAGCGACGAGGTCAGGTTGACCAGCACAAAGGCCTTGTTGCTCTCCTCGGTCACGTCTCGGGCATAGTCGGGCTTCTGGAGAGGAAACACCTGGCCGTACACGCTCTTGCGCTGGAGACGGGAGAGCTCGGCCAGGCGACGCTGGCGGTACTGGTCGAGAAACTCCTCGTCCTCTTCGTCCTCCAGCTCGTGCAGTTCGTCCAGGTCTTTGTCCTCCAGTCGGTTCTCGTGCGCTCGCTTCTGAGCTTCCAGCAGCGCCTCCTGGATCAGGGGCTCCGGGTCTTTGGGCTTTTCTGGAATCACCCCATGTTTACGCAAGATGTCGTTCCTGTAGCTCGCTCGTTAATGGGTCATTCCGTCAGGCTGGGCTTTTCTGCCCTGGCGCCGAGAACAGCCGGGTCGCAGATGGGCGGGCACCTACCATTCAGTATCGGCGTTGGGATCATCCACAGGGACATTCACCGGCATATCCATGTCCATTTTGGCTGTGCGGTAGCGGTTGCGGTGCTGGATGAGAGAGGAAGCAGTGGTATATGAACGGGTGACTGGTGACTGGTGACTGGAAGATGTCCGTGGTGTGTAGTTGTAGTGTCAGGCTCTTAGTCTCAGCCACAATGTGGCGGTGAGATCTGTGGCTGATGCTGAGGACACCTGCGCCTGCGCCTGCACCCACCGCACCCGCACCCGCCAGACGCCAGACGCCAGACGCCTAAGAGGAGCAATTTATTTGGCAAGGACACGTTCGACACTCCTCTGATCGACTTGCTGGGACGGCCTCCTCAAATTGACAATTGACCTTCTACCCCTGCCCTGCGTGTAACTACATCTACGTCCACAGTTCTCTCCAGCCCGTTCCACCGTCGCCTTCATGTCCTCCGCGGGATGATTCGGCGGTAGTGCACTCCAAGACACGTTCACCCTTCACCCTTGACTCGACCGCCCTGCCTCGGGCATCCTCATCACCCTGAGCCTGAGCCTGAGCCGGACGACCAGATCACTCACAATGAGTTACGCAAAGAAGGACGAGGACGCCGACCATACCGGCTTCAAGCTGGACCGCACTGCGGTATTCCAAGACGGTAGCAATGCCCTCCCTGACTGAAAGCGTGGACTCCCAACTGACCTGACCCGCCGCGCTCCAGCTCGACTGTTCAACTCGTCCCCCATATCACCGCGAAAATGTCGGACCCTTCTGACCAAGATTGCCGTGCTTCTCTTCACGGGCGAGAAGTTCCCGACCAACGAAGCCACCACTCTGTTTTTCGGCATTTCCAAACTGTTCCAGAACAAAGATCCCTCCCTTCGTCAGATGGTGTATTTGGTCCTGAAAGAGCTCGCACACACCGCCGAAGATGTCATCATGTCCACGAGCATTATCATGAAGGATATGACGGTGGGCAGTGAGATTGTGTACAAGGCAAATGCCATCCGTGCTCTGTGCCGAATCATCGACGCGACCACCGTCCAGGGCATTGAGCGACTGATCAAGACCGCGATTGTCGACAAGTCTCCGGCCGTTTCCTCGGCCGCCCTGTTGTCCTCGTATCACCTGCTTCCCATCGCGAGAGACGTGGTCCGGAGATGGCAGAGCGAGACCCAGGAGGCGGCCTCGTCGTCCAAGTCAGGAGGTGGCTTCCTCAGCTTCTCCACCGGCTCATCCCACTCACTTGCCGCGGCCAGCACCAATTACATGAACCAGTATCACGCCATCGGCCTCCTCTATCAGATGCGCTCGCACGACAGAATGGCTCTGGTCAAGATGGTCCAGCAATACGGGGCGGCCGGGGCCGTGAAGAGCCCGGCGGGAGTCATGATGCTGGTCCGACTGGCTGCTCGGCTCGCAGAAGAGGACCCGAGTCTTCGAAAACCCATGATGCAAATGCTCGACACCTGGCTCCGCCACTCGAGCGAGATGGTCAAGTTCGAAGCGGCCAAGGCCATCTGCAACACGCCCGATGTGACCGACGCCGAGGCTGCACAGGCCATTCACGTCCTGCAGTCATACTTGACTTCTCCACGCGCGGTCACCAAATTCGCCGCCATCCGGATTCTGCATGCCTTTGCTTCCTTCAAGCCGCAGGCGGTGCATTCGGCGAACCCCGATATCGAAGCCCTGATCTCCAACAGCAACCGATCCATCGCCACTTTCGCCATCACCACTCTTCTCAAGACCGGAAACGAAGCCAGCGTCGATCGTCTCATGAAACAGATCTCCAGTTTCATGACCGAGATTACCGACGAGTTCAAGATCACCATCGTCGAGGCGATCCGGACCCTTTGCATGAAGTTCCCCAGCAAACAGGCCGGCATGCTTACCTTCTTGAGCGGCATTCTCCGCGACGAGGGCGGCTACGAGTTCAAACGCGCCGTGGTGGAGAGTATGTTTGATCTGATCAAGTTTGTCCCCGGCAGCAAGGAGGAGACGCTGTCCCACTTGTGCGAGTTCATCGAGGACTGCGAGTTCACCAAGCTGGCCGTCCGGATTTTGCATCTCATCGGGGTGGAAGGACCCAAAACGCCTCAGCCCACTAAATACATCCGCTACATCTACAACCGCGTCGTTTTGGAAAATGCCCTCGTCAGGGCGGCCGCAGTGACGGCCCTGTCCAAGTTTGGAGTGGGACAGAAAGATCCCGAGGTCAAAGAGAGCGTCCGAGTGCTTTTGAAACGATGTCTGGACGACACGGATGACGAGGTGCGGGACAGGGCGGCTCTGAATCTGCGGTTGATGCAAGAGGACGACGACATTGCCGAACGGTTTATCAAGAAAGATACCATGTTTTCTTTGTCCACCTTTGAGCACAAACTCGTCATATACGTCTCGGCCGACGACAAATCTATCTTCAGCCAGCCCTTCGACCTCAACTCGGTGCCGGTGGTGTCGCAGGAGCAAGCCTTGGCCGAGGAACGAACGAAGAAGCTGACGACCGCCACCCCTACTCTGAAGGCTCCCAGCACAGGAGCGACGAAACCAAAGGCCAATGGCTTCGCAGAGACGCCGTCGGCGGCTGCAGCGGCTCAAAAATACACGCAGATTTTCTCCAGAATACCCGAGCTTGCCGCCTATGGACCTGTCCTCAAGTCGAGTGACGTGGTCGAGCTCACCGAGAGTGAGACCGAATACGTGGTTTCTTCCGTCAAACACATATTCAAGGAGCACGTGGTTATTCAGTATGACATCAAGAACACGCTCGATCAAACGGTGCTGGAGAATGTCACCGTTCTGACATCGCCGTCGGAGGATGAGGAGCCGAGTCTGGAGGAGGAGTTCATCATTCCTGCGACCGCCTTGAAAACCAACGAGCCTGGCGTGGTCTATGTGGCTTTCAAGAAGCTGGGAGGCGAGCAGTCGTTCCCGACCACGACATTCTCCAATGTTCTCAAGTTCACCAGCAAAGAAGTCGATCCGACAACGGGTGAAGCTGAAGAAGGTGGCTACGAGGACGAATACGAAGTGGAAAACCTCGAGCTCACCGGCGCGGACTTTGTGCTGCCTGCATTTTCCGGCAGTTTCGACCACATCTGGGAAGGAACCGGCGCCAATGGCGAAGAGGCCAGTGAGACGCTACAGCTGGCGACCATCAAGAGCATAACAGGTGAGTTTGACTGCGAATGCGCCTGTCCTGTCCGTCCGAGTCGAAGAAGCAGCATGCTAACCAGGTCGATTCCACTTTCACAGATGCGACGGAACAACTGGCCCAGAGTCTCAGCCTGCAGCCTCTGGAGGGCACGGACGTGGCTCTCTCGAATACGACGCACACACTCAAGCTGTACGGCAAGTCTGTCACGGGTGGACGAGTCGCGGCGCTCGTCAAGATGGCATACTCTGCAAAGTCGGGCGTGACGGTCAAGGTTTCTGTTCGGACGGATGAAGCGGGCCTGGCGACGTCAGTCATCTCTGTTTTGTTGTAGGACAAGATTACGATTTTGTGAGAGTGTGAATGCCATGCCCATGCCCACTTTAAGCAGGGACATGAAGAGGTAGAGCTGACGGAGGCATCACGATCAACAGCAATGCGTGTCGTGACAAGCTGCGGGAGGACTTGGGGCTTGGCTTGGAGCTTGGACGCGGGATAGTCTAGTCATGGCATGAAGAAATGCCGGACGATATAAACGGAGTATGCAGTATGCCTCTCGAACCTGAACCTAAACTGAACCTGAACCTGAACTGGACTCTGACTCCTGAACTGGACTCTGACTCCTGAACTGGACTCTGACTCCCGAACTTGACCCTGAACCCGAACCTGAACCCGAACCTGAACCCGAACCCGAACCTGAACATGAAGCCAAGGCCGACGGATCGAGATGTAATTGAAACAATGTATGTCTTGGGAAGCGGAAGCGGTGCAGAGCGGTTTTCTCTCTTCAGGCTCTATCTATCTAATTAATTGTGATCAACTAGTTAACTGGCAACCAACGGCGTAGGCTTAAGCCGCTTTCGACATGGAGGGCATGGCGGGCATGGCGCAGTTGCTGTTCGATTGCTCGGTGGCACTGGTAGGACATCAGACATCAGACATACGACATGACATCACGACATGGAACTGTACTGAGGGCTTAGGAGGCACCTACGCCGAGGAGAAGAAAATCGAAAATCGGAAACCAAAAACCGAAATCTGTGGGAATCAATCGCATGCGCATACGCATCTGCATACGCCAACGCCTCGCATACGGCGAACTCATATAGTCTAGTCTAGTCTTCGAGTCAAGTCCTCTTTTTAGACCTGCCCTTCTTCGCACTGGTGGTGCTGAGCACGGCTGATGGTTCAGTGGCCGTGGACAAGGTCTCAGTCTTGGTCTCTTCAGGCCCATCATCTACCTTCAGCGGGATCGTCGTGGCGCTGTGCGTGCTCTTCTTTCCTTGGCTCGCCTTCTCCTTCTCATTCTCCGCCAGACCCAGGACCTCGATATTGTTGGCCAGCCAGGCCTGCAGGTCTTTCTTCTGGAGATAGCCGTATGTATTGAACCACTGGGTGAACGAACCCTCGATCTCCTTGTCTTCCCACTTCTTGCCCGACGGCGCCTCGTACGTGACTTTGAGTTTGTATGTCGGGTCGTATTTCCGCGTCGAGGATTTCAGGGTCAACTAAATCATGTCATGATCGCGGTCAGCAGAATGCACGGGCACGGCATCTTCCCCCTTTCCTCTTCCATTCTGTTCTCTGATGCCTTGAACACACGACATCTATGGATGCTGGTCTGATGTTGACGACATCTATGGATGCTGGTCTGATGTTGACGACATCTATGGGTGCTGGTGTGATGTTGGGATTGCGGATCACCTACCTTCTGACCTCCCTCCCTAGTGCCCACGAAGACGACGCCCGCTTCAACAGCCCATATCCAGTAGGTCAAGGCGCCATTCAGCGCAAAATATGCCAGGCACGCGGGGCCGGTGTAGGCCTTTGTGGCGTTCCATCCGAGTTTGTAGTCTGCGTAGAACAGCACGCCTGCAATGATGACGGCCGTGTACCCGAGCGCCAGACGCACGTTGGTCGTCGAGTGCTGTTGCTGGAAGGTATAGGGTTTGGGGAGCGACGTTAGGTACGGGGTGAGCGCATCGTCCGTCGCGTTCTTCAGGTCTGCCAGCCGCGAATTGCGTCGTTAGTCAGGTCAGGTCTAGTCTGATGGCTTGCAGTCCACCATCAATGTCAAGAGACCGCATGAAGCCCGCGTACCGTTGGCCGAGTAAAGCGACACTTTCTGCGGAGAGGAGGACATTGTCGCCGACTATGGCAAAAGCGAGAGCTGCGGTGGTGGTGGTGCGCGTGGAAGGGCGTTACAGGCACGCCTGTATCATTGTTCTCGGAGAAGCTTGCTTGCCTGACCAGATGGACAAGCAGGACGATGTCGAAGATGGGCGAGGACACGATGTCCAAGTTGAAGTTCAGGGCGCAAGGCTCCAAAGTCTGGGGAACTTAGAACTTCTTGGCGCCAGAAGAGGAGGCAGTACTCTGCAGTAGTCTTGGTACGGAGGACCGGAGGACCACCCAAGCCTTAACCCCTGAGCCTTAGGCTTAGGCCCCTTTGACGCCGCTTTGACGCACCGCTCACCCTCACTCTCTATCGCTCTGTACAGCTAAGTGAGTCTGCTCACACCCTATTACTTCGCATTCAACTCAGCTCGTCGTCGTCCCCGACCATCCTCCAGTCTCGACGGTACATCCGTAAAAATACAATGACTACGGCATTGCATGAATCCTTTACAAAGAGTCGGCGGAATACCCACGCAACCAATCATGAACGACAACGACTTTTCAATGAACCGTTTGAACCTTGCTCTCGACCTGCTTTTCCGACACGAAAGCTGCAGCAAATCCATATGTTTTGTACCCCTGGCTGTAGTCTTTTCCGACGACGCGTTCTGGCAAAGACAAAGTTAGCGAACAAAACAACACACACACGCTCCCAAACTTGATGGTGGAGTCTGCCGCCGTCGCCGCCACTCACCATTGTCCGGCGGGAAATTCTCCCTCCGGTGCGCATAGTACTTTTGCCTGAGGTTCTCACCGTCACTCTTCCTATGGTAAGTCGCGTAGATGCTGCTGCGGTTGCTATCGGTCCGGTTGGGCCCACTGCGGTGTGCCAGATGGCTACCGAACAACAACATGTCGCCCGGGTGCAGAGGAACCTTGACCCACTCATGACTGTCCTCCCAGGCTTTGGAGATGGCACCCCCGCGAGAAAGCTCGACATCCATTCGGTGGGATCCGGGGACGACCTCGATGCAGCCATTTTCAGGCGTGGCTTCATCCACGGCGAGGTTGGCCGTCAGGTGCTCGATCCGTCCGATATGGTCGTATGCTGGTGCGTCCAGGTGGGCGGCAAATCCGTTTCCCAGTGGCAGCTTGTAGTTGACTTTGTCTTTGAAAAGCAACATGTCCTGCCCAAGAAACACTCCTGGTTAGCCCCTCGTTGAAGTGGTGAAATGGTGAAGGGGAAGAGCGAAGAGGAAAAGGAAAAGGAACAGGACACTCACATCACCACTCATCCTTTTCAGGATCTCAGCGAGGGCATCCCCGCACAGCAGCGTGTGGAAGTGGTCATGGTAGTCGACAAAGTTCTCGGTGCGCAACAGCTGTCTGGTGCCATTGACGTTGATTTCGTGATACGGCATCCATTTGCCCGGTGCAAGCGGCCACTCGCGCACTTCCTTGGTCCAGGCTTGGATTTTCTTGGGAGAGGCTAGACCATGCTCGTTGGCACGGAGGACGAGATAACCATCGCGGTGGAATTGCTCCACTTGGGCAGCCGTTGGTGTTGGGGGGAAGGTGGTCATGGCCGTCGTTGTGGTTGGACTCGACTGGACTAGGGAAGGAAACAATGCAATGAGTAAGCGAGCTGTACGGTCCGGTTGCCCGACTCTGACTCGTCTCTTCCTCCATTCCTCCAGCTCTTACACGTTTATACCCCCATGGTCGAACATGCTCACCCCGGTCTTCGTGCCGGTTCTTGTCACGTGACACCCCGGACCGGACGGTTGAGTTGGATACGACCGAGACCGCCACCGCCTTTCATGCCGGAAGAGAGAGCGGTCGACCGGCGGCGCCCCGACAGCCCGACTAGATGAATGAGATCATTGGCGGAAAAGGGGAAAAGGATCAACAAGCAATGACTTGGGTCTCCGTCCAACTCGCGTCTCGCCGCGCTCGCCTTTGTTGATATAGCGTCCTGTGGTCGCCATGCTGCTGTCTCTTCATCCATCCTGAATCGACCTAAATTTGCATTGCATTGCTTTACAAGATCCAGAGACGCACGAACCACCACAGAAAACACCATGTTGCCCTCCGTCGAAGAGCACTCCCGCCAGTGTATCAAGGAACTGTTCCACTTCATCACAATCCAGGGGGACGGCGACTACATCGGCGAGCGAGTGTCTCAGCTCGAGCATTCGCTCCAGACGGCACAGCGCGCCGTCGATGCCGGGGTGTCCGATGAAACCGTGCTGGCTGCCCTCCTCCACGATGTGGGCCGCTTTATCCCCGCCGCAGCAAAAATGCCCGCCATGATCGCGCCCAACGGCGAGGTCATCGGCCGCGAGAGCCACGAGATTCTGGGCGAGAAGTACCTGCGTGGACTGGGATTCAGCGACACCATCTGCCAGCTGGTCGGGGCACACGTCATGGCCAAAAGATATCTGACCGCGGTGGACCAGGGATACTACGACGGCTTGAGCAAATCGAGTAAAACGTCGTTGAAATTCCAGGTTGGTTGCCGGCCCTGCCATTCCCTTCCCTTCCCTTCCATTCCCCTCCTCTCCTCCCCTCTCTTCTCCTTTCCAGCGTGGTGAAGTGAATGGCCATCTGATCAGTGACCAGGGAGGCATTTTCACCCAAGAGCAAGTCCGTGAGGCCGAGAAAGATCCTCTTCTCGCCGCCAAACTCGCCATTCGCCGGTGGGACGACCTGGCCAAAGTGCCCGACATGGAGACACTCCCTCTTGACCATTATGAGCCCATGGCGGTTGAGAGCTTGCTCGGTGAGGAAATCCAGATCCCCCCTCGGCACGATTCGGCCTGCCTGTTTTAACCACGTGCAACAGCTTCCCGATCCACGGTCGAGCTGCATGGGAGGACATACCGTCTTCCCCAACGGCCCACCGTTGTCGTCTGCGTCGACGGTTTCGACCCCGAGTACCTCGACCGGGGCATTTCCGACGGCATCATCCCTCACCTCGCCTCCTTTGTTCAGTCTGGTTTCTCCAGGACGGCGAAATGCACCATGCCGTCGTTCACCAATCCTAACAACGTTTCCATCATCACCGGAGCGCCTACCTCGATGCACGGGATTGCGGGGAATTTCTTCCTTGACCGGTCGACCCGGCAGGAACACATGATTGTTGATGACACGCTTCTTCGGGGTTCCACCATCTTGGAACAGATGGCCAGGCGCGGGGTTCGCGTTGCCGCCATCACGGCAAAGGACAAATTGCGCGCCATCATCAACCACGGCTTGGACTGCTCCCGAGGCGCCATCTGCTTCTCGGCGCAGTTTGCGAACAAGTGTACCGAGACCGAGAATGGCATTTCCGAGGTCGAGAAATGGCTCGGCCTTTCAACGCCCGACCAATACTCTGGAGATTTGTCTCTGTTCGTCCTCAAGGCCGGAGTGAAACTCCTCGAGGAGGATCGAGCCGATTTGTTCTATTTGACGCTGTCTGACTACGTCCAGCACAAACACGCACCCGGGACGAAAGAGGCGAACGAGTTCATGTCGGCCATTGATTCCTGCATCGGCCAACTGGTGGACCTCGGTGCCACTGTTGCCGTCACCGGGGACCATGGAATGAACGACAAGTCAAAGGATGACGGCACCCCCAATGTTCTCTTTCTCGAGGAGGAACTCGACCGGAAGTTCGGACGGGGATTTGCCCGAGTCATTTGTCCAATCACCGATCCCTTTGTGCGGCATCACGGTGCACTGGGGTCGTTTGTCCGGATCCATTTCAACCAGGACAGTGGCAACGTCGACGAGGTCGTCGAATACTGTCGCAGTTTCCCTCAGGTGGAGCTGGCCGTTGATGGCAAGACTGCCTCCGAGTTGTTCCAGATGCCTCTGGATCGTGAAGGTGACGTGGTGGTCGTCGCGCAGAAGAATGCTGTGCTGGGAAGTCGGGAGGAAGAACATGATCTCACGAGCTTGGGAGACCATCGACTCCGCTCTCATGGAGGCCTCTCTGAGCAGGCCATCCCACTCCTGCTGTCCGTACCGGTGAAAGAGCCCGTGGTTGAGCGAGAGTGGAGGAATTTCGATGCCTTCGACCTGGCTCTGAATTGGTGATGCTTTGTTCAACAGCTGTCTCGCCCGTTGTACTGCATCGAGTCCAAATCAATGTCGAAATTGAAATCCGCGCCCGGCGAATACAAGAAATCGTAATGCTCCAGGAACATGGCATCTGTTCGGCTGAGCCACAGGTTGTCGGCCTCGAAGGTGGCTGGTCCAGACGAAGCCGCCGGCTGCGTCCGTGTCTCTGCTTCCGGTGCCCCGGTGGGCCAACAGCGCACGAGCAACTTTCGCATACTGCTTGCAATGGAAGTCAATAGGTGCCGAGGATGCATGTTGGCTGTTATGCCCTCCAACACTGTGACTAGGTTACCCAACGTCTCAGAGATGCCGGTCTTGTCGATCCGCAGATTGGCCGGACTCTTGATCGTGACTTTCAATAGGAAGACAAAGGCAAATGCGATCATGGTCTCGAAGTATGCCGGGAGCCCATGTAAGTGGGACTGGATTTCCTGGTCTGCCACCGTCACTTGCAGGATCGAGGTGGCCGCATGAAGGGCCCCGGTGGCGATCTCTTCTAGGTCGGGCTCCAGGTGCGAGAGGTCGCCTTCTAGGGCAGGCGCCCTTCTAAACACGTGGGAGCAAAGAAACAGTTTAGAAAAATGGTAGTGTAGGCCGACTCCTTTGCGAGGGTAGTTGCTCACATATTCGTTCGTAGGCAATCGTTCATTCCAGTCCGCGCGCCAGGTGTCCAAGGCGATGCTGAGTCGACGGAGTTGAGGGACCGATTGAACCGACAGATGGCAATCGGGATCCAAGCTGAAGTGATCGAAAACACGGGTGTTGATGGACCAGAGTTCCACTTGGCTCACCAGCCTCTCGTCATCTTTGGTAGCGAAATCCGATTTCAAAAAGTCGCTGGGAGCAGTGACGAAGCCGAAATCCCGAGTCAACGGCGGTCTTCCGTATGCGACGGAGAAATGGTGATCGCAGACATAGACGTGGTAGTAGAGACGGGTGCGTAGATGACAAGCTTTCTTGGTATGGGGGACTTTGGGAATGCATCGGTGGAGATTCAATTCACCTGCCAGTCGAGCAGCTACACAAGTTATGTTAGCACACGGGTTTCGTCACAAACAAGATGGTGCCACACGTGCCTGCGCCGACAAGGGTCCACGAAATGTCATGCAACCAAAAGGCACCGATACACAGAGCTCGAACATCATCCTGCGTATGTCCCCGTGCAAACATTCTGGCCGAGGCAAGGTCGACGAAGTGTTGGTAGCATGCCTGAAAATGCTGAGTCGAAGGCGTATGGAGAGCCCCGACGGTGCAGATGGCGGCGGTCAAAAGAGGAGAACTTGTCCGCACACTTGCAAGTGAGTCGTGCTCGGACAGCATCCGGTATATAAAGTGATCGAGACGGCGGTAATATATACCGAAAAAAGATTCTGCCTCTTTGAGAGTGATGATGCCACGATCGATGAGGTCCAAGTGCACTGTCCGGTTTTGATGAGTTGGACTGAGTGATGAGTCTGATACTTCTGACACGCAGGATGCCGGAACGATGCCCGGGCCCTTGTCGAGGTCCATCACAACTTCCCAGCGACACCGTTCATTCTGTGGACCAGGAGGATTTGGCGTCTGGACTAGACTTCGAGAACTTCCCTCCTGACGGTCGAGGCTGATTGGCGAGCCATTCGAGACGGCCATTTCCGCGGATGAATGACTTTGAGCTGGATCTTGGTTCGGTGAATTACTTCGGCCATGACTGAATGCAGAAGCATTTGGGCCGGGCATGGTGGGAGATTGGGGTCGCTCCAGTTGATTGATAGAGATATATTCTTCCAGGGAACACAGCCTCTGCTCGATGTTCGTCTTCCACCTAGGAGCTGTCAGCTTTTCTCGAGATATCCATTCCTTGCGGTTCGGAAGACGCACGCCACATCCCCTTCAAGGAGCATTTGTAGACTTCGGTTGACGACGCAGGATAAGCCGCGCTTTTTACAACGTGTACAAGGCGGGGCGCCATTGGTCATGTGGCATTTGATCTTTTGTTTGCGGCAGGCAACGCACGCTGTGATTTTGCGGCTGATGTCAATAGGTTTGCGGTCGCCAAAAGACTGTCGCAGAGCCAGGGCCGCAGCAGAGCCAGCCTCGGAGTCCATTTTGAGGTCAATCAGGGGAGTTTCGAGTTTCTTCGGGATGAAGGTGAAGAGGATGTTTGGATAGGGACAGTCGGCACCGTTGAGTGTCTAGACATGAAGTCAAAGCCGGGCCAACCAAAGGCTAGCTTTGGAGAGTGAGCACGTGTGGGAATCTTTGGCCAGCAGGGTCTGCGTCTGGGAAGTCGGTGAGTTTGACGGATGGGCTATATCAGGCAGAGAACAAACTCACCTAGGTACAAACGGACGTACATTCTGGCATCCTTATGAAGCCGAGCCAGCACACACCATACTGGGTCCCTATCATGCAGCTGTAGCTATGGCAGGACGTGGTAGAAGGGAAGATATTGAACCCAAAGGATAGTTGATAATTACTGTAGGTAGGTAATAGGTAAGGATGGTAGCACCTAGGTACTACTACTCCGTATTAGTGTATGCTAGCTTGGTTAGCACTAACCTTACTACCTAGTAGTATAGTACTGCTTCTAGTAGTACTATTTGCTTGCCACGCCCTATTGCAAGGAGTTGGCCTCTCACGTGATGAATGGGTACCGGCGAATCATGACTCGAGACTGAAGCTAGTTGTGTGACGGCTAGTTTTTATTGGGCCATGACATAGTAGTACTACAGAGTTAGTATCCGTAATCGTAAAACTCTAAATCTTCCTATTGCTATCCGTACTTGTCTACTACCTTAGGTAGGTACCTGCTACCTGCTACCTGCTATTCTCCGACGAGTCTTTCGCTATCGGTCATGGTCCGACGTCCTACACTCCCTGCGGTGTTCGTGCCGTGTCCAAAATCATGTCTATCTCCACATCATCCTTTCGCTCCCGGTTCTGCGGCTCAGCACGTGGCTCCCCAGTCCTACTCGATTCGTTCTATAACGCCTCCTGCGCAGTGGGAAACGGAAGATCTTTATCTCACCATAGTCCGGGCTTTGGGCCGAGATCAAAGGCAGGGCATACGGTGGTATAGCCTGATGTATTCGCAGACATCTATATCAATGACCATGGACGGGCGTGGTTCAGGGAGGAAAGAAAGGCACGGTTGAGCAGCAGCAGCAATCGCCGCAGTCTTCTAAAAAACCAGCAACAAAGACCTTCGATCTAGATCCGTCTTTACAATGGCCTGCACGTCGTCATCATCATCGGTTTCTCGACTGAAGTTCTTGCTGGTCGCCGGGTCCGGTCTCTTCGGTGATGGATACCTGAATCTCAGCATCGGTCTGGGTAAGGACAACTCCCTCCCTGTTCCAGTCGAAGAGACACCAGCAAAGTTCTGACCAACGTCGCAGCCGTCCCCATGCTAGGCTACCTCTACTTTGAGGATGAGAAGAATCACATCCCAACCGTGTCGGCCGACTTGATCAAAGGGTCGTTGGCTATTGGGATGATCGTCGGGCAGCTGGGATTCGGGCTTTTCGGCGATGCCCTAGGCCGTCACCGAATCTATGGCAAAGAACTGCTGATCACAATCTTGGGCACGATGCTGGTCATCTTGATGCCATGGAAGGGCTTGTCACACGGTGGCACGATTGCCTGGATGGCGTGCTTTCGCGCGCTTACGGGCTTCGGCATAGGTGGTGGTATGGAATTGACCTGCTGAGCCCCGGATGCATGCCTTGCTTTGCTAATCCGCCACAGACTACCCCATGACATCGGCCTTGTCTGCCGAGGGCAATTCATTTGGTTCTCGAGCCAAGCTGGTCCTCCTCGTGTTTGCCAACATCGGTCTCGGGGCCATGTCCGCGGGCATCACCTACGTCGTTCTACTGGCCGCCTTCAAATCCTCGATCGAGAAAGATATATACCACCTCCAGTGGGTTTGGCGACTGCTCTTCGGGATCGGACTCGTACCCCTGATCTTTACCGTCTACTTTCGCATGACCATGCCGGAAAGCAAACCATACCAAAAATGTACGAGAGGTTGGGCGCCATGACAGCCCCTGTCCAACTGACATGGTGCTGCAGATGTCGCGCAGGAAACCTCTCTGAAAGCCGACGGGAAACGTGGAGTGAAACAGCAGTTTCAGGATTTCCGCGAGTATTTTTCGCAATGGAAGCATGCCAAGGTCCTCTTTGCCGTCAGCATGTCTTGGTTTCTCTAGTGAGTCCGGCCGCGACCTTGCTTGCGTGCATGAGCTCACGAAGTGGCGTCCTTAGTGATATTGCGTACTATGGTGTCAATCTCAATCAGAGTATCATTCTGTCGAAGATCGGCTATGGAACAGCATCCACGCCATGGGGGACGTTGTGGAACACGGCTGTGGGCAACGTCATCGTCTCTTCTGCGGTAAGTATCCAACAAGCGAAGCGCAAAGCGCAAGCTCGTCCCGCTATAGTCTAACCAGTTTTACGCCAGGGATATCTTCCTGGGTTTTATATCGGCGTCTTCCTCCCCGACGTGGTCGGTCGAGTCAGGCTCCAGTTCTGGGCGAGTCTCGTTGTCGCCATCCTGTATGCCATTTGGGCCGGGGTCAGCAAGCAGGCCGGCACGGGCGGGCTGATCACGTTGTTCACCCTGTCGCAGCTGGTGTTGAACCTGGGCCCCAATGTCACCACCTTTCTGCTTCCTGTCGAAGTGTTTCCCACCCGAGTCCGAGGTACCGCCCACGGCATTGCCGCGGCATCTGGCAAAGCCGGCGCGGTGGTGACGTCTTTCGCATTTGGATCGCTGACAGACGCAATCGGTCTTCAAGGTGTACTTGGCTTTCTTGCGGGTGTCATGGCCCTCGTCTCTCTCGTGACCTTGTTGATTCCGGAGACCAAGGGCCGCTCTCTGGATGAGATTGAACGAGGAACCATCTACATCAGGGCAGGTCGCGAGGATGAGGTTTCCCAAAGTATCCCATCCACCACAGGGGGTTCCACTCCCGTCTTGGACGCGAAGACTGGCACCAGTCAGGTCAGTGTGGGCGCGGTTCATGACTAGTTTACAGGTAGATGGCAAGATAGACATGGAAACTTTTTTCGAAAGTTGTGCAGACCAGGTATTGTACCGGTCATCAAACCCAATCCTAGCAGGGAATCCACTTTGTAGAGTACTCACCATGTGATGCGGTGAGCAGAACCGATCAGCAGTACTGGGAGACTTCTGCCTTTGACGGGGCATCCAAGGCTGGGAAATGCCGAGGTAAGAGTATCTAGGTACCTATATACCGTGTACCAGACCTTACACGTACCTATGTGGACCTATGTGTACGTATAAGATGCCTACCTAAAGTACTTGTAGGGACACACAATACTGGCTCGTCATGGCCTGGAAAGTTTGAAGATACTGTATTGATTTCTTATTTGTTGCTGTTGTCCTCAAGCCACAGAGCCAGCTCGACAGCAAGCCTGCTGGGCTGATCATACTGGATCAAATGGCCAGCGTCGTCTACGACAACCACCTCGGCGGCGTGGAGGGTCCTTTGCAGCCTGTGAGCAGTTTCGACGGGAATCCAAGCATCGTCAGCGCCCCAGACGATCTTGGTGGGCGCCCGGGATCCCACACGATGATACTCGGACTCCAGATCGCTCGTGTCGCGGTGGTGAGCCTGAACCAGTTCATTCAAGAAGCGGTCGGGACCTTGAGTGGCGCCGGCACGCCAGGGCGCAGCCAGCAGATCCTCGAGCTGCGTAGACATGGGCTGGGATGTGGCATTCTTGATGTAGCCCCGCACCAGCCCATCGACCAGATGCGGCGGGATGGCCGCAAACACGGCCTCATGGTCGGCCACGAGCTGGAAGACTGGCAGGCCCGACGCGCCCAATGCCACGACGTCGACGAGGCACAGGCTGGCGAACTCGACCTCGTGTTGCAGCAACAGTCGCAGCGCCACCAGCCCGCCGTTGTCGTGCGCCACCACGTGTGCCGGCTTTAGGGCCCAGTGCTTGAAGAGCGCCGCACTCGCCTCCGCACGCAGCCTCAGCGACCCGTCGAGATCGACTTGTTTCTGTTTCTGTTTCAGCTCCTCCTCCGCCTCTTCCCCTGCAGCCTCGGCCGTCAGTCGCCGGGGCCGCGGCGAGCTGCCAAAGCCCGCGTGATCGTACAGATAAATGCTATAGCGCGACGCAAGACTGGCCGCCACATCGTGCCACACTACGCTGCTCCATGGCGTGCCGTGGATGAAGACGACCGCCGGGCCGTCCGGGTTGCCAATGCGCGTCCACTTGATGTAGAACTCGTGACTCGTGGTTCGGTGCACAAAAGACTGTGAGAGATTGAAATCGTACCCCATGTTGGTGTTGGTGTTGGTGTTGCAATCAACACGACGTGCCCACGACGAAGGGATTATAAGAATCAGCCAGGAAGGAATTAGCAGTTAGAGCTTTCACCTATTGTATCGGATGGCATGGCACTGCTTCATAATCAGGCGCGTATAGCATCTTGTGGTGATGCTTGGTGGGTGCTGCAGCCTGCAGCCTGCAGCTGTACAATACCTACTCGATACTGCACAGTAAATACGTCATGACATGCCGCACGCAGGCGCAGGCTGGAAATCGTGCAACCGTTGGAAGTCAAATTCCGTGTCTGGAGACTATGCAACAACTTGAACGACAATATCAATAAAAATCGCTGTTCTTCACCCTCGAGCCTGGTGCCGTCTCCCAGGCACAGAAGCTATGCTCTGGCAGGGCCTGAGGCCCTTATGCACCTTCCCTTCTGCGACTTTTCCGGCCGAGTTCTCTCGTCTTCGTACAGAGTTTGCATGCGATCGAACCAATGCCTGAGCCTGCCGATGATTGCTGAGCTCGTCCACCAATGTGCGCTCGACGAAACCCCGAAAAATGGTGGGAAAAACGCCCGAGTTTGGAGCGATTGGACCATTGGCTGAAGAGCAAGATGCCTGCGGGCCACATCCAGATGGAGAATGGCAGACACAAGCTTCAAGCCTCACTGGCTTGGCTTCTTGGGAAAAACAGCTAATTAAAGTACTCCGTAGATCATTCAACCCTGCGTGGCGTCAGAATGTTACATTCAAAAAAGCTGCTCGCAAAACGCCCTCCAATCCGCTGGGCCATCAGGTGGAAAATCACGTTATGACAGGTTATGGCGTGCTGAACCTGGTATTTTGCATCATCACCGCGTGTGTTTGAGCCTCGCGCGTCGTTGCAACCTGCAGTCCAGATAACAGCTATGGCTGCCAAACAGATTTTTGATTGGGGGATACGGACGTTGTCTGCGCCTTCGCTACGGTTTACCTCTATAGATCATTGCGTGCTCGGTCAAGATCTAGGAGGCGAAATACATGGTGAAAAAAAGGTCCAAAAGGCCCAAAGAACCTGGCAGCGTGCCAGTATATAAGTCCCGCAGCCATGTGGCCTGGACTTTGAAAGGCACTGTACATTGAGCCTGTCTCTCGACCGCCACCAGCACATCAAACCGCCACCAAACCCATCATGGGTAAAGTCGACACCGAGGGGCCGCCCCCTACCAAGGTTGTGCCAGATGTTACTTCAACAGACGAGCTCTCCGCCACAGAAAAGGGCGATGCCGCCTTGCAGATCCTGCGTCAGAGCGGCGGGCTGCAGCAACCTCTCGACAGCGAGCGTTCGCGACGGCTCCTCCGGCGGATCGACTATCACATCATGCCCCTGATCTGCGTGGTGTACTTTCTGCAGTATCTGGACAAGATCGCCATCTCGTACGGCAGCGTGACAGGACTCAAGACGAGCGCGCACCTAGTCGGCAACCAGTTCAACTGGGTGGCATCCATCTTTTTCTTCGGCCAGCTGGGCTTTGAATTCCCCACCATCCGGCTTCTGCAGATGTTCCCTCTGGCCAAGTATGTCAGCGTCAACGTGACCATCTGGGGCATCATTCTAGCATGTTTCTCGGCCTGCAAGAGCTACGGCAGTCTGTTGGCCTGTCGTTTTCTGCTTGGCATGGCGGAGGCCGCCATAGTGCCAGCGTGGGTGGTCTTCACCAGTCAATGGTATCGCAAAGAAGAGAGCGCCTTCCGCGTTGGCATCTGGTTCTCAATGTGCGGTTGGGCGCAACTCCTGGGCGGCTGTTTTGCGTACGGGGTGGCCACCCATGTCGGCGGCGACGTGCACGCCTCGCTCAAGGGCTGGCAGGTGATTTTCCTGGTCCTGGGCCTGCTGACCGTGGTGGTGGGCATCCTGTTCTTCTTCCTGTTGCCCGACTCGCCCGCCGTCGCGCGCTTCTTGTCCGACCAGGAGAAGGCGGAACACGTGGAGCGGCTGCGAGGGAACGAGCAGGGCATCGGCAGCCAGACGTTCAAGTGGGACCAGTTCCGAGAAGCGCTCACCGATATCAACACCTGGCTGTACGCCTTCTGGATATTTGCCGCCAACATCCCCAACAGCATCGCCACCAGCTTCGGCAACATCCTGGTCACCGGTATGGGCTACTCCAAGGTCGACTCGCTGCTCCTGGTGACCCCGCTGGGCGCCTATGAGATCGTGGTGCTGGTGGGTGTGACGTACGTGGCCATGAAGACCCAACAACGTCTCTGGTGCTGCATTGCCACCCACATCCCGTCCATCGTGGGCGGCATCCTCATGGCTGCCACCGGCAAGGCCTCGGCCCTGGTCGGCTACTATCTCAGCGGCGGCATCCCCATCGGCTGGACCACCATCCTGGGTCTACAGGCCAGCAACGTGGCCGGCTCGACCAAGAAGATCACCGTGACGGCCATCGGCACCATCGCCTATACCGTGGGAAACATCATCTCGCCCCAGACCTTCCAGGCCAAGGACGCGCCTCGATACCTCCCGGCCAAGATCTCCATCGTCATTCTGTACTTTCTGTGCACCGTCGATCTCTACCTCATCCGCCTCGTGTACGTGTACCGCAACAAGAAGAGAGATGCCGAAGCCGCCCAGCGAGCTCCGGACTATGTGCCGGAGAAGAACCACGAGTTTCTCGATTTGACCGACATCCAGAACCCGGAATTCCGATATTCGCTGTAAGGCGACCAGTGACTCTGGGCTTCTTCGGCTCTTGTCGATGGAGTCTCGGCTTGGTTGGCTGGCTTAGGAGGCTTTCTCTGTGGGGGGGAGATGTGGATTTGTCGGTGGGCCACTACTGGTAGATTTCACATCGCTCGTGGCCGAGTTGGGGATTGAGGGGAAGGCGAGGAAGGAGGAGGATGTAATGAATAGAACAAGACGACTAATACTAAATAGGCGACAATAAGACCGCGTGTCCCCATACTACCTCTACTGGACACATGACACGTGGTACAGTACCGAGTGCTCGGTAGATCCTCAGATCCGCTCAGCCTCGCACTACTCGTGAGCCTTGGCACTCGGGGAGTCTCGGCCTCTTCAAAGTCCTTCCTTGCCTTCACGGCCCCATTCGATCAACATGGCGTGGCGTGGCATCTGGAGTGATTCTGGTTCAGATCCCTCAGAACAGAGAAGAATGACCTCCTGTATCCTTGTCCCTGAACCATCACTATCTACGAGTTCATATTACCGCCCATCCCCCTAGACATCACTACCACAAGCTCATCATCCTCCATACTCAACCCCAAACCAAACTGGCCACCATGAGTTCAGAGATCCCAACCCTGCGTTGGGGCATCATCGCCACAGGACTGATCTCGTCTTGGTTCGTGCAGGACCTGGCGCTGGTTCGGAAGGACGCGAAAGCGAATCATGTCATCCAATCCATCGGCTCTTCCTCGGTCGACAAGGCACGCGCCTTTGTCAGCAAACACCTTCCCGGGAAGCAGCCGACCGTATATGGGAGCTACGAGGAGGTCTACCGTGATCCGGAGGTGGACATCGTTTATATTGGCACCCCTCACGCCTTTCACAAACAGAACTGCCTCGATGCCATCCACGCCGGCAAGCACGTCCTGTGCGAAAAGCCATTCGCCCTCAACGCCGACGAAGCCAAAGAGGTCTTTGCCGCAGCCAAAGCCAAGGGGAACGTTTTCGTGATGGAGGGCGTGTGGACCCGGTTTTTCCCTCTCACCCGCACGCTGCACGACCTGCTCCACCGCGACAAGATCATCGGCGACGTCCAGCGTGTCTTTTGTGATTTTGGCATGAAGATGGACGTCGCCGCACTCCCCGCCGACTCAAGACTCAAGAACCCGGCGTTGGGCGCCGGCAGTCTGCTGGACATCGGCATCTACAGCCTGACCTGGGGTCTGCTGGCGCTGGATCCGCTAAGGCAGGCAGTGAAGCCCACGATTGCCGCCACCCAAAATATCGAGTACGGCATCGATACGGCGTCTTCCATCCTCTTGCAGTACCCCGGAAAGCAGGGAATCTTGACCTCGACAATGGCGGCCAAGACACCGACTTCTTTTGCCAGAATCGAGGGGAGTGAGGGATACATCGTCGTGGATGGGTTTGTGGCCTCGGTTCCTGCATCGTTCACGGTCCATTCGTCCAAACTAGGGGGGACGGAAACCGGGCCGGATGGACTGCAAGTGAAAAAGTACGAATTCGAGAGGCCGGGTAGAGGCTTCTACTGGGAGGCGGATGCCGTCGCACGCGACATCGCTGCCGGCAACACCGAAGATGCCATCATGCCTTGGGAGGAGACCGTTCGTGTGCTGGAGATTCTAGACCAGGTCAGGAAACAGGGTGGCGCAAGGTTCCCACAGGATAAATAGATGGCAACTGTGTCCTCCGTCTAATTAGGTAGTAACAGGTAGTAGGCGAGACCGAAGCCCATCTTACCCTCCACTGATCTAGCATGCGCCCACGTGACCATCCATGCCAAGGCGGGCGGGCTAACCGGAACAGTGCTAGTGCATACTCTATCCAGAGGTCACGCTTAACATTGAACTTGCCGCCACTCCCCGCCCCTCGCACGCCTCACACGGCCATGCTTCTCTACATGTACCGTCAAGCACAGTCTCTGGTCCGGTGACTTCTCCAACTCCACACTCTATTGGCTTGAAAGGCTTTCGTGGGGTCGGTGTATGAGATCGATAGAGGACAGATGGCAATGGAGCCTCCGGTGCCACGCGACGGCGATGCTGACGCTGACACAGGCCATGAGCATGAGGGAGACCCGGCACGTCCATCCTCCCCGACCTCCAGCCCCGGCCATGTGAACAAAAGGAAACGAACGTCAGGCATGTATCAGAGGAAGCGGGCGGTGATTGCATGCCAGGTCTGTCGGGGCCGCAAGACGAAATGTGACAATGGGAGACCTTCGTGTGGGTTCTGCCTCCAGAATGGCGCTCAGTGTGTCTATCCGGACGATACGAACAACTATTCCTCGTACGTGGCTCCTTCTCTTTTCTCATCGCCCCTGTCACATCCCCCCAATTTACCATACTCACCCGGCAGCCAGGTATGACCCTGCCAGCTTGGCCATCCTGGACCGTGTCAACCGCGTTGTTGCACTGCTTGAAGCCCAGCCTGCCCGAATTGCTGCGTATATCTCCGACAAGGACTCCAGAACGGCAGAAAGGCTTCAGACGCCCGCGCAGGCAACTCCAGGTAGCGGACAGGCTGCGTCTCAGAAATCCCCAATTCCTCTCGACGACCCGGCAGAAGATGCCTCGGCGGAAACGGCAGAGCACGTCTCTAGATCCTTTGACATCCCGGAAAGCTCAGCCGCCTACATGAACTGTGAAAGCGTCATGCGATGGCCTATCTTTGCTGGCATCGCCCTTGACATTCAGTCTCTTGTTTTGGACTATGACGATGACGAGGCGGCTGATCGTTCCTCCAGAGACTTGATTGATGGGGCCACCGGGCGTCGTGGCCTGTTTGCCAAAGCCTTGCAAGAAGACGATTTCGTGCCTCTGTCTCGCAGATTCCTGGCCTATGTTCATGTGAAAAACCCTATCTTGGACGTGCAACGGTTTAAGCTGTCCGTGAAGACCGCGGCGGAGAACGGGCCTGCATGGGATGGCCCGTCGTGCCTGGTGGTAGGTCGTCTCCCGTGAGCAACTTGGCCCTGCTGACTCCTCAAGCTCGTCGCGTGTGCGCTTGGCTGTCTCGCCTCTCCTTTCCAGCCCGATCCTGTTCTCTATGAGACGCCAGAGTCCTTTCGTTCCTCGGAGTCGCCTGCTGTGGACCCGATCTCCGCCCAGGGGTTCTATCTGGCCGCCAAAAAACGCCTGGGTCTTCTTCGCCCGTCTTTGCTCTACGTTCAATGCCTGTTCCTTTTCGGGGTGTTTGAAATGTACACGCTCCGACCACAGCGGGCCTGGTTCTACTTCCAACAGGCATCGCTGCAGCTTCAGAATCATCTGTGGAGAAAGTCGCAGATTCAGACTGGTGGTGGACTCCAAGTCGCCGATCCGTCATTTCTTTTCGATCGGCGTCTCGAACAGCGGCTCTACTGGTCCTGCATGAAGAGCGAATGGTACGTATGATGGATGTATCAGTGACATGACGGTGAGACTCACATGTCTTCTCGACAGTGAACTGCGGTGCGAACTGCCATTGCCTCCCAGTGGCATTACGCGTTTAAACTTCCCGGACTTGTTTCCTTCTCCTCCGACCGAATTGTCTTCGCCGACGACTCAACAACGGACCCTGGACGGAGTCGACGACGACGTCGAGCCCGAAGAAGAGAAGAGTTGGTTCTACTACTTGGCAGAGATATCATTTCGCCGCATGTTCAACCGCATAGTGACCACGGTGATCGGCAAAGGGGAGCGCGGCTGGATAAACAACATCGAAACTATCATCCAGCAGTGTGACCAGTTCGACGAAGAGATCAACATCTGGTGAGCATCCCCACGTTCATCGGCGGATGCCTGGTGGGTACTGACCATCTCTGTCTAGGTGTTCGCACCTCCCGCCCAAGATCAACTGGAATGACTCGCAGGCGTCCAATGATGAACTCGCCTACTACATTCGCGGTCGTGCCATGGGAAGTCGGGAATTCATCCACCGCCCTTTTCTCTACTACGTCGTCCACCAGCCGCCAGATGATCGCGTCTGGCCCCAGGTGGTGGTGCGGGCGAGGAGATGCCTCGAGTTCTGCGTCGAGAATGCGCTCTATGCGTACCCCCACCAGCGCCATCACGGTACATGGTACGTCGCGAGGGCATGTCTCACACGGGCCTTGTTGTTACTCGCCGCCGGACGGAGTGGGAAGATCGACCTCCCCAACAGATGGAGAGAGGCGATTGACTTGTCAATGTTGACAGTGCAGCAGTGGTACGACGAATCGCCTGATCTCCGAAAGGGCGCCTCGATACTCCAAGCCATCATCGACGACACTTTTGACGGAGTAGCTTCCACTCAAGCTTGACCTGGGCTGAAGCAAGGGGTCTGGCACAAAATACGCTGCCGTAGAAACGGAGCCAACGGTGTAACGTCACCAGCATATCTACAGGTGAAGATGTCCCTTCACAGATCTGGGATTGTCGGCCTTAGCGCAAAACTTGCTTGACTCGAGTTGGACATTGTGCGCCTTTCCCTCCTATGGACACGACAGACCCAGGATGCCGTGATCATTCCACGCATCGGCAGATTGCCATCATCAGACTATGCATCACATTCGCACTGACTGGTGCGACAATGTCATGTCTGTGTGTTCAGGCTAGTGGAGCGTGAAGAGGCTCCAATCGGAGCATGGCAGGTCGCCACACGAGCAGGACAGGTTTAAGGGATCAAAGGAAGTGGTGGCCTGTCCAAAGGTTAAAGGCTCCTAGGACATGACGGCCTGGAACCATTCAAGATGCATCGTATGAGCGTAAAGCGGGAATCTACACAAGGATACGGACGATGATACATGAGAAGCGAAGATCCTCGACCGTCTCCTCGCCATCCCGGCCACAGACGTCAGAGGTATGCGTGGGTGCCAGCCCAGTACCAGTCCTTCCATTTCCAAGTCCATCAACGCCAAGGTGGTCACAACTCAGCCCGAAAGTGGGATGGTCCCCGGGCCGAAATAGATGGGATATCTGGTATATATGGTATATATGGTGGAGGGTTGGTTTTGAGGAGAACAAGGTCATACATAGGTCATTTGGAACCGTTCTCCTGACCTGGGGTGGCCCGGTATCGAGCCTCATCGGCCTTCAAGATCAGACGGAACAACTCGACGTCGTTTCGGGCGTCGGCGACGCTAGTCTTGGGTGATTCCCGGTGGACGACGCAGCGATGGAAATCCAACAGCTCAACGGTGTACGGGTCCTGGTACGTCTTGCGCACGACCCGCTCCTGGTACCCGTCGTTGCCCACGCGTTCTCGGATGGTCATGGTGACGGGCAGGCCCTTGACGTAAGGGGTGTCGTAATTGACGCGCACGATCTTGTCGGGCGAGTAGACTTCGATGTGGGCGTCGAACACGGGCACGTTGCTGAGCCCGCACTCGTAGCTGACGGGGTAGCCGTCGTAGCGGAACAGCACGCTGAAGATGCCGGGGAAGGTGAGACAGGCGCCGGCCACGCTCTGGGGCATGCCGATGATCTCGCGCATGGCCGATAGATCGTGTGTGCCGAGTCTAAGGGGGAGGAGAATAGTCAGGAGAGTCAGGAGGAGATGGGACACGGTGGAATGGAATGGAACGGGATGGGAATGGTTGCCTTACCCTCCAAGAACCCGCAGCATTCTTTGCGATTGCGGCGTGACCGGCACGTCGAACTCGTGGCGCAGGGCTTGCTCGAAAATGTCTGCTTCCCGGCGGGCGCGATCTTCGGAATCGGCGGCGGAGAAGTCGGTGAACTTGTGTGGGAAGGTGCCGGACTGGTCGACAAAGACGGCGTTGGGCCCGATGATGTCGCGCACCCGGGCGTACTGGATCTTGCTCATGCCGCCGACCTCGCGCACGGCGTCGGTGAAAGCCGGGGCAAAGCGACGCATGGTGCCGACAAACACGCGGCCCTGGGACTGGCGTTCTGCCTCGAGCAGCAGGTCGATGTCCCGGAAACACAGGGCGACCGGCTTCTCGATCAGACAGTACTTGTTGTGCTGCAGTGCCAGCACTCCGTGTGCCACATGGTACGCGTCGGCGTTGCAGATCAGCACCACGTCGACCTCGGGCGACGCACACAGCTCGGCGGCGTCGGTGGTGATTTTGGGGGCGGCCCCTGGCACCTTGCCGGCACAATGCGCCAGCGCCTCGGCGGAGATGTCGCAGAGGTACGTGATGCGGAACTTGTGTGCCAGGAAGTTGAGGGTGGGAATGTGAGCCACCTGTGCGATCTCGCCGCAGCCGATGATGCCAACCCGGAGGATGCGATCTGGGCCTTTGACGCCGTTGACGCCGTTGGTGCCGTTGACCGCGGCGCCGTTGGGCTGGCCTTGCTCAGCGGGTGAGACCATGGTGGCTAGAATGAAGACTGAGGAACGAGGAACGAAAAATGAGGGAGGAAACGGAAACGGAAACCCCTTTCGGCTGCTGAGAGAAAGCAGACTTGAATTTATTCAAACCGGAGCAAGCTGGACAGGAGATGGGAGACTACCCTCGATTCCTCGCTCCCTCGCTCCCCTCTGGCATGCAGCCATCTATCTCCAGAATCCTCCATACTCCGGACTCCGGACACACCTTTCTGTCGACCTGGCCAGATGCAGGTCGCCCCAGGGGCGCCGACACTCCCCGTCCCCCGCTGTCGCGGAACGTCGGGTGGCCCGCTGGAGTGGAGAGGCCCAGAGTTCGATTGGCCGGCCAGACCACGACGGGGGCGGGCGGGCGGGGAGGCCGCCTCATGTCTGATCAGGCCTCAGGACAGAATCTGCATCTCCTCCGCACAGCAACACGACACGGCAATTCCACCCCAGGGGGCTCCGCACAGCCGAGGACTTCAGTGCCACTGCCAGGACTCCTGAGAGTGCAGAAAGGAAAGACATATAAGATTGATATCTCCTCCGCACCCTCGGCCATGCCGGCGGCAGCTCTGAAGGTATTGTTCTGGGACCGGCGCATTGGTCCTCAACTCTTGCACTCCGAGCGTGTTGGTTTTTCCGAGAAACACTGTCCACCCACGATCCGACATGGGCCTCTTTCGAAAGAGGAAGGAGGCTGAACTGGCCGTCGGGCCTGAGCTCCTGGCTGTACGTGTATTCTGCTCCTGTTCCTGCTGCTGTTCCTGCTGCTTTTTGCGTGCTGGATAGCCTAGGCCTTGCTGACCACCGGGATTGGAATTGCAGGTTCTGCCGCGCAACCCCAAGCCGTGGTACCTGACACCTCACTTGCTGAAACTCAACTTCGCGCTCCTGGTTCCACTGCTGTCGGCCTCGTCGGTGGGATACGATGGTGAGTTGCCAACCCGTGTGGCCATGACACGCAGCCTCGCGGCCAAACCGACATTGACACCTATCCTCCAGGCTCCATGATGAACGGGCTCCAGACTCTCCCACAGTGGCGGAACTACTTTGACCATCCAGAAGGGGCCATGTTGGGCCTCCTGAACTCGATCTACCCGACCGGCAAAGTGGTGGCACTGTTTGTCGCGTCCTACTTTCTCGACCGCTTTGGTCGGCGCTTTCCCATCCTGGTGGCCCTGGTCACCTGCATTTCCTTTGCCATCCTGCAGGGCCTATCGCACAGCCTGCACACCTTCATCATCGCCCGCTTCCTGCTGGGCTTCTTCACCAGCTTCATGAGCCAGCCCAGCCCCATCATCATCACCGAGCTGGCCTACCCAACACACCGCGGCAAGATCACGGCCCTGTACAATACTTTTTTTGTAAGAAGACCCGAGTCTGGTCCTATCCACACACACAATCTCTCTCCCTCCCTGTCTCTAACGCGTCGATAGTATTTTGGTGCCATCTGCGCCGCTTGGATCACATACGGCACGTTCAAGTTGGAATCAACGTGGAGCTGGCGGATTCCATCCCTGCTGCAGGGAGCGGTGCCGTGCCTTCAACTTGCGGGCTGGTATTTCCTGCCCGAGTCTCCCAGGTGGCTCGTGGCCCGCGGTCGCATCAGTGAGGCGCGCCAGGTACTGGCAGACTACCACGCCAACGGTGATACGGACTCGCCGCTGGTGAGGTTCGAGCTGCGCGAAATCGAGGAGGCAGTGACGCGGGAGGCGGACGTCATGTCGTCGACGTCGTGGCTCGACCTGTTGCGGTCGCCGGCGAACCGCAAACGTACGCTGATCGGAATAACGGTGGGCTGGTTTTCGCAGTGGAACGGCGTGGGTGTGGTCAGCTACTATCTGGTGCTGGTGCTCAACACGATCGGCATCACCGCGGTCAAGGACCAGACCCTGATCAACGGGCTGCTGCAGATCTTCAACTGGCTGGTGTCGACGTTCCTGGGGGCCATGATGGTCGACCGCCTAGGCCGCCGGCCGCTGTTCTTGGTCTCGACCGCCGGCATGCTGGGCAGCTACATATGCTGGACGGGGCTGACGTCGTCATTTGTCGCCCACCGCGGCCAGGCCACCGGTCGCGCCGTCGTCGGCTTCATCTTCATCTACTACCTCTTCTACGACATCGCCTGGACGCCGTTGCTGCAGGCCTACCCGATCGAGATCTTCCCCTACACCCTCCGCGCCCGCGGCCTGGCCATCACCTACATTGCATCCTTCACCGGCTTGATCGTCGGCAACCAAGTCAACCCGATCGCCATGGCCGCCATCAGCTGGAAGTATTACATTGTCTTCTGTTGTTTGTTGGCCGTCTTGTTCCTCATCATCTACTTTTACTTCCCAGAAACCAAGGGCCACACGCTCGAGGAGATCCGCCAGATCTTTGAGGGCGGACCCGAAGCTGACGCCGAGGTCGACGCCGAGGCCAAGGCAGCGCAGGACCGCGGTAGTCTCGACATTGACGGCGAGAAGGAGACGGAGAAGGAGACGCCGTCGCGCCCAAACAAGATGGTGAGCCAGGTCGAAGTGGCTTAGAAGGTGAACTCGGCTGAACTGGACTAGACTAAGACTGAAGTGAGCTAAGCTAAGCCGAGAAATTGAACTGAACTGAACTGAGGTGGAGGTTAGAGGTTGATTGTCTTGTAGAAATTCCATTCCAATTCAAATCCAATTCTAATTCTAAATCGCTTGTCGGCGGTGGTGGCGGCTGGGTCGACAAGATTGGAGCATCTCCCAATCACGGTGTCTATGTCTCCTAGAGGAGAGTGTCTTGTTCTGTATCCTGACAAGAGTGTGTCATAGATGTACAAGTCTTAGTGTCTTGTGAGGATTAAATTAAATCGGAATCTTCTACTACATGTATATCTACATCTACATACTTGGTACTAGGTATTAGATCCAGCGTTAGCTTGGTATATATGAACAATAGTTTTTCCATTTCCTTCTCTTTTTTCATAAATATATCTAGCTATTTCCATTCCTATCCTATCCATTTGCTCGTTCCCCTATTCTCCTATTCATTCCGTTCTATCAAGTCAAGTCAAGTCGAATCGAATCGAATCACAACCCGGTCCAACGACTCGTCTGACCGATCTCAAACACTCCAGCCTGGCGAACTTGACTGCTCCTGCTGCTCGTGCCCACGAGGACATGGTAGGTGCCTCGTTCCAGAACCCAAGCCTTGCTCGTCTCGCTCCAGTAGCTGCAGGCGTATTTGGGGTCGAGGTGGATTTGGAATCGCTTGATACCATCTTCTTTACCCACACCAACCCATATCTTCCTGAAGCCTTTCAGTTCCTTCACTGGTCGCGGCACCGTCGATGTCGGAAACGACATGTAGACTTGCACCACTTCGGCGCCTGGTCGGTCGCCCGTGTTGACGAGTTCTCCTGATACGGTCAATGTCTTGGGAGTCTTGCTCGCACCCAGGGCCGGATTGGTCTTATTTGTGTTATTGACCTCGCTCTTGCTCTCTCCATCAACCCCCACAGCCAAGTCGCGCAACTCAAAGGTCGTGTATGAAAGACCGTGACCGAACGGAAACAAAACCTCCCTCTCCGTCTTCTCGTACCAGCGGTGGCCGACGTAAATGCCCTCGCCGTACAGCACATCCCCGTCATCCACGGCCGTGTTGATATAGGCCGGGTTGTCTTGCACGCGGATGGGCCAGCTCAGAGACAGCTTGCCGCTCGGATTGACCTGGCCAAACAGCACGTCGGCGATGGCGTTGCCGGTCTCGTTGCCTCCATACCACGCGTGCACGATGGCCGGGACCCGGTCGGCCCACGGCATGGTGACGGGCGTGCCCGACTGGTTGACGACGACCACGTTGGCGTTGACGGCCGCAACCGCCTCGACCAGCGCGTCCGAGCCCGGAGGGAGATCCATGGTCTGTCGGTCCCAGCCCTCGGATTCCCACTCCGAGTTCAGTCCGATACAGACCACCACCTGGTCGACTTGCTTGGCCAGGTCGACCGCGGCCGACAGCAACGTGGCCGCGTCCGTCTGCGGACAGCCCCCGATCTGCACCCCGCCCACGCCCATCTGCGTGGCGCCCGCCCGACGCAGTTTGGACGCCGGCGCCGTGGTGAACTGGACGAGAACCTTGGCCGGCCGGTCCTTCTTCAGAAACTTGCGGCCGATTTCTTCCGCCGACCCGGACCCGAAAAAGGACTCGCCTGGCCGCTGCACCGTCTCGTTGTCCACCACTTCCTCTCCGTCGACATACAGCCGGGCCAGGCCGTTCACCGTCAGGGAGAAGAGGTAGTCGGCATCGGCGTCCGGCACCAAGGTTCCCTCCACCTCGGCGTAGAAGAGGTTGGTGCCGATGGCCGGATGCTTGTAGTCGTTCAAGAAGCACGTCGAATCGGTGATGTTGAAAGCCTCGACTGGCACTCGGTGCGGCTGCGACGGCGGGTCGAGGTAGATGCGCATTTCCATGCCGGGGCTCCCGTCGGGCGCCACCGTCAGCGCCGACAGCATGGGCAATTTCTTGTAGTTGGTGGCCCCGAGAGCGTATCGGGTCGATGGCACATAGGCCTGGATCCCCTCGAGCGGCGTCACCGCGTAGTACGGCCGCAGCCGGGCAGACCCGCCTCCGCTGTATGCGGCAAACGCGGCGTTGGGCCCAATGACCGCGGTCGTCTTCTCTTTGCGCAGAGGCAGCACACCGCCCTCGTTCTTGAGCAGGACGGTCCCGGCCGCCGCGATTTCCCGGAGCTTGGCCGCCGTCTGGGGGGTGTCGACGGTGGTTTCGGGCGTGTCGATGCTGATGCCCAGGCCCGATACCCGGTCGATCGTCTTCAGCAGCGCGCGGACTCGGTCGTCGATCACGGGCTCGGCAATCTTGCGCGAACTGACGGACAACTTGGCCAACCCGGCGCGCCAGCGTGTCGGACCGGGCATTTCCACGTCCAGACCGGCATTGATGGCCTCGGCGACCGAGTAGGTGCCGAACCAATCGCTGACCACCAGGCCGTCGAACCCCCATTCCTGGCGGAGGATGCCTTGGAGGAGCTCGACATTCTCGCTGGCGTGAATGCCGTTGACCTTGTTGTAAGAGGTCATGTAGGCCATGGGCCGGGCGTCCCTCTCGGTAATCTGGAAGGGGAGCAGGTACACCTCCCTCAGGGCGCGGGGCGAGATGACCGAGTTGGAACTTTGGCGTTGCTCCTCCTGGTCGTTGCCGACGAAGTGCTTGGGCGTCGCCACCACGCCGGTGGATTGGATGCCGGCGACCATGGCGGCCGCCAGGTTTCCGGCCAGCACCGGGTCTTCACTGTAGCTCTCGAAGCCGCGGCCGCCCAGCGGCGATCTCTGGATGTTGATGGTCGGCCCGAGGAGGATGGAGGCGGCTTTGGCAATGGCTTCCTTGCCCATCATTACCCCAGCCGCCCGGATCAGGTCTGTATCCCACGTCGCACCCAGGGCGGTGCCACACGGGAAGCAAGCTGCAGGCACGCCGTTGAACAGCCGGGATCCTCGTACCCCGTTGGGACCATCGGACATGCGAAGCGACGGGATGTTCAGCCGGGGAATGGCTTTGGTGTGCCAAAAGTCCACGCCGGAGAGTAGCTCGATCTTTTCATCCAGGCTGAGCTTCGCCAGAGTCTGTTCGACGTCCATTGCGATGGCGAGCCAAGGCTGGAACTGAGCAACCGAGTCTGGAGACAGGACAAAAGGCTGTCACGTCACAGCTTCGAGAGGGGGGAAGAGATGAGAAGGAAGAGAAGAAGATGCAGGTTAGATCTGGGATTGCAATTGAATGGCAACTGCACTCGAACTCGAACTTGAAACTCGAAACTCGAAACTCACTCTGGGTGATGATCTCTGCACCATTGTACTATGTACAGTACTCCGTACTACTCGTCATTCGCTGTGGAGGGCCGATCGAAGCGTGGAGAGGAGAGGGCTAAGGGCTAAGGGGGTCAGATGAGTCGACCAACACCGACACTCCCCGATGCTGACGGAGATCGGCTCCGTCGCAGCCGAGCAAGCTGGCATGTCTCTGCTGATTCCATGTATGGATTCCATGGCAATGGTCGTTGTCGCTGTCGTTGTGGCTGTGACTGTGACTGTGACTGTGACTGTGACTGTGACTGTGACTGTGGCTGTGGCGGTCGCTATGGCTGAAGTACAGCATGGACTCTGGAGTGTTCAATTCGTACTCGGGGGACAGCGTACAGTCCCCGCATCCCGCATCCCCCATTCTACCGGCCCACTCAACTCTCACTGAGGGAGTCGTGTTGATAGACACAGAACTTAGCTTGGGTTCTTGACATGATAGTTAGTTCCTAGTTCCTAGTTCCTAGTTCTAGTATGAGGTTTTGCTGTGTCTCTGCAAGGCTGAGACGGATCAGCATGCTTGGGGGCCGCCCAGGTCTGCCAGCCATATGGATGGACCAGTTGCAGTGAGGGAGTGGCTAGGCCCTCGATCGACCAAGGTCTGGCTCTGGCTCTGGCTCTGGCTCCGACTCCGCTGTCGTCTCTCCCGATAAAGCGGCGGTAGGATTGTGGTGGTACGAGTACGGAGTACATAGATGGTGGATGGTTGATGGTGGATGGTGATGGCGTGCTTCGAGGCCAACATGAGGTGCTTGCCACACCACACATTAGCGCGTAGGATAAGAGCTAAGAAGTTAAGATCACTATAGTGCCACAGATTGTTGGTAAGTCTAGCCTGATATAGAATAGTTTGCAGCAGTTAAAGCCGCTAATCTCCCGCTACTCGACTTAACATCGCTGCCACTTGGCGGTGGCATGAGCTGCCTTACTGAGTGCAGAGGAGAGAAGACCGCACAACACCAACACCAACCACGATCTTGTCTTTAACATTGTTGACCCGCAGTAGACAGGGACGGTCATCGTGCAAGTGGATGCTGCGCACGAAGAGTCAAAGCCGAAAAGGGGAACCAGAAAAGATGTGAAATCATCAGCATCACACGCACCGCACCGCACTGCACCGCGTTACCTCTCCCGAAGCCTGAACCTGTTGACTTACTTGGTACCGTCACGTCTCTGCGCCCATATAGAATACAGGACCTACAGGACCTACAACAGTACTTGGGTACCTACAAACAAAGATGGCGGACACTACAGCCCAAGCCCCAGCCCATCCCGCGGCGGGAACCACGGCACCAGCACCAGCACCAACACCAAAACAATGGATCTTCAATGCCTTCACCATGAACACACCAGGCCACTTGGCAGCCGGTAAGGACCAATCCCCATTACCCCCTGTACTACAGTGCACCAACACCCTCCCCCGTGGCATGGACATACTTGAACCAGACCGTACAGAGCACGGATACCTGGAGGTGCCTGGTATGTCTATCTGACAGAGTATTGACCCGGCTCAGGCTTGTGGAGGCACCCGCGCAACCGTAGCGCTCACCACAACGACATTGAATACTGGACGGACCTCGCAAAGATCCTCGAGGCCGGCAAGTTCCACGGCCTGTTCATCGCCGACGTGCTCGGCCAGTACGATGTGTACAAGGGCCCCGGCAACCTCGAGCCCGGCCTGGCTGGCGCGGCTCAGTTTCCCGTATCTGATCCATTGTGAGTGAGCGTGAGTGTGAGCGTGACCAAGCACGCGATGCATTTCCCACCATACCATACTAACCAGTTCATGTTGCCCCGACCATACCATACTAACCATTTCATGTTGTCGCTACCAGTATGCCCATCTCCGCCATGGCCGCCGTGACCAAACACCTGACTCTGGGCGTGACGGCGTCGACGACATACGAAGCCCCATATCTGCTGGCCCGGCGCTTCGCCACGCTCGACCATCTGACCAAGGGCCGCATCGCGTGGAACGTGGTGACGAGCTACTTGCTGTCGGCCGCGGAGAACCTGGGGCTGAAGGACGAGATCGCGCACGACGAACGATACCGCATGGCCGACGAGTACATGGACGTGACGTATAAGTTGTGGGAGTCGACGTGGCGGGACGATGCCGTGGCGCGCGACGTCGAGACCAAACAGTATACAGTTCCGGGCCGGGTGCGTAGGATCAACCATGAAGGGTAAGTACAACACAGCACAGCTCAGCACAGCACAAATGAAAGACCAAGCTCTTGGCTGCTGACGTTGGGACTGTCCAGAAAGTATTACCGGTCGGCCGGACCTCTCCAAGTGGCGCCGTCGATCCAGCGGACGCCGTACCTGTTCCAAGCGGGGACGAGCACGGCGGGCAAGGCGTTCGCGACCAAACACGCCGAGTGCCTATTCCTGCCGGGCATGACGGTCGAGTCGGTGCGCAAGTCGGTGCAGGAGATCCGGGCGCTGGCGGCACAGCAGGGCCGCGACCCGGCGACGATCAAGATGATCATGGGGGTGTTGATCATCGTGGCCGAGACGGACGCGCTGGCCCAGGCCAAGTACGAGGAGTACCTGACCTACGCCGACCTGGAGGGCTCCATGACGCTGTTCGGCGGCTGGACCGGCTCCGACCTGTCGCAGTACGGCGACGACGACGACTTCCAGTTCGCCGGGCCCGGCGCCATCCGCAGCATGGTCAGCTCGTGGTCCGCCACCATCCCGGGCACCGACGGCGTCAAGTGGTCCAAGAAGCGCGTCGCCCAGGAGCTGGCCATCGGCGGCGCCCACGTCCGCGCCATCGGCTCCCCCCACACCGTCGCCGACATCCTCCAGCACTGGGTCGACGAGACCGGCGTCGACGGCTTCAACTGCTCCTACGCCGTCAATCCGGGCGACTTCGAGGACATCATCAACCACCTCTTCCCCGTGCTGAGGGCCCGAGGCGTCTTCTGGCACGACTATGCCGCCGACACCGCCCGCGAAAATTACCTGCAGGACAACGCCGGCCCGCGTCTGAGACCCGATCATCCGGGCGCCAAGTACAAGTGGCCGGCCGAGTGATGTGATGTGGTGTGGTGTGGTGTGGTGTGGTGTGGTGTGGTGTGGGTGTGGATGTGGATGTGTACGTGGACGTGGGCGTGTGTCGCCTTGGCCTTGTGTCCCAACTTAACCATGAACCATGAACCATGAACTGATGACGAGAAGAGTGACGAGAATAGTGACGAGAAGAGTCAAGTAGTAATAGTCAGTCGAGGGATCAATCACACCTTGACCGTAAGTATATAAAGTATCTTAGATGCCTATCTAGTACTCCGTACTCCGTACATCACTACATCACCTACACCACATACACCACCCACACCACCTACACAGTACGGATGATGCAAATAAATCAAAAGTCCCTGTAATTGTCTACTACCTCCACAGTAGGGAGGGGGTAGTGGTGTTCGCGGCACAATTGTCCTGCGACCCATACTGCGTACAGAGTAGGATATAGCCCTGGTCGTTCAGCTCGAGGACTCAAGCGCGGCGGAGAGTGCGAAAGTAAAGGTCGACGGGCTCAGGCACTGTGACTGTGATCGTGACGGTATCGATGCCGCAACAGGAGCCGTCGGGGTCCTCGTGATGGCCTAAGGATTGAATTCTCGCATCTGACCTGACCTGACCTGGCTTGGGTCTGCTGGACGGCCAGTTCCAGTTCCCGGATGCCAGATCTCGATCTCGAGGCGTCCAGCCGCGCACCCTGATATCCGATCGATAGAACGCATGACGTCGGCCCACATGCAAAGTGCTAGAGGTAGACAGTATTCCGGCTGATGGATTGATATACCTTCAATCCAGATGCCTCCTTACGGCGTTAATGGCGCGACGGGGTGACAGAGCCAGATAGTGATTGGCTTCGACTTGGACTTGGACTTCAGCGGTGCCAAAAGGTCCAGTCTAGTCTAGTCGAGTGCATCCTGCAGGCATCTGCAGGCATGGGAGACAATAAGACACTTTGCGTTCATCTGCGCCACAAGACGCTATGGGAGACCCGACACCTTTTCTCGCTTTCGAGCAGAACTGAGCCCTGCCTTGTCGTGCTGTGCTATGCTGTGCTGTGTTGTGCTGCTGCAGAGGGTGTCAAATGAAAAAGAATCCCGATCACCAGCACAACACCTGTGGCTGTGATTCTGGAGCGGGCCCCAGGTTGGTGTATCTCTCCCACATTTCCTTCTCGTTCCTAGCCAACCTGGGCGCAGCGGATTGGCTGCAGTCGGCTATATCCTGCTCCTGCTCCTCCTCCTGCTCGTGTTCTTGGTCCGGCTTGTCGTCCTCTTCGCCGCAGTGGGAGCCACAGTAGGTTTCTCCATCACTGCTCCAATCAGTGTCTTTGTCTTTGTCCTCGTCCTCGTCGTCGCTGTCATAGTTAGACTCCTCTTCCTCGTCGGAAAACGGGTCGATCGCGTGCTCTCTGTCGTCCAGCTTAATCTCCGTTACGACGACCGAGCTGGGTGTACGTGCTGATGGTTTTGGCACGGCTTCGTCTTCGGGGTATGCGTATGGATTGAACAGCTGCTCCTGGACTTGGGTCTTCTCAAGCAAGGACTCGGACTCGGACTCGGGCAGCACCGTATCCGTATCTTCCTCTGGCTCTGCAATCTCGAGACTAGGTGTTTGCTCGGCGGTGGCGGCGGCGGCGGACTCGTCGACGGTGTTCACACAATGACTGGCGTTCGTCCAGACCGAAACATGGCCGATGACTTTAGGCAGGTCGGGTTCGATGAGTTCGTATTCTCGCTGCAACTTCCACGACGCCAGCCAGGTCAGCCGAAAGGCGGTTTGCTCTAGGGTCTCAGGTTCAGACTCGACTTCACCCTCGCCCGGAGGCCAGGGCTGGCTGAGGAGGGTGTTATCTTCAGGGATGGGTGTCTCTGAGTAGTCTTGGATGGGATCGGGGTCGGGGTTGGTGACAGATAGCATGAAACAGGTTGGGGTCAATATGAGGGTAGGTCAGGTCAGGTAGTAAAGAGGCTGGGTTGGCAACGATGACCACAATAAATTCAATTCAGTCAGGTTGATTTCGTTGGGTTGATACAGTAGATGTTGTTTGGTCTTGATCTGGGAGCACTCTCTTGTCTCCCTCGAGCCGTGCAATGGTGGGATCAAATACCACACAAGCACGAGCACGAGCACAAGTACGCCGCTGCAGGCCTCGTATGATGACCTCGTGAGGATGCGCGGGCCAGCCTATGGTAGAGTAGGGACAGAACTCCGTTAGTAACATACAGTACGAAGTGCTTGTCGGACTCTGCCGGGGGTCATGAATCAGTGTCAGTGGCATGGCTGTGGCTGTACTCTGTACCCATGACCTACCTAATAGGTAAATAGGTACTGTGAATCCCTGTAGGCCCTGTAGGGACCTGCGTTACGACTAACTACCTAAGGCTACCATAGCCATAAGCAGGCCACCCCTACAAGGAGTGGCGGATGCCGCAGCCGCAGCCGCAGCCGCATCCTCATCCGCATCGCCTACCTAGGTAGGTAGTTATAAGGAGTACGGAGTACTTTGGACCACAGAAGTAATAGCAAGTCGTCCGTTGTGTGGTGGGAGATCGCCGTCCCGTTGTCCCCTGTAGATGAAGTGTTGAAGTGGTGTGATGGAACGCAGTTTGACTCCGGCCCTGCTCCGTCCCTTACTACTATTAGTACTAGTAACCCCACCTGCGCTCTACCTCTCTACTCTGCTCTCTAATTACTCTCTGCTCTCTATTATTGTTACCTCGCTACCCAGTTGGCCTCTTCCTCTCTCGCACCACACTCCAGATTCCAGATTCCAGACTTGCCTGGACCTGTGTGACCTGTGAGACCTATGACCTTGACCTAGGACCTGTGACCCCGTATTACCACTCCAGACTACCTACTGTTCGACGTCCTGCCTATGCCCACCACCGTCGCGGAAAATTCGGCCTACCGAGTCTAGCACGCTCCACCTCCCATGCTTGCAGGGATGGAATCCGAGTTTCAACAAATTCGCCGCTGGCCCTTAGCCCGCTGCAGTGTGACGTTGGAGGCGAGGCGTGAGGCGTGAGGCACTTTAAACCGCGCATTGGGGAATGTAAGATGTAAGAAGTACTCTATACACTGTACAGTACTACTTAGTGCTGAGGACTCCGTCCTGTGTACCTCAGGTACTGCATACTCCATACGGAGTGCATACTGTACATATGGGGTGTACAGACACAGTACTCCGTACTCCGTACGTCAATCGTGAGGCCACAGTGGTGGTGCCATGGCAGTACAGTACAAGTATCCGTACAAGTCTGGACTCTCGACTCCTCTCCTTATTTCCCGGTCTGGCCTTTTGCAGCCCTGCTCTGTTCAGCTCACTCCATCGGCGCATCATCGTGCAGAAATACAAGACCGCCTATCCGCAACTTGTCCATTGTCATAGAGCCAGCGTGTGGCCGTAGACCGTCAGGCAAGCGATGTCGTACAGGACAACCATCTGTATGGAAAAAGAGGAAGACTGCTTTGCAATCTGAGTATCAGCGCCGGCCATCCATCAGGGCAAATAGTCCGTGCCAGACGGAGGCCAATGTTGAAGCTGTTTTCTCGGGCAAAAAGAAGCGAGATTCCCTGTGTCAAGGTCTCGCTTGCAGGGGGTCTGTGTCTATGTCTGTGTCTGTGTCTGGCATCTGCAGGTGGGCGAGACAAGCGAGAAACTATGAGTGATACTGTCAAGACTATTGAACAATATTACATTAATATTCGATAATAATAATAGGACTATTAGTATCCTGGTCAGCCAGTACAGCTGGATTCCACCTCTTCATCGTCCGAGCAGCTGCTCTCGGGTTCGTTTTCTGTTTCTGTTTCTGTTTCAGTGAACCTGCAGCCGTCCCCCGCACCCGCACTGTTCTGAGTCTGAGTCTGACGCCAGCGCCGCCCAGGAAGTTGAATATCAACAAGCCCCGAGACGAGACAGGCTGGTCTCGGTCTCGGTCTCGAAGCGAGAAGTGAATAGCAAGGAAGAAAAGGAAAGGAACAATTATCCGTACACACACCACACCGTCTGCTCGGAAGATTGATCCATCATCTTGACCCTGGTTGCGGTTGCGAACGAACCAGGGTGGCCGTGCCCCAAGTCCAAGTCTGGGCCTTAGCACCGTCGGCTATCACACTGGTGACAGTGACAGACCCCAGACCTCAGATGAGCCCGCAACAGAGCCCTATCAGTACATACGTGTTAATATATGGTTATACATAGTCTCGCGGTCGCTGTAACTGTAACTGTAACTGTAGCTGTGGCCTCGGTGGGTCGGGTGGCCTACATTAGGGACTTAGTACTTAGACTTGTTCGCTGGCGGCGGTGCTGGAGCCCGAGGCGGCACTGGGCTTCCGATGGTGGAAATGCAAGAAGTTGTTGTGATTGTTATTGTCATGAGGGTCATGCTGATGCTCCTTGTTGACCGGGGTCCAGCAGGCCAGAAGCACGCTGCCGAGCCAGAAGAAGCCGCTGAGGAAGGTGAAGGCCGACGCGGCTCTCCAGCAGGGCCGGTACGGCTCGCCATACTCGCTGCGCCAGCCGCGCCAGTTGTCGGCGGCGTCGAAGTTCTCGAGCGCGCCGAAGCACGAGAAGAAGGCCAGGCTGAAGAACATGTTGATCAGGGCGAAACACCGCGGGTACAGGTCGAACGTGAAGACCAGCGTCGCCGTGTACAGCAGCGCCAGCGCCGCCATCGTCTCGGTCCAGATCAGTCGGCCGGATGGGTATACCGGCGTGTCTTCGTAATGCGTGAGGAACCAGCTCACGATGCCCAGCACAATCTAATTGGAAAGAAAAGAGTCTGGTCAGCTTCGCTTCGTCATTCATTGTTGGAACATTCATGCATGCTCCAACGTCGATCATCCAAGCCCTGCTCCTAAGCCTGAGACCCAAAGCCCCAGATCCACTCCTTACGTGAGCCCCTTCTGGGACTCCTAAGGCTTATGAGGCTAGGGGCCAGAGTGGTGCTGGTGCTGGTGCTGTAACTGGCGCTGGGGCTGGACCGGGGCGGTAGGCGGTACTTACAGCTGCAAACATCGCTTCGCACAGGTAGAAACATTTGGCCAGGTTGCGCACAACCTTGTCGCTAGGTCTGTGCCAGCTGTCAAGCATTTTGGAGGTCGGGTCGACGCAGTGCTATACTGTACTATAGACTGTAGAGGTGGGATTGGATTGGATTGGATTAGATTAGGCAAGACTGAGACAGTTGGGAGTCTGTCGCTCTGTCTGTCTTGATTGTTTGTTGGGTTTGATGATTGATTAGATTGGATCTGATCTGCCGCTCTATTGAGTCGGTTCTGATGCTGATGGTGGCTATGTATGTAATCCAATCCCTGCTCGCTTGAACATGACGGTATTCTTATACCTGCTGCTCTGGTGGCAGCGACAGAGATGCCGTGACTGCTGGGAAATGGGCGGAATGCCTATTCTTCGTGATGCTTCCACGCCTCTCAAACCACCACATCATGTGTGGTGCGAGTAAGGGTGAGTGATTTGCGTGACCTGTAGGTGCCTGGTTGCTTTGCGCACAGATCTTCAGATCCAAGCCCGGACAGGACAGGACGGGATAGGACAGGACAAGACAAGGCCGGCCAGGATATCGTTCCGTCGCACATGCCACGTACTGTATGTAGCTGGGATGACTAACGACATCCGACAATGCTGTAGAGTCTAGTCGTAGGATAGAACCCCCTTGGACAACTGTCCGTCCTCTGTATATGGAGTCGTAGTCAGTACTTAGTACCTGGGATGCTGTAGCCAATCCATGTTCCCGTGGGCGGGGCTCCGGGGCTCCTACGGCGAAGCGACCGCAGCAGTCCTGGACCACCGACAGAGGGTATGTTCTCCGTAGACAGTAGCCTCGTATGTCACGCGATATTTGCGTGATATCCCGGCCGTATCTGGAATCGCCGGCAAATGTCCGGCGTCGAGATCCAATGATTGCCGCCAGCGACCCACCGCGTCAGGGTCTCGAACTGACCATGAATTTGCGACTGACTTTTGATTGAGCCGTCATCGTGCAATTGACTGACCTATGTCATTGTGTCCTCCCTCGCCCCAGATGGCCGTTGGGGGCGCGGATGTGCGGATAGCGTGTCGCTGACTCGTGGGACCCTGAGCAAGGGTCTCCGCCAGTATAGATAGATACTGAATCGGTCAATCTCTGCTATAAGTAGGCCTCTATACCGGCCTGATAACAGACTCGCTAGCATTTGCAACCGCCATAGCGACGCCCTGAGCCAGTTCGTCTACTGTCTGGTCCTGAGACTTCGTTCCCGGGGGGTTTGAAATATAATATATGTGAACGAACGAGGGTTAGAATTGATATCGGTGTCCTAAACCACGAGGCCGCACAAGAACGAAGTCGCACCCGCACCCGCACCCTTGAACATCACCAAACCCCTTCAGCTTGTCGCCTCTGGCAGTCTATCCATGATGTCTCCGAGAGAAGCAGCAAATCGTCCCACGCGCCATACCGTGGCCGGGCTTGATGAAGATCTACCCGCACCGTCACTCAGCAAAGAACCCTCGGCAGTGGTCAAGCGAAAGGGACAACGCACCCTTCGTGCATGTGACTTCTGCCGACTGAAGAAGGCCAAGGTTGGTTCCCCTGCCGGCAACGTCCAGCTTTGGAATCCAAACCCCCCGACGAGAGAAACTGAGCTGACTGCGTGACCCCTGAAAACAGTGTGATGGGGCAAAGCCATGCAAGAAGTGTCAGTCCTGCAGGATATCGTGCACCTACAGCCACCTACGCAAGAGCTCCAGGCCACAGTCTGTATTAGCGTAAGTCACCCATCACCCGTCTCTCGTCTCTCGACAATGTGCTCTGGCGACTGACTGAATGCGCAGATATGCTGCAACGTTGGCACGGCAGCAAGCCTCGTTGATTGAGTGTGTCGAGACACTCCATCGTCGCCTCCGAGATGGAATTGGATCTGGATCTGGAGTGCTCCCCATCGACTCTCTCGATTCGGAAGCAAATGTGAACGAGATCATGGTCTCTCTCGGCTTGGATCCCATTGATACAGCCGAATTCGACAGTGAACACAGCATCCATCAATCGAAATCACAAACTTCGGCCTCAGATTCCGCTTCGTCCCCAACCATGACGGAAACCTCGCCCACGCAGGACCCCTTGGAGTTTCAAGATACTCCTGAGTACATGCATGCTTCCAGTTTCTTTCCAGAGTCTGGTCTGCAAGAATCTGCGCGATCAGCCCAAGCCATCGACAGGGGAAACGGTCCGTGGAAACTCGGCCCTCAGTATGGTGGCCCCGCGCTGGTAGAAGACGATGTCTTCAGCGCTTCCTCATTTTTCCGGGACGTGACCCCAGGGGCCTTAAACCCCTGGGCACCCGCCGCATCGTATGACACCACGTCCTTTGCTTCGCCCTATGACTTATTCAACACTCCGGTGGCTTGGAACGGCTGAGGATCGCAGTCGCAGAGCCTACCAGCGGTACTGTACTGGCTAAAGACACGCCTGTTAGCACGACTCCTCCAAATCCACCCGCTACCTAGAGTCAACTCAGGAAGATCCTCAAGATTTGGCTTGGCCCCAGCCACGGCTCATCGCCTGATTTTGCAGGAGATTTGCGGCCCCTGCCCTCTGACGGGTCGGAGGTGGAGGCACCTCCTCTTGCGGCTCACGTGGCGTATAGAGCCAAAGCTGACGTCGCACTATCCGCCGGGGATCTTGAGCTTGAGATGAGATTCGCGAAAGCGCGACCCTGGAACTGGGCCTCTACCTGGATGGATGCAAGGAGAGCCAGGAGCCAGGAGCCAGTCGTCGTCAATCATGCAGCTCCGGAGATCCAGCCGAAGCCAAGTATGGTCGGCTTGGGCCTGGGAGAAGCAAGGGAAAGGACGGAGAGAATGACGAAGAGGATAAAATAAGATCCGACCAGCCTCTTCAAGTTGGCCTTCAAGTTGGCGCAGGAGGCGAGAGGCGAGAGGCGAAAGGCAAGCCTCAGGCGCCCTCACACCTCATATTACATAATAGTTCTATCTCGCTCTAGTCCTAATGTAGACAAGTGTATTTCTTCGGCCGTTTCTGCCACGTGACAAAATCCTATCACGTGACCTGGTCCCCTCTCATCACGTGCACTCTCGTTGTGCGAATATCACAGCAAATTCAAGACCTCCTAACCCTAACCCTAACCCTATCCCTATCCCTATCCCTATCCCTATCCCAGCACTGTCCTCGTACCACTTCCTTTCCACAGCCAGAGATGGATGCCACATGCCATACCACATATCACTTGCCACATGAGTAAAGTTGATGCCGCAGAATACTGGCCGCCTTCTGTGTACGGAGGAGATCCCCCCGAATGCTGCTGTCAAGGAGCACGAGCACAAGCACGAGCATGCTGTGGTCTAATTTATTCTTCTGGGATGGTGTATCCTCGTCCCATTCACTCTCTGAAGGTTCAGTAGTGCCTTTTAGACGTCCATGGTGATAATTCCTCACCATCACCCAGCTTATCAACATGTCAACCAACTACCAGTGTTGTCGGAAGCGTACCGCGTCACAATGGACTCTTGGTGACAAGGCGGTAGTGTAATCAACGAGCCACATTGCACATCAATGGCTTTCCTTTTCCCTTTTAGCAATCCACTCATTCAGCTTTGCCTCGAACTCGTGAGAGAGCCACCAAACAAGACCCGTGTATTCAGACACAACCGAGGAAAAGACTTCAGCTGCGGCACTGCTGCTCTACACTACACCAACGTCATAACCACTCCGTTACACATCGAGACTCAGGATGGTGAAAATCTACCAAATTTTTTCTTCTTCCAGCGGCGACGACGGTGACGACGACGATGATAGTTACGTGTCCTTCGACAGCTGCGATCGCCACTCTTGCCCAGCGCCATCTCGACGCCACAGTCTACGTCGAGAAAGGTACGAGCGGGCAGGACGGCGATACAGACATCGAAGAAGCCCATCGACATCCACGTCCACATCTACATCGACGTCGATTTCCACCTCCCCTTCCCCTTCCCCTTCCAGCAGTGGTGGCTACAACAGCTTCGACCGAGAGAGTGGTGGCCGTCAGCGAGAGGACCGCAGTGCTGAACGACCTGGAAGCGAGCTTGTCCTATACCGGCCCAGCGACTCTAACCCGGAGGTCAGGGGGGCGGAGGAGGCGCAAAGAAGCCGAAGCAGAAACAATCCCCGCCGCTACGGCCGTCACCGTTATGGTTATAGTCGACGACGACGCAGACGCCGACCCAGTCCCACATACAGACCCAGAAGCGAACGCTGCAGTACATGCGGCTCCCGCCCAGACTGTGAGCTTGACCCGACGAGAGATCGAGGGGGATCCGAAGCGCCAGACAGACTGTCCAGTCCTGAACAGTCGGCGGAATCGAGCGAGACATACTGGCGCGATGAGCAGGCCATGGCGAGAGACAGACATCGCCGCGACCGCCGACGTCGACGCCGACACCACCTGAGACGCCGACGGAGAAGCCCAAGCTACAGTCCGCGCTACAGTTCGAGCAGCATCTCTGACTCTGACGACTCTGGCGACTCTGACTTCTATGACGATGATGTCGGGTATCGAGGTGCTAGCAGAGACGGTTCTGATGTCGGGTACAGAGGTGCCAGCAGAGACGGTTATAGGCGGAGACACCGTCATAGACACAGACACGGACACAGATACCGCCGCAGCCGCAGACGCAGCCACAGCAGAGTAGCACGCGACTGGTTCCGAGGTTGGGAAGACAATCCCTGGGGGATCCGTCGGCCTCCGGGCGGGTTTCAAGTTCGCTTTCCCTGATTCTGATGGGAGTTAGAAGTGTCATCGCTTTCCCCGATCCTGATGGGCCTTAGGTTAGAAGTGTCAATGAAGCTGGGAAAGTGAACGGTTCATTCAGGCTGGGAAAGCGAAAGGTTCATTCAGGCTGGAAGACAAAACGGTCCATGAAGCTGAAGCTGAAGTTGAAGCTGAAGTTGACGTTGAGATGGTGCTTCTACCGGGCTTCATGGCTGATATTTGATATCAACATGTTGACACGATGCGATGCGATGCGATGCTCTACCAAGTACTCCGTACAGCTGAGCTACAGTACAACACTGTCAACCTCAACCTCAACCTCAACCAAAGAGGGACGGGGGACGCTCAACTCTGCACATGTTGTTGATCATGCTTGGGTCCTTGGGGAGGGAGCTTCATACCATGCCATGCCATGACAGCGACAGCGACAGCGACAGCGACAGCGACAGCGACAGCGACAGCGACAGCGACAGCGACAGCGACAGCGACAG